AGGGCGGGCGCCACTACCGAGAAGGCCCTCTGCCTGGTTCCCTGTAACTTGGCCTCTCACAGTGAGGGAACCGCCAGAAGGCCCTCGGAGCTGGACCTCAGTGTCCGGGCAGAACGATGGGGGTGGAGACGCTCCTTCAGATATACTGGACCGAGGCCGTTTAGGGCTTTAAAGGTCAGCACCAACACTTTGAATTGTGCTCGGAAATGTACTGGGAGCCAATGTAGGTCTTTCAAGACCGGTGTTATATGGTCTTGGCGGCCGCTCCCAGTCACCAGTCTAGCTGCCGCATTCTGGATTAGTTGTAGTTTCCAGGTCACCTTCAAAGGTAGCCCCACGTAGAGCGCATTGCAGTAGTCCAAGCGGGAGATAACCAGAGCATGCACCACTCTGATGAGACAGTCTGCAGGCAGATAGGGTCTCAGCCTACGTACCAGATGGAGCTGGTAAACAGCTGCCCTGGATACAGAATTGACCTGTGCCTCCATGGACAGCTGTGAGTCCAAAATGACTCCCAGGCTGCGCACCTGGTCCTTCAGGGGCACAGTTACCCCATTCAGGACCAGGGAATCCTCCACACCTGCCCGCCTCCTGTCCCCCAAAAACAGTACTTCTGTCTTGTCAGGATTCAACCTCAATCTGTTAGCCGCCATCCATCCTCCAACCGCCTCCAGACACTCATCGCAAAGATCAGATATTTGTGCCTCCCACATGGTGGTGAAGGCAGCAAAGAAGTTAAACTTTTCCAGTAAGGACCCAGGAGAGCAAAATTGTTAAGGCTCTGCAGTCTTTGGCCTCAGTCGCTGGGAAGCTGGAGTGCTTGAACAGCTGCAGCGATAAGTGTGCAAGGTTCTTTGAGGATAACGTCCTTCAACTCTCCACTAAGTCGGATGCCATATTTCAGGCGTGGCCAATTCCCAAGAGACTGGGATCTACTTACAGAATTAAAAACTGGCAGCGATCTACCCCCATTTTGGGGGGGTTCAGGTCAAAGTTGTTGACCTTTTTTGGGGAAGAAAAGCCCGGTTTTTTTGGGGGGGTCAGGTCAAAGTTATTGAGCTTTTATTAGGGAGGAGGAAGGCCCCAATTTTTAGAGTTTGGGGGTGAATGAGGAACAACCACTCACCAACAAATCATTGGGGAAACAAACAGCCTCACTCAGTAAACTCCGTCTTCCGTTCTGCAGATCGTGCAACAGTTGAGGGTGGGGCAAGGGGGCAGGGCCAGAATCGATTTTAGCAACTCTAAGGAAAGGGACCCAGCGATCAACCGCGTTCTACCAAAACCTCCTGGGGATCTACCAGTAGATTGCGATCGACCTGTTGGGCATCTCTGCCATATTTGATCCAGATTCAGAGGAGCTGTCCACTTCACTGCCTGGTCTGGTTTTATGAAATCAGTTTCCACTTTTAAGACCCGAGGATGGAGGCAAGATGCTTGCAATGGTAAGGCCAACCACATGCCATTTAGACCTTGCCTGTCCTAACTCCTACAATCTGGCCAGATTGTTGTCAGAATGCAGTGTCGAAGGATGAGGTAATGCCCGTTGCCTTGAAGGAGATGGTGGCATATATGGTATGACCCCCTCCAGGACCCTTAGCAAACTACAGTTCCCAGGATTCTTTGGGGGAAGTCATGTGATTGAAATGTATTACATGCATGCAACGTGCCTCATTATAGTACTAAAGGTAAAGGTAAAGGGACCCCTGACCATTAGGTCCAGTCCTGGCCGACTCTGGGGTTGCGGCGCTCATCTCGCTTTATTGGCCGAGGGAGCCAGTGTACAGCTTCCGGGTCATGTGGCCAGCATGACTAAGCCGCTTCTGGCGAACCAGAGCAGCGCACGGAAACGCCGTTTACCTTCCCACCGGAGCGGTACCTATTTATCTACTTGCACTTTGAGGTGCTTTTGAACTGCTAGGTTGGCAGGAGCAGGGACCGAGCAACGGGAGCTCACTCCGTCTTGGGGATTCGAACCGCTAACCAAGTCCTAGGCTCTGTGGTTTAACCCACAGTGCCACCCTTGTCCCTCATTATAGCACTAGTCCTGCAATATTCAGTTCTAGCTGCAAAGCTCTTATTCGGGCAACCCTCACATCTTCCTGACACCTTATTTACTCTTGGCTTTTCTGTTAACAAGACTAGACATTTTGTTTCATACATTGTGTAAAATAATTTCCCTCAGCATGGGCACAATGAGATTTCCAGTTAGCTACTAGTCAGCCGGTGATCCTTTAATCACATTGTTGAATATGTGCAAATAATCTGAGAGTGGGGGCATATATTGCCAAACAAATCTGCAGCAGCTCTGGGAAATGGGCTCACTGGTTTCCTGGTTCCCCAGAACCTCTCTTTTCTCTTGGTACTATGTGTTCACATTCTGCTGTATCCAGAAATTGACCTTTAATACATCCTGCTTGGCAAGGAAAGGAACTCGCCATTTCTGAGTTTCTGCCCGGCTGGGTCAACTATTAACTTCCCCCAAATAAAACAACCTGGCTTGCAAAACTGTCTATCAAGAACAAGTTGTACTCCTGCCCCTCTCTAACAGTTGTTATCTTTCTCTTAAAGAGTAGGGAATCCGCCTGATTCCACACAAAACACCCCGGAGGGCATAAGGGACAGACGAGGAGCATCAGAACAGAGATTAATCTAGTCCAGCATTCTGTTTGCAAATTGGGAAATCAGGTATTCTCAGGCAGGGGCAACCTATCCTGTTTCACCACCTAGGGTCAAACAGAGATGGTTGCTTCCTGACCCCTGCCGTGCCATGCCCTGGCTCTTGCCGAATTTGGCGGAAGCCAAAGCACTCCTCAAATTTTGCCTCTTGCTCAGCTTCTCCACCAGAACACCTCCCTCTGGGTGGTGGAAGCAGCTGGGTGGATGGGCAGAGTGCCGTCTCTTCCTCTTCTGCCGCCTGAGGCGGGCGCTTCATCTTGCCTCATGGGTGGGCCGGCTCTGCACAAGCAAGGAATGGATGCAGATTCGTGGAAAAGAAGGCTGCAGTCATTATGGCTACATGTTGCTGTCCGTATGAGAGGCAGTGTAACTCTGCTAGGGGTTGTGTGTAGGAGAGGGCCATTGTGCTCATGTGCTCCTTACATGCTCATGTGCTTCCCATAGGCATCTGACTGGTCATGTGGGAATAGAAAGCTGAACCAGGTGAGCCCTTGGCCTAATCTCTCAGGGCTCTTACTATGCTTCTAAGGCTTACAGTACCCAACCAGAGGGCACTCAAGGAATTTTGAGGAAGTGCCATAGCCACCGGTCACAAAACTTCTGTCACAGGGAGTGTGGTGTAAAACAAAATGGGTGCTGCATCTAAAAGAGCAGGAAGAGGCAGGCAGACCCTCAAAATGGTATGACATGCTCATCGGAGGTGCGGTTCTGGGGGCTTTCTGGAAGTTCCCTCACTGCAAAAAGTGAAGTTACAGCAGGGTTGCCATATGTCGGGAATTTTCCGGGCATAGCTGAAATATGGCAGTCGGAAGCAGTGTTCGGGCAGAAATCGTTGAAGTGTCTGGGAAAAATCTGGACAATGGAAACACATGTTGGAAGTCTAGTTTTGTTCCGAATTTTCTTAAAAATAGCTCAAAAACTCAATTTTCACCTTTTGAAATATGGCAGCCCTAAGTTACAGGGAACCAGGCAGAGGGCCTTCTCAGCAGAGGCGCCCACTCTGGGGAACACCCTCCCATCAGAATTCAACAATTATACGGCTTTCCGAAGACATCTGAAAGCAGCCTTGTAGCAGGAAGTGTTTAATGCCTGATGTTTTGTTATTGTCTTTATATTCTGTTGGAAGCCTCCAAGAGCAGCTAGGACAACCAAGACAGATGGGCTGGGTATCATCATCATCGTCATTATTTATAATTCACCCCTTCTTTTCAATGAAAAAGGGACTTTTTTCTATTCAGAATAAAGTGCAGACTTGCTCAGTTGCTTTGAGGGGCAGGACTGGAAAGAATGGCTGGGAATTGCGGCAGACACAGATTTCGGCTTTGCCTCAGGAGAAACACCCTCACGCTGAAAGCTATTTAACAATGGAACAGATTGCCTCAGGAGGCGGTAGACTCTCCTTTGCTTGGTGGTATTTAAGCAGAGGGTGGGTGGCCTATGGTCAGGGATGCTATAGTTGCTCTGAGCAGGATGGATTAGACTAGGCAACTTCTTGGGTACCTTTCAAATCTGCCATTCTAGGATTCTTCAAATTGGCTGGTGCTAATACATGTTGCATTAGATGGGAAGAGCTGGTTTGGGGTAGTGTAGTGTAGCGAGTGGCGCTGTGGGTTAAACCACAGAGCCTAGGACTTGCCGATCAGAAGGTCGGCGTTCGAATCCCCGCGACGGGGTGAGCTCCCGTTGCTCAGTCCCTGCTCCTGCCAACCTAGCAGTTCGAAAGCACGTCAAAGTGCAAGTAGATAAATAGGTATTGCTCTGGTGGGAAGGTAAATGGCGTTTCCATGCGTTGCTCTGGTTCGCTAGAAGCGGCTTAGTCATGCTGGCCACATGACCCAGAAGCTGTACGCCGGCTCCCTCGGCCAATAAAGTGAGATGAGCGCCGCAACCCCAGAGTCGTCTGCGACTGGACCTAAAGATCAGGGGTCCCTTTACTTTTTAGTGTAGCAGTGCACATGCCTCACATTTGAAGCACACGGCTCCCCCCCCCCCCACATAATCCCAGGAACTGTAGTTTAAGGATGCTGCAAACTATAGCTATGTGAGGGGGCAAACTACAGTTCCCAAGATTCTTTGGGGGAAAGTTGTGTGCTTTAAATCTATGGTGTGCTGTTCCTCTATCACAGGCTAATTGGGTAGCCTCTAGACCCCAGTTTCCCATATGGAAGATAATTATCCTGACCTACCTTACAGGGTTGTGGCCAGGATTATAGCCAGGGAATGCATGCGAGGCACATGGTTATCATCACGTGATTTGGCATGCCTCTGAATGGGCCTTTACCCCAGAGTATTTTGTGTTTATGTGTGCATATGCACAGTCACATTTCTATTACGCAACTCCTTTCCCCAGCTTGGCCAGCGATGTGGGAACAAGCTGTCCACTCCCCTCAAGCCCACTCCCTCAACCCACATTTCCGGGAACAGTCTAGAAATCCTGTCATGCCCCAATCTCCACATGCTGTTTGATAAGAGGAGGGGCCTGTGCAGGCCCCGCCTACTAATGCAACCATGCCTATCCACCACTGAGGCTGATCAACAGCTTGAGGAGATCAAAACAGCTTCTCTTAAAAAGCCTCAATGCTGCAGAGATGGTTGTTTGGGCTAGAAGCTGTGCTGTTCTCAATTAGTGCTCGGTGTGGCTGTGGAAAACTGGCCCCGACTTGGAATAATAAGCGGATAACACCAGCCCTAAAGCTGTATTGCTCAGAAACTCAGAAGATTTGAGGGCTGGAAGGTGCTTTGAGGGTGTGTTCCGGACAGGAAGGAGCACGGTGACGGGAGCAGGTACATATATATACATATATTTAAAGTTATTGCTTTGATATTTGCTTGCCTAGCTCCACAGCAACTTCCCAGGGGATTTGTGAAATCTCTGGACTGGAACTATTGCAAAGGCTAACAAGGTAAGTGCCTCATTGGAAGCTGAGTCATTAAAAGAAAAAAAAGGAAAACCTCATATAGGAAGCAGACTACTCTTCAGTGAGTGTCTCTCCAGATTTCTGCACAAGTCTTTCCCTGGCACCGTTCCTTTTGCCTGTACAGCATGTGCTCTGCAAATGACTTAAGCTGCTCTACATAAGTAGGAAGTTTCCGGTTAAAACCTTGTCTCTCTGCCACGAACTTTTCATTGGTAGCCTAAAGCAGCTTCCTGCCTCTCAGCCTCTAATCCGCTATGTTGGTGGTGTCAAGGAATGCTGTGAGGATTACTGAGGTACTATATATGATGTGGTGACTGGAAACTCGAAAGGCAATGTAACATGTTCTCATTCTCCTATGTTTCCTGCTAACTCCCCACTTTAACAGCTTGCCTGTGTGACTGGTTTCAATCCGGTTTCAAGCACCTTGTGCACAGAGATTTAGTAAGCCCCTACCTGCTCCTTGGCTCTCGTTCGAAAAATGGAAATAACAGCAGCTTTCCCAGTTGCAATGGGAGTAAAGGATCTAAGAAAGATGGAGAAAGCGATCCGGTTAAAAGTGACAGAAAATTTTCCTGTTGAGAGGGCTGATGAGCCATTGCATTCAAAACAATATCAGTACAATGGAATACTGGATAAAAGTGGAACTTTTAAGTTTTTAATGTCATCCAAAATTTCAGAATTCGATGGCAAAATTTGACGGTTTTGCTTTTACAGTGGTACCTCGGGTTATATACGCTTCAAGTTACAGACTCCGCTAACCCAGAAATATTACCTCGGGTTAAGAACTTTGCTTCAGGATGAGAACAGAAATCGTGTTCTGGCGGCGCGGCAGCAGCAGGAGGCTCCATTAGCTAAAGTGGTGCTTCAGGTTGAGAACAGTTTCAGGTTAAGAATGGACCTCCGGAACAAATTAAGTACATAACCAGAGGTACCACTGTATTTGTAAAAGCTTTTCACCTATTCGAGGGATACATTTGCTAAATGATTAAAGGAATTAATGACTTAATACATCTACTTAATGGTGTTGTGGACCTTTTGGCATTCTGCAAATACTGGCCAAGACCTTGTGTTAGACACTCATATGTCACTGACTGCTACTGCAGCAAAGGGGATGTGGGTGGCACTGTGGTCTGAGCCTCTTGGGCTTGCCGATCAGAAGGTCAGTGGTTCAAATCCCCGCGACGGAGTGAGCTCCCGTTGCTCTGTTCCAGCTCCTGCCAACCTAGCAGTTCAAAAGCATGCCAGTGCAAGTAGATAAATAGGTACCACTGCAGCGGGAAGGTAAACAGCATTTCCATGCGCTCTGGTTTCTGTCACGATGTCCCATTGTGGCAGACGCGGTTTAGTCATGCTGGCCACATGACCTGGAAAGCTGTCTGTGGACAAATACCAGCTCCCTCAGCCTGAATAGCAAGCTGCACCCCATAGTCTCCTATGACTGGACTTAACCATCCAGAGGTCCTTTACCTTTTTTTTACTGCAGTGAAACCTCTGGAAATCAAATGGCGATACTGACTGTCAAATATTTACACACCCAGAGAATATTTGTTATCAGAATTCGCAGGAGAGAATTTTGCCAAGTTAATCTATTTTTGGCTCTAGCGTACACATACCCCAGTGAGCATCACAACAGATTGTTATGGGAAGAGTGATGATTGACCTCACAGCTTGAGAGGAGGCAGATAAAACTCCTACCTCCTTCAGGCACAGTTAGGACACACAGAGACACAAAGTCAAGTTTCGGGGAAGCTCCCTGCTTTTAACAGCCTTGTGCATCTCTTAAGTGCTTCTCATTGTAAGGAAGGAAGATGTTTGGATATGGTCAACCTGCCCCCTACCAGAACAATCCTGGTATTTAATAAATAAAAATAATTGTCCGTTCATGATGGTTTGTGCTCGTAATGGTATTGCGGCCGTTAGATGCCATGCCACCCTGCCACCCGTTCTGTTTGTTTCCGCAAAAGTTTCGGGGTGGGCATTCTGCTTTGTCTCAGATTGGCACCTGTCCTTTAGCTCACTGCAGAAATCGAGTTCCTCCTCTGGTAAGTACTGAATCTCAGCATGTGCGGGAAACCATCAGAAGAAAGACTCTCCACCTAAGAACAGCTGGATAAAAGTTCTAATGAGGCTTAATTTTAAAAATTAACACAAGAATTGGGGCTGAGGTATATAACAGCATGGAAACACAGGATTCCAGCAGCTAGGAACTGCTTTCATTCTCTAGTTACAGATGGAACAGTCTTGTGGGTATTTGCTAATCGACGCAGCAAGCCTTTACAGACCCCACAGGAACAAACTAGGGCTGACAATTGAAGAAAAACCCTAGTGGTTGTTTTCAGACATTGCATCCTGGAACATTCCCACAGGGACAAAACTGAATAGAGTCATACCTCATGTTACGCTTGCTTCAGGTTGCGCTTCTTCAGGTTGCATCCTGCGGCGACCCAGAAGTACCAGAAAGGGTTACTTCCAGGTTTCACCGCTCACACATGCACAGACGTGCAAAATGACATCACGCGCATGCGCAGAAGCAGCAAAACGCGACCCGCGTGTGCACAGATGCGCAGACGCGGGTTGCATTCTTTTCAGGTTGCGAACAGGCTTCCAGAACGGATCCCGTTCGCAACCAGAGGTACCACTGTATTATAAGAGGGATTCAGTGTTGTGCTAGCAGGTACTGTATAGGCAACCTCTGGCCTATTATTATGGAATAGGATGTCCTTATTTTCATTAGAGAAATGTTGGAGGGTATGGAACAATTTGCCTTAGCATAGGCATAGGCAACCTCCGGCCCTCCAGATGTTTGGGACTACAATTCCCATCATCCCTGACCATTGGTCCTGTTATCTAGGGATGATGGGAGTTGTAGTCCCATCATGGTCCATACCTTTACTATATCCTTCTGCAAATCTGGGACTGTCCCTGGGAAATAACGACACTTGGAGAGGGTCTGGGCCTGCACCTCTTCGGTGACAAGAGGCCTGGCTGTCTCTCTCAGAACCGCAGCAACGTGAGGGAATGTCTCCCTCGTGCTCCCTGGCTCAGCACAGTGTCTGTTGCATTGCAGCTCCCTGTTGATGGACCAGAGAACCCCGAGCCTCCGTCTGGCCAGAGCATGGGTGGTCGTGCTCTGCCTGCAGGGCATCTGTAGCTTGGTGCTGGCCGATCCTCCTGACTTGCTGTTGGATGGAGCTGCGTGGGCCCTGCCTGAAGATGCCACCCAAGAGCAGGGCTACTACCTGCAGCAGCTCTTTGGGCAGTATGGCGAGAATGGCACCTTGTCCTTCGAAGGCCTCACTCGCCTGCTGCTGAGCCTGGGGCTCGGAAAAGTGCAGGTGGTGGAGATTGAACATGAGGAGCTAGGCCATGGCCATGTGTCCCACCTGGACATTCTGGAAGTCCAAGACAACAAGCACTTGCATTCGCACTCGGCGCTGGAGCACCTCGGCAAGACCCAAGCAGAAAGCGCCATCCCCACCAGGTAATCTGCTTTGACCTTGGTTATGTACTGAAGTTCTCACCCTGGGCCAGCCAGGGGATACTGTAGATAGTTCAGGTCCACATATGCAAATAAGGGATCAAAAGGGACGTTCAGTGATTGGATAGTTACAGAAAGTTGTTACAGTTACGTTGTACTGGAGCTCTATAAAAGCAGGCTGGCTGAACCCTTCAGTTCAGTTCTGTTCTGGCCTGTGAATAAACAAGAGCTGTTTGGAGAATCGCTGTGTCGTCTGGTATGTTCACCTACAACTTAACAACCTTGGAAATATTTTCTTTGGCTTTCTGGCGGGGAACCTGCGTTCCTCCTGAGGTCACTAGACTAGGACTCCCAAGCACCACAGGTTCCCCACGCCCACCTTGCGGAAAAGCTTATTTCTTAATTACTGAGCATAGCACTCTCTGTTAAGTACAGTTGCCCGGCAAAAGTCAGTGGTTACGTGCTTCCTTCGCAACTGCAGAGGAGATTCAAGGTAAGATCTTTATGGGCAGTAAACATCTTGCAATACTTGTCTTGCTTATCTCATTTGCTTGCAACAAAGCTAAAATCTTGCCAGAAGATCTGATCCCGTTGTTTTTCACTTGGCAACGGCAGCGTGCGTGCTGTTCAGACAGATTTCACAGGCTTGTTTTGCCAGGATGCTGTGATCTTGCTGGCTGGCTTAGCTATTGCAAAATATTAATTCAGCTCAATTGGCCATGCTTAATGAAATCTCAAAATATTTTAGCGTTGTCGGTAAAAATAGTCAGAATTGCCCATTAAATCTGAAGGAGGTAGATAATGTTCAAAAGAGGAAAGGTGGTAGAGATTAGACTTTAAAATTGGTTGTTAACAAGGCATCCTTCCTAAATTGCAGCACTTTGAAGTCAGTGGAATTTCGTTGGTCTAATTGAATCACAGTTGTAACCTAAAGCATAAATGTTATTCTTCTCTGATGATGATTTTTGCATTTTCTGCAGGTCTGGAATCCCTCAGTTGGGCCCTGCTACCCAAACACCTGTTCATCCTGCACTCCGTGATGTCAGACCTGTCACCAAGCCTACCTTCTGGCAAACCCCAGAGCAGCCTGGGGGCGCCAAAGAAGACCTTTCCAAACCTTCCCAGGGCCACTCTGGCCTAAATCTTCTAGAGAGAGTTATTGCTTTGGATCACTCTGTCTACAATCACCTGCATGAAGATGTAAGTGTGAGGTGACCCGGTGTTTCATTGCCCAGAATTCCCTTACTGCAGGGAGCACACTGGATATACAGTGGTACCTTGGGTTACAAACACCTCAGGTTACAAACACTTCGGGTTACAGACTCCGCTAACCTGGAAGTAGTACCTCGGGTTAAGAACTTTACCTCAGGGTAAGAATGGAAATTGCGCACTGGTTGCAGCAGGAGGCCCCATTAGCTAAAGTGGTGCCTCAGGTTAAGAACGGTTTTGGGTTAAGAACGGACCTCTGGTGTTAAGTTGTGGGTGAACATATCAGACGACACAGCGATTCTTCAAACAGCTCTTGTTTATTCACAGGCCAGGACAGAACTGAACTGAAGGGTTCAGTCAGCCTGCTTATATAGAGCTCTAGTACAATGTAACTGTAACAATTTTCTAAAACTATCCAATCACTGAACGTCACTTTCGATCCCTTATTTGCATAACTATCTACAGTATCCCCCTGCTGGCCCAGGGTGAGAACTTCAGTACATAACATCCGGAACGAATTAAGTTCGTAACCAGAGGTACCACTATATTGGAGGACAGGAAGAGGAGTGGTTGATTTCTGTGCCAATAAGGAGGTGCCCAGAAACCCTGCCCTCTTTAATCCTAAAGTTGTAGGAAATAGTTGTGGCCTGTGGTCCTGAACGACTTCACAAAATAGCTCCATTACTATTAACTCTCATCCCTAAGTTTAGTGGAAGGTGGGGAGAGGACTAGTTCATTGACAGCATTCTGGCTTTCTTGTACAGTGGTACCTCGGGTTAAGGAGGTTGGTTCTTAACCTGAAACTGTTCTTAACCTGAAGCACCACTTTAGCTAATGGGGCCTCCCGCTGCCGCCGTGCCGCCAGAGCACGATTTCTGTTCTCATCCTGAAGCAAAGTTCTTAACCTGAAGCACTATTTCTAGGTTAGCGGAGTCTGTAACCTGAAGTGTATGTAACCTGAAGCGTATGTAACCCGAGGTACCACTGTATACTGTATACCCAGCTCAGGTTCAAACCAGCCTCCTTCAGCCTTGTCTTGATGGCAGTAGATATGAGTAACACGGTGGGAAAAGCATCTGCTGAAGCAATCACGTGACCATGCAGTCATCTTGGGCATTTTGTTTATTCGTTTTCCTTAAGCTGCTTATATCCCACCCTTAATCCAGAGATCCCAGGGCAGGTAACGACATGCCATAATGTTCTGCGGAACAGAGTGTAAAACAATGCATAAAACCGTGTTTGTTCTCAGGTGAGCAAATTCACTCCAGGACCAAACACTTTGGACAAGGAGTCATGTTTTAAGCTGGTGTCTAAAAGACCCTCAGGTAGCACCCTGTCCCACCCGAGGGACAATGAGGAACAAAGGCCATAGCTGTCAACCGTCCCTTATTTGGCTGGAAAGTCCCTTATCCCAGCACTGTGTCCCACTGCTGTCCCTTATTAATGATGTCCCTTAAATTTCCCAGGTTTTAAAGGAAGCAGCTCCTCTCCCTCCCTCCCTGCCAGCCAGGGAGGAGGGAGGCTCCAACTGTGTGGCTTGGCTGTGTTGCTCACCCAATAAGGAGTCTAAGAATGACTGGGGGGTGGAGCTTGCATGCCTTGTGCCGATCAAATTGGCCGCGTTGCCTGGGGACTTGCCTTTGCTCAGCGCTTCCCAGCAGAGAGGTGACGGTGGTTTCCCTTGCTGCATCCCCTTTGCCGGGTTGCTGCGCTGTGGGAACCACCACTTGAGGCTTCGTTTGGCTGCTGGCTGGGCTTTCTGCCTTTGGCCTGGAGGGGCTCAGAAGTTGAACATACCTGTGCTTGGAAAATCCCTTATTTTGACTGCTGATCCCTTATTTTCGAGGCTGCCGGTCCCTTATTTTCAAATCTGTAAGTTGACAGCTATGAACAAAGGCAGAATCTTTGGTGACTTGTGGCAACGGTTTGATTGCAACAAGCAAGATGGATAGCACCAAGGGGGAAAGTGTGGGTTTGGTATAAATCAGCAGCAAGGATGGCAGAAGGGAGAGATTAAACGTGAACCTAGATCTGTACTAGGCCATTATTCCCCTCACACATAGCACATTTCCTGGAAGCAGTTGTAGAAATAATTATATATTTGTAATTATAAATGTCTGAATGTGATACCGTACCTCTGCGTTTTTAGGCATGTTGTGCGATACAGGTGAGTATTTGTTCTTGTTTTGCATTTTTAACCCAGATCTCCTAGAGAACAATGGGTCTTGCTGTTGTCTATTGCCCTCTTCCCCCAATTCTTCATGCTGTCACTTTTCAACTCATTCCTCTTCCAAAACTGGTGACATCCCCACCTCAGCCGAGATTTCTGAGTTCCGCTTGATCTAGTGCTGCAAATGAAAACTTTAATCAAATTAATGACTGAGAACCATGCTGGCAGTCAATTAAACGTTGGTTGGGGGTCCAGTACTCCTGTCCCATACAATTAATCATTCTTGCAATAAAGTCGTTTTTCTTCTTCTTTGTCTTCAGTGTCTCAACGTATCACAGCTGCTAGTCAATTTTGGGCTAAACTCTGTCTCCAAGATCACGCCAGAGCAGTTCACACTGCTGTGTCCTGCTTTGCTCTACCAGATTGACAGCCGCGTTTGCATCCAGCACTACGATGAGGTAGCTTTCGGCATGGCAGGAAGTTCTCTCTGGAGTGGTAAGGAACACAAGCTGTCTTCCTCGTACCCTGACCCAGGAGGGGCCTTGACTCCCAGCTCCAGCCTTACCCTTCTGCATCAGCCCCAGTACTGGTTTTGCGCTCTTAATTTTCATTCATTATTCCCCTGCTGACTACAGTCCTTCGACCCTCACCCCTACCTGCCCTTCAGTTACCACCTCCCATTTTGTCTCCCATTGTCATTGGCTTTCCAAGGAGTTCTCGGTTTGCAAACCCACATCTTGGGTGCTCATCTCGCTTTATTGGCCGAGGGAGCCTGCGTACAGCTTCCGGGTCATGTGGCCAGCATGACTAAGCCGCTTCTGGCGAACCAGAGCAGCGCATGGAAACGCTGTTTACCTTCTCACCGGAGCGGTACCTATTTATCCACTTGCACTTTGACGTGCTTTCGAACTGCTAGGTTGGCAGGAGCAGGGACCGAGCAATGGGAGCTCACCCCATCGCGGGGATTTGAACTGCTGACCTTCTGATCGGCAAGTCCTAGGCTCTGTGGTTTAACCCACAGCACCACCTTTGGAATATATATATATTCCAAAATACCCCTCCCCACAAAATGTATGTACTATGCTGTCCTCTCAAGAACAGCTCAGAATCTTCATCAAGGGCCCTTCGGGATGACCTGTTACTGAGCGTTCATCCCGATAGGTTTGCAAAGATGACGTGTCAAAGCAAGTGCGATCCTGCACTTCCCAGTTGATTTCCCCATTACTATTGTTATTGTAAAACAACAACAACTCTGACCTTCTGAGGAAGCAGGTTTCATGTGCAAGACCTTCCAATCCACTGTCATTGTGTGACCTCAATTTGGCAGTCTGTGATTGAATCCTACCTGATAATAGCAAGAATCTGGAAGCGACGTCAGACTAACTGGGTACACAGTGGATACTGAGTACAATTTCAAGTGTATTGGCTCTCAGGATGCTTCAAGTTAATGTTTGAGCTCCAGTTTGGGGGAGCCTCTTATTCAGTGTTTTTTAAACATTAGGCCTTCAAAGTAACTAGATTTACTGCGTTTCCTATCCCCCACGCCCATTCCTGCAACTTGGAAGTAATCACCATGGCACCAAGATGTTTTTGGACTATCAGTCATCCCTGAATATTGGTCATGCTGGCTGGGGGCTGATGGGAGCTCTTGTCCATCAACATCTTAAAGATGGCTACCCTTCTATATACCGAATTTCTAGGCTCCTGACATTGCCAATAGTGTTCAGAGAACTGGGGCCCTTAATTGTTTTAGGCGGCAGATAATTAGTTGTCAGGTTCCAGGAGAAGTGGCATGAAAGTCCTTTGGAACATGTGGAGAGGTGGGGCAAATGAGGACATGACTTCGGCCCCCACTGTATGATCCAGCAGGTTGTTGGTTTTAGTTCTCTTGTTCCTAGTCCAATCTTGCTCATCCTCTTTGTTCTCCACAGGTCTGGGCTGGGGATGTTTGGCTATCACCCTGACTAGCTTGCCATCTGCCCTGGCCATAGTTCTCGTTCCTCTCTTCAACCGCAAGCTCTTCCATTTCCTTCTCGCTTTCCTGGTGGCCTTGGCTGTGGGGACGTTGTGCGGGGACGCACTGCTGCATCTCTGGCCGCACGTATGTACCAACAGTTATGTATTCAGTGGTCTGTGTTTGCCTGAGCTTGAGTCTGGATTAAGGATTCTGAGCTCCTGTGTTCTGATTTGATACATGATGTCCAATCACAGAATATTTCAGGATTTGGGCCACTGCCATTGGCCCTTGAACTCTGTGTCGTGATTCGCAGCTTGGAAGTTTAGACAGCCAATCATGTTGCGAGTGGGAGTGGCCCAGGCTTTCAGAAATGTATATAAGCAGTTGCTTTGCCCATTTCCTGGTTATGTAGTTCAATAAAGGTTCTTGCTGTTATCACTGTGTCTTACCTTGTGGGAACCTGTGTACACTTCACCAACCCTCTCCCCCAAATCTTTGTGGTATGATTTCTCTTTGGGGTCTCCTGTGGAGGAAGACGAGGTGGGAGAGATGTACCCCAACCTTCTCCATATCATGATGAAACCTGGGGTGCTCGGACAATGCCAAAGGGGAGCATCTTGAGTTTCTGTTTCCCAATGCCAGTGAACTTACACCTGGAAACCAATATCCGCACTGTGGAAGGACATGTGGATCCAGAATTGGCCTCCACAGTCACTTTCGGACTGGAAGACAATCTTACTCGGCTATGAGTGATTGCCAAAGAAGTAGTCTGTCATTCCCTTACACGAATACGCTGCCAGTTTAGTCAAAGCATCCCAATACAACTGTCATGCCCTGTAATATTGCTCGGGCATCTGGGAGGCCACCGTGAGAACAGGATGCTGGATTAGATGGGCCTTTGGTTTGATCCAGCAAGGCTCTTCTTGCCTTCTTATTTCCAGCACTCCCTTGTTCTTCATCTCATGCATTTCCCTGTCAGCCCAAACCCAGGAGACGAGGACAAATTGAATGTCTGCAAACCGAATTTGTCAGTGGTTGGAGGGAGTGGTCCTTTCTCGGAAGGCCTTGAGGGTTTTCATACATTGCCTTTCAAACACTCTTGCACCATTTATGTGAGCATATGGCCACTCTTACCATAAAAGAGAGGGATTTGTCAAGGCAGCTGAGAGCCCTTCTGACCAGGGTAGGTTTTTTTATAGTTGCTTTTAAGGTGCAGCTGAAGTAAGAACTGCTTTAGGCCCGATGAGCAGAGCAAAAGAATACCTTCTAACCTTTCTTAATGATTTATGCACAGCGGAGAATCCAATTTTTCCAGTGGGAAAGAAATACACTTTGTGGTCTGTAGAGTGTGATTGCTTATCTAGCTAATATGAATCAGGGATGGGCAGTCTTTATGGTTCCGAGGGTGGGTCACACTCACATGCACCCTCCTCCATCTCTTACAGAAAGAGAGACACCACACAGAACAGAAATCCCATCACCCGTCCCATCTGTTTGGCAACTAGAAGAGCTCAGGAGCTTTGCAAACAGAAGCTGCTTTTCTGAGATGTAAAGAGGTTGTCCCTGTGAACAAATAATATGGTTGCTATTCTAGCCACACAGCCTAGCTAATTCTCTTAGACCTTGAACAGGTTCTTATACTGAGTTGTGAACTCCACACATTGGAGCAGGCCGTTAGCCCTGATCCCTCTGAACAGTGTGTGCTGTTGCACTCAGGTCCTGATCCATAGGCATCTGGTTGGCATCTGGTAGAGAGAGAAGGATGCTACACAAGGCAAATCTTTGATGTGATTCGCTGGATCTCTTAACCTTTTCTTTTAAAAAATAATAATAATCGTATTTTTCCGTGTCTAAGACAATGTTCTTTGCTTAAAACTTTTAGTCCCAAAGTGGGGGGACATCTCCCACAAAAAGCTTGACAACTTTTGGTGATCCGATCTCCCTACAAAAATATCAACACGCTTTGTTTTGAGGGGCAGAGACCAAAGGGGAAGCTCAGTTGGTCTGTCGCTTGCCTGCCTGCTCTCTCACTTGCTTGGGGCGGTCTGGAAAGAGGAGCTGAGGTGAGGAGCGCACTGCCCATGGACAACGCGGGCCCCCACCTCAAAGCACAGCAGCAGGAGATAACACGATGATTCTGGTTTGTTTCCAGGACGATGGAATCTGCCTCTTCTTCCTTAACTTCCTTAAAGAGTTTTACAGTGGTACCTCGGGTTACATACGCTTCAGGTTACATACGCTGCAGGTTACAGACTTCGCTAACCCAAAATTGTACCTCAGGTTAAGAACTTTGCTTCAGTTAGAGTGATGTTGGATTGAAGTTAAGTGGCTTCTAGCTGTACAGGCTTTAAAGTTATAAATATATGAAGATTAAGGATTAGGATTAAAAAGGTCAAAAGAATGGAAAAATTGGTTTTTAATAGATAAAAATTTAATGTTATAATATATTAAGATTAAGGATTGGGATTAAAAAGGAGAGAAAGAAATTGCTGGACTAACAAACTGAATTGGAATACAAAAGAGGAGGAGGTCCGGGAAATAAGTAAATGTAAAAGTGATGAAAAGGCGGAATTGTTTTTAACTGTTTTTTCTTTTTTCTTTTTGTATTTTTCATTGTGTTTTTTTCTTTTTTTTCTTGAATTGTTGTTTTTTTTTAATGTGATTCTTTTTTGTGTGAAACTTTAATAAATATCATTAAAAAAAAAAAGAACTTTGCTTCAGGATGAGAACAGAAATTGTGCGCTGGCGGCGCGGCGGCAGCAGGAGACCCCATTAGCTAAAGTGGTGCTTCAGGTTAAGAACAGTTTCAGGTTAAGTACGGACCTCTGGAACGAATTAAGTACTTAACCCGAGGTAGCACTGTACAAAACTGGACATCTTTTTGACCGAGAGACTGCTAGAGTGATTTCTTCATTCTTGGTTCAAAAAATAAAATAAGGGTCACCTTATACATGGAAAAATACAATACTTGACTGTTTATTTTCTGAATTCTCCCTTTCTCCGCTCAAAAGAATTGTTTTCATTCAGGCACAGGCCAGGCCCCATGGACTTCTGTCACCAAAACAAGAACCAGTGACCTTGGCGGAAGATGCAGTCCTGAAGGGCCTCTGCGTTCTGGGCGGTATTTACCTACTGTTCCTCATTGAGAATCTCATGGGAACGCTCAAGAAGATTCAAGTCAAAAAGGTAAAGAGATGGAGTGGCCTGCCAGTGGCCTGGGCAACCTGATGGGCTGGCCAGGAGATTTCAAGAAAGTGATCCCGCCCCTGCCAGTCGACTTAGTTCTCCCCATCATCTTCCTTAATGTCCCAGGCAAAAATCCTGTTTCCATGTGGGTCTGTGAAATGATCCCTTTATGCTGTTATAAGGAAAAATGACTCCTTTCCCTTATGAGGTATCCAGAAGCCCATATAGAGTCTTTAAGTGGGTTCCTTATTGCTAGGAGAAAATAACAGAGGCCAACCGGAGAATATTGAGAAGCAAATTGGCTAGTAACCCTGCCACAAGGTCCTCACTCACCACACGCAGGAGGGGAGGAGGAACCCAGAACAATCGTGCGCACGCCCTTATATAAACTTTTGAAATTGCCCACCCTGTAGTCCAAGGTAAAGGTAAAGCTACCCCTGACTTTAAGGTCCAATCGCGGATGACACTGGGGTTGCACGCTCATCTCGCTCTATAGGCCGAGGGAGCTGGCATTTGTCCACAGACAGCTTCCGGGTCATGTGGCCAGCATGACTAAACCGCTTCTGGCAAACCAGAGCAGCGCACGGAAACGCCGTTTTCCTTCCCGCCAGAGCGGTACCTATTTATCTACTTGCACTTTGACATGCTTTCAAACTGCTAGGTTGGCAGGAGCTGGGACCAAGCAACAGGAGCTCACCCCGTTGCGGGGATTCGATCCCCCAACCTTCTGATCGACGAGTCCTAGGCTCTGTGGTTTAACCCACAGCGCCACCCACGTCCCCCTATAGCCCAAGACCACCCTCCATCCTACATACATCACAGAAGGAGGCAGTCTACAGCAGAAATCCTGTCTGCCAGGATATCTGTTAATGGTCACTGATTGCTTTACCTGGGCAGCCTGGCTATTCTTTTGTGATGGTTAATACTTTAGTTCCTGAATCCAGGTCACAGGCTCACCCTATTCATAAACAAATATGCCCTTAATATAGGATTTGTAAGCGAAAAGACAATGGGAAGGCTTTCCCCATTTGCCTCCCTTACTGCAGAGAAATATTTGAGGTCAATTTGGGAGAGTCAAAATGGCTTCAGGATTGCTCTCCTGTACAATTTTAGACACGTGGTTTATATAGTTATGTATGAAAGGAATTGCTGAATTAACCAATTGAACTGGAATACAAAAAAGGGAGGTGAGAGGAGGTCAGGGAAGCAAGGAAATGAAATGTAAGATACGGAAGGATTAATTTGTTTTTAAGTGTTTCTTTTTTTTTCTTTCTGTACTTTGTATTTTGTATGTTTTTTTCTCTTTTTTTAAATATATTTTTCCTTGTTTCTTCTCTCTTTAATTATGTATTTTTTTGTTTTTGAAATTTTAATAAATATCATTTAAAAAAATAATAATATATAGTTATGTATGTGTTTGCCTTGTACTTTTATGAACGTTTATTTTATATTTGGGACCTTAGAATAATTATAACAATGCCATGCAGCCTAAGCTATGTCCAACCGGTCAGAAGCTTCTCCCATGACCGAACCAAAAAAAGAGGAGGAAGAAACAGCTAATACTGTGTGTTTTATGTGTGTGGTTTACAGTATGGTCCGTGTTTTGGACTAAACCACCCATGCTGAGCCTGTGAGCCTCACTTCTGCTCTTTGGATGAGTAGCAACCAACCCATAATTAACAAGGTCACCATTTGGCTTGTTGGTGCCAGGTGTGCTAAATCTCTGTGGCAGTGGTTGTTTTAAAACAACAAGCACACACACGTTTACTGGAGAAACCCCTTAGGAACTTCTGCTCCAGATAATGTCATGTTTTGTGTCCACCACCAGAGGGAGACACCACTGCTATACTGTACTACCCAACACCTCTAGGGGGAGACAAAGTATTGCAGCATCACTAGGCTGGGCTTCTCATGACAACCTCAGCTTAGTGCTGCTTAGTCATCAGTTTTGCTTTCTTTCTGTAGAAGGGCGCCACCGGAAAGCAGCTTGAACCATCTCCAGCTGAGGTGGGTGACAACAGCACTGCTGGTTTGAAGACATCTCATGGTGAGTCACACAGTCTGGATTGCTTTAGGTTTTTATTAGTATCATGGCTTTCTTCTGTGCTCTTAACTGTGAAAAGTTTTGTTGTCCCCCTACAGAAGGATTCATGTGTCATGGTTGCAATCCATGCACACTTTGTGGAATTAAAGCACAGCTAGGCATTAGGTTGGAAGGAACTTGTTTTCTCTAATGTCTTTCCTTCAACCAAGATCTGCCCATCTGTTGGGCAGGTGGGGCAGTTGTCCCAGTGACCGTTGTCCAATGTCACTGCTGTTACTATTTTCCCCAGCAATATACTATACTTTAGTCCTTAACCCAGCCCAGGTGGTATAGTGAACATGTTGCTTAAATGACCTCGGCCCAGTATACCTGAAGGAGCGTCTCCACCCCCATCGTTCAGCCCGGACACTGAGGTCCAGCTCCGAGGGCCTTCTGGCGCTTCCCTCACTGTGAGAAGTGAGGTTACAGGGAACCAGGCAGAGGGCCTTCTTGGTAGTGGCACCCGCCCTATGGAATGCCCTCCCATCAGATGTCAAGGAAATAAACAACTATCTGACTTTTCGAAGACATCTGAAGGCAGCCCTGGGGGAGTTTTAAATGTTTGATGTTTTATCATGTTTTTAATATTCTGTTGGGAGCCGCCCAGAGTGGCTGGGGGAACCCAGCCAGATGGGAAGGAAGGAAGGAAGGAAGGAAGGAAGGAAGGAAGGAGGGAAGGAAGGAAGGAAAGAAAGAAAGAAAGAAGGAAAGGAAGGAAGGAAAAGGAAGGAAGGAAGGAAGGAAGGGAAGGAAAGAAGGAAAGGAAGGAAAGAAAGAAGGAAGATTATTCACTGTAGAAGGCCTTTAAAATTCCTTTAAGCTTCATGTATTAAAAAACTCAGTGTACAGATGAGTTTTTTCCAAGTTTCTCTCTTAGCTAATCTGCTGCTTCATAGACTCGTTGCAAGGACAATATGGAACGCCTTTGCAACCTGTCTTTGGAACGGGTGGGAAAAGACATCTAGCTAAACACAGAGCAGAGCAGGCGATGGCAGAAAACATGTTTTCACAAGTCCATCCGGACGGACCAGAAATTATTTTGGAATGCATCCTATAGTTGCATGGGGGGGTGTAGCTATTTGGGGGAACAGCACCTGCTTCATATGGGGCCTTGTGGGTCTGCCGTGGGTCAAGCTGAACAGAAGTATCTGACGAGGCCAAGGTCCGCTGTGCAATCAAGCTGTCTCTGTGTTTAGCCCATGAAATATACTTGGAGTCGAGTGTGGATTTCATGCTCTTTATTCAGCTCATAGTAGTGAGGAATGGAAGTTCCCGCAAATGTCTGCTTTATATACATTATTTACACAATGGGCCCCACGTGATTGGCTAATTCTGGGATTCTCCTGTAGGCCGATCAGGTTGCGGATTCACTTCCACCTGGAGTTGGATTGGGTGGCTCCTGCTGACCAATCAGACTGCTGCATTCTGGATCCTATTATTCTAGGACCAATCAGAATGCTGCATTCTGAACCCTATTGTTCTAGGACCAATTAGACTGCTGCATTTTGGATCCTATTCAACTCAGTACATAACAGCCCATTATCTGTGAGTTCCAAGAGTGCATCCACAGTACTGCTTGCTTAGTCACAAATGCCAGCGATCTGTGCCAGGTTTAGGGGTGGGCAAGTGGATCTGATATTTCCCTGCTTGGTTTGGGTGTCAGGTGCTGAATCCCAGAGCCTGACGGTGGCAGAAGGAGGAGCTGACAGCCTCTACGGGGAAGTCCAGGACTGCTCTGTCCAAATTCGCAGCTCAGAAGAGTGTGGAGGAAGCTCAGAGAGGCAGGAAGAAGAGCTCCATCAGCACCATGCTCACGGGCATTCACACAGTCCAGCTGGAGCCCTCAAGGCTGGGATAGCCGACATCGCTTGGATGGTTATTCTAGGGGATGGGATACACAACTTCACAGATGGACTGGCCATTGGTGAGTGGCTTTGAGCCAGGGCTAGGTTTCTGCTTGTGCCAGAAGCAAAATAATAATAATAATAATAATAATAATAATAATAATAATAATGGCAGGGCACAATCCTACAAAAGTTAGGCTGGAACCAGAAAATTATTTTTCAGAGGTTGAGAGAAATTACTTCCATTTATTTATTTGAGTTTATAAACCACTTAATAAAGACATCCCTAAGCAGCATACAGTGACGCGGGTGGCGTTGTGGGTTAAACCACAGAGCCTAGGACTTGCCGATCAGAAGGTCAGCAGTTCGAATCCCCGCGACGGGGTGAACTCCCGTTGCTCGGTCCCTGCTCCTGCCCACCTAGCAGTTCGAAAGCACGTCAAAGTGCAAGTAGATAAATAGGTACCGCTCTGGCGGGAAGGTAAACGGCATTTCCGTGCACTGCTCTGGTTCGCCAGAAGCGGCTTAGTCATGCTGGCCACATGACCCGGAAGCTGTACACCGGCTCCCTTGGCCAATAAAGCGAGATGAGCGCCGCAATCCCAGAGTCGGCCACGACTGGACCTAATGGTCAGGGGTCCCTTTACCTTTACCTTTAAGCAGCATACAAAGAACAATTTAAAATAATCATCAATGTGCGAATAAAAACAACAAAATTGGTTTTCCTTATTTTCATTTACATGTCTAGATATGCTTGCTGCACCAAAGGAAGCTTTTAAAAGGATCTGAAATGGCATAATGAGAGTCGCGAGCTTCACATGTAATGGACTGTAGTCTTCCTCTTCTGTAGCGTCAAGTGTTGCCCTTGTACTACTCAGCAGGGAGGAGGGCGTAAAACTATAATGAGCTGACTCTGCCCATCATTGGCTGTGTCTCCAACTACTAATGGTGTCTCAGCACCCCTCTCCCCACCCCCAGTGGGTACTGGCTACCACCACTGGTTCTCTCCAGCCTTCAGTTCCAGAAAGGCTTGTGTTAGACCTCTGTCACAGAATCACAGAAGCTTCCCACTTAAATTCCAGGTGATTGGACGTAATCATAAATACCTTCTTTCTTCTTCTTTGGTGATCACTCAAAGCCAAGTAAGACTGTCTTCCATGAACACGGTTTTAACAGTGAGTCCGTAAGTGACTGTAGAGGCCAATTCTGGATCCACACATCCTTCCACATAGGTTTCCGGGCGGGAGTTGATCACCGTGAGGGTTTGCGAAACATGACTTCCTCTTAGCACATTTCTTCCTTTGTCCTGACTTTGAGCCTCTAGAAAGCCCATGACTCCTTCGGTAAAGGCTGTTCTCCAATTGGAGCACTCACAGGCCAGTGTTTCCCAGTTGTCAGTGTTTATACTACATTTTTTTATATTTGCCTTGAGACGGTCTTTAAACCTCTTTTGTTGACCACCAGCATTACGCTTTCCATTTTTAAGTTCGGAATGGAGTAGTTGCTTTGGAAGACGATAATCAGGTATCCGAACAACATGACCAGTCCAACGGTTGATGTTGAAGAATAATTGCTTCAACACTGGTGATCTTTGCTTCTTCCAATACACTGGCGTTCGTTCACCTGTCTTCCCACTCGAGTGAAGACAAACTAGTTCAGATGACTTGAGCCAATCCACCTGGAGAGAGGAAACGCCTCTTTTAGGTTCACTTACCTTTGTAACCCTTTTCTCCTAGGAGCTGCTTTCTCTGATGGAATCTCCAGCGGTTTAAGCACTACGGTGGCAGTATTTTGCCACGAACTGCCCCATGAACTTGGTAAGGAAGATCCCCAGCTTTATTCTTCAGGCTTTCCTGACCTCTCTTACTTTTAAATCTGCTTTGTTTTACTATTTAATATTTTAAAGATTTGGGGCTCAGTTTGTGTGTGTGCATTTTTAAATGTCATTCACACACCTTGGGTGCAAATCTCCACTCTCATGTCGTGGCTGTAGCCTTGGCCATTGGTGGATTTGATATAAACTCAGATCCAACAAATCTTTTCCTGTGGTCCTGCGCTTCTGATGATGGAAGATGATGCTGATGATATCAGTTAATCCTATCATATCCTCCTGTCCGGTGTCCAAGGAAGACTCCACCCCTTTACTTGGATCTGCTCTGGTGTTGTGGTTGCTCCTGCCCTTCTGTTGAACCCATGCCATTCTGGGTTTGTGGGTCCCACCCATGTGACCTTACCTGATGCTGTGATTACAGGCAGGGCCGGATTTAGCTTTGATGAGGCCCTAAGCTACTGACGGTAATGGGGCCCTTTATATGTCCAGCTGTCCTTTGTCACAGCGGGTGGCGCTGTGGGTTAAACCACAGTCTTGCCAATCAGAAGGTCGGTGGTTCAAATCCCCACGACGGGGTGAGCTCCCGTTGCTTGGTCCCTGCTCCTGCCAACCTAGCAGTTTGGAAGCACCTCAAAGTGCAAGTAGATAAATAGGTACCGCTCTGGCAGGAAGGTAAACAGCGTTTCCGTGCACTGCTCTGGTTTGCCAGAAGTGGCTTAGTCATGCTGGCCACATGACCCGGAAGCTGTACGTCGGCTCCCTCGGCCAATAAAGCGAGATGAGCGCCACAACCCCAGGGTCAATTAAAATACAGCATATGCATGGCACATTACAATTACCCAAAGAGGCAGAAAAAGCTTCAAGTCGTCCACAATTTGCAAGTGGTCCATTGGGGTGGGGGGAAGGTGGATTTGGGGATCACTGGATTTAGAGACATTGCTTGGCTTTGAGTTAGTTAATAATAATAATAATAATAATAATAATAATAATAATAATATCTTTATTGTCATTGCCCCCTTCGGGGACAACGAAATTACTTGACACTAATTATAAAACACTAATTAATCAATACAGTATAATACAGCAAGGGAGATTAGATGACTTTCAAAGTCCGGGCTTCCCATTCAGGGCCGAGATCGCTCTGGAGAAGAAGCTGTTCTTAAGACGGCTCGTTCTTGTCTTCATCATCCTGTATCTCCGTCCCGACGGCAAGAGCTCAAAGAGACAGTGACCAGGATGCGATGGATCTTTTACTATGTCCGGTGCCTTCCTATGGCACCTTGTGGCATAAATCTGCTCTAAGGTGGAGAGTGGGCAGCCAACAATGCTCTCTGCTGCCTTAACAACCCTGCACAACCCCATCCTGTCCTGGGTAGTACAGCTTCCGTACCACACACATAAGCCATAAGTGAGCACGCTCTCAATGGCACAGTGATAGAAGGCAAGCAGCAGTTTCTGCGGAAGATGGTTTTTCCTTAGTATTCTCAAAAAGTACAGTCTCTGCTGCGCCTTCTTCACAAGCCCCCTTGTGTTGACACTCCAGGACAGATCCTCTTGTAATTCAATGCCCAAAAATCTGTACGTTGTTACCCTCTCCACACAGACCCCATCAATCAAAAGTGGCTGGACGTTATGGTGCCTCTGTGAAGATGTGTCCATTGCACTCTTAACTCCTCTTTTCTTTGGCAGGGGATTGCGCTGTCCTGCTGCAGGCTGGCATGCCAGTCCGACGGGTGTTCCTCTTCAACCTGCTGTCTGCTTTCCTGGCTTACTTGGGCACAGTAGTAGGGACGCTCATTAGTCGGAGCACCACGCAAGTCACGCCCTGGATTTTTGCCATCACGGCTGGTATTTTCCTGTACGTGGCACTGGTGGACATGGTAAGGACAGCCGCCTCTTTGCAAACTTCTTCTGTAAGCATGACATTAATCTTTTGGGGACCCAGGGTTTAGTTATTCCCTACCTGGGCCTCGGGACACGGGTGGCGCTGTGGGTTAAACCACAGAGCCTAGGGCTTGCCGATCAGGTCGGCGGTTCAAATCCCCAAGACGGGGTGAGCTCCCGTTGCTCGGTCCCTGCTCCTGCCAACCTAGCAGTTCGAAAGCACCTCAAAGTGCAAGTAGATAAATAGGTACCGCTATGTCAGGAGGGTAAATGGCGTTTCCGTGCACTGCTCTGGTTTGCCAGAAACGGCTTAGTCATGCTGGCAACAGTTGTACGCCGGCTCCCTCGGCCAATAAAGCGAGATGAGCGCCACAACCCCAGAGTCGTCCACGACTGGACCTAATGGTCAGGGGTCCCTTTACCTTTATCCCTGACACAATACCTATCGATGAACATTTTAGGCAACGTAGCTCTGATACCATTCACATTGCAATCTGACTGAAGAAACAAACGGCTTTAAAGCACCACCACCGTGGGTGAAAATGACCCAAGCTTGGGTCTCCTTTCTCCTGATTTGCTCAAGGACCCGAAAAAGCGGAAAGGTTGCAATGCGATTAAGAGTTGACCTCACAGTAGGCATCGCTGTTATTGTCTCTTCAAGGAGAACAACTGCAAGCTGCCCTAACAACAGCTGCCAAGGATATAATGGCTTTTTGTTGTTTTTTCTCACCCTCTCTCTAGCTGCCTGAAATGCTGCAGAGGAGCTCTAGCAGGGGCAAGAAGGGCTCCCTTGCCCACTTCCTTCTCCAGAACCTGGGCTTCCTCACTGGAGGAGTCCTCATGGTCTGCATCGCTCTCTTTGAAGGGCAGATCAGTTTCCATTTGGACGGGTAGCCCTCTTCAGCAGGAAACTCCAGAACGCAAGATGGATCGAAGGCGATGCCCCCTCCGACTTCAAGCACGATTGCACCTTTCCTCTTAACTCTATAAGAGGGGCTACAGATTTGCTCCATCTTCCTGTCCGCAGGAGTTAGAGAAAGAACTCAGTAGGAGAGAACAGAAGGAACAGCTTATTGTTCCCATGTTTTTGTGTGGCAGCAAAAACAGGGTGCCAAACTGAGGGCAACAGTGCCTTTACCTAGCCTTTGTGGCTTGGATGAAAGGAAGAAAGTTGTGCTTAGTCGCTGCAATCAACATGTTGAAAACTCCTTGTGCTTTCTAAAGAGCACTAGTTTGCTCGAGAGAGACTGGACCTATTGCCACCTCGGAATGCAATGTGAGAGAGAATTATTCAAAGGACTACAACTTACTAAGAGAGACGCTGATATGCAATGGGGGCCTTTCATGTTTTGGAGCTGAGTTTCCCCAGCAAGCTATTTCCTGTAATCCAAGGATAGAGAACCAGCAGCTGTTGCTGGACTACAACTCCCATCATTCCTGTCAGCCTTCCTGGCTGGGTCCAATGGCAGTTGGTCCAATCCCTGATGTAAGCTATCAGTGTCCTGAGCATTCATTAATATTTAAGTTGGCATTAAAAAAGGCAACTGGTTACCAAAAGCCTCTACACCAAAATTTCAGGTTTGATGGAACAGTGGTCTCTGTGTGTGTGTGTGTGTGTGTGTGTGTGTTAATGCAAGGAAGCCTGGACCTCTTTAGTTATGGGATGGGTGTGTTTGTGTGAGTAGCACAAGTTCTTAAGGACAAAACTCATCCTTATAATAGGAGATTCAGAGGCCTGCTGCTTTAAATTCCCCAGTGATAACCCCACCTGGTTTGCCTGCAAGGGCAATTGCTTGAAGTGCAAACGAGCCAAGTTGTTGTATCCTTTCCACAACTCCTCATGTACCCCCCTACCTAGAAGGAAGCCTAAAAACTCCTCTAAATAACAGAACACCTTCATTAGTTGTCCTCTACAGAATTACAGAATGGGACGCGGGTGGCGCTGTGGGTTAAACCAGAGCCTAGGACTTGCTGATCAGAAGGTCAGCGGTTTGAATCTCTGCGACGGGGTGAGCTCCCGTTGCTCGGTCCCTGCTCCTGCCAACATAGCAATTCGAAAGCACGTGAAAGTGCAAGTAGATAAATAGGGACCGTTCCGGCGGGAAGGTAAACAGCGTTTCCGTACGCTGCTCTGGTTCACCAGAAGCGGCTTAGTCATGCTGGCCACGACCCGGAAGCTGTATGCTGGCTCCCTCGGCCAATAAAGCAAGATGAACGCCGCAACCCCAGAGTCGGCCACGACTGGACCTAATGGTCAGGGGTCCCTTTACAGAATTACAGGACTGGTAGGGAATCTCAGCGCTGTGCCTCATATCTCAGCAGCCACTGAGAATCAAGGCCATATATGCCGCCAACAGTGGCCTGGGCACTGGTCTCTAATTTCCATTCAACAGCAAACAGGTTCCCGGTTCCCCACACACAACCTTGCACACCTGAACTGTTCCCCACCCCCATCCCGGTATCTGCACAGGACAACTTAGTTGAGCAAGAAGAAAGAGAGCCTTCAAAGTCCACCTGTAGCTTTTCACACTGGGAGTGTAGGAAAGAAAAGGACGCTCACAATGCGTTAAGATGGAGTTGCACAATAAGGGCTATTTGCCCTGGGAAAAGAGGGAAAGTGGTCTCTCCTGTTTCCATGGAGGGCAAGTAGCTGAAATGGAGGATGGCCTTAAAGGCAGCTCAGAAAAGAGGAAAACGTTAGTGGGTCAGTTTCTTTGTTCATCCACGTTTGATATTGGTACATGACTTAAGCAGAATATCCAATACAGTGGTACCTTGGGTTAAGTACTTAATTCGTTCTGGAGGTCTGTTCTTAACCTGGAACTGTTCTTAACCTGAAGCACCAGTTTAGCAAATGGGGCCTCCTGCTGCTGCTGCGCCGCCAGAGCACGATTTCTGTTCTCATCCTGAAGCAAAGTTCTTAAACCGAGGTACTATTTCTGGGTTAGCGGAGTCTGTAACCTGAAGCGTATGTAACCCGAGGTACCACTACAGACGGCCCAAGAGTTTGAAAACGAAACATTGACTCCCAACTATTATTAACAGTTCTCGTTTTGTTAGATTTACAACCTGCCCTTCACCAGGTTGAATTAAAACTAAATCGAAACTAAATCATGGGGCGAGACCTGGCAAGGGATATAGCACTTTCCCCTTGTCCCCAAACGTGCTAAGCAAACTGCCTCCAATTCTGTTCCAGGGGAAAGTTCCATTGTGCAGCTTCTCTGGTTGGAGGCAGCATGCTTCTGAATACATTGCTGGAAAACTGAATGAAGAGGTCATGCTTGCATGTTTCCCATAGGCATCTAACTGGCCACTGCAAAAACAGGATGCTGGACTAGATGGAGGCACAGGCCTGCTCCGTCGGGGTTCTTCTCGTCTTCTTATGTCCTCCTGTTCATGCAATGATCCAGATACCTCAGGCTCCCATCCTTAAAAAGGAGTTACTTGAAGTACAGGTGAAACTCGAAAAATTAGAATTGAGAGACCATTTAAAGGCTCAGGAACCCACTGCAGGTGTTATGGATTGAATAGCTACTGCATCTTTTCACAATAATCTAATTTTCTGAGATTGTTAATTTGGGTTTTCATCAGCTGTATGCCATAATCATCACAATTATAACAAATAAAGGCTTGACATATCTCGCTTTGCATGTCATGAGTCTATCTCATATATTAGTTTCACCTTTTAAGTTGAATTATTGAAATAAATGAACTTTTCCACGATATTCTAATTTTTCGAGTTTCACCTGTATCTCTCTGGACTTCAAGGGCCCAGTGTTTTATAAAACAGAAATGGGCAGTGGCAACACCTCCTTGGCCTAAGCAAACCAAGATCAAGAGCGCCTTCCCTGGCTGGAGGAGGTGTGTTTCGTGGGCAATAAAGACAGGTAAATGATTTGAAAGCAGCCACTTGAACCGCATTATAGAATTAGGATATAAAACGCAAGTGTGGTATCAAATTTCCACCCCTTTCCCCCAGTATTTCCATTATCCTTACCCACCCACCCCCAGCAAATAACTGGAGACAAGGTGGGGGGGAAAAACGAAGGCAGAGGCAGATAGAAGCAACAGCATTTTAATAAACATAATTGATTCAAAGCCACAATATGAATAACAGGACCTGGTCGCAGCATACATTGTAGAAAATAGATCAAGTCTGAACGCTTTTGTTTTTTTATTTATTTTAATTTACTTAATTCCTGGTTGACCCCCTCCCTCCCTTGCCCTAACCCCAAAAAGGTGATGCAGAAATTCTGAAAATGCATATTGTAACATCAGAGACAAAAAAAAAGGTAACCAGTCACTTGGGTTCACATCAGGGGGGCTTATACAAAGGTGGCTTTCACACTGAGCAAGGGGTGTGTCTGGACAAGGGGGGTGGGGTGGATGGCTTGCGGTAGCTCTCTGTTTTCTTTATTGGTCTCCAATATATATTTATATAGAAGTTCGAATATAATTTATTTACTTCATGGAACAACCAGGCGGGAGAAAATTGTCGGTGGCGGGTCTGACAAGTCTGCATTTCCTTCTAGGAACCGAACGTAGGTTTATCCTTTCTTTTTTTTTGACACACAGGCAAGTGCTTCATTTTGTCAAGAAACCCCCCCTAACTGAGGAGTAACGGGGGGGGGGGGCGAGTGGAGGTAACGAAACCAGTGAGGAAGGTGGAAAGGTGAGCAGCCAAACAGAAGCAGCTGCAGCCTCTAGGCTATATCTAAGGTGGGATGTAGAAAAAGATTCACACTTTGATTGCACATTGGAACACATGGGGGGGACGGACCCTCTGCTGCATGGAGGCTGGAACTGGCCACTGGTTTTTGTGTGTTTGCGTGTGTGTGTGGTATTTGCCTTGGAAGCTCCCACCCCACAAGACACCTGCCGCGTGAGCGTTTTGTTTCGAGTTTATCTCTTTGTGCTTTAAACCAGTTTGAAGGAAGATCGTGTAACCTGCAAGCAGGAAGGTAGGCCTGTGAGCTGATCTGAACGTGTCTTTTCTACCCCACACCCCTTTTTAGTCTCTTCTAAACATTGGTCCAAGTTTTCCACCGCTAACAAGACCATGGTGCAAAGTTAAGCCTCCCTGCCAACAACTGTGGATCAATAGGCCAACAGGTTGGGGGGGTGTTTGTTTTGGGGGTGTGTGTTTGGAGTGGGGGAGTGTTTTGTATGCAGCACTTCCAGTTGCACTCCCCGCGGCCATTCTGCAAAAAGCAACGCTCCCCGTCCACCCTTTCAAGCTTGCCTAAATATAAACAAAGGCATACCTTTTTATTTTTTAAAAAGAGTCCTCCTTAGCCAAATAACTCCCAATTAAGGCCCCTGCCTCAAAGGAGGTAAACATGGCTGCATGCTGGTTTTGATCAGCAGGGTTGTAGGTTTAGTGCTCTGAAGGAGAAATCACAAGTACTCTTCTTCCCAACCCGACCCCAAACTATTGAACAGGAAACAAAGGAGATCTTTTAAGTGTGAGATGTTGATTTATGACCTAGCTTCTTCTATCCCCCACCCAAATTTACGCTTGCTGAAGTTATCATAGGAGGAGGAAACAGACCCAATACAGAGCAAGGAATGTATTTCCAGTGCAACTCTCTTGCCCTATATAGCTTTCTTTTTCCTTGCATGGACTCCCATGTCTGCCCTTAGTGTTTTAAGATGAAGAGCAAGGAAGGCTTTTACAGTGCCCAAGCCTGCTCCTTTGTTTGTTATTATTCTTATTATTATTGCAAGAGGTAGGTAAGACCACCTGCTCTCCCCCTCGTCCCCTCTAAATTAATGTCTGAAAAGGTGACAGAATCTCACATCAAGACATGCCCCTTCCTAAGCAAGGCATCCTAAATATGCTAGTTATTGCAGAGCTCCTCTGCGCTTGGTGGGGCAACCCTAAATATAAATACACGTTTGGCCACTGGCCCGGCAAAATAAAATCAAAGAACTAAAGGCGAGTCTGGGCAGCTGTTTGAGGTGGTAGAGTCACAGCAAGGTCAGCTGGCCAGCATTGCTCTAACACAATAGAGAGGGAGGGAGAGTACAGCGTTCTACTACCTGGGATTCTTCAGAGAGGCAGTGCAGGCATTGCACTTGCCACAGGGATTGCTCCCTTCTAAGCGCCGTATCTCCGGGGTGGTGGCAAACTGACCACTGGGCTTGTGGGTGAGAGAGGGGGGCAGAATTGAAAAAACGGGTAACTGTAATCTGCCTCTGGTCCTAGAACACCTGCAACTCATTTTACTGAACACTCGTGCACACAGAGTAAAGTGCTCACACCTAGGGCAGACAACGTAAGGAGGAGAACTGGCAAGTTCCATGCCTCTTCCCCAAGCCCACTCTTTCACACAGGTTCTGCTAAATTGCTGGTCCCCTTGTATCTCAAAATCCCTATGCCTGTGGCCCAGAATGGGGAGCACTTTAACGGGGAGGGGGGGCACGGAAAGGAAGCAAGAGGGAAAATGTGGAATATCACAGCCCAATATCAGTTTTACTGTAGTGCTCAGCCAAGTGGCCTTTGCAAGCTTGGGACGCCAGGGTGTGTTCAGATGTCAGCTGAATACGATAAAGGAAACTGAAACTGAAAGGAAGCCTGGCAGAAGACTTCTGAAGTGGTACCTTTCTCCCCCACGGCAAGCTCCCTGAAGAACAGGCACAGCAGCAAAAGCAATGCTCAAGTCTTTTAAATAAAGGGAAAAGTAACTGGCCCTGAATGCGGTTAAAGAAAAGGCTGTGGAGGGTGCTGATAGAGAATTAAAACCTCACCCCAAATACATAGATTAACCTAACAGAATGCTGAACTGAAATATATTTTTTTCTCTGAACACCTTTAGGATTTGACAGGAACGATAAGCATTAGAAAATTCATCCCACTTCACAAAAGGCTTCCTCTGACAAGCAGCAGTTACAGGTCAAGCAGAAAGAATACTGTACTGCCTTCCCTCCACTGTAGGGATTATACAGAATTTCCCTTTGGGACGTTATGGGCCCTTGGATGCTGCAGCCAAAGGGTAACAGTGTTCTATACCCTTAACCCTCTCCCCCGCTCAGATGCACGCCTTGCCACTGGGGAGAAAAGGTGGAGTAAGGACCAGAAGCACAATTAAGAGGCTCATGCAAACATACTCCATTTAAGTCACCCATTACTACGAAGACCACCACAACGTACTGGCTGTACCTACCCCACACAAATACAAACACACAATTAGAGTGCCCCTTGAGTGACACACACCATCTGTGTGTCCAAGTGCAAAGTAATCTTTTTTGGGGGTGGATGCAACTGTTATGAGGGGGAACACGACTGGAAGAATGAACAAGGTCAAAGATGCAAAGAATAAGTGAATAACCAGGGCTTCCAAGAACGAAACCCTGACTGGGAGTGAAATTAGTGCTCATGTTGGTCTGACCACCATCCTTCAAAATCCTTCCGTTTACAGCTAAGCCCCCCCCCCACTAAACACATTCAAGAGTGCAAGCTATACAACAGGCTACAAACCCTCAACACAGTAACTGATTTCCCTCACCCAACCCTATCCCACCCCTTTATTGCTGCTCCCAAGGAAGAAATTTGTTTTGAAGCACAGGTAGTTTTTGAAGTGCCCGCAGGATCAGAGCCAACGAGTATTGCTATAAGACAAGCACACACCCAGCAAAACAACAGCATGGACGCTCTCCGAGCAATGAACAGAACGTAACGAAAGCAGCTCCTGCTGGTCTTCAAAAGAATCGCCGCCACACACTCCAGCTCAACAATTTGTGGCTTCAGTTGCAGACGCAGCATGGCCAAGCAATTCAAAACACAACATGCAACAGGAACGCTAACGATAACACACACACGCACCCCCCCAAATTAAAAGACCACAGCTCCACCTCAAGAAACCTAAGCAACAAATGCAGTTCATCAGAGGTGTTTATGCAACCAAGGCAAATAGATATTGTTTACCTGTTAAGCTCTGTGTCAAGATTGTCAAAATGGAGCCCCAATCCCAGTTGCAAAGCAAGACTATCAAAGACAGAAATATGAAGGGCATTGGATCACATGTCCAAAGACAATTAAACTACAGCAGTGTCTCGTTGGTGCAACATATTATTTCCATGCAACATATAGTGCAGAAACTCATTCATCCTGTTTTCCGGATCACCCTGATTTTGACAGCCCCCCCCCCCCCCTTGCAAAAAAAAGAGGTTTGGAAATGCTCTACTTCACATTTTGCAGATTTTAAAACCTGGGACAGTCTTTCCCCAGTCTGGAAGACAAGTGACTGTGTGATCCAAGGCAACCCGGTTCTCTCCCAATAACTTGAGCTCCAAATGGTATCTTTTGCTGGGCTCTACTAACTTAAGGAACAGTGAAAAGTCGTATAAGCTGCTCCCCGATGACGGCTGCATCCCTGCATCAACCAACTCCCACCAGATCATCACAGCATATATTCCTTTCTTATGTGCATCAACGTTGTACCCGAGGCCTCAAAGGATTTAATGAATTCTTGCGGATGGTACCGGTGAGAAGGAAATGTGTGTGCAGAGATGGCAAGAAGGCAACTTCGCTGCAAGCTAGCCAGCTGGGCTCTGACCCGGAGTTACTGCCAGGTTCTTATGCTAGCGACCCTGTTGTGGAAAAACTTCTGTTTGTGCTTAATTACCATGGCCAGGGGAATTGTGCCAAAGATACGCAGGAAGGAGGACCATGTGCACTCTGAAAACGGAAATCTCTCCCTCACAACCAGCCTTGAGCAAGTAACCAAATACAGTGGGTAACAGCAGAACAGAAAGAGTCCACTGGGCCTCCCACGGCATCAAGAAAATACGTTAGAATGGAACATCACGGCCCAGAAGCAACCATTACAATCTCAAATTCCTTCCAGTCCTTCACAACAAGGCTGAACCAGTTAAGCTGGGAATTGTTGATGAAAGAAGCTGGCCTTTGCTTCTCTTGTTACTCCCAATTAAAGAGCTCAGGAAACAGTGATCATTTCCTGTTCCCATTTGAAAAGCCACCATTTGAATAGAAGGACCACAACATGCATATGTAGAGAAGCTCTGCCCTACCCATTATTTGCCCGGTGTTAGCTCCTACCCTCCAAGTGGAAACAATGAGAGTTTGTCCAATTACACTGTTGCTCTCAAGTTTTACACATATATTTTAAGTCGCCTGCAAATATTGGAATTGCAAATGGATGCCACTAAGACTGAGATACTAGTTTAGCAAAGTATTAATTAATTGCAAACAGATCTTTTTGTAATGGAGAAAGTTATGAAAGGAATTAGATGTTTTGCAACCATACAAAATCAAGCATGGTACCCCTTAGCTGAGTGAGAAGAGAGGAGGCTATTAAACTAAGGACAAAGAAAGAACAGATCCACTAGTATCATCCTCCAGGAACAGAAGAGTTTTTGGTTTGAAAAAAGGAGGATAAAGACTATACAAAGGAAAGGTCAGAAACTGGCACAAAGCTATATTTAGTGCAATTTTTAAAATTCTCAATCTGTACAACACACACTCATGACATCAAGTCACTGAGGGGAACAGGTGGATGGGGAGGGATTAAACAATTAATGCACAACACATTAAACAGATGCACAGAACCTTAGCAAATGCAGAAGCAAGAACACTTTCTGGGTAAAGTTCCTTTTTTATTTCCGAAATGTGGGTCTGCATGCAAGGAGGTTTCCCAGGTACTAAAGAAAGGAAGTGGGCTGCCTTGGGATAAGAGCTCCGAGACACAAATAAACCAGCACGAGGACACGAATGGGCAAGTACAAAGCATACAGCATACCCTTTCTGCTGGCTGCGCAAAGACTGACCGAACCTTTGGTTTCCATCAAAACTGCAGAAAGGAAAATCTGCAGGCACTCTAGATTGCAATGTTATTTAAATCCACATGCAAAAACCGCTGCATCTATTAGCCGTAGTCCCCTAAGCATGACAAGGAACTAAACATTTCTGTCGTGATGAAGGCAAGTCAAGCACTAGGACAGTGTCCAGAAACGGTGGAATCAAAGCCTTACTATTCAACATCATTGAGATGGAAGAGGAAGGTGCTTCAAACTAAATGCATTAAGAGGAAGGAACAGTTATACAAGTTGTGGGAACAGAGGAGATGGCTAGATTAGGACAGAAGAGGCCAGATAATAATTTGTATTTCTTCACTACACCCGAGATGCAATATACTCAGATTGTTACATTGACTTAAATCATATGCACTTCATAAGGCTTTACATCTAAGGGGAGCTCAGTATAGGAAGCGAGCTTGCATACAAGATGCAGAACCCTGTTAAATATTCCTTTATGAGAGGGAAGAAGAAAATAAAAAAAGCAAGAGATCATCGATCAAGGGGAAGGAGAAAGGCCAAACTTCTTTAGGCCCAGTGCTAGAGAAAGAGATGCACCTGGTTTCAGGTGTGAGGCAGGATGGGTGAGGGAATGCTGGGTAATACGTGCCCAATTTCTGAGCATAAGGCCTTCCGATAAGAACGCACCTGCCCATTGATCCTTAGAAAAGGGCCCCTAGTGGATTGTGAGCTTTTCCACCGCAGGAAGATGAAAGAGCAATTGGTCTAATTTGTTTTATCATCTTCCAACGTGCTTCTTGAATGTAAACACAAGTTACGTGCTAGAGGGCTAAAGCTTCTGGAATGATTTATTTATTTAAAGTTATTAACATTTCGACACAATGTCCGTTTCTTATTTAAAACAACCTTCCCGGCAACATCCCCAAACAGCTAAAGGATCAGAAGCCGGCGGGGGTGTCAAAAGGGGAACACCCAGAAGAAGGGGAAGGGGGAAAGAGAGAGAGAAAGCAATCAGGGGACATGCCAGGAGAACACATTTGGCTGCGTTTCCCTCAGTCATCTGCACAAGGGTCAACAAGCAGTAGGTATGTACAGCGCCTGGACCAACTGCAGCTCATCCAGTCCGTAGCAGGAACCTTTTGGCAGTTAACCATGTTCAAGACACAAATGCAAACATGAGCAGCCATTTTGGGTACGTACCTTCAAGCGGACCAATGAAAAATGCCTTTCAAAAATACTACACAGTTGACCGTTCGCACTCTGGTTGCAATAATGCCCTATTTGCTTTTCGGTCTGCAAAGGTTTCCTCTCCTTTCCAGTTAATGAGGGGTGGCGTTTTCTGGTTTCCTCCTTTTGGAAAGCTAGTTCTTTGATCATCTGTATGTCAGTGCAAAAAGGCCTTCCATTTCATACCCCCTAGCCTATCCGCAGCAGCCTTCTCAAAGGTGTGCCGTGACCGCAAGCAGTGTGTCTTCAGTACACAAGAACAGACAGGGACCTCCTCGCCACCTGAATTTGGGCACCAGGCTCCCTGGGCTCTGCTGCATGCAAACAACGGAAAAGGCTGGCTTTCTCTCTCCTTTTGGTCACTTGGCAACGCTTCGCCTCTCCCCTTCCCACCCAGAGTGTGCACTGTTCATTCTTTTGTGTTCTCCCCCCTCCCCTCCGCTTTTGCCTAAGACATCCACCAACTGGCCAGACAACACATTAGTGCAAAATACAGGAATTAAGGCAATGCCCAGAAAGTGAGAGCCTAGACTTCCTTCCCAATGCAAGTATCACAGGCTTGTTCTCTAGGCTGCAACATGGACTTTGGGGAGTGCTGCCTCCCTGCCCTGGTTGAAATATGACTATATCTACATCAAAGGAAGGACTATTGGAGGGGTTTCATTTATTTAACAGGAGCCAGGTGTGTTTTGAAGGATGTCGTAGCTACATGGGCTCTGGCAGAATCCTAATATACCAAGTAGCCAGACTTGTGTTTCGTTGCCCGCATGATCACGCTGACTGATCCAATGTTGGTTTTACCACACTGCAGCCAGGACGGATCTGGGCAAAAAAAGTATTATTCCCCACGGAGTGGATGAACAAACACACTCAACACACATACAGATCTACAACCCCAAGCCAAGAGACGATGCAGGAGTCGCTTCCAGAGGTCAAGTCAATTCGTGCTTTCTCCTGAGGTAGTCTCTAACTCTGCTGATGGAAAATCTCCAGTTGGAGGTATGATCTGTAGCTCTGCTCTATACAAAATGCAGCAATCACCTATGCAAGTCAGACAACTTAAAAAAAAACACACACACACACACAACTGAGGCAGTACATCAAAATGCAACAGAAGCAGTAACCCGAATTAAAAGGCTATCTCCTGATGCTTTGCAAAATGTTTGGTCTTGGGGGCTTAATCTGCCCTTTGGGCAAAAGTCATCCTCTTTTTTCCAGTTTATTGCCATCACAAGCAGTGATGTTTGCTGGTCCTCCTAATTAAACACTAACTTATGAGCACAGATGTCAATGGCTTGTCTTTGCTACTTCCAGTGTAATTAGCATGAAAGGAAAGCCTTTAACTTTCACCCTCAAGCCCTTACAGAGCCCTAAAAAGGAGTGGTGAAGCGACAAGCAAGAGCACCTCCAATTCACAGAGAGACAGTCCGTGTCTATACACTGCCTGTCTGGTTGATGTCTGAAGAGGATTTCAAAGTCTCACCACCTTCTGGAAATGCTGGTCTCATGAAAAAAGGAAAATACAATTTGAGGTTATTCATGCAGTGCTAAAAAGGTCTTACTTCCAATCAATTCAGGGGAGAAACCCCACAACTCCCAAAGGTTTTGAGAAGGCAAAGCAGGCACAAGTTGGCATTATCAACCCCCCCGTGCCATCCTTTACAGAAAACAAGAAAGCTGGACTTTTAGAAAGAGCCACACGTGGCTGAAATTGCATACTAATTTTTGTTTGTTTGTTTAGAAAAAAGTTTACTGCCACCCACCGTACACACAAGGCTCGGCTAGTTTCAAAGGCTTTCATGCAATTTTGCTTTATTATATTCAAGTTGTCAAACTAATAGGATTGGAGTTAAAAGTAAGGCTATTTCTCTCTCTCTCTCTCTTTTTAAAATCCTTCTGTCTTTGCACCAAAAGTGAATTTGAAAAGATGCTTGTCACACACAGATGCACACACGCAGACACACAAACTGGAACTCTGACACACAGAAGAGGAAGAGTAGTTTATACCTGACTGGTGATGAGGTCTGTCCTATCTTATTCAAAAGAAATGTTTATGTGCATAATATACATAGGTGCAGCATTTACACATAGGATACTGAAAAAAGACACCAAGAACTTGCTACAGATGCCTTGAAGAGTCCTTAAAAATTCATTTCCTGCCCTCCCCCCGGATTACTTTCTTCCTCTTGTAACACCAAGGACTCATTTTTGACCCAATATTCATGATTCAAATGTAATCATCACTCCAAGGTTCACAGGAATCCCTAATACCCATTAATGTCCTTCTGGCTTAAGCTGGGAAACATTTTTTTGTTTAAAGCACATCCCCACTGTCCCTTTTTTTTCTTCCAGCTAACATGGACAGTTTCCAAGAAATTAAATTGCGCAGAAGCTACATTTGATTTTTAAAACGCTGCATGCTCAATATTGAGCATCCTGAAAAATTCAAGTCAAGGGAAGATGCTTTAAATAACTGAACAATCCAATGTTTTCACAACTGTGTTCCCAGCACAGATTCTCACACATCTGCCCACCCCCTTTTCTTTTCCTGGACTTGGAAGGGGGGGGGGACCTCAAGGCAAAGGCGAGCTGGGCTTATAGTCTGAACGGGTTGTACAAGATGGTACATTTAAGTTGCAGTTTAAAATGCCAACCCATTCACATCAATGCGTCTGGCCAAGGAGGCCCCCTGCCAATCCACTGCACATTGCAAGGGATTCTGGGGTTTGGGTCTACTCTCAGTTCACACTCTGCATCAGCTGACCCTGCTGGGCCAATCTGATGTCCTGCACAAATGTAGTTAGCCCTAAAAGTTTCTCAAGTCTTCGCTGTAGCCGAGTAATGTGGGAGAAGCTCGGTCGTGGGGAGCAAGCTGCCTCTCAGGCACTTTGCTGTTACAGACCTTCTCACAAGGTTCCCCCAGGCTCTGTGGAACACAGTCTGAAAACCACAAAGACTAAAACTGACTGCATGCAGGGATTTTGGATGCGAACTGAGATATGATGTTCCGGGACGTATGTAACCAGTCCACTCAGAATTCATGTCTTACCTTAGAGCTGAATGTGCACTCTTGGGGTGGGGTGCCTATACTCCATGATTTCACTCACCTTTTCGGGGGCAAAGGAAGCTTACAAACGATTCAGAATTAAACTAAGGAAAGGTCTCCTAATCTCCAGCAATTTGGGGAACAAACAACCAAAAAGAAGCAAAAGAGAACAGCATCATTTCATCAGGATTAGTTATTTCAAATTCAACCAAGTGCCCGTTTAGGAATAGAAGATCAATTTATCGTTTCCCAGTACTTGCCCTCTACAAGGACATTTACATTCAGTGTTTGTCAATAGTTATATGGCTCAGCTGGGCTCCCTGCGGGTGGCCCTTTTATCTAACAATGGCAGTGCAAATACACTTGTCAAACTGAAATGTATTTGTGCTGTTTTTTTTTTTAAACACAACTTCCCTTTGTTCATTAATTTTCCAGAGACATGAAGTTAATTAAAACAAAAAAAATACTTCCCTCCCACCCCATGCAAAACAAAACAGAAACCAGACTCCTCCTGGTCCCCCTTCCTTGTTTGCTGGCCTTTCTCCTATGGGTTGCTATAAAGAGGGGGAACGAGACCCTCGTGGTTGTTTTTTTTTTAAAACAAAAGTGCTTATTTTACTTGTAAAGCAAGTGCTTTGGAGAAAGGTGGTTGGAGAGAAACTTCCTTGTTTGGCGGGGTTTAAGGAGGGAAGCCCAATGATTGCTTTTGAGACAAATGAAGGGAAATGGAAAGGTGGTGCCTTTTGAGGTTCAGAGAAAGATGCATGGTCAAGACCGAGGCCATTCCTAAGGAGGGAGGCAACCGGGAATCAACAGCCAGCAAGAACCTTCTGCACAGGAAAACAACATTCCGCCTTCCCCTCTCCCCCAACCCCGTGTAAAATACTGCACATCTTTTAAGCCAAATGTGTTTGCAAAATACTGGGCAGGAGAGCAGGGGGAGAGAAGGGGAGAGAGACAGCAAGGGGGGGAGGGGAAAGGAAGTTTGCCTCCAGCCCTCTTTTACAATGCACTAGGGAAACCGACTCTCATCTTAGCACAATAATGCAAGTTATTACCACCGGCCACTTCGATTATTACTTAAAATTGTCAAGCTGTGCTGTCAAAATGTACACGTTACAGTATTAAAGGAGAACAAGACTGGCAACTCTGCAACAGAACTGGCCACGTTTCGCTGACACCCACCCGATGCCTACCTTCCCTTTCTTACAAAAACAAAATTAAAACCCCGCAAAATTTATTCTTAATTCACGTATGCGCTGCTGGAATTTCTCCACTCCATTTTCTTCATCTTTTTTTTTTTTTTAAAGGAAAAGGAAAAAAGAACAGGGGCAAAATTGAACGTAAAAAAAAAATTATTAATGCATGATGCTACAGAACTAAGAACACTGAAGCCCTTAAAGAGATCACATTGATTGTCATATATTGAATTTTTATGTTGACATGTGAGGAAAAGAACACATTATCAGCATGTTAGGTACTATTATTATTATTAATTTTTTTTAATAAAAAAAAAGATCAAGTGTCAGTTCATCATTTTTCCTCAGTTAATAAACGAAAACGTGCCTAACAACCCTCTACAATCCTAATAAAATAAAATAAAATAAAATGCAAGCACAATCCATGTATTACTAGGGCTAGAAGTTTCCCTCATTTTGAAAGGCTCCTTGAAAACCTATGCTCATTTCTGCTCCTCTGTCTCTCCACATCCCACACTGCCATTTCAAAACACAGTTAAAATTTGAGATGGGCACATCTGATATTCAAGCAACTATGCTACTGCCTAAGGAGCCCGATTTCCTGGGCCCTATACTTCTGTAACACCCCACAACCAATTCCACCAGAGTTTTCTGTGGAAACAGGCACAGCAACAACCCCAATTTAACAGGCTGTGCTTTCTCAATAGGAATCCGCATTCCCCTGGGTTAACAGGAAAATGGTATCTGTTGCCTGGTACAAACCTGTGAGCGTAGAGTCTGTCACATCCAAGGGATGAGGGAGAGGGTTTAGGTCTTTCCAAATTGCAGCACCACCATTAGGTTTCCTCCCTACTGCCCCAGTTTCTTGAAAATACCTCAAGGCCCTCCAGAAATGTTTCTGGTCCATAAAGGAGGATTAAATTTAGCCCTTTTTTTAAAAAAAAAAGAAAGTGTGGCTTCAGACTTAATTCCCTACAACTTCCCTCCCTTCCTCCCTCCCCTACCCCTGGCAGTTCAAAATTAGGCCTTTAGAAGAAGTTACAAGTTGCTAGTACCTAAAAAAAAAAAAAACACAATGTAAACAAGGTGTTTAAAGTTATTTTCAGCTCTCCCTCTCTACAAAAGTAGTGAAAAGGACCTTCCTGTATTGAAGAAGTAGGGGACGGGGAGGAAAGGGGGGAAACTTTCATTCAAGTTTTGTTCACTTCTATTCCAACGTGAGGTATTTTGGTGTAGAAAGGTTAACACTTTCTTTCAAGGTAGAGAACTTGGAGCAACTGAGGGCAGAGAAAACTAACCCGACCGTAGTGCAGCTAAAATAATAATAATAATAATAATTAATGGCCAATCTGCAACAGGCGGTTGCTGTGCTTTTTGGCAAGTGCATTAAAACCTTAATACGCTCATATCTAGCAGCTGCGGTGAAAAGATCTCTCACGATTCCTTGGGCATCAAAGAAAGAAAAAAGCTAAGCTAGTAGCGCCCTAGTCTTTGTGGAAGGCTTTGTTGAAGGAAATGGCTGGGTTCGTTAGAAGACTAGAACTCGCTACCTTAAGGCCCCCAATTTTTGCAACCTATCCGTATGCAGCAAACCAACGAGACATGCAGCTAGCTGGTGCTTGAAGAGCTGACTCAAGATGATATGCAGTGGTCTGTGAGGAAAACAAAAGTCCGTTTGGTGGGGATTAAACAAAAAAAGAAAATGGAGAACCTCTCTTTTAAAAATGCACTGTTCACCAAAGGACAACGTTGCAGCTTCAATATTTGGCTCTAGGAGTTTGGCTTTGGTATATTAAAAACAGTGCCAAAAGGGAAAGGGGGTAGGTTTTCTCACTTTAGATTTCAGTTTTTGCCTTTCTTGCATCAGGATTAAATATTTTTTAAAAAAAATAAAAGTAATTAAGTAAGTGAGGCCATGGAAATGGCACTGGTGCCTAGTCTAACATCAGCATCAAATGAAAAAGAAGAAGAAAAAAAGAAACAAAGAGACTGCTTTCAGTTTTAAGTTTTTGGTTAAAGAAACAGTAATTCGTTTTAAACCATGAAGCAGGATGGTTCAAGCACATACCTGGCTCATATTTTCTCCTTAACAGTCTAGCTGATTCCCTAAGGAGAAGCTGGTTGGGGAATTACTAGCCCTAACAAGCTCACTGGTCCAAACATGCAATGTTTTGAGAGTAATTCTATAGGCACCAGCATAGCACTGCAGGACTGGGAAGGAGGTGGAAAGAAGATTGTTGGTTTAAAAAATAAAAGTGTGCCCTGGCAGCCCGCAGCCGATTGCTACATCCCAATCTTTGGCTTTGAACATACTTGTGATATGGTATATATATTTTTTGTTGTTAGTTTCTACACATGATACAATTTACAGTACAAAAAAAAATGGGGAAAAAACCAAACAGTGCATACACTCAAAATGCGTAAAACCTGCATTTTTATAAATATATTTTTTAAAATAAAAAACACACACGCTTACGCACACATACACCAACCCCACAGGCATCCCTACAAACACCCATGTGCACATTGTCCTAATGAAGCCTTCTGGATGGCATTCAGGGGTATAAATACAACTGCAGGATTGTACGGTTCTGAAGTGCATTGTTTTCCTTAAAAAAAGGTGAAACTTGCAGAAAGCTCTCTCTTTTTTTTGCTATTTTTTAAGAAGATAAATGCTTGTTTCTTTATAAATAATCTCTTTTCTTTAAAGCAACACTGACTTGTCTAAACGGGGAAAACACTGCGCAACACACAGAGGGCGGGGTTTGCGGGGAAGAGAACCGTGAAGGAAATTCTCTTTGGGGATCCAACGTTTCGTAACCCTTCCCACCCCCTGCCTGCCTGCCTCAAGCAGAAACCAGTCTCCAAAAAAGAGAAAAATCCCTAAAGTGCCTGATATGGTAGGGATTAATTCTGGCAGCGCATACGCAAGTTTCGTCAGAGAGGACCGCGTCAGCTGGGCAACAGCACCCATTTTGCATACGAGGGAGTACGAGCTGCCTAAGGTATCATAGTGTCCCAGGTACAGTAGTTCTCAATTCAAGTGTTTTCACTGGAATAAAAAAAAAGGGGGGGGGGCAAGCACAACAAACCAACAAAAATAACCAAACGAACAAAAAGAGAAAGGAGCAGTTATAGTGGCACTTTGCCAGGAGCTGCTGCCCTTCTTGGCGGTCCCTCGTTTGTCAAACGCCTAATGCCAAATAAAACCAAGAGGTTCAGGGCTTCTGCTCCCTGCCTAGAACGGCACGACCCACAAAATTTAACGTTATCAAGTCAGGCAGCACGCAGAAAGTTACCACAAAGCGGGAGGGAGCCGGGAAGGCTAGGACACCCTGTTTTAAGAGCCTGATTTTTAATTTTTCCAAATTCAGGCCCCTCCAGTCGTGTGATGTGCTCATTAATCAGCAAGCGTCCCTGCAGGAAATTAATTTGGCTTGGCCCTTCCTTCAGTTCCCAGAAGCATCAAGCCAGAGGAACTGGAATTTAAACAGCTGGCCGTTCCCTAAATCGTACCAAGGCCGTGGCCTCAGAAGCGAAGGGCGGCAGCATTTGGGCAGGTTTCTGTGCTAATTTAGACTCAAACAGAACTGTTTAAGGTATTGCAAATGGACCGCTGTGGATTTGTTTTGAGAGCCACATTGCTTTTTGTTAACTTTGATGGCAAGAGATGCTAGTGGTGAAAGCAAAGGTCTAAATAGTAAGCAGAAGCCAAGATCCTCCCTCTCTCTCTTTCTTTTTTGGTACCTAGGCCATTTCGGAAGGCCCATCCCAGTCTTGTTCTCCTTTAAAGTGTCCTATATTTATAGAATTCCTAAATAAATAGAAGATATTAGATCACCCATCGTGGTTTGTTTGTTTTTAAGCTACTCCGAGTAACAGCCATCTAAGCCGATGGCATTGTGCCTATCCTTGGTGTAGGGGCAGCTGTTGCCGTTGGGCAGGGCACTACAGACTGCTGTCTTGGCAGCAATACTGCAGTTCTTGAGGAGGTTGAAGCTGAAAGGGCTGATGGCGTCTTTTGGTGGAAAAGGCTTCATGGTGGAAAGGATAAGTGCCAGGCAGTCGGCCACGTCCTTGTTGGGGGCGCAAGCCAAGGCTGGGGTATGGCCTGAAAAACAGAAACACAAACTCAGTCCCCTAAAAAATAATAATCCCCCATTCTTGGGCACCCCCCCCAAAAAACATCTTTTCCAAGAAGGGTTGGACAACTTGTTCAGCACACAACATCAGTTGTTTTATCATGAACTGGCTGCTGTTTCCTTTTATAATAACTGGCTCTTCCCCTCCCCGGCCCTCAGCATAAAATACCGTATTTTTCGCTCTATAAGACACACCAGACCACAAGACGCACCTAGTTTTTGGAGGAGGAAAACAAGAAAAAAAAATATTCTGAATCTCAGAAGCCAGAACAGCAAGAGGGATCGCTGCGCAGTGAAAGCAGAAATCCCTCTTGCTGTTCTGGCTTCTGTGATAGCTGCGCAGCCTGCATTTGCTCCGTAAGACGCACACACATTTCCCCTTACTTTTTAGGAGGGAAAAAGTGAGTCTTATAGAGCAAAAAATACGGTAAGTGGCGTAATTGCACTAGTGCTACAGGTAAGCCGTGTTATCGCCACTCTGAACACAGACTATGTGAAAGCTCCTTGCAAACTACTCTTTGTGCTATCCAAACACCACCTGCACAGGAACTCTCTGTAGTCCTCTCTCTCTCTCTCTGCATGTATGTATGTAAATAGGAGTGGTAAAACTCAGTCCGTGACCTGACCCACTCAGAGATCATACTCCGTGGATACATTTCCATGCCCCCTCTGTAAACACAACTCCTGCTTAAGAGATACATTCAGACAGAGCACAGGAACTCCCTACAGATGGGCAACATTTCTCTAAGATTCTGGGAGGAAATGTTACGTTCTGGTTGTTGCGCATCCTCAGTGGTTGAAGCTCACTTTTCCTACCCCACCAACCACCTGCAATAGAGCACAAGTGTCAAGGGATTCTTTGGACCAATGGAATACAGTGGTACCTTGGTTCTCAAACGCCTTGGTTCCCAAACGCTGAAAACCCAGAAGTGAGTGTTCTGGTTTTTGAACGTTTTTCAGAAGCCAAATGTCCGATACGGATGTCGGCTATTGTTTCTTGGGCACCAGGACCAATAAGAAGCTGCCCCTTGGTTTTCAAACATTTCAGAAGTCAAACAGACTTCCGGAATAAATTAAGTTTGGTGCTTTTGTTTTTGCTATTTATTTTGCGTTTTTGTTTTTGAGGCATTTTCGCTTAATTTGTTTTTGTGACTGTGTGGAACTCAGTTAAGCTACTGATTGATTGATCCAAACAATGACTATATCATCAGTGCAGGTAAGAAAAAAAAATAATTTAATTTTTTAATCATCTACAATACTGTCTTATTTGTTTTGTAGTACAGTACATTGATTATTGCTTTAATTTTATGGCTCAATGGTCTCCTTAGATAGCAAAATTCATGTTAAAGGGGTTGTGTTTAAAAGTCTGGAACGGATTAATCCGTTTTGCATTACTTTCTAAGGGAAAACGTACCTTGGTTTTGGAACGCTTTGGTTTTGGAACGGACTTCCGGAACGGATTAAGTTTGGGAACCAAGGTACCACTGTACAGCAAACTTCTGAAATTTCATCATCCTGCTTTGATAACCATTTTTAGAGCGCCATCAGCGTAATCCTATGGAACTCGGTGATTGCTCAAATTCTATAAAGGGCTGCCTTCCTCCAGCAATGAAAGTGTTAAAAAAATAATTGAAAAGCCATACATTCCTGGTTCAGCTGCACTGTGTTGTGTCACACAAACACCACCAACCCACCAGCCAACAGATTAAGAGCATGACATCTGGAGTGAATGGAAAGGGAACAGGAAGGAGATGGTCTCACACCATTTCAAATAAAAATACAGAACGTGTGTAAACATGAACACCCCCCGCAACCAGCCTGCCCATGTAAACTCAACAGATTTTGCCAACATATATACATGAGCATCTGACCCCGCTCATCCGGAAGGGCTTCCAGGTGTGAAAATACGCACCTTCTTCATCCACAGCAAGCACAGTGGCACCTCTGCTTAGCAGAGCCTGAACAACAGAGGCCAGTCCATTCCGGGCTGCAATGTGGAGCGGCCTGCGAATGGCAGGAAGAGAAAAGGAAAGGCATTACTGGTTGAACCTTGGGAGAGGAAGTGAGAAATGCGACTCTTGGAAATGAGGGCATACACAAAGTTTATCTGACTCGTGTTCCAAGAGAGGAATGTACCAGAGGATTTTCATGTAAACCAGGCATAGGCAAACTCCGGCCCTCCAGTTGTTTGGGACTACAATTCCCATCATCCCTACCTAACAGGACCAGTGGTCAGGGATGATGGGAATTGTAGTCCCAAACATCTGGAGGGCTGGAGTTTGCCTATGCCTGATGTAAACATTTAATTCTGTGGCTTTTCAAATTGCTTTTAGCAATGTGTTCGTTCCAATAGTTTTCAAAAGCATAAGGCATTAAGAGCCCCCTACCCACTTTTCTTTTCTTTTTTCTTTTAGGGATGAGGGTGGCGCTGTGGGTTAAACCACAGAGCCTAAGACTTGCCGATCAGAAGGTCGGCGGTTCGAATCCCCGCGACGGGGTGAACTCCCGTTGCTGAGTCCCTGCTTCTGCCAACCTAGCAGTTCGAAAGCATGTCAAAGTGCAAGTAGATAAATAGGTACCGCTCCGGCGGGAAGGTAAACGCGTTTCCGTGTGCTGCTCTGGCTCGCCAGAAGTGGCTTAGTCATGCTGGCCACATGACCCGGAAGCTGTACGCCGGCTCCCTCGGCCAATAAAGCGACATGAGCGCCGCAACCCCAGAGTCGGCCACGACTGGACCTAATGGTCAGGGGTCCCTTTACCTTTACCTTTTTACCCACTTTTCAGTTCTTTAGGGAAAATACGATTCTGGATTACACTTCTGTGGGAAATTTTGCTCTGGGAATTTGTAAACAGAATCTTTTTCACAGTATTGGTGGTGATGCAGCAGCAGAGGGACCTACTCTCCAAGTGAGGTATACCAGGCTGCAACCCATCACTGTTTTAGACTCAAAGTTTAAAAATTTCTCATCAAGCCTTTCAGATTTTGGATACTAGACACCATGACGCAGTATATTAGTATTACTTTTGTATATGTAACTTTCTATCTGTATAGTTATCTTTGTTATCTTAAGCAACAAGCACACCCACCTGATTTTTATATTACTATTAATTGGCTTGAGCTCCTAACGATTGCAAAGGTAGTAAAGAATTTTTTAAAGAAATAAATACAACCAAGCACAAGACTTCTCAGGTTTAGTGCGCTGAGGTTATTCAGACCTGGGAATATGGCTCCGTGACAAACTTCCATCAGAAGATCTCTTAGTTCCTCAACACTGAGGAGTTACGTAACAAGAGTTCTGATTTGTCAGCTAGCCTAGCTTCCCCTTTTCATACAAGAAAGCTCGTAAACGGAGTATCTCCAAAGAAGATGGGTGAGGCGTGAGATCACACCGCCCACATTCCTGGCTGTGAAAATCTTTAAGACCAGGAGCATCAAAATAAATGCTTTTCTTTTTCCAGGTCTACTCACAGATGTAGAGTGCCTGTCCAAATGCAGAAGACTTTTTCTTTTTTTTAGGGCCGACTAACAAGATGCCTACCCTTGTCTCATTGCTAGGAATGTACTTGGCAAGAAGGAAAACAAGGAAAGGCAGGGGGAACCAAACAGTCTCTCGTTTCCACCAGCTGCACAAATACTCACATCTGCAGAGCACTGTTAGTTGCATTGATAAGGCCAAGGTCTTGGGTTTCCCCCAGAATCAACAAGGCACACTTTTCATGACCCTGGAGAGAAAAGATAATTTATTTAAAGGAATGATTCGTTTGGAAGGCAGGTGCCTTTCTTAAGCTACACCCCCTCCCCAATCTCCACGCACGATTTCCATCTAAGTACGGCTTGCTATGTTGTGCAAATCGACAAAATTATGGTCATTATAATTAGAGGAAGCTTGTAAATGGGAAGGAGTGAAGTGAAAGCTGGACCATAAAGAAGGCTGATCGCTGAAGAATTGATGCTTTTGAATTCTGGTGCTGGAGGAGACTCTTGAGAGTCCCATGGACTGCAAGAAGATCAAACCTCTCCATTCTGAAGAAAATCAGCCCTGAGTGCTCACTGGAAGGACAGATTGTGAAGCTGAGGCTCCAATACTTTGGCCACCTCAGGAGAAGAGAAGACTCCCTGTAAAAGACCCTGATGTTGGGAAAGATGGAGGGCACAAGGAGAAGGGGACGACAGAGGATGAGATGGTTCGACAGTGTTCTCAAATCTACCAGCATGAGTTTGACCAAACTGCGGGAGGCAGTGGAAGACAGAAGAGCCTGGCGTGCTCTGACCCATGGGGTCACGAAGAGTCGGACACGACTAAACAACTAAACAACAACAACGACAAACCTTTGTTGTAACTGTGCTGTTCAGCTTTTTATTTTAGTTGCTTTTTTTAAATAGTGCTTTATAGATTGTAATTGTTTTACTGATGATTTGTTAATTATTCTATATGATTTATGCTGCCATTGCAATGTTCTGTTATGCTCCATTATGTCATTTGAATGAAAGAAGCATAGAAATATAACAAATAAAAAAGTGCAGGACACATAAACCCATGAGGGCAAACCAGAAAGGAAGAATTCTGAGCACACAGCAAGTGCTTCTGGCTCTTCCTTTCCAGCCACTGTACAGTTAAATGTCTTTCTTTCTTTTTTAATTGCCCTGTAGCAACAGAGAAAGGCAATAAATTCCAAAATTGCTTAATTAAGGAAGAATCTGGAATGCCCTCAGGACATGCTCCCGGTTTTCCTTTCAAGTATGAATGCACTCATTATTCCATTGAAGTTGAATCACCTGAAATCAAGTGATTGACAGGTGGGTGGTGCAAGGAGTGGGGGAATACTGCTTGCAGGTCCTCCCTGGATATTTACCTTACTGCAGGCCAGGTGAAGAGCTGTGTTCTTGTTGACATCCAGCACAGTTAGATCCGCTTTTGCTCTGTACAGCAGAAACTCTGAAAATAGGTGAAGATGCCAAGTGAGAGTTGGTGCAAACCGTGACATACTTCAGTAAAAAGAAAAAAGGGGGAGGGAGGCATAAATGTAATGGATTCTCTACTCACCAACTGCTGCGGTCTGGCCATTCTCAGCAGCCATCATAAGAGCGGTCCTTCCCAGTTGGTCAGTCACGTCTACCTCAGCCTGGTGGCGCAAAAGCAGTTGTAAACCATGGATGTTGTCTGCAAAGGCAGCAGCGTGAAGGGGGGTCCTGGAATGGAGGGGAAAAACCCAAATGTCTTTAACAAGCATAGACCCTGGCATTCTTCCAAATTCCACCTTTATTCCTGCTGAATTAACACCTCTTCAGAATATTGTTTCTTCACTCAATCAAGAGCGCAGCTAAAACTCCTTTTAAAGACCCTGCTATCAGCATTATTGTGGGACGCGGGTGGCGCTGTGGGTTAAACCACAGAGCCTAGGACTTGCCAAATATAAGGTCGGCGGTTCGAATCCCCGTGACGGGGTGAGCTCCCGTTGCTCAGTCCCTGCTCCTGCCAACCTAGCAGTTCGAAAGCACCTCGAAGTGCAAGTAGATAAATAGGTACTGCTCCGGCGGGAAGGTAAATGGCGTTTCCGTGCGCTGCTCTGGTTCGCCAGAAGCGGCTTAGTCATGCTGGCCACATGACCCGGAAGCTGTACGCCAGCTCCCTCGGCCAGTTAAGCGAGATGAGCGCTGCAACCCCAGAGTTGGCCACAACTGGACCTAATTGTCAGTTTAGCATCACCTGACATTGCTAATGTGAGGGACTCCTCGTCTGCACCCTGTTAACAACTCCTCCAGCATCTTTGTCAATTCTTGAAGAAAAGTTTCCTATCCTAACAATGGCCTAGGCACTGATGACTGATGAGTTTCGGAGGGGACGGTATACCTAGAATGCCCACCAACGACAATCAACAAGGCTGCACACTCACTCACCTTCCTTTGGCATCTCTGCTATTAACAATCTTGGCACCCAATGCTTCCACAAGCATCTCAGAAGTGCCATCCTGGTTGTTAATTCTGCAGAAGGAAGAAAATGGGAGAAGCAAATGAGCTAACGTGGCTTGGATTTATCTTCTTCTGCAGTTCGTTGAAAGGGAAGAGAGCTCAGAATGCGGCATGTAACATACATGCATGTGTGGGGACATCTATTGCTCAGCAGCAAATTACATGCTTTGCACGCAGGAGATCCTAGCTTCAATCTGTGGCATCTCTGCTTAAAAAGAACTTCAGGCAGGAAAAGGCCTCTCCTTGAGACACTAGGGCAGGGATGGGGAATCTATGGCCCTCCAGCTCCCAGCAACCCCAGGTAGCATGGTAGCAGGACTCCAGCTCCCAGCAACCCCAGGTAGCATGGTCAATGGGCAGGGATGATGGGACTTGCAGTCCAGCAATATCCAGAGAGCCCACATGTTCCCCAGCCCTAGAGCCAGTGGCAGTCAGAACTGACTATGACAGATAAACCATTGGAATTGGTATAAGGCAGTTTTATAAAGGTAGCCTTGGAGACAGCCACTGAAAAACAAAGGAAGAAACTGCTCTGGAATTGTAATCTTTCCTGATCTTTTATTTTCCAGAGCTGTTTATAACTTGAAATGTACACGGGAAAAAATGTTTTTGCCGATCTTCCTTCCGTAAAAACACACAAAAACATTAAAACACAAATAAAGCATTCTCAGTGATTTCTGTCAGCTATGGAATTACCTGTCCCTGGAAACTCTTCCAATGCAAACCTGGACATTGTTCAAAACCACTTCAAGACCTGGTTTGGGTTGGCTTTCAGAGGTCAAGTCTAAGCTAGATGTAATGGAGACTTGATAGTATTTTAATGTGGTTGCATCACATTTCTGAGCTGTTCGGTTAGGGTGGACTAGAACGGTAAATCAATCAATCCAGAGAGACCACAGTACTTGGGGGCAACGACCCCTTGTAGGTGTTCACACTATCAAAACTAGGGGTACAACTTTGGTATCCTGACCTCAACTCTCTTCTCTGGTAGAACGAACGAAGTAAGAGCTAAGAACTAGGTCAGCAGAGCAGTCTGCTATTCAGTCCTGCTACCCACTCCTTGTAAAGCTTGCACATTCTGGGAGAAAGCCTAACATTGCTGAAACTGACTCATCATTCTGCTTGTGGCGAAGGAAGAGTTCTGCAGGTTAGACGTGCCCTCTAGCGGTTCTCATGAAGACTGCATCCACAGAAAAACATCCAGAGTCAAGATTGCACTAACTAGAATATAACATTTAGGGTGTGAATATGCTCCAAATTTAAACAGTTTGAAACTGGCTTGCCTGTGATGGCACCCAGGCAGGGAAATGATAAGTTATAAGAGGGGGCTAAGGATCTCTAACAAAAAACCATCAGCACTTCATGAGATTAGATGCTCCGCAGTCTGGGAGAAGCCACGACAAACTGCAGGGCTAGTTGTTTATCTGTGATGGAGGCTCATTAAGAATGCACTATATGGTAACAACAGGGTCTCTTGCACTAACCGCTTATTATTTAAAATGCTCCAGGCCTAAGGTACATCTTTTGAGATACAGTTTCTTTAGAAACACAGAAGTCCAGCCACTCATCACGAAAACCAAACATCCACTTTGGTCTTTGCTTCCACACCCCGTCCCACCCTCCAAAGGACCAATTGAGACTTACACCGCACAGTGCAATGGAGTAAAGGGGTTTCCTTCTAGGTATGCAAATGGATTGTGTTCAAGTAACAATTCAAGACAATCTTCATGCCCTGGCAAAGGGAGAAAAGAGGCAGAAGGCATTATCAAATGACCTTCAACATCCAAGAAATTATTATGAGCAGAATCAAAAGGCGCCTTTGCCCAAGGACTTGAAAAGACCCTTTGGGTGGTCTCCCAGATCAACAAAACAGCCATAAACTGGGAAGGTGGTGACTATGAGTTTCTGCAGCTTGCTTTAATAAGCCAGGCTGCAACAGACTGACATACACTTCCAGCAGGGGAATGCGTCTCTCAGAGTGGTGTTCTCTGCAGAACCAAGTTCTGCACTCAGAATATGTAAAGAGCTGTGTACTCGCTACATGCTGAGTATCCTACTAGTGGCCCTACTGAACAGAACCCCGGTTGGACTGGTTCTCTGCCTTGGCACAGGAAAAGAACAATCAGAATCAGGCATAACTCGTACCGCTGTAAGAAGCCCAGTGCATTGGTGAGTAGCCACTATAGTCCACCACAGAGTCCAGAGGGTCAGTAGAGAGCGCTGCCTGCAGCAAGGTCCTCAGGATTTCGGAATGCCCACACACCGAGGCAAAATGGATCGGGGTCCGGCCCTTGAAATCCCGACACAATACAAAGGCATCATGGTCCAGCAGTGCTGCAAGGCAGTCTTCACAGCCAGTCACAGCCTGGGAGTGAGCAAAGAACAGTGAATGATGAAAGAATGTGCCCAAGCCAAATACTGATAACACTGGGTTACTATAAAGGAATCTTGGCAGTGCCGGGATAGCAATGGGGCGCTTCTCTTTGGTGGCACGTTGAAACCAGCAGGACATCTGCTTCCGACACGGCAAAGACAGACACAGCAGTCAATTGTTACTTATAAGGGTTTTTAATGACATTGTAAATTGATACCATCAGCCAATAAGCCATTATTTACTAGAGCAAATCCTAAGTCCGTAAACAACTGAAAAATATTTCTCCTTTTTCTCTCTCATTCTGTGCTAACCTCACTTCCCAAACCAAAGTGTCTTGAAATGCTTCTGTCTGGCACATGAAGTTCTTTGCCAACAGTTTAGGACAGGCATGTTCAAAGTCTAATCCAGCCCAACAACTCAACAACTTTGGGGTAAAATTGCAAACTTTGCTCAACAACTTCAACCAACAACTTTGGTTGGCCCTCACATATGTTCACTTCATCAAATCTGGCCCTCTTTGAAAAAAGTTTGGACACCCCTGGTTTAGGATATACCTTTCAGTATCAACCGGCCACTGTGATGAGCCACTGCGTTCTGACTGGCTGAAGTTTTGGGATGTTCTGTGATGAAGTCTCTAATTCGGTTTTCAACGTAAGTTATTGAAGGACAACTTAGGGCAGGAATGGGGAGACCGCGGCCCTATGGAGGTTGTTGGGTTACATCTCCCATCATCCCCAGTCACTGTTCAGGCTGGCTTGGGGATGATAGGAGCTGAATTCCAGAAACACCATAAAGGCCACTTGTGCAGCCAGCACATGTAGTGCTCACAGCAGGGCTATGTTACTAGCCTGTGAATGCTGTAGCAGCTTTTTCTACTCACCCCCCGGTGCAGTGCAGTCCTGCCTCTCCTGTCTGCTGCATCCACTGTGGATCCCTTCTCAAGTAAGAGGTGGACACAATCCACATGGCCGTTCATGATCGCCAACATCAACGGGGTTCTGGGAGGCAAGAAAGAATGGCTCAGGCACAGCAAAATTTGGCTCGGCCCCGTTTTAGAGGCCCAAGGGTCTTCCACTGATAGGGAAAGGTGCAGAGGTGGCACCCCAACAATAAGAATGAGAAAAATCAGAATCAGGGCTGCCTTCAATTCCAAGTAGGCTTCGAAAAAGAAATAACAGTCAGAGCAAGGGCTGCTGCAAAGCCAGGAGTGGGGCTAGGTGTCATTTAGGACTTTTGTTGCAAATCAAGGAGATGGAGCCATCAGGATCCATAGTGCTATTCTCAGTTATTGGAGAAGGAGGAACATGAAAGTGGCAGAGGTGAGGCCTTGGTGGGTAGGTTATTACGAGAAAGCTGCTGTTTCATGGCTTTGCACAAAGGAGGGGAAGCTCCTATACAGTGGTACCTTGAAAGCCGAACAGCTTAGTTCCCGAACGCCTCAAACCTGGAAGTGACTGTTCCGGTTTGCAAACTATTTTTGGAAGCCGAACATCCAAGGGGACTTCTGGGGCTTCCGATTGGCTGCAGGAGCTTCCTGCAGCCAATCAGAAGCCGCGCTTTGGTCTTCGAACGTTTTGGAAGTCAAATGGACTTCTGGAACGGGTTCCGTTCGATTTCCAAGGTACGACTCTAATTAGAATTTATTCGTATAACCGTTTGGGACCCCTGAGGAGCAAAAAGAACTTATCAGGAACAGAAGGACTTCCAGCCCAACACACAGAACGATTAACATATAAGCCAGTGGAAAAACTCACTGTCCATGGATGTCCATGACATCTGTGATGTCGACTCTCTCCCCACTGTCAATGAGAAGATGTAGGGAATCGGTGTTCCCATAGGCAGCTGTAAGAAATGTAAGAGGGAGAACTAGGGAGGGAAATAGTACCATGTACACAACTTCCCTTTTTCTAATAGTTTCTCAAACTGCCATTTCCGCAAAGACCTACCGAGTGCTCCAGGTTTGTTTGCAACAGCAGTCAGGAGAAGGAAAGCAAGCATCCGAGAAAAGGAAATGCCATGCCCTCACCTGCAGCATGTAGGGGAGTCCACTTCTTCTTTTTCTCCTTCACAAGAGCAGAAGCACCATGGCTGGTGAGCACCTCCACGCACTCCGTGGAGCCCCTCTCCGTGGCAAGATACAAAGCCGTCCGCCCTTTGTGGTCCCGCACATCCAGGTTCACCAGGGTCTCGGCAAGTGTCTTCAGGGCTTCACAGTGACCATTATAGGCCTGGAAGCAACATCAGTATTTAGTTCATTTTGCGTGGCTTGCCTCTTTCTGCCTACGGTACATGCCGTGCAATCCCAAGCATGATTACGTTTTAAAAATATTTTTTTAAAAACCCCCACCAAGCAGCAGTAAATAAATACCGTATTTTTTGCTCTATAGGATGCACCAGACCATAGGAACATCGGACCATAGGAGGGGGAGAGCAGGGGGAAAAAAATTCTCCCCCTCTCTGCTCAGCGCCCCTTCAGTGAAGCGGCAGGAGAAACGGAGCCCCTTCCATTTCTCCTCCCGCTTGGCTGAAGGGGCGCTGCGCAGCTCTCCCTCTCTGCTGAAGTCTGGAGAGTCTTGCTCTCCCGGCTTCAGCAATAGGAACCTGAAGCCTTTGGAGCGCATCGCGAGGTCCCGCTGTGCTCCAAAGGCTTCAGGTGGCTATCCCTGAAGCTTGGAGAGCGACAGGGTGCGCACCGACCCCTCTCACTCTCCAGGCTTCGGCGAAAGCAACGCAAACCCGAGGGAGCGCTCCCTCTGCGCTTCGGAGGCTTCGCTGAAGCCATGGAGCCTGCATTCGCTCCATAGGACGCACACACATTTCCCCTTAATTTTTGGAGGGGAAAAAGTGTGTCCTATAGAGCTAAAAATACGGTACATTACTTCAATGGGACTCACTCCCAAGTAAATGTGACTGAGCCTAAAACGAACCAAGAAAGAGGCAACTTGCTGGCGTTTGACTAGATTTTAGCATTCACTTTCATTGTACAAGCCTCTGTCTTTTTACAGTGCAAGACATAGCCCACAACCTTGCAAAGCCAGATTTATGATAGATATACTTACAGCTAAGTGCAAAGGGCTGACTGGAATGGTGCTTTCCACATCGTCCAGGCAGTTAAAAGACATTTCCAGGAGCTACAAACCAAAAAAGCACAATGTCCATTCAAATGCTTTAACTCTTCTAGCCTCCAGAACCCACAGCAGCAATGATGCCAGCAGTCTTTAGCTTTCCCAGGCAGGAAATTAGCATTCCACCAACCCCCAAATGCATTCACAGGACTACCAAGCAGAAAAAAGCTTGATGGGCTCTTGAGTCTAGAAGTGCAATCTAGACAATCGCAATCATATGCTCAAATGGTTAAAACTCAAATGTGGAATGCCAATACACTTTCCAAGCATATCTCAGTAGCACAATGGTAATAGTATTAATTTGCTATCTTTGTTAAGGCACCTTGAGGCATTAAGAATTCTTATGCCGAGACTAAACTCTGGCTAAAAAAAGTATTTCACACATTTTAATATATGAAATGCAGTTAAGTGGTTTTCCCCACTGTAAGTACATAGAATGGGTAGTCATTGTAATACCAGATTAATGTCCATTGGAAATCACTATTTTTATTGATGTGACCTAAGACCATTTTTATCTCTGTGCATTTTATAGAGCAAGATGTGTGCTAATTTGTTGGTTCTCCGGTGGGCTCTTGACTGTGTTTACTTATTTCTTTGCTGCTCAAATTATTATGTTGCTGCTGCCTTTATTTTTATAGGCACTGTTTTATGCTGCTTAGGGGCCTGGATCAGCCACAATTTATTGATGGATATTACTTTGTCTATTTCATAAAAGCCATTTGGGGCATTAACATTTTCTACAAACACACACGAGTCAGCGAGAAAGATCATATTGTTCTCATACACTGATTGTGCAAAGCTGTTATTCAGATCCTAAGCAAAACTGATATTCATCTAACCATTCAAGAGAGGTTTTATGGCAACAGCTGAGTTGCCAAAACTCCTGCCATGCCCTCCACCCTGGACCTAGACATATGCAGCTCCCTGCTAAAACTGGTTTCCATGTAAACAGCCTGTTTGTGCTACTGGAGAGGATTGATTAGATTCTCAAAGCTTATGCAGCATCTAAATTTCTGATGTTCTATCACAACATATACACACAACGGCTGCTTTAGCACCTAACACTAAGTCAAGGTATGTTGCATGTTTAACCCATAATGTTAATGAGGTAAATGCTAATGCCTGCAACTCACGTTCTCCTATTTCGCTCCTCCTTTTGTCCAACTGGGAGCAACAAACCATGAACCTTGGCTTACTTTGATATCAGAACCAACAATTCATGGAAACTGGAAAGCCAAAAACAAACCTTGGCTTTGTATCATGGCTTGTTTTAGGCAGAAAAGAAACCAAAAAGGCAGGTTGTCAGGCTAAGCCAAGACTTCTGGTTTCTTGCACCTAACTGAACAAAGGGAGGAATGAAATCTGGGCACCTGAGCTGCATGCACCAATACACTGCTCATGCACATCATGGTTAACAAGTTGCAAACCCTGGCTTAGTGGGAACGTGACCAGTTTCTATTCAGAACAACTCTCAATTCCATCAAAGCAACCAGGTGCACAATAGCAAGGTACTCAACAAGAGAGCCTATTTCATCAAGTTGACTGTGAATACAAATGAAGGCTGCACCCCAGAGTATGGCTCTTCCAAACTTCTACAGAAACATTCATTCCTCAGTCTCCCCTCCAAAATCACAACCCAGTTCCTCCAATCCCAATTCGAGCTTACCAACTCAAGGTTCTGTCTGTTGCCATAGGCAGCTGCGTAATGGACAGCGGTGTATCCCTGCTTGTCCCGGAGAGAGGGGTCAGCACCATTATCCAACAAGAACTCTAAACAACTGGAGCAGATGTGAGTAGATTAGGTCGGATGCCTTGAAGCCGTTGCATGTGAAGGACCTAAAAGTTGCTGCGCAAACAGCCTTTGCCGTGGTTTCTTATTAAAATGTCTCGCAACTGTACTGCGGGAGCCACAACTCTCAAAGGAGATTCCCCTCATTCACAGAGTTTGACAGAATAAGAACAGCTGCAGCCCTGTGTAAAACATTGCTTTCAACCCAACTTGTATGGCACTTATGTTGGCAGCTCAAATACATCTTCAAAAAAACAACAACCAACTTTTGTGTCTGGATTTTCGCTTTTTGAAATATGGCAGCCCTAGTTGGTAGAAAGAAACTCCACTTTTCTTCCCTGCATCACAAGCACTTCCCAATGCAAGTATGACACATGTAAGATTTAGAAGCAGTTACTGAACTCCCCTCTCCATGTTAAACTGATGTATGTGCACTTTATAAAAATCCACTCAAGTTCAGTTTCAATAATGAAAAGGCGGGGGGGGGGGATGAACAAAAGTCAAAGCATCTTTTATTTTGAAAAGGTTTGGAGTGCATTTTAAAGATGAGGCTGGAGGAGCAAAGAAAACCTGGAGAGACTTGTGTCCCATGCTGATTTGGTAAAAGCCCAACTGCTGGTTGATTTAAGTCACAATAATAGGACAGAACCCCCTAACAATGGCCACTGCCCAAGCCCAATCAGTCACTTAAAAACTGGCAGTGAAGTGTTAAATTCAAATTGTCACCCTAGTTGGTAAAAGACATGTGTGTGGAGGCAGCTGAGCTCCTAAAGCTGTATGCTAAGGCAAGTTAAGACGGGCTACTCACAAGATTGCCTCCTTCAGTCGTGACTCCTTCAGCGGCTCCTCGTCAGTGTCATGGCTGTTTCCTGAATGAGTCTCAGCTCTGTAAGTGAAAGCCTAGATCAGTTTTGCTGAGACATAGTAGAAGAGGGACTGTGCAGGAACACGTAACAGTTTTCAAAGGAATCCCACATGTGGAAATCCATTGCAAGAATAAATTTGTGGGGGGAAACGTGCATGATACTGGTCAATCAGGACAGGTTACAAAGAGCCAGTACAGATCAGGCTTGATGACCTCAGTGGCTCCGACTGAATTTATCTATGAAATTAATAGAAGCAAAAAATAATCTGGGAAAAAGATGTGTCATAAGCCTGGGCTACTTTCAGAAGTCATCATTCATCAGCCTGGCATCACACAGGAGAGTAGGAAAAGGATTGTAGCCATTTAAGTAACTTCACTAGCCCAAGAAGGTATAGTGCAAGTTGAATTTCAACTTTAACTATTTTTGGAGAAATGTTCTTAAGTCTCTACAGACAGGGAAAAGTCTGAAACAACTGCAACAGCAGAAAGCAAAGTCATGCACACCCCAAATAAGATCTGAAGTATAAATTCTCTATCGCCATTTTTGACTTTGGTTTCTAATGTCTAAACATTTGGGCAGGTAGCACCATGATTCTTAGATAAAAGCCTCAAAGATGAGCCCTGCCATTTTAAATCATTGTTTTTTTAAAAACAAAAAAACCAGAATGCACCAGTTCATTATTTAATTTTCACTATATTTCCAATGAGGGCTTTAATGATACACTTTCTATCCACAAAAGTGTTAGAAAGGGAGAAGAAAAATATTGCATCTACTGCAGATCTTTCTGGTGAAAGAATTGCACTTGACTGCTGCCATTTTAGGCAAATGCCCGTCAGCCCCCGTCAGCCCTTTCTCCTACCTCCTGTAAGTGTCCGAAGCAGCAGCATAATGTAAGGGGGTGCAGCCTTTACAGTCAGCTTCGTTAATACTGGCTCCGGCAGTGACCAATGTCACCGTACACTGATAGCTGCCATTAGCGGCTGCATAGTGCAAAGGAGTCCTGGATGGGGAAAACGAGACTTGAAGCACTTACTAAACACAAAGCACCTTTTAATACGTTAGCATTGTAAGCAATGAATGTGGTTCAGAGTTTCCATTTCCTCAATCTGTTAACAGAGTAGGCTCCATTGGGTTAATATGTCAACTTTTGGTCCTGCATGGATCTAACCTGAGTTAGTTTGCTGTGTTGTCCTGAGCTAGTCCTCAGCCGACGTGTCCTTTGCATCCCAGCTGATCTACTATGTCTTTTATTTACGCCCACTTTATATCGCTCATTAACAAAAAGTTCTTCGGGTGACGTAGAGCGTTCACCCTCACAGCCACTTTCTAAGGGTTCCTCTGCAAATGCCATTTTACAGATAGAGAACAGAGATTCTGAGTCCCTGACCAAAGGGGGACGTTAAACTTGATCTCACGACCTTCAAAGCAGACACGTCATCCAGTGCATCAGTGGCTCTTGCTAATGTTGCGTTGCATTAACAAACAGAAAAGCAATGTACAATCCCTCTCTTTCTAATTCAGCAGCTCCCAACAGAGCAGCACTGAGCTTTGGTTGAGCAAAAACATTTCTGCAAGTGAGCACCTTAAGCTCATCCTCAGTGCAATAAGCACTGAGTCACACTTATAAAAGCAGTCTCCTGTTAACACAGTGCAAGGCCTTCACAGCCTTTGGGCAGGTTTCAATGCCACTGAACAACAGCCTTTCCTTGCCCAAAGGCAAAACTGCATGGTGCTCTTAATTTACCTTCCAAACTTATCTCTCCTCCTCAAGTCAGCTCCGCTGCTCAACAGCAAGTTAAGACATTCAACATTCCTACAGAAAAGCCAAAAACAAATATAGAATACATATGAACAATGTGATTGAACTAAAGAGGCTGTTAGAATGAGAAAGTAAAGAGATTTTACAAGGTGGGAAGCCTCAGTAGGATTTAAAGGCACAGGGGGAAGCAATCTCTTAGGAAGGAGATAGCAGAAAAGATCAAGGACGATTTCCAGTCAAGGATGTAGGCTTGCTAAAACAGAAAAATGCACACAATTCACTCAAGCTTGCTTTTTACCAACTGATTAGAAAATTAAAGGGCTAGCGGAGTGGTAGCAAACTATGTCCTATTTTTAAGTAGAGCAGAAAACATAAACTGCCCTCCAAGTCAAAGATGTCATTGTTTCTGCCTCTTCAAGCAAATGGACCAAGACAACACCCACCAGGTTGTGTCCTAGTGCCCACTCGAGAAGTCAAATAAAAAAACAGAATACATTTGAACAATGTGATTGCACTCTTAAAAAAACCACAACTGACCCAAGAGTACTGGGTCTGCCTGAATGCAGAGTGAATTGTTTATATAGCTTGGATATTCAAAATGGTAGCCGCTGGACAAGAAGCACACAGATACCCTCTGGTTTTCTTTGTATTTACATGCAGGGTCAACCTGAATCCAGGTTTTTGTACACTTTGGAAGTATAACAGCTTCAATTTTGCTGGCACACATTTTAACTAACTGTGGCTGTTCCACATCCATGGAAAATGCTGTCCTGAGAGCACAGTTCCCAAGAGCTATATATTTGTGGGTGTGGCTTATCCTCTAGCTGGGATGGGGATCCCTGTCTAGGGAAGGGGTTGTCAACCTGGTCCCTCCCTCCCACTAGTGGGCGTTTCAGGATTCAAGGTGGGCGGTAGGGGATTCTATGGCACAAGCCATATTGAGCACTGGTGGGCAGTAAAGAAATTTTACCATCAAGAAAGATACATTAGTGGGCAGTAGGTATTAAAAGGTTGACTACCCCTTGTCTAGAGCAACTGGGAAAAGGACACAGACCACTCTTGCAAGAGGTCTGAATTGCTTGCTTGCAAAAGGTCTTCCCGCCCCTTACTTCCTGCTAAATGTTGCTCCCTCCACCATGCTTTTCCCACCCTTCCTTCCTTATGGCTTCTTCCCCTCCCACAGGTAATTTAGGCTGAAGGTTGCATGGAGCCCTTGAGGAACAGATTCTTCTCCCTTATAGTATGTTTGCTGGATCAAAGCAAATCCTCTCATATTTGTTCTGAAGTGCAACTGGAAATTCCACTTCACACAAACAAGGAATCTCCCAATATTAGCTCTGAACACTGGGGATTAGAAGAGAGCTTCAATTTGATTACATCACCACAGCTGTACAGTACTTCAAGGCAATGGAAACCTGAATCTGTTCTAGTTAAACAGAAATAAACAAAGCCAGACAGTCTTTTAACCTTTCTCTCCTCTTTACTTAACCAAAGGTACCCAGTGAGGTAGGAATAAGCAACAGAGCAATAAAATCATCCAGATCAGTTCTGAAGAATATCTTGCCTAAGTAAGAAACTGATTGACTACTCACCCTCCGGAAGCAGCAGCATGGAGGCAGGTCCTCCCGAGGTTATCTGGCGTATTGATATCAAAGCCTGCAGACAGCACATGCTCATTGCTAAGTGAAGAGACGATGCTGTACAACTGACCTGTGAATCAGAAAACAGCAGAGAACTGGTCAAGCTTCATGGTCAAGTCCATGATTCTGGCCAGCGTTTCCATGGGAAGTTTATTATCTGGAGTTCAGATTTCTAAAACGTCTCAATAATCCTTCACAAGTGCAGAGCTCAATTGTTCAGTTGATGGGCCTTCTGTGCCTTGTTACTTGTCAGACAGCGAAGAGCACCTTCTGGTCCTCATTGATTTATATTTCTCCTACCACACTGTTCCTTACCAGCAATATACCAGCTCTATAGACCCAAACCTAAATCTAGGAAGTCAGGTAGGATTTCAAAGCCCAGATACTGTATTTTTCTGTCTATAAGATGCCCCTATGTATAAGACGCCCCCTATTTTTGCGGCAACAACCAATCGCCAGTCCACCCTTGGCACTATCCGTGTATAAGACACCCTCTAATTTTTGACATTATTTTTTAGGAAAAAAACCTAGTCTTATAAACGGAAAAATAAGGTAATTAAGCTAAGAAGAAAGCATGTGCAATGGACAACCTAATGCAAAGTAAGCAAGCATGCTCGTGTATTATTTAAGTTTAGAATGTGTGTGCAAAAAATTGTGGGGAGTGGTGCATTTTGGCACAGATGAAGGAATCAGAAAATTTCACTCCACTGTCTACCTCAGAGCAAGATAAGCAAAACCTTATTTTTCTCAACAAGCTCTGGGTTGTTCCTTGCCCTAAACAATGGAAAAATACGGTCTCCCAGCAACCTCCCTTGGACCAGGTGTGGGAAACCTTTGGCACTCCAGATGTTGTTGAACTACAATTTCCATCAGCCCCAGCTGGCTGGCTTACTCTGAATTCAGGCACATACGGAGAATGGACTGTGGCTTCCTATGAACACAACCCTAATCCAAAACCTGAAGTGAGAGGACAAGCAAGGGGTGTGCTATCCACATACCTGAGGAAAGTAGCTTACGACAACAGTCTGAGAATCCAAAGAGAACAGCTAAGTGCAAGGGGAACATGTCATGGATCCCACGCCTGGCAAACCAAAAGAAAGAATTATTGTGAGAGAAAGAGAAAGAAACACACACACACACACACACACCACCTGACATCAAGGTGGAAAACACAGCCAGCAGCAACACAGAACTGAGTGTCCGTGTCGCTAACACAATAACCCCATTTCTGGGTGAGTATACAAAATGTACAAAATTTTCACTCTGCATGAAGCAAATAATTGGTGAATTTGCGATCACTAATGTAGGGCAGGTGTTACTCCATACACACATGCACGAAAAAGGTTGAAAGCAGCACTCAACCATCCACCACTCTTTATCCAAACCTGTGTGCAAAAGAGCGGTGGCCCGATACACACAAACTCATAATTCATTACAAGTGATCTGAAATGTGACCCACTGTATCTTCCTCCTGACTGATGCCACATTAAGAAGAAAAAGTCCTTGCCTTGCAGTATCAGCACCATTCGTCATCAAAGTACTAATTAGCAGCTCGTGGCCGTATCTAGCAGCAACATGGAGGGGGGTATTGCCATATTTGTCAGCGCAGTCAATCTCACTGCCTAGAAAAGCAAGCAGGATTCATTATTTACTTTGTTCTTCAAACTGACCAGAAGCAAAGGACAACTCTGGCTTGACAGGAAGGGAAGTGAAATGTACTAGATCAGTGTGCCCATCGATACCTCCTCAAAAGGTATCAGTAAATATCCCCTCAAAAATCCCCAACGCACAGGAGACCACTTGGTCTCCCTGCTCAGTTCCTGTTTGCACTGGCTCAGCCTCTCCTAAACATGCCTCCTTCAACATATTATACTTGTTCAAATATATAAAAAATACATGCCCATTACAAAGTATCTTTATATATATTCTAAGCTAGTTAGTCTAAAAGAGAACGAAGTCAGAAGGAAGAAAATAGAAGGAGAAACCCAAAGAAAGAGAAAACGGGAGAAAGGGAAAAGAAAAAACTAAAGAAAGATAATCTTTTAGATATGGCAGCCATTTTGTATTATGCCACAACGCCATGACAGCCATTTTGTGTAATGTTTCACTCCAATGGTGGCCATTTTGTGACTAACGCTCATAGCACTTCTTCAAAATTCCAGCTGGCAACTCCTGTACTAGATCTGACAAGGGATGATTTTCAGTCCTTTTGGCTCTACTGCTAATGTCTTTGTTTTACTTTAAATAACTCACTTATATTTGGGGCATGACTTCAGAACAGTAAGGACATGAGTTAAGAGTGGACCAACTGATGCTTCTGTTCAAGGAATACTGTGAAAACCAAGGGGTTAGATCTGATTTTTATGGAATAGTGTTTTCATTGTATTAAACCTCCTCACAGTAAACTGGACTTTGGTTTTGACTGCCGACCTCAGCGTAAGAAAAGAATTTGCTTAAATTATACACGAGGTAAACCATTGCAAGTGAAACAAAATACGTACATCTGAAATGTCTACAGGCACAACATTACTCTGCAAATTATAAGGAAGAACTGGGAAGGACTGCAAGGAATAGTGAATAACTCTAATTAGAAAGGAAGACTGTTAAATATTAAGCATAAATACTGACGGGTGACTGAGAGCTTACCGTTTTGTATGAGAATTTGAGAGCGTGTAAACCGTCCGTGAATGGCAGCCATGTGCAAAGGACTCTTCCCTTCTTTACTCTGAAAACATCACAGCAAGTTAGCAAGTGGACATGTCCTGCTAACTACGATATAAATTTACTTTTAGTTCTCCCATCCTCGCTGAGACTCCCCACCTCCTTCCCTCAAAGCCTGACCGAATCCTGACTTGAGGGCTCATACCTGAAAGTTCACGTCAGCTCCGTTGTTGACGAGAAGTTCCAGGCACAGGGCTCCGTTGGTGGAGACGGCAGCAAAGTGCAGGGGGGTGAAGCCCTTCTCATTGGGCTGATTGACATTGGCGCCGTAGTTGACCAGTTCATTGGCCACAGCATCCTGGCCCATGTAACAGGCAATGTGAAGTGCAGTGTTGCCAAAGAAATTTGGTTCATCAATCTACAAGGACAAGTGTAAAAAGGCAAGCATGTGAACGTGCTGTATCAATGCTGCACAGAGAGGGCTTGGTCAGAAAGAAGAGCAGCAACTACATTATTGGGCTGCCCAAGGCCACAGAAGCTCCTTCAAATAATAATAATAATAATAATAATTTATTTATACCCCGCCCATCTGGCTGAGTTTCCCCAGCCACTCTGGGCAGCTTCCAATCAAGTGTTAAAAACAATACAGCATTAAATATTAAAAACTTCCCTAAACAGGGCTGCCTTCAGATGTCTTTTAAAGAGAAGATAGCTGCTTATTTCCTTCACATCTGAAGGGAGGGCATTCCACAGGGCGGGCGCCACTACCGAGAAGGCCCTCTGTCTGGTTCCCTGTAACCTCACTTCTCGCAATGAGGGAACCGCCAGAAGGCCCTCGGCGCTGGATCTCAGTGTCCGGGCTGAACGATGGGGTGGAGATGCTCCTTCAGATATACACTTGCTTCTTAGCCCAACCTACTGTGCTTGCTTGCTCACATTAACTTTTTATTCAACTTTTTATTTTTTCATTTATTTATTTTTGGGGAAAATAGATTGGCCAGCTAAAAACAGCAGCAGCAGGTATAAGCAGGGGGTTTGTTGAAGCCGGTATAAAACCTTGGGTTTCGATTAAAAGATAAGCAGTACATGCCCTTGCAGCTTTTTCCTGCCTGTTGCGCTGGTTGTGGAGACAGAATCCAGCAGGCATTAATCACCGGTAAAATAACACCAAGACGGCAGTTAGCATCCACATACAGTTACTTCCAAACATTTATTTTTAAACACCTGCATCTTGAAAACTCGTATCGCAAGGGGGAAGCATCGTTAACACTGGGGCTATCTACATGCATTTCATGATGAAGATCCGTGTGACAAAGCTGCTTCCAGGTTTTTCCATATTGTTGCAATAATCCCCTCCCCTGCAGCACCTAACCTGTCTGAAACTATGCCTGCACACGTTGCAAAGTACAGGTACACACTGTTAAGAGTACTGTCAGAATAAGCAGGAGCAGTGCCCACTGAGTTGGTACATTCGCAGCACTTGCCTCTACTCCAAGCCTCAGCAGGTGTTTCACAACCTCGATCTGGCCGCTGGCTGCCGCTGTGTGCAGCAGTGTGTAACCCTTCTTGTCCTTGCACGTAACGTCAGCTCCTCGGGCCACAAGCAGCTTCAAGACTTCCAGATGCCCTGGGAGGAGGCAATGTACAAGCACAGAGAGGTATAACAAACACAGAGAGGCAACACAGGCAAGCACAGAGAGAGATAGCAATTTGAACAAGGCTTCCCACTCCCATACATATCTGCTCCTTATGTTGGAAGCCAATGAAGGTAGCATTGGACTATAAGGAGGGATAAACCACTCCTGAATCCACAGAATCAAAAATTGCCATGCTTTTTGCGATATTTTGGCTGGTGCTAATAGTTATTGCCGAGCTGTGGATTTTGTCGCCTTAAAAGGTTGTCTGAGCCAATTCACGACGTTATAGACAGCCAAATGTGGTGATTTCTGCAAGATTTCATTTCTTTGTCCTGCCAGGAATTTCACTAGATCAGGAATCTTTCTCCCTCCTCCCTCCATGGACTGGGTGATAGAAAAAGCACCCAAAACAAGGATATTCGAATTTTAGATTTAGTGTCTACCATACAATGAAAGATTTCAAACTTTTCTTCTCTGCTGCTCTGTGCTTAACAGCTTATGGGCAGATACAGAGGGCATCTGACGCAGGGACAGGGCTGCATACTGTGATCTATATGTTTTCCCTACTTGCCACTTCCATATATGTTTACCTGCTCAACCTCTAGACTTACTTCAGGTTTCTATGCTTTGGCGGTCCATTTCTTTCACTTACACCTTTTGTTTTGGTGTTTTTAAAAAAGGTAATGGCAGTTTAATTTGAGCACAGTTTTACTTTATATAATTTCATAAACCAAACCTATGGCCCTAAAAGGGTAAATTGCAACCTGTGCGCATTTAACTCGTGAACATTCACCTTTACATGCTTGACAAAAAAAAAAAGTAGGAAGAGTACAAAAGGGATGATTAAACATGCAGCTTTCTTCTTTAATGTAGAAAAAAAGCAGCTCTCCCCTCTCCCTTTTCTCAGCTGAAGCGCAAAAAAAGACTAATGAGGTGTTAATAGCTCTAGATAGTATGTTAATAGCTGCTGGTGTATCTTAATGACTGTTTGTGTGACTGGGTTCCCTCTGGGGGGAGATATCTTTGAATGAAAAGAAGCCTTCCCCTAAAGAGAACTCCTTCCATTAGGAGAAAAAGAATCAGAAGGTAGTCTTTAAGCAGCGGGTTCAACAATCAATCATCATTCTCATCACCATAGCATATTGTGATGGCCTAACTCTTGAGGCGAATGAAGCAAGCACAATGAGTACAAATGCCCATGTGCCATTTTCAAAATGGTGCCCAGAGTTAAACCCATCCTTAAGCATTGGGAGGCATCACCACATCATGAGTTTGTACAGTGGTTGGTTCCTACTTGGGACTCCTGATCACATGGAGTGCCCTCTGAAGTCATGGTCTTCCTCCACCTTGGCTCTTCACTGGATTCCTGCTTCTGGCTATAATCATGAGTGCTCCCTTTTGTCTCACTTCCTATGAGCTATGTGCAAATGGCCACCCTGTTACTTGGTTTGACTCAGGCTCACCATATTGTGGAGCGACTGGGAAGCTGAGAGTGGTGCAACCCCAAAGGCATTTTATGTAACATTTTCTGAGCAATCAGGGCACATCGCGAATCTCTCATTAAAAGGCAAAGATAAAGAACTCCTGACAGTTAAGTCCAGTCAAAAATGGGGTGCGGCACTCATCTTGCTTTTCAGGCTGAGGGAGCCGGTGTTTGTCCACAGACAGCTTTCCATGTCATGTGGAAAACATGGCTAAACCATTTCTGGTGCAACTGAACACCATGACGGAAGCCAGAGTGCCGCAGCGGTACCTACCGTAGATTCCAGTGTATTAGGCGACTGGGCGTATAAGACGACCCCCCCAAATTGGCAGCTGCCAATTTGGGGGATTGACTTATATGCCCAGTCTTGGCTCCAATATCCTGCATTCTTTGCTGGACATGTATTCAGAATATTTTTACATATAAGCTCTTCCTCAAAGATCCATGTACAGTGGTGCCCCGCAAGACGAATGCCTCGCAAGACGGAAAAACCGCTAGACGAAAGGGTTTTCCGTTTTGAAGTTGCTTCGCAGGACGAATTCCCCTATGGGCTTGCTTCGCAAGACGAAAATACCTTGCGAGTCCTGAGATTTTGTTTGCTTTTCCCCCTTTATCTAATCTGCTAAGCCTTTAATAGCCTTTAATAGCCTTTTAGCAGCTCATACCCGTAGCCTTTTAGCCATTAATAGCCGCTAAACAGCTGATAGCGCTATTAGCGCTAATCCGTCAATGGGCTTGCTTCGCAAGACGAAAAAACCGCTAGACGAAGACTCTTGCGGAACGGATTAATTTCGTCTTGCGAGGCACCACTGTATATGATTACAACACATACTCTCGCTCTCATGTGTGTGATCACAACACACACGCTCTCCCTCACACAAACGAGAAATAGAGAGAGAGAGAGAAAAAGAAAGATCAGAGGGCCTGCAAAAGTAAGAGAAAAACATACCAAGGAAGGCTGCCCAATGTATTGGCTGTCTCTCCTTCTTGTCGCATGTGCTCAGATTGGCCCCTTTATTTAAGAGCAGGTTAACCATCTAAGAAAAGGTGGAGAAGAGAGTTACAAACAGGATTATTATTATTATTATTATTTTACAAAAGCATGTCCATTTACTTAGAACTTCCTGCTGGTGCACTGTTGTGGAATCAGCACCTTGGGCTTTATTATTTAGGTCTTTTTAAGGCAATCTCTGTACTGCTTAACATATGAAAATATATCTAAGTGGTGTACTGGAAAATAGAACAAAAGCAACAATGTATGTCACAGAAATAACAAATAAAGCCACATTAACGAATAAATACAAATATAAATTCTGAGCCATTTCCCCACTCTTACATAAAAGAAATGTGTCCTCGACTGTGAGCCAGGTTTTATTTCTCAGCAAAGCTAGCTTTGGAAGGCAGATAAGCATGTAACTGCACCTCTGCCTGGCAATTAAGTAGGAAAGTGACACTATACACAATCTGAAGAAAGGGGCCAGCATTTTGAGCTTCCAAACAAAATGAAATTCTGGCACTTTTATAGCTGAGGTTACCCTTTCCATCATTCTGTATTGTCTCCCTTTTGGTTGGCATTTCTGGGGCAGGGGGATGTATCCAATATGAGGTACACTCAGAACAGATCTGCTGATATTAATGAACACAACTAACCGAGGTACCGTATTTTTCGCTCTATAAGACGCACCAGACCACAAGACGCACCTAGTTTTTGGAGGAGGAAAACAAGAAAAAAGAATATTCTGAATCTCAGAAGCCAGAACAGCAAGAGGGATTGCTATGCAGTGAAAGCAGCAATCCCTCTTGCTGTTCTGGCTTCTGGGATAGCTGTGCAGCCTGCATTCGCTCCATAAGACGCACACACATTTCCCCTTGCTTTTTAGGAGGCAAAAAGTGAGTCTTATAGAGCAAAAAATACGGTATATTAAATTCAACGGGTCAACTGTGAGCAGGACTCATGCTAGATACAACCCCGCATGCTGAATTTTTGTTCCTGTTTTGTTGTTGTGAAGGAAGGAAGCCTGAAATATATAGTTCACTCTTCTGTGCGCTTCCTCTGTGTTTGAAATACTGGTGGCGGGAGAAGAGGAACCACATTTTCTTACAATTTTCTTCAAAGCTATAAGGGCTAGAAACTTGTTTCTCTTCAAAAAGCGAAAGCACAGCCAGCAGGGTCCCTGTGATAACTGCTAGATTCTACATTATAGGCCATATGACAGGTTCCAGAGCACAAATGCAGATATGCAACACCTTGAATATATTGCCCAAAGAGTTCCTGTCATCGTTCAGGGAGTCTGTAGGAGGAGCAAAGGATCCCTTCTTGCGATTATAGGACCCTAAAGGTCAGAATTACAAACTTATGTATCAACACCACTGCATCTGCTTCTGTGACTTGGTTGCATCTGCTCTTACATTGGTTTGAGATGCTTTATTGTTTTTCAGGTGCTTTTGATGGTTTTTAAACATTTTTGTTTATTTTCTTCTTAATTGTATTCTTTTAATCAAAGAAGTGTTTGCCAACCTGGGCTTCTTTGGAAGGAAGTCAATAGATTAAATAAATATCAGGCGGAAGCAGGTTTTAGGAAGGGCCAACAATGTGCACAAGCGGCAGAGGGGAGCTGAACTTGCTCCCTACCTGTTGCTTGTTTGCTGCAGCCCAACCCTGACAGCCTGCTCTTTTTGCCTGAAGGCAAATCTCTCCTCCAAGAAACAAGTTTGAAACCGTGGGAGGAAAGAAGTGGCTTGCAAAGGGCGGGGTTGCACCAGCAAAGTGTCAAGCAGAAAGGTGTTTCCTCACAACAGCAGCAGCTACTCGAGTTTTACAGCATGAGTTTTCCACGCAGTGTTGTTCTGTCTTAAGCCCCAAATGCTTTTCGGACTAGGACCCCCCCCCCCATTTCACTACTTATCCAACAGAGGTGGAATGCACAGAAAACCCTCCCTGAAAAGAAGCGCACCCTTACCTCAATGTGCCCACTGTGTACAGCATGGTGCAGTGCTGTCCGGCCGGTGCGGTCTGCCACATTAACACTACTTAGCAGGGCGATGATGGCCTCAGCACACTTGGTGGCTCTGTTGGCAGCGGCAACGTGCAGTGGTGTTTGCCAATACTTGTCGCGAGCGTTGACGTCCGCAGAGTGCTTTAGGAGGAGGTTAAGTGCCTTCTGCCAGGGACAGAACACAGACAGAAAGGTCTTTTTTTAAAAGACTGCTTGAGCAAGGCAAAGGATCGCTAGAGGAATAATTAAAGAGCCGAGGAACAAGCTGATAGTACTATGCTGTGTGGCAGAATTGGAATTTTCAAACAAAGCTAACCTAAAACACTGCAGAATATGCTGCTGGGAAATATCAGAGCATCCTAGCATGAGGCACTACAGGTTGAAGTTCTAGCAGAGCTAAGTGGGCGCACAATGAGGAATGCTGATGGCCGAAAGAGGAGCCAACACTGTAAGGCACAACTCAATATATCCTCATCCTACTACCAATTCCTTCTCTCCTTCATCTTCTTAACCCTGCGAGGCTCAGAAAGCCCCAAACCAGAGTAGAACATCTGGGAAGTTAAGAAATCAGGTCTTGGTGTCAATTATTGGCTGGTCTGCTGGTGGCAAAGAGTTTTAAGTATTACAGGCACCTGCAATATGCAGAATATTAAATAAAGCACCTGAATTGATACAACAACTAAAAGGGCAATAATGTGAAAGCGTCTCCTTTTGCCCCAATTCCCAAGGTGCCAAGAATGTTCGGATTCATACTTTCAGTGTGTCAAGCCTCTGAGCTCAAATGAGATTAGTCTGAATTCTAAGGAAGTCTTCTCTCTAAAAGCAGCTTACTGTCAGGTCAAAGCTTCAAGATCTAGACAGCTAGGGTGAGAGTGTTAGAGACTACCAGAGAAGAGGGTGGGGAGGCAGCAGCAAGGGTTCATGTGAGCCTCAGGTGGGGGCAGGAGATGAGAACCCAGCCAAGAAGGGCTTTAGATCCAAGGCCTCACAAACACAGCAGCTGGCTTGGTTTCAATAATATGCCCACGCTGCCTGGTATAGGATTACAGCCAACAAAGTAACTGTGCAAGCAGAAGGACATCCGCTCATGCAATGCGACTTCTGCCACATCAGCTCTGGGTTTTCCTCTAGCTCTCCAGAGCAGATTTGGGGGGGGCGTCAGGAAGAGTAAGATGGCTTTCTCTGGTTGGGGTTGCACTCCCCTGGAAGGAGCAGGTTTGTAGCTTGGGGGTAATCCCTGGATCCAACATTGTCACTTGAGGCTCAGATGACCTTGAGGACTTGGGGGGCGCCTGTTTTCAGCTACACCCCCTTTTGGAAAATGAGGACTTGCTCATAGTACTCCATGCTCTGGTGGCTGTGGAATTCCCTCCCCACAGAGATGCATCTGCCACCTTCACTATACAGCTTTCAGCAAATGTTGAATATCACCTGTTTACACCTGAGACCTGTGTTTTTAAGACCCACCCTATTTCTGTGGCTGTAATTTGTTTTAACTGTTTTTAATACAGTGGTACCTTGGCGCTCGAACAGCTTAGTTGTCGAACAAATCGGCTCTTGAACGCCGCAAACTCGGAAATAAGTGTTTTGGTTTGCAAATGTTTTTAGGAAGCCAAATGTCTGACGCAGCTTCCGCTTGGGTGTAGGAAGCTCCTGCAGCCAATCGGAAGCCTTGGTTTTCGAACGGTTTTGGGAGTTGAACGGACTCCCGGAACAGATTAAGTCTGAGAACCAAGGTACCACTGTACAGAATTATAAATCCTGGGACCTGCTAGGGAATGATGAACAATAAATGTAATACAGTGGTACCTTGGGTTAAATACTTAATTCATTCCGGAGGTCCGTACTTAACCTGAAACTGTTCGTAACCTGAAGCACCACTTTAGCTAATGGGGCCTCCTGCTGCTGCTGCGCCGCCGGAACACAATTTCTGTTCTCATCCTGAAGTAAAGTTCTTAACCTGAAGCGTATGTAACCTGAGGTACCACTGTACCTGTACAGTGGTACCTCGGGTTACATACGCTTCAGGTTACAGACTCCGCTAACCCAGAAATAGTACCTCAGATTAAGAACTTTGCTTCAGGATGAGAACAGAAATCGTGCTCTGGCGGCACGGCAGCAGCGGGAGGCCCCATTAGCTTCAGGTTAAGAACAAGTGGTGCTTCAGGTTAAGAACAGTTTCCGGTTAAGTACGGACCTCCGGAACGAATTGAGTACTTAACCCAAGGTACCACTGTAGTAGCAATGATACTACTACTGTACAAGCATGTAATTTTGCTCACATAATGACTTTGTCAGATTCAACCCATACAGTTTGCTGAAGCCACCATAGGAGTTCCTAGTTCTCTCTCTGGTGACTTCTAGAGTGATCCTGCCGCTAAGTAATTGTGATCCTGTAGCTAACAAATGCTCTTTGGTGGTCCGCGAGGTGTAAGAAGCTTGGCAGGAGGCAAAAGAAGCCCAGGGGCCTACATTTTTCCTCATTTGCGTAAGGAAATATACCACAGTCTCTCCTCGCTGCCTTACAAACTCAGGAGTAGGAACCACCCACCCTGCCCTGGAAGTCAAGCATCAATAAAAATGCTGACGCTTTTCTGAAGCAAAGAGGTGAATTAATTGAGCCAGCTTAAGTGGTGCTTCTTGGCTGCTGGAAATGGCCTGAAGCTGTGAGGTCAGCAGGAAAAGGCAATTACACAAGTTAACAGACTCTGCTGAGGAACAGCGGAAGCTTTTCCAGGAGGACAGTCTCTTGGGAGCCCAGTCTTTGTGCAATTAAGGGCATAAAACTTACTCCACAATCATCTGTACAAAAAAAAAAGCGACTTTCTGCTTTTACAGAGAAATATAGCAACACATTTACAACAGCACCCTTAGGATGAAAAGCTGCTCTATTATCAAGTTATGGATGTTATCCTACTCACGGCAATGCAAACTTCTCTACCTCTGAATTAATGTAGCAGCGGGTAAGATAATACATCTGTTAGGAAAGGGGTGGCATTTTCTACAATGCTGTGTCAAGAACAGACTGTGATAATAATATCAAATATATAAAAGAATGGATGGGTTACGGTATTTTTCGTATACAGTGGTACCTCGGGTTACATACGCTTCAGGTTACACACTCCGCTAACCCAGAAATAGTGCTTCAGGTTAAGAACTTTGCTTCAGGATAAGAACAGAAATTGGGCTCCGGCGGTAGCAGGAGACCCCATTAGCTAAAGTGGTGCTTCAGGTTAAGAACAGTTTCAGGTTAAGAACGGACATCCGGAACAAATTAAGTACTTAACATGAGGTACCACTGTATTTGCGCACATATATATATATATATATATATATGCCTACTGTATATATTCCTACACATTTTTGTGCCTTTTTATTTTTCTTTGTATCAGTTTATTTCTTTATAATTGAAACCTTTTCAATAAAATATTAATACCAAATTTTATTTTATTTTTTAAAAAAGAACAGTCTGAGACAAAATTAAGGCAACTTTAGTTTACTGCACTATTTAGATCCCTGAGTGTGCATGTGTGTCTCTGTGGGCAAAAGGGAGCTTCCACATCCATGCATTCTGCGCAAATCTCCTTTCCTAATCCTGCTAAAAATGCTCACTGGGAGCAGCCTTGTCTCTGTGACACAGGGCCAGATTAGGTTCATAAAGCATTCAGCTTGTGCAGAAATTGCAGATATTGGCACTCTGGGATACAGAATATTGATTTATGACTTTAAAGTAAACCAGTGAAGCCTTGCAAACAAGTGTACAAAAGTTACTAACCTTATTTTCTACACAATCCTAAATTAGCTGTTTGTGGACAAAAAGTTGGGAGTGGAGGAGCTTTTACTGAGCTTTCCTGCCTGGTCATCTGATCCTTTCTCTGCACCAGGTGACAAGCCTAGACTAACTTGTCCAGTTATAGGGGACAGTTTCAATTTGTACAGCTCAGGCATATGGACAGGATCCATGGAAGGGTGAGGCCTACCTACGTGTGTGCTCCACACTTGCCCTTCTTTGCTTATAATAGCTGCCAAGGGAACTGACCGAGCAAGGGCCCTAATGTCTTTTAAGAAGCCTCCTTGAATCTCATCATATTGGATAATTTCTCTTGCCTGTCCCCAACACTCCATTTCTGGGCAAGACGCCTGAGTTTGTGAGTGGCATCACACTCCAGGTAGGCGAGGTGGATTATTTAGATCCATTTCAATCTTACTTCAAGTCTGACTATGGGACTGAGGCAGATTTAGTCACTTTAGTGGGCTATATACACCAGGAATTGGCAGAGGGGATATCTCTCTGTTGGTTCTGCAAGACCATCTAGGCAGCTTTCAATACCATCAACTCTCGTAACCATCTGAGTGAGACAGGACTTGCAGGCTTCATTTCGTGGAGTTCCAGGGGTGGTTCTAGAAGGTGCTGCTGGGGGATTCCTGTTAGACCCCTTGGCCAATGTCCTAGTTCCATCTTGTACCCAGTTCTATTTAGCATCCACATTAAACCACTAATTTTTAGGGTTTGGTGTCACCAACGTACTAATGATACCCAACTCTCTCTCTCCTTTCCATCAAATTCCAGGGAAACCGGTCCATGTTTTGAATTGGTAATAGACAAGAGTAAGGGTAACAAATTGAAGCTTAATTCAGACAAAATAGGCATTCAGTAGAAATGCTGACCATGGAATGGGGGTTATGGAACGTAACACACTATTCTGTAATTTCTCTCATTCCAGCAAACTTCAAGGACAGGTAACTCTGATTTCATACTCTTTTCAGGTACACAACTGATTTGTCCATCCATGTTAATTAAAGGGGAGGGGGAAGGTACTGGCTACAGCAATCGGAAATCTGAGGGACACAAGATGTAGCAGGACCCCCTCCTCACTTGAAACTTACACAGCTACATTAAGTCACAATAAGGCCCACAAAGATGAACTGCAAGGAAGGCAACAGGTCTTGCTCCACCTTTCACGATTAAGGTAATTCTTGTTTGCAGACATTCAAGATAGCTACTGGTTTTCATTGTGACCCAGGGTAAGCACTGGCATATGAAGGGGGAAATGAAGTTGCCGAAAGGGTGGCTGTAGGAGGGCCCTATGAGAAAGAGCATTTCCTTTGCCACTTTAACAGGATGAATGAAAACAGGTCAAAGGAACTAGTACCTACCTCATTGCGAGAAGCTGCAGCACGGTGTAACGGGGTTAGCCAAAGGGTGTCCTTTGCATTAACGTTAGCACCTGCCCAAGGTGGATAGGAGAGATAAAGCAAGATCATATACTGACGAAAAGCATCCCTTGTCCCTGCACCCAATATTAGAATCCATTTATCCCCTTAAAATGCAATCCTAACCATGTTTTACTCAGAAGTATTGCTGAATTCAATGGGGCTTGCTTCCTGGTAAGTGGAGCTAGGATTGTAGCCATTATCTCACCATGTATTTGCAGATATGGGTCTTACTTGTTTTGCAACAAAAATGGCAGCAGACAGATTAAGAGGAAGAGAACATTGGCACTGTATTCAGAAAATGCCCACCATTCAAAAAGCTAAGCTGCAAATAAGTTGTGCACATATTGATTGTGCTATTGCTTAGACTGAAGAGCATGGTATTATCAATACCACACACATCTCAAGGTTAATGTTATGTTGGCCTCCTGAACTGTACAAAATCCAGTCTCACTTCCACTAACTTTAACTGTGCAACTGAAAAAGGCAGTCCAGTTGTTTAAATGAAAAGAACCTCTGACTCACAGAACTTTCTCACAAGGACAGAGATGCAAAATTCTTCTTAACGAAAGATACCATGTTCAGAAGCCATGCTTAAACATGCTTGAAAAGGAAGAATAATTAGTTTGTACAAGTAGGATCACATGATTTAGTGTCCTAATCCTCATCGAAAGAGAAATATCTGAAAACCAGCAGCTTTCAAAAACTAACACTTGTTTTTAAAATTATGTACCATCAATAGCCAACTTCTTCCATTACCATTAACTTGGAGACATTTAGCATATGCGTTGAGAACCATCTGTGCTGGCTTCACTGTCCAGAAAGCCAACTCTGCCCTGCAATCTACACAGGAAGAGTTACAGTGGATAGAGCGGTCTGTTTCAAAATAGCTTCACTGAATTCGAACGTTTCCATAAATCTTTGCTGCTGCAGAATCATGACTCCAATAATATTACTAGTAGCAATCTGCTAACTTTAGCACTTTTAATATGAAAGCACTTTACGATCCTCTCATTCATTCTTGTGACTGTTTAAATTGTAGATCATTATAATTCCTGCCTTAAAGGCCTGTTAACAGAGGATGAGCAATAGCAATTTGCCTGAAGCTGGAACTGAACATGGAATATACAGCTACCACCCCAGTTTAAAGTCAGTGTTCTCAACTGCAGGACTGCACAGGATCCTCTCTGTGACTCTGCCCCCCCGACAGTTTAGGCAGTGATATATACAAGTCTGCACCAAACTGCCACCAGTTCCCTCAGGATAGGAGGAGAAGGTTTTCTTTTTCTATTCAGCAAATGCCCTGGAGCTGCTAGACCCGACCACCCTCACCTCTTATCAACCAGAACATACACCTTCACTTCTTACCTGATAGTATTAGGAGTTCAAGAATAGGGGCGTCTCCCAAGTATGCAGCTGCATGCAAAGGGGTTCGTCTCTCTTGGTCCTGGTTTGGGGAAACACAACAGAGATAAATGGAAGGTGTTAAAGTGGAATCTAAAAGCCATGAGAGGAATCCAACATAGCACCACGGCAATTGTTTCATCAGTGCAATGGTTTGTGCTTGTGCAACAGAACATTCGCCTCCTCCCCTTCCCCTGCTCCAGAGGGTTGGGGGAACCCCTAGAACAGATTCAAGGGCGTATGGGGAAGTCCCATTGTGCAATGGGACCAGCTACTAGAATACTGTTCCATGCTGATGTTGCCATCCAATCTTTTCAGTCTATAGACCAATTACCTTGATGTGCTGAAATATGTAGCAATATCTCTGAGCTTATCTATCCAGTGACAAATTGAAGCTTAAGACGTTGGTATATAGGAAAAGTTGTGCAAAGACAAAGTAGCCGAAATTTTAAACCTGGTTGTTAACCCACGGCATTACTGACTGCAACCCTCAAAACGTGTCTGCCACAAGCCATGAAAGTTTGCTTAAAGAGTGGATCACCTTCAGCCAGGAGCAACTGTACACCCTGTAAGTAGAAAATCCATATGCCTGTTCTGCCCCATTGCTTTTCCCCAGTAACAATGGAAGGTACACTGGCTGGTCTGCTGGATCTCACTAGCTGATCACAGTGACATGACCTATGTAGGATACTGATTCAAAAGGCTGGCACTGCATTTGAATTTGATTGACTATTCTTAACTGCTGCCAAGTTAAATGAGCTTAGTAAACTCAGAACACGGATATCTTGTTGGAGGATTTACTCATCTAACTTTTGCTTTGGTTGCTTTTAATGAGTCTCACACGATAGCTTAACTACGATGATGATAGTTTATACTCTGCTCATCTGAATGGGTTGTTCCAGCCACTCTGGGCAGCTTCCAACATAATAAAAGCATAGCAAAAACATCAAACATTAAAAACTTACAACCACCACCACATAATAATAATAATAATAATAATAATAATAATAATCTGTTATTGAACAGAGAGTTAGAGCCAATTAATGTAGTGCAATGTTTTGTAATGTGCTTACCTAATATGCTCTTAGTGTAAGAGACCTTAATTTAGCCTTTCAAAAACTTGACATTGACTTTGAAAGGATTATATGAATTTAAGAAGCATTGACATGTCATTCATTGCCATCAAGACTACACAAATTGGTAGATCCCAGAAAAAAGTCCAAAAGCTTCAATAAGAAACATAACAAAAAAGCTCTCACACATAGCTTGAAATGGAAAAATGGAAATGTGAATAGAAATGGCATGTGAACTCCTCTTAAGGAGTATCTTCTCTTTCAGGATGACTAGTGAAATACTTTTGAAAGCAGTGCTTTCAAATGATACAAAGCCAATTCACATTGCTGCATATAGCTTAGACCCAAGACTCAAAGGCAGCAGTACATGGCTAGAGGGAATGTTGATGCAACCATCTTGCTAAAGTTAAGCAGGTCTGGGTCTGGTTAATGCTAAGATGGGAGAATATCTGGAAACCTCATGTACACATTCAGTCCTATGATAGGGCGGTTGACTATAAATGAGTATGATTTCTGTTCTCATCCTGAAGCAAAGTTCTTAACCTGAGGTACTATTTCTGGGTTAGCGGAGTCTGTAACCTGAAGCGTATGTAACCTGAGGTACCACTGTATTAAACAAACAATACATCTTAAGGCTTTTAAGCAATCTCAAATGCTGTGGTAAACAGAACAAGAAGGAATGCAATCAGAGTTTGATGACTGTATCACTCCTGCAACATGGTAAGGCCTTTATATAATATAAGAGTAGAAAGAGAGGGAAACCCCAGGCAAATGGGGGGGGCAGGGGGAGACTAAAGGGGTAGAATAAACCATTTGATGTTCAAAAGTTTATAATCCAGTGCATTTCTGACCCATCAGGTCCTCCCTCAGAGAATTTCAAAATTTCAATCTAATATTTTTATTTTTATTGTTTTATTAATAAAATATTCTACTTTCTTGTTTTAATAAAAGTTTAATCTATTCTTAGAAAACGTTCCCCACCCCTGCATTAGAGTATAGCAGCTGAGCTGAGCACTAAAAGTGAGGCTGAAATTTCCAACAAACATCTTCAAACTATTCTGGACACTTGGAAGAATGACTCCCTCAAAGACAAAGCAAGGTTGTTCTGGATGTAGACCTTGCTACTTCATTTGCTTCTAAACTTCATGCCCCAAACAAGCAAATCCTAAGAGCAAGACAAACAGCTCTGATAAGGCATAAAATCAAGGCTATCAAAAGGCAGGAAGCACCACTTAGGTTCTGTATCAAATCAACTAGCATTTGGCCTTTGGGTTTGGTGCCAAGTGCTTGGCATTAACTGCTCAGAAGGACATCAGTGCTCTAAGGCCAAATGATCAAATGTGTAAAGTGTTAAAAGGACACAGCCCCACACTTAAAAGTCGAAGCCAATTTGAAACATGGATTGTTGAGTCCTGAACTACTACTACTACTACTACTACTACTACTACTACTATCATCCTCATCCTCATCAACCTGCTTCTCACCCCTATGGTTCCAGAGGCATCTCTCTCATTTTTAAAAAGAAAGAAAAAAGAGTAAGTGAAAAAATAAAAAAGAGCAAGAAAGTCTAGCAATCAAGCCAAACTTAAATTTCATTTCTCAGCTGTGGAACGACTGATTTAGAAAACTGTGCATCAGCACAGATGAGCGGATCCATTCCAAGCAACTCTTTTTAATTCTTAGCTACTTAGGTCCCCTCTAACACATACACAAAGTGCACAACCAAGATCAGAGGAAAGCATTTAACCCTCATTCTGCAATCTTAAGCGCAAGAACACTAGTTCTATAAATTTAGTGGAACTTACAAGCAAATATAATTAGGACCAAGTTGTAAATCTTTTTTATTCCAGGGTGCATGGATAGGAAAATATCACATGAGTTGCTGTCCAAGTAATTTCCTCCCAAGTTTTTAATCAATGGACCCAAAGCAGGGTGACCATACAAAAAAAATGAAAGAAAAGAAACTTGCCCCCTGAATATCTAATATTTTATTATTACAAACTAGAATGAACCACTGCCAAGTATCAGTTACCACTATGGTTGTCTCCGAGAATAGGAAGTAGAAAATATGTGAGCTAACATTTATCAGAACTTCTGTTGGGGGAAATCAAAACAAGCTTTCAGAACTTCAGAGATCATCTTTAGGTACTTCATCAAAATGTACCAAGAGTTTGAATTCAGATACTGTGTTTAAAAGTGACCTATAGCTCTTGAGCCTAACCGACTCATGCTGTCATCTGTGGCACAAGTGTAACAACTGACAGATAAGACCCCTTCCTGGAAATTAGACACAGCAGACTCAAAATATAACTGGCATATTATATTGTAACACACTTCAGCGAGTGACATCAAGCTTAGCCGTCTCCATCAGATACAGGAAGTTTTGGGATTAGGCCAGGATCAAATTTTGAAAAAAAGGAGCAACAGGGGAGGCACAACAGAGGTTTCCAAAATAATGAATAATATGCAGAGAGAGGGTTGTGTTCAGTGAAGTCACAGTTCTGAATTTAAGTTACTCGTGTTCATTAACTTCAAGGGGTCTACTCTGAGTAGGACAAGCACTGAATACCACCCAGAATGTTTCCTTCTCTGAAAATGTTAGAACCGGAGATTGCCCAATGAATAATAATAATAATAATAATAATAATCATTTATTTATACCACGCCCATCTGGCTGGGTTTCCCCAGCCATTCTGGGCGGCTTCCAACAGAACATTAAAATGCAATAGTCTATTAAACATTAAAAGCTTCCCTAAACAGGGCTGCCTTCAGATGTCTTCTAAAAGTCTGGTAGTTGTTTTTCTCTTTGACATCTGGTGAGAGGGCATTCCACAGAGCGGGTGCCACTACCGAGAAGGCCCTTTGCCTGGTTCCCTGTAACTTGGCTTCTCGCAGTGAGGGAACCTCCAGAAGGCCCTTGGCGCTGGACCTCAGTGTCCAGGCAGAACGATGGAGGTGGAGACGCTCCTTCAGGTATACTGGACCGAGGCCATTTAGGGCTTTAAAGGTCAGCACTAACACTTTGAATTGTGCTCGGAAACATACTGGGAACCAGTGTAGGTCTTTCAAGACCAGTGTTATGTGGTCTCTGCAGCCGCTCCCAGTCACCAGTCTAGCTGCCGCATTCTGAAGACAAATGGAAAGTACTTTGCACAGTGTATACATTGAATTCACTCCCTCAGGATATACTGATAGTCCCCCAACTTGGATGGGTTAGACAAATTCACAGAGGATAATGCTATCAATGGCTACTAGTCACGATGGTAAATGTGTTGTTGGCATCTGTCCGTCTCAAGAGACAATGGAGATGAGTACAGTACTGTAAAGCTCAACAGTGTGGTTTCATTTTCAGCCTGAGAGCCAAGTCCAATAAAAAGTATCATCTTACTCAAAGTGCAACAAGGATTCATTTAGCTCAGTGCACTCGTTTGGTCACCTGGAATTATGTGCTTTGCTGGCAGTGTATCTGCCATCTATGTGGCACACTGTGACTTGGATGGGGCGGGGTGAGGATTGAACTAGTCCATGTGAACTATTGGGAGAGTTTGTTTGTCGCCTATTTCAAGAGGCAGCAGACTGTATCCTGCCCATCAGGGATCTGCCTAATAAAAGGTTGTTACCATTAACATGGTAAACAGTTGCCAATATTCTCACTTTCATTTTGTAGATTGCATGTCGCTAGTTTAACTCCATGAAGCACCACTTTTCATTTAAATCTCCCTCCCTCCACACACACCCAAGTCATCTACTGACATCTTTGCCCCTAAATAAAAGGCAAGCATGCAGCCGCATCAGCCTTTTCTTAGTTAAGTAGGAAACATGAATGTCTACATGTTACAATAAACCAGGGCTGCTGGCTATCCTGACTTATTGGAATGAACACTGAGTTTCCCAAATACTCCTCTTTTACTCCTCTCTGGCACTAGTGGCAGAAACAAACCAGGAAGCCATAATTAAGCTTAGTTTTCCATGACGTTTGAATCTTGTATTGTGGTTTGTTTTTTACCTAACGAGCCGGAGGGGGGCGGCGGACCTCCTTTTATGGCTGTCTGACAATCCTGGCTTGTTAGGAAAATACAAACCACGATCCCAAGTTCAGATATTGCAAAAAGTCAAGCTTAATTGCAGCTTCCTGGTTTGTTTCTTCCACTTGTGCCAAGGGTGGAATAAAGAGGGAGAAATCCCTCTGCGTTCCCGAGCAACCAGCAGCCCTTGGCTATCAACATGTATCAATGCACCAAGTCCTCCTCTAATACTGTGTTGCAGAATCGCTCACAGTTAGGAGGAAGTTTGGTTTGGCCCCTTGAAGCAGGAAGAATTTTAAGCAGGTTTCCTAAGGGATGCTCCTTAAATCCAATTGTTAGAACACTCTGAACTTGGGTGTCCAGAACAGATAATTGCTTAAACCATCTTATTATCCCACTGGAAATATGGCCCAAATATGTGTAATCTGCTTTAATGAGTATTCTTTACCAGTTCATCAAACTTGCTGCTCATGTGCTCAAACACCCAACACTCTAGATTTCTCACATTCCTGAGTCTGGGCTAATACTGATATGTTCTGGAGACAGCCTAAGATGCATTTAATTGTCACAACTCCTGGTTTGCTCCAAATACTAAGACCTTCTCACACAAAATCGGCTTATAATGGGCCTATATTAAATGCACCTCAGCTGAATGAGCTAAGATGAAATGAAGAGCCAATTACTGTTTCGTGGGCTAGACAAGAACAAGATGAACACCACTGTAACACAGGCTGTTCTCACTCAGAGGCCACAAGACTAATCCAGAACACACTTGGTGCCAAAGAGAACAGCTGATCCCAGTGCCACCCACCGCTCTGTACAGCTAGACTAATACATCTGGTACAGCCGATTCCCAACAAAGTCAACATTTACTGGTGATGTGTGGGCCTTTCAGCCCTGTATACCAATTCTGTGTCTGCACAGTACTTCACAGTCTGTATCTGTCACTGCAACAACCCTGTGTTCACAAACATTCCCATTTTACAAATGGGAAACTGAGGTCCAGAGATGAAAACTAGGCAATAAACCTACCAAGAGTGTGACTAAGCTGGATTCCAAACCCATGTCTGTCAAAGACCAATATCCAGTCACTGCACCACAATGGCAAAACATCAAATAGTTAAAACAAGCATTTAAGCTTGCTAAGCTGGGAAACTTTAATAGATGGGTTGCCAACGTTGCACCTGCGGGCACACCAGCACCTGCAGAGGCCTTCCCTGGAGCCACAAATTTCAACTACTCTGCCCCTCAACCTGCTGAAATTATTTTATTATTATTTATTAAATTTATATCCTGCCCTTTATCCACATCAGGGCAGTTCACAACATAAAATTACAATTAGGCTTGAAATAAACAAGCAGTGGTTTTTAAAGCCTAACTGCTAGCAGAAGGGGAGAGTGATTGCATGTGTGTGACTGCAGTGTGCACACAGGTATAGTTTTTGTGTGTATGGTATCCACAACAGCTTTGCTGGTTTGCAAATGTGTCCATGGGCCCAAAGATGCTTCCAACCCCTGCTTTAGCACATCTAGTTCTTAAACACAAATTCTAAAAGGGACACATAGTACATGGATCAATTCGTACTCCCCTGCTCTACCCGCAATGCGTGTGTGGTGGTGAGGGGAGCTTAGCCAAAAGGAAAATGTAATCTTCATGCAAAGTTGAAAGAAGCAGGTTCAGTATTAGAAGGAAAAACTGGTTCTCCAAAACTTACCAGTACATTGATATTCTCCTTCTGGCTCAGCAATGACCGTACTTCCTCTATATCACGATTAAAGATGGCTTGGACCAGAGGAGGCTATAAACGAGGAGAAAAGAGCAACTGTAAAATAAGGAGGATGAGAAAGGGAATAGCTATGTGCTAGCTTATTATTTCATTTTTTCCCATCTGGATCTTTGTTATTTTTACATACAGGCAACTCCCCGTTTGCGCAGAGATTGTACCCCGGGTCATTACATGCATTGGCAGAGTGTACATAAGCCCACACCACCCCATTCTGGGGCCAAAAACAGCGCATGCACCACTGGTCATGTGCCAATTGAACATGTGCAAAATGGTTGTCCCCTGCAGTTGTATTCCCTTGTTATATTGTGAGCCCCTTTGTAAAAAATGAGGCCTTGAAAAGCAGCCTCTGGGAGCTCATAACCAGGACTTCTGAGGGTATTTTGAAGGAGAGGCCTGGAGTGCTGTCTCACGGTATACATAGGACCAAGACATGTGGATGGCAAGAGAACTGCTGCAGTGACTTGCAACACCTGTACCATGTTTGTCTTCCTACCTGAGAATGTGCAAAACTACAACCGTGCAAGCTGGTTGCCTTGCTGGAAGAGAAGGTACAACAACTTGAGGCCTGCCTTTTCACCCTTTGAGCTACTGGGCAAGATGAAAAATTTCTCGCTAGAGCAGAATGGCCTGGAACAGCGACAAAGGTGGGGTGCCCCTAGGGAGGAGGAAGAGTGCCCATAGCAGGAGACAAACCCCTGGCGGAACATGACACACATAAGCAGGACAGCCAGGAGCCATGCTGTGTCACTAGAGCTGCAAAATCAATGCCATGCCCTCACCCCAGACACAGATTTTTGGGCCAGAGGCTTGCAAGAGTGGTGAAAAATAATTTTTAAAGGTTTCCTCAGCTGTGTTTGAAGCAAGTAATATGTCCTTTGTGTGAAGAAGACGGAGAATTGCTATTCTGACAGACGTAAGGCGGAATTGCCTGGTGCCTGTCTTCACCCAAAAGGAAAGCAGTGGCCAACCTGGTGATTACAGAATAAATGATGCAAGAAGGCGGCTGAAGACCAAGGTACAAAAAGAGGTGGTAAGGAAAACACTTAGCTACTTTGCCTCTGTCTATAATCTGTGAGAATTCTTGGAGAACAAGTGAGGTCCCTGCAGACTGGAGACAGGTAAATGTTGTCCCCATATTTTATATTTTATTTTATTTATCAAATTTGTGTACCATCCTTCATCCGTAGATCTCAGGGTGGTACACAGAGTAAAATACAAGACAAAAACATTAAATACTTGATAAGAACAAAACCAATAAACCTCCCCCCCCAACACATTTAAATGAGGTATAAGATGTTAATTAGCCAAAGACCTGGTTGAAGACACCAGTTGAACCACCCTGGGGAGAGTATTCCACAAATGGGGAGCCACAGCAGAAAAGGCCCGTTTTCATGTTGCTGCCTTCTTTCATGCAGGGGGGCACATGAAGATCGGTTTCAAATTATGATCTCAGGGTCCAGGTAGGTTCGTGTGAGGAAAGGCATTACTAGAGGTATTGTGGTCCTGAGTCATAGGACAAAGCTAGCACTTTGAATTGGGCCCAGAAACTAATCGGCAGCCAGTGCAGTCAGGCGAGGATCGGTGAGCGATCTGGCCACCAATTTCTACAGCCAGAGGAATCTCATTTCTTTTTTTGATAAAAGTTACAAACTTGGTGGATCAGGGGAATGCTGTGAATGTATTGTATGTTGATTTCAATAAAACAGAGGTTGGGCCATCTGCTGTGAAAGCTTTAGTTGAGATTCCTACATTGCTGGGGGTTGGACTTGATGACCCTCAGGGGTCCCTTCCAACTCTACAATTCTGAGATTCTCTTATTCTAGAAATAAACAAATATAGCATGCCACAAAAATCTGAACAAGGTATAAAAAGCCATCTCTCTAAATAGGTTGGACTGACAATTCACCTAAACAGCACAACACACCAAACTCATTTTTCAAAGGTATCAAGACGACTTTCCTAACACCAGTGAGAGACCGAAGTTGGGAGTTTCATAGGTACAAAGCCACTGATCAAATCTGGGACCTAATACTGAAATATGCATACTGCAACTAAACTATGGCCCCTCCTTAGAGATACAGACTAAATAATACCTGCTACTACAAATATAGAGATTTCCAAGCACTGGATGCAAAGGGCCAAATTCAGTAAAAGCCTCTATCAGGTTTTTATATCTGACTTCTGTGAATGTATTTCTTCTTGCTTTTTTAATAAAGCAATTGTGTTAAGTCAATTACCCTAGAACAGAAACAATACGTGTTGGTGATTATCTTTAAAGCCTTAAATGGCTATGGTCCAGGATTCCTGAGAGATCACCTCCTCCCATAGCAACCTACCTGCTTCCTAAGATCAGAAGCAGGGTGGAAGCATCTAAGGTGGAAGCATAATTGATGGTGACAAGAAATAGGGCCTTCTCAGTGGCTACACCTATACTATGAAATGCATTATGGATGCCCCCCCTCTGCCTTTTTTCACCAGCTGGGGAAGACATTTGTATTCCAACAGGCCTTTGCCTTTGCCTTCAAGGTGCTGCTGTTTTATTTAAACCTATGTTTAAACCTATGCCTGTCATATCTTCCTTCACATTTTATTCTGCGTCTTTATTTTTATTGTATATTTTTCATTGAATGTTTGTTGTATGTTGTATTGCTTTAAACTGTTCTGGAAACACTGAGTGGTGCACGGACACTAGAAATATGAGACAGAAATCGCTATATAAATAATGAGCCAATTAATCTAAATACCCATAAAGCAAATGCTTAATTTGACAAGTCAGGGCGGATGCACCAGAATTCTCTAGACTACTGACAGTGTAACTACAATTCACGAAGTCAATGAAGGAAAACATTTACCTAAATTCACAGGGTTGGCGCATGCAAATACTTTTGAGCTTGCCTTTTACCGATGATAGGTAATAAAGAGAAAATTATGCTGAATCTTCTGGCTAGCTGTAGTTCCAAAGGCAAGTATCCACAAATTTTGGCTCAGCTCAGTAGACAAGTGACTATTCTGGGTTGCCACTGACATTTTCTGCTATCCCAGATTCCTGTGGTATGCACAGCTCTACAGCAGGCAGAATCAGCACAACTCTTGCTGCTTCTGCATGCTCCAAAGCTCAGTGTAAAATGCAAGAACCTCCCCCGCTTCCAACATTTCTGTTCATTCCAGAGGACTCAAAAGAAAGGAAATAGAGGTCTTACGTCATGCTGAATGTTGGCACTTCTGCCTGTTCCAAGCTTCAATGCAACAACACAGGAGACCTCCTCTGAGTTTTCTGCAATTTGTACTTCCTTCTGGACATTTAAGGCTCCAGTCCCAACCACACTTACTCAGGAGTCACCCCACTTAATTCAACTGGACTTACTTCTGAATGCACATGATTAGGATTGCAACCGAAACCTATAAAACTTACGAAGCTGTCCTGGAGTTTGACCTAAAGATATTTCACAATTGTTTAGGGGAAATAAAGCACACGGATCTAAGGGCACAATGCCTATTCAGCTATACTGTCAGCAGCTATACCTTTCAATACCACCCAGTCCACACACACACATCCTGCATATTTCTATGTACACTGATCAGAATGTAAATTCATTTTGACTGCATAACTCTACCAAGCCTTTCCTTGTGCACACACAATGCTTAACACGCAAGGCTTGTAAGACTCAATTATTTATCATTTATAGCTCTGGTTTGCAAGGCATACACTGAATAGGCATGCAATCAAAGTACACAAGCAAGCTGGACCCCTTATCTACTTGGCACAGCTCTAAACAGCAATCCCATGAGAAGAGGGAAAATACAGTAGAGCTGTACCAAATGCCCCCATGGCCCTCCTACACACAGTGCAGCCTAGTAGAAAGGCAGAGTGGTTGCCCGTCCCATCTGCTCATCTCGTCTTCCAAAAGAAAAACTCCAGCCTCTGCAAATCTTTCCAGATGCAGCATTTTTTGTCCAGCTAACCCCAGGTTTACTTCCCTCCACCAGAGTGCTTGGATATAGCAGCAAAAGGAGGAAGGCATAAAGGGGGAGGAATGAGTCATCCAGATGAAATGCAGGGGACTCTGCATCCCTCCTTTAGGGAGAAGAACAATTCCTAGATGATCATCATGCCTCCACAATTTAGAGTTGAGCACCTACTTGAGCAGCTGGAATGACACACCCAATAAGGTGAATGCTTTAGCTTCAAAAATCCAAGTTACATTTGTGTGGTTGAAGTGCTGGACCTGGAAAACCTAATGGCACCTATCTATCGACATAATGGGAACATTATTGGGGCTGGGTTTTTTTTAGAAATTTCCAAGAACCTGTTTCAGATTTTTAGTGCCAGCCAGAAGGGGTCCAGAGGTAAAACCCACTAACAAAAAATTTCTAGCTCAAGCTATCGGAAACTTGGAATTTTGCAGGCCTCGATATAAACAATTTACCTCATAGGGTTGGCATGAAGATAAATGAGAATTATTGCCATGCACTTTGCGATTGAATATGCTTTGGAAGCAATTATCATATATGCCAGATTCTGGCTTCCAACTCCAAGAAATGGAGGAGGCAGTGCATCTGTTTGCACATACACGTAAGTCCCTGACAAGTACAATACAAGACAGGCCGGGGGGGGGGGGGGCATTGTCTATCATTCAGGCAAGTGAAGCCCAGAGACAGTCCTGGAGAACCAGCTCTGTTCCTTCTTTACCCAATGGCAACAGATGGATAGCAGGGAAGGCCCTCCACTCATACTACCCAAACTCCTGAAAGGCATTTCACCAATAATGATGATGATGATGATGATGATAATTACTACCACCAGGCAGATCGATCAGGTGGAGCTTAGAACTCAAATCACATCTTCACCATACATTTAAAGCACACTCACACCACTTTAACAGTCATGGCTCCCCACCCCCCAAAACAACACTGGAAACTGTGGTTTTTTTAAGGCTGCTGGGAAGTGCAGCTCTGTGAAGAGCCTCCTAACTAAGTACCCTTTATGTACAGTTCCCAGGATTATTTGTGGGGAGCCATAAGAGTGCTTTAAATATGTGTTTTGGATGTGATCTCAGGCACTGCAGTGACTCTGCATTGGCCAAGTAAACATTGCACACTTAAGTAAAAAGGCAAAATTCCTCAACGTGGGTGGTATTGAAAGAATAAATGTTTCTGGGATGCCTGGAGAAACAGAAAAATGAGTAAGATATTTTGGTTACTATCCCTAAGTTTACTCATGCACATAGTAATTATTTTCTACATTAAGTAAGGGAAGCCCCTGTTACAGGAATACTTAATGCAGAACCCTTGGGGTTTCATTATATCCTGTAACAGAATATCGAATGGTCAACTGACATCAGGTTTACCGTCTTCTAAGAAGCAACGGGTGTAAGAGAAATTCAACATATGTTTCCTGCTATATTCACAGAATGAGGATCAGATGCCAATCTACTGGGAAACATAGGGCAACCCTAATGGAAAGATATCATTTTATGGAAGAGATAAGCAGGATTAACCTCATGCAAGTAACAAGAATGGAGAAAATGCACAGGCTATGCAAGAAACCAACACAAAGGCCAAAAGCACAATAGCACTAGAAAGATTTGAGATTTACAAGGTGCAAAAGGGGAGAGGGTGGTAGAAAAGGGGCAAGTCACCTTTTGCAAGTGTGTTTATATGCATGTGAACAGAAACAAAGTTCATGAAAAATTTCTTGCCCATCTGTGCCACAACGCAGCTGAGCAGCAAGGCTGACTTTGGCCAGAAGGAATTGTCATTTGCCTTGGACCAGTGGTTCAACTTCCAAGGCTCTGAAATGGAGAGATGTTTAAGAAGTAACAGGAGGCTTGAACCATGGGCAGATACACTGGTCTGTATAAATGAATAGGGGCATTAGAAAAAAATAACAGAGGAAATAACAGAGGCAATCCAAAGACCTGGCCAAGTCTGATGCAGTGATGGATGGGGGAAGCAGACTACGGACAAGAAACAGGCTTGTTAGAAAAATCTGTCTATACCTGGGGAAGGTTCCTGCACCTTTTAGAACTTGCACAGAAAAAGAAGTCCTGCCAGGTGCAAGTTCTTCTTTCGCCCCAATACTATGATATGTGTGTGTGTGAAATTCACCTTTCTGTTGCCACTTCTAAAAATACACAAAAGGTCCTGTGGCAACAGAGGGAAAATATCGTTTAGGTTGGGGAGGGAGGTGTTTGAATCTCAGAAAGCAGGAAAGAGAGAGGTAGAAGCTAGCACAAAGTGTTAGCAATGGGGAGAGGAGAAACGTGTGTATGGGGGGGGGGTGAATTCGCAGGTGCAAATGCGAGTCAAAAAGCTGGTTCCGAGGATTAGATAGATAGCTAACTAGACTATGGAGATGGAGGGGAAAGCGAAGGGATTTTCTAGCAGAGGCAAGGAAGAGAGCCGAGAGCCTGGAAAACAAGCAGCTCCTTCGCCTTAGGCGGGAAAGAAACGAGGCTTCTGCGCGGAGCCCGGGCGCCGACGGCCTTCTCGGGATGTCGGCGGCGGCAGCATCTGGCTCGGGCCCAGGTCCGCCCGCTCGGCTCCTTTTCTCCTGCCTCCCCTCGTTCTCCAGTCTTGAGGCCGGGGTTCCCTCAGACGAGACCCCAGGGCCGCTCCCGGCGCGCGAGGGTGGGCGGCTCCACACTAGGCCGCGCATCCCCGAGCTGGAGTAGCCGGCGCGGCCGAGCGCGGGAAGGCGGGAGCCGAGGCCGGGTCTGGTGCCGACGTTTGTTGTGCAGGATGGTGAGGGAGGGAAGGAGGGCGGCGAAAGCTCCTTTTCTCTCTCACACACACGCACGCACCCCCCACCCCCACCCCGGTACCTGGTCCGTGATGCTGAGAATCCCCATCTCCGGGCGGGGCCGCCCCCCGCGCTTCGCTCAGCAGCGCCGCCGCCTCCTCCGAGCTCCCGGCATCGATCGCGCTTCGGCTGCCGCGGCGCCCTCCGGCTGCTGGTGGTGGGGCGGGCGGCGAGAGCAAACTGAGCCCGCCCACCGGAGGGAGGAAGGCAGCGAGAGGAGGAGGAGGAGAGGAGGAGGATGTAGGCCTGCGCCGAAGCAGCGACCCCTGCCGGGGAGGCCCAGCCGCCGAGGCCCGCCCTGTCCCAGGGGGCGGCGAGGTCGGCAGTCCGCCCTGCACATCTCGAGCGAGGGCTGAGGGACTCTCGTTCCAGGCCTTCTCTCCTGAGGGGAGAAATGGCCCAGCCCTGAGGCGCTCACGCAGCGTCCTGGGAGGCGGGAGGCGGCTTATTATTTTTACCTCAGGCGCTTCCAACGGCTTTAAATTTATTCTGGTTTCCCTTTCCCGCAAATATTATTTTTGTTGCTTCACTTAATTCGGGGGTACAGGGCACCTCTGGCGCCTCAGAGTAACACCCAAGCGCCTGGCACTAGCCATGCCATATCCACACTCAGCCATATGGGCTGGTAATAAATAAAGTATTATTATTATTATTCTTACAGTATTACTATTATTCCTGTTCCCAAATGCCTACTGAAACATCCTAGGCCCCATCGCTTTTTGTTTTCTTTCCCTACACATAAAAGTAATGCGATTTGGTGTTTCTTAGGGGCTCCTCCCTTCTAAATTTCATCGCCCATTATGTTGTGAGACCTAAGGGACTGGCCTGCAAATAATTTTTTAAAAATGTTTTGTGAAGTGCAGTATACAAAATGCGGCACTAGGCGGTGAAAGCAAGCTATGCAAGATTCGATGTATTTTTTCAAAACTTTTTTTAAAGTAAAAAAGCATTTTCACAGTGTTTTTTTTAATATGTGTGCAGATTCCACCCTGCTTGATGCACAGGAAAGGCAACACCAAGGGAGGGTTTCCAATTCGATTTAGCCATTCTGATTTGGGACTGTTGTGGTGTTTGCTCTGTATTGATTAATGTGAAGATGGCGGGCGTATGCAAGCCACTATGGGAGTGATCCCCCAAGGCTCAGAGTTGGCACTAGGGCCTTCTCAGTAGTGGAGCCCTCCCTGTGGAACATGCTCCCTTCAGATGTCAAAGAGATAAATACACAACTTTTAGAAGAGATCTCAAGGCAGCCCTCTATTGGGAAGTTTCTAATGCTTGATGTTTCATTATGCTTTTATATATCCTGTAAGCCGCAACAACAGCAGCAAGAATACTCATTGCAAAGTATTGGAAGACACAAGAGCTACCCACACTGGAGGAATGGCAGATGAAACTAATGGACTTTATGGAATTGGCGGAAATGACTGGCAGAATCCGTGACCAGGGAGAAGAGTCGGTGGAAGAAGATTGGAAGAAATTTAAAGATTACCTACAGAAATATTGCAAAATTAAAGAAAGTTAGAGTGATGATGGACTGAAATTAAGTGGTTTCTAGCTGTACAGGCTTTAAAGTTATATACAGATCAAGATTAAGGATCAGGATTAAAAAGGTTAAAAGAATGGAAAATTGGCTATTAATAGGTAAAAAGTTAATGTTATATTATATTGAGATTAAGGATTGGGATTAAATAGGAGGGAAAGGAATTGCTGGACAAACAAACTGGATTGGAATACAAAAGAGGGAGGTATGAGGAGGTCCAGAAAATAAGTAAATTCAAAGTAGTGATGAAAAGCTGGAATTGTTTTTAACTGTTTTTTTTTTCTTTTTTCTTTTCTTTTTGTATTGTGTATTGGGTATTGTGTATTTTTTTTTTACTTTTAAATTTTTGTTTTTATTGATGTGTTTCTTTTTATCTGAAATTTTAATAAATATCTTATATATATATATCCTGTAAGCCACCCAGAGTGGCTGGGCAAACCCAGCCAGATGGGTGGGGTAGAAATAATAACATTATTATTATTAGCAAACAGATGCAGCCAGAGGGTTTGACTCGGAAGAAGCCCTAGCTTCAGTTCAAGTAGGCTTACTTTTTCCTAGGTGAGCAAGGGTGCCAACTTGAACAAAATATTGGGGGGAGCCAGGTAAACCCAGCCCTGCATTTGATCACATGATACATCACATGCACAGCATTTGAATGGCAATGTCCATCAAATTTTTTTGAGGGGGTGACCCCCTCAAATATTTCATTGGAGGGGCCGAAGACCCCTCTGCCCCTAGAAGCAGGTGAGAGTGCTTTAAGGTGGCAGGCCTAAAAATATTGCAGACCCTCCAAGTGTCCCTATTTTCTGGATTTACAGATTTGATCCTAGAACGTCCCAAGGACTTTTTTCATTGGAGAAATGTTGAAGAGTCTCCTTCTTTGGCGATCACTTGTAGCTGAGGAAAATAGCCTTCCATGAACACGGTTTTAACAGTGAGTACGTAAGTGACTGTGGAGGCCAAGTCTGGATCCACACATCCTTCCACAGTGGGCACATAGGTTTCTAGGTGGGAATTGATCATGGTGAGGGTTTGTCAAATGTGTCTTCCTCTTAGCATGTTTCTCCCTTTTGTCCTGAGTTCAAGTGTCTTCAAAACCCATGAAACCTTTGGTAAAGGCTGTTCTCCAATGGGAGCACTCGCAGGCCAGTGTCCCAATTGTTGATGCTTATACTACATTTTAAAAAATTTGCCTTGTCTTTAAACCACTTTTGTTGACCACCAGCATTACGCTTTCCATTTTTAAATTTGGAATAGAGTAGCTGCTTTGAAAGACAGTAATCAGGCATCCGAACAACATAACTAGTCCAACAAAGTTGATGTTGAAGAATCATTGCCTCGACATTGCTGATCTTTGCTTCTTCTAGTACACTGGCATTAGTTGGAGGGTATGGGGTTATGCGACCCCCAAGCCAAGGTGACAAATAATTATACAACATTTAGAAAACGTCTGAAGGCAGCCCTGTATAGGGAAGCTTTTTAATGTTTATTATGTTTTTATATATGTTGAAAGCCACCCAGAGTGACTTGGGCGATGCTGTTAGATGGGCGGGGTATAAATAATATGATTAGTAGTAGTATGGAATAGGACATCCCTATTTTCATCAGAGAAATGTTGGAGGGTATGTTAACTGATTAATAAAAGCTACATGTGCAAAACTCATGAAAGGTACAGGCAACTCTCTATTTACACTGGGGGTTACGTTCCAGGGGATAACGCGTACAGCCATAATTGCATATAGTCAAAACACGATGGGGGCCGTGGCAGGTGGTATTGCCAAAGTCTTTTTTCCCAGGATACCCACCCACCCATTTTTATTTTATTTTTTAAAAATTTCGCCAAGTGCATAAAACTGAATGCACACAAGTTAAATGTCTGTAAGTTGTGAATTACCTGCGTATGTGCCGTTTAAAGAAACAGCGTCCATGTTTCTCAGTGCCCACAATATTCATTCCTCAATAAAAAGGTGTTGCATGCATTGCTTCTAGGAAGATGATTGGAACAGGGGTTCCCAAAAGGTGGTCTGTGGTGTGGACCACCTTTAAGCTTCATTCAGGGGGACTGCAGCATTTCTGTAAAAATACAATAAAAATCATAGCATCTAGCATGGTATGTTACAATTGCTACACAAGGCAGAATAATTATTAAGTAGTCCTCCAAGACCCTCAGCAAATTTGAACTGGTGTATGGGGGCGGGAGAGTTTGGGAAACATTGGCATGTAAGATTAGAGCCATAGGATTTGCACTGTTAAATAAACATCCAGGTTGATATCCTGTGTTGGTTCAGGCTGTGTGCATAACTCGTGAAAGTTAGTTTCATAACTATCCAGAGAGTAGAGAAATAATGACTTATAATAGCGTCAATTTAATCTGGCATAAGCGTGCAATTACAGCTGAGTTGAACAATAGCCACTGGCAGGAAAATGTTTATGACTCTTCCCTAAATATAAAATGACAGACCTTTCACAGGTCTCCTAAGAACAGATTTCCAACCAAGATGTCTCAAGCGTATGCATTTGATCTTGTCCTGTCATTACAACCCATGCTCATTCTTCATATTGCCAGGATCAGACTATTTCACCTTGTCACATTTGTTAAAAGCAAAGCAGAATGTCAGATAATTAGATTTCCTGTCAGTTCCATTTATTTGGCATATTGGAGAAGAATTGCTGTCTTTCTTTTTCATTATTTCTTCACACTCATTACATATTAACAGAATTGAGATCGGCTCCTACCACTAACCCAATCTCAAGCCTTAAATGTGCTTTCCTTTCTGTATATCATAATGAAGATACTGTGTCAAACATATGTGTTGCTTTTACAGGATTGCATGGGGAGGGCTGCATTTGTGGTGAGGCTTTGGCACAAAATTTCTCAGGCCCAGTAGAGGGCAGTATCCACTGTACTTTCCGGTGCCATGGTTAAAAATTGCGCTATGCAGTAACCAATGAATTTACAGTTGCCAACTTCTTAATCTGCCCCTGCAATTCTGCTTCTAACAGTGTCTGAATATGCAGAACATTAGCAGGAGGTTTTGCTTCTCCATGCTGTGAAAAGCTTTGCCTGATTTCTGCAAGTCACTGTTAAAGGCACAAGGGGAAGGCAAGCTTTCACCTGGCACTGGATTAGACCAGAGAAGTGCATAAATTGCAGCACTGGTAATAATAATAATAATAATAATAATAATAATAATAATAATAATTTATTATTTGTACCCCGCCCATCTGGCTGGGTTTCCCCAGCCACTCTGGGCGGCTTCCACAGAGACCAAAAATACACTAAAATGTCACACATTAAAAACTTCCCTGAAGATGTCTTCTGAATGTCAGGTAGTTGTTTATCGCTTTGACATCTGATGGGAGGGCGTTCCACAGGGTGGGCGCCACTACCAAGAAGGCCCTGTGCCTGGTTCCCTGTAACCTCACTTCTTGCAGTGAGGGAACTGCCAGAAGGCCCTTGAAGCTGGACCTCAGCGTCTGGGCTGAATGATGGGGGTGGAGATGCTCCTTCAGGTATACTGGGCCGAGGCCGTTTAGGGCTTTAAAGGTCAGCACCAACACTTTGAATTGTGCTCGGAAATGTACTGGGAGCCAATGTAGCTGCACATTTCTGTGCTATCCAGACTTAAATCTCTTCCATTGGCTAAAATCTCTTCCATTATACAGTACATTGTTTAATCAGGAGCACTGATTCCAACAACTCGCAATGTAGAAATTTCAAATGATTAGAGTGCTTAGGAAAGAGGTCTTATCCTAACACTGACTGATGGCACGCCTACACGAACACTTTTAATTGTGCTCGGAAATGTACTGGGAGCCAATGTAGGTCTTTCAAGACCGGTGTTATGTGGTCTTGGCAGCCGCCCCCAGTCACCAGTCTAGCTGCCGCATTCTGGATTAGTTGTAGTTTCTGGGTCACCTTCAAAGGTAGCCCCATGTAAAGCGCATTGCAGTAGTCCAAGTGGGAGATAACTAGAGCATGTACCACTCTGGTGAGACAGTCCGCGGGCAGATAGGGTCTCAGCCTGCGTACCAGGTGGAATTGGTAGTCAGCTGTCCTGGATAAAGAATTGACCTGTGCCTCCATGGACAGCTGTGAGTCCAAAATGACTCCCAGGCTGCGCACCTGGTCCTTCAGGGGCACAGTTACCCCATTCAGGACCAGGGAGTCCTCCACACCAGCCCGCCCCCTGTCCCCCCAAAACAGTACTTCTGTCTTGTCAGAATTCAACCTCAATCCATTAGCCGCCATCCATCCTCCAACCGCCTCCAGGCACTCACACAGGACCTTCACCGCCTTCATTGGTTATTACGTATCTATCTACTCAGTTGCCTGCGCCGTTTCATGATATCACGGTCAGATGGGCATGAGGCTTTTTTTTTAGGAGATGGGACCTTTTGAAAGTACAGAGGTTCTCAGTATGAAGTGGATCCCGATTTATCTTATTTAAAGCATTTATCAACTGCTTTTCAGCACGCGCACACACCTAAAATGATAGTCATGAAATAACATCAAACATTGTAAACCTGGACAGACAAAACCTGGATTTTTTTAAAAAGCTACTTAATAGGCCACAGATGCCTACATAAAATGCATATGGCTAGCTGCCTCTTAAAATCAAGCAGTGATTCGAGGGACCTCAGCTAGAGGAGTTTTTGAGAGGTGAGAGCCTCAGAGGGAAAAGGTTTAACCTATACTCCCATCAACCTAGCATCCTACATATGCATGGAATATGGCAATAATAAGAGATGGAGATCAAATACTGCATTCAGATTTGGCCCCAAAAAAGAAATACAGAGCTCTACAGTGGTGCCCCGCAAGACGAATGCCTCGCAAGACGGAAAAACCGCTAGACGAAAGGGTTTTCCGTTTTGAAGTTGCTTCGCAGGACGAATTCCCCTATGGGCTTGCTTCGCAAGACGAAAATACCTTGCGAGTCTAGAGATTTTTTTTTCGCTTTCCCCCCCCTTTATCTAATCTGCTAAGCCTTTAATAGCCTTTAATAGCCTTTTAGCAGCTAATCCCCTAAGCCTTTAAGCCTTTAATAGCCGCTAAACAGCTGATAGCGCTAATAGCGCTAATCCGTCAATGGGCTTGCTTCGCAAGACGAAAAAACCGCTAGACGAAGACTCTTGCGGAACGGATTAATTTCGTCTTGCGAGGCACCACTGTATTTATAATTCCAAATGCATTTTACTTCTCTAGGTGTCTAACCTTGCTTTCATTTTTTAAATTATGAGATGTCAAATCAGTGCCAGGATTTGGAGGAACTTCAGACAAAGCATCCTCAGTAGGTCCCCATAAGCTAGAAGATGCAAACAGATACGGTAATTCTCTCCCATTGCTTCCAACCTATTTGGTTGCCAAAGTGCACTGAGTGAAATTTGCAATGCTGCTGGGACCGTTGCCATTCCCTGTGTGATTCCTACCTTAAAGTAATTAATTAATCTTTCTAACGGTTGCAAAAGGAATTTGTAATACTGTATAGGTGCTTTGCATTAATTGTATTGGGGCGTGTTCTGGTAGCTGAGTCCTGCACAGCACTCCGTGTGATTTAAAAATGAAATGAACCATGATTCATTCAATCAGCATTTCAGAGATTTTCCTAGTCAGAGCAGCATATATTATAGAGAACCAGTCAAGAGTGTTTGAGAAGTTTCCTTTCTTCCTGACCACCTCTCACTCTCCCTCCATTTTCCTCCCTCCATAATACAGTGGTACCTGCCGCCGGAGTGCAATTTCTGTTCTCATCCTGAAGCAAAATTCTTAACCCAAGGTAATATTTCTGGGTTAGCGGAGTCTGTAACCTGAAGCGTATGTAACCCGAGGTACCACTGTAGATCCATTTGGGAAGGTGTGGAGAAAGGAGAATGATGCAGTTTTGTAATTTCTTGGTAGTGATGGTGTAAGGGTAGTGGAAGCACATAGCATCACTGCTGGAGTTCAGGGACAGGACTAAGACTTTCTTGTTCCAGCAAGCGTTTCAAGATAGCATTGGGTTTTATGATAATTTTTTATTGATACTGTCCCATTTTCTGTGAAATGTTTTTATCTACACTGCTTAGAAATGCAAATACATAGTTAAGTGGTGTAGAAATGTCTTAAATTCAGTTTTTTAAAAAATTGATTGCACTATGTGAACTGCATGGCCTTAGAAATTACATTCTTCCTATATGTCTTAACAATGGAGTTATGGACAACTGAGAGGAACTCTTATAGACCATACAACGTCTCTTCTAATCTTACTCAACTTTTCTGTAAACTAAATAGCTCCAAACTTATAACTTTTCCTCATTTGGGGGTGTTGCTCCATTTCCTTGATCATTTTGGTTTCCCTTTTCTGAACCTTTTCTACCTCTAAAACACATAACACATGGCGTTAGTCACAATCCATATCTATCCTGCATCCATCCTGTCATTTCTAAGTAAATACTGTGTTTTGGTGTTTCCCCACTCAAACCAGCACATACCAAACCTGCTTTGATTCATATTGAGAAAAAGAACGACCTAGTTGTGTTTTAAGCTGGTACAGTGGTACATAAGGTTAAGTACTTAATTTGTTCCGGAGGTCCATACTTAACCTGAAACTGTTCTTAACCTGAAGCACCACTTTAGCTAATGGGGCCTCCTGCTGCTGCCGCGCTGCCACAGCACAATTTCTGTTCTCATCCTGAAGCAAAGTTCTTAACCCGAGGTACTATTTTTGGGTTAGTGGAGTCTGTAACCTGAAGTGTCTGTAACCCGAGGTACCACTGTAATGTGTAAACAGTCTCAGGTTGTTCAATAAAGGCATTCGTTTTTTAAAATGCTGGGACATCCTTAAAATTCCACACATAATATTGTGTCCATTGTTATAGCAGGGAGTAGGAACCTGTGGTCCTCCAAACATTGCTGGACTCCAACTCCCATCAGCCGCAGTCAGCGTAGCCAATAGTCAGCAATGATGGGTGTTCTAGTTCAAAAACCTCTGAAGAGCTGCAGGTTCCTCATCCTTGGCTCATGAGGAGGTGAAAGCTCATCTTCTCCCTATCCTCTGCCTCCTGCTCCTAAAGAACAAAGTAATGTTCAACATCCATTGTGGCCTCAAGATGACTTGGGAATTTTGGGTGCTTTTTCTCTATAGCAAATGACTGTGATTGCAAAGTTCTGATCTTCTTAATAAATATGTTTTTTTTTTGTTCCAGAGATGGTGTCAGGGGAGTTAAGTTTTGCTCTCCAGCCAACTTCACCACCTGGCCTCGTTTAAGGAAACTTTTCTATAAGGAATTGGAGGTTCCCTTGCTTTAAAAGTTGAGTTGTGGCAATTTTTATACCCCAAAAGGCATGAGTCCACACGAGCCAATCCACCCCCCATTCCATTCCAGGGTGGGATGAGGAGGCACTCATATTGTTCTAGCCGGCATTTCAGAGAGTCTTTGAGATTGTCAAGTATGATATTGGTATACAGTGGTACCTCGGGTTACAGACGCTTCAGGTTACAGACTCTGCTAACCCAGAAATAGTACCTCGGGTTAAGAACTTTGCTTCAGGATGAGAACAGAAATTGTGTGGCATCGCAGCAGGAGGCACCATTAGCTAAAGTGGTACCTTGGGTTAAGAACAGTTTCACGTTGAGAACAGACCTCCAGAACGAATTAAGTTCTTAACCCGAGGTACCACTGTATTTGCTGCTGCTTGTATTCTGTTGTCTACTTCTTGTGCTTATCAGTCCTTTTATTTCCTGTGGTTTAGCATGGACTTTAATTTTAAAATTTTGTCAACTACCTTGTGGAGTTACAGATTGAAGGGTGGAGTGCAAATCCTTAATAAATGAATGAAAACCCCTCTCCCCCAAGTGCATTAGAATTCCTTCATTTATAAGCAGAAACTGAAAAGGCAGAAAAAGATGCTCCCATTTACAACCTTTATTGTAAGTATGACAGGGTGGTTAACAGTGCAGTTCTATAAATGTCTACTTAGAAGTCAGCCCTACTGAGTCCAATGTGGCTTAACTCCATGTTATGTATATACAGCAGGAGTGTCGGTAAGAAGAGATCCAAATGATCTTGAATATGCATCGCAAGGCTGCAAGCCTCTCTATACTAGGAGTAACTTTACTGTACACTGAGGCTGCAGTCTGATACACACTGCATATTTCAAATAAACTTGCCTAGGATTGGGCTGTGCAACTGGGAGTATACCATGAGAGGTTTGCTGTGTACAGGATCAGCCTTACTTGAAGCAGTTCCTTTGAACCAGGGGTGTAGCGTGGGGGGTGCAGGGGGGGCCGGCTGCACCGGGCGCAACATCTGGGGGGGGACGCACTCGCACTCGCAGCTCTCTGCCCCTACCTGCCTCACTCTCTCTCACTGCAGTGCTGGCTGTGCGAATCCGATCCGAGCCGCTGGGTCGCCGCCCACTGTGGAGGGGGTGGGTGCCAGGCGTGCGGTGCGGAGAGAGAGCGAGGGACTATCTGGGGGAGGGACAGTGCAGCGGCCGCCCAGCGCAGCGCTGAGCGCGGGAGAGAACCACACCAGACCAGACCAGGCAGCAGCAAGAAGAAGCTGGCAGCGGCGGCAGGTTAGGGGTTAGGGGGCGCAAATTACTTGCCTTGCCCCGGGTTAGGGGGCGCAAATTACTTGCCTTGCCCCGGGTGCTGACAACCCACGCTACGCCGCTGCTTTGAACATTCAGTTCCAGAAAGGGTGTTGCTTTCATCTCCCTATTCTCTTGTATCTGTGTGTCATTAAAATATATATGAGCTCCAGTCCAAAGGAGTGGGATGATTATTTTGACTTTGTACTTCAAGTGCAAAAATGGCTCAAAAAGCGAGCTCTGCTTCAGTGTTGTTTCCTGGATTGGGTCCCAGAAAAGCCATGTTGTCTGTTAGCACACCTCCTGCAGTGGGTAGACTGAAGATTGGGATCTACTAGCAGACCTCTGAGTGGTTTGCAGTAGATCACCAAGGAATTCTGACTCTTCTGTTCTGACAAAACAACTTTCCACATCTAAAATAGGCAGCCAAAAGGAAGAGAGCTAACCACGAGCAGACTTTTGGCTGACAGGACTGTGAGCTCAGTTCAGATCTGGCCCTGAAAAGAAATTCCTAGGTTCAGAATGTGCTCAGAAGAACACAAATCTATTGATAGTTCAGAGGGGTGGAGTGTAAAAACAAGTAGATCTAACAAGCCTGAAGTCTGCCCTCCCCAGTCCTAAGAGTCTTGCAGGATTGCCCAATCACTTTTGAGCTGCAGACCTGATGTTGTTACAGGTGTCGCATGATATTCTGCACTTGTAAAGCAATCAATCTTTTAGTGTGGCAGCATCTACACTTTGGAACTTATTGGCTTATTGGCGTCAGGCAGGTGTCTTTATTGTATTATTTTCAGCACTTGCTTAAAACATTTTTGTTTAGGCAAGCCTATCCAGACACATAGGTGTTGATATGTTTTAATCTCTTTAAATGGTAAAGGGACCCCTGACCATTAGGTCCAGTCGTGGCCGACTCTGGGATTGCGGCACTCATCTCGCTTTATTGGCCGAGGGAGCCAGCGTACAGCTTCTGGGTCATGTGGCCAGCTAAGCCGCTTCTGGCGAACCAGAGCAGCGCACGGAAATGCCATTTACCTTCCTGCCAGAGTGGTACCTATTTATCTACTTGCACTTTGACGTGCTTTTGAACTGCTAGGTTGGCAGGAGCAGGGACCGAGCAACAGGAGCTCACCCCGTCACGGGGATTCAAACCGCCGACCTTCTGATCGGCAAGTCCTAGGCTCTGTGGTTTAACCCACAGCGCCACCCGCGTCCGACTTAATCTCTTTAGTCTGCTGTTAATTTTAATTATCTTAAAATGTTTTTAAATTTACTCCATTTTAACTGTTTTTATTGATCATTTCTATATTTCTTGTAAACTGCTTAAGGCTTTTACAGTGGTACCTTAGATGCGAACGGGATCCGTTTCAGAGCCCCGTTTGCATCTAGAAGCAAACGTAACCAGCGATGGCACGTCTGTGCACATGCGCGTCACTTTTCGCCGCTTCTGCACATGACATCATTTTGAGCGCATGCGCAAGCGGTGAAACCCGGAAGTAACGCACTCCATTACTTCCGGGTTGCCGCGGAGCGCAACTCGAATGTGCTCATCCCGAAGCACATTCAACCCGAGGTATGACTGTATTACAATGACGTGGTATATAAATTTTGTTAGATGGGGGGGAAATGGAATTAAAGGGACAGAAGGAAATGGTTTCTTTTCTGTGATGCTATAAAATCCTGAAGTATCATTATGTTGAATGCTGCAGGGCAGAGGCACAGGAAGAAATGATGATTTTGGCTACTTCTCCGTGTGACTTGGCCTCAGACAGCCTGTCTGGGTGTCAACTTTAATCATTGGTTCAAATGAGTTCATGGGGGAGGGATTGGAGATTGCGCTGCCAAGGCTATTTATAATTATGTTATTGGACCTGTAATTAGCTGTGTTACCTAACAGTGAAATCAAGGTGAAATGACATAGGCCTAAAGATCAGCTGCTGACATTTTCATTCACCGCTGAACACTTTCTCTGGATCTACTAGGGAAGGAGAACAGGGAAAGTGCATATACAATTTACATTTTTTTTCACAAAGACACCAAAGTGCAAAGCTGGACAGGTTTTTGAAAAGATCACCCAACCCATTCTTCCGTCCACTATTCCTGACTGCACTGCTGGAAAGTCTGTTCTGTTAAAATTTCCAAATGCTCTTTTATAATAATAATTTTCTCTCCCCAAGAAGTCATTGATGTATACATCTCAGGATTCTTTGCCGGGGGGCGGGGAGTGGTCATAACAGTTGCAACTGGCATAAAACTGATAGCACTTTACAGTGGTACCTCGGGTTAAGAACTTAATTCGTTCTGGAGGTCTGTTCTTAACCTGAGGTACCACTTTAGCTAATGGGGTCTCCCGCTGCGCCGCCACGCAATTTCTGTTCTCATCCGGAAGCAAAGTTCTTAACCCGAGGTACTATTTCTGGGTTACACTTCTGTAACCTGAAGTGTCTGTAACCTGAGGTACCACTGTATAGTTGTCGTTGAACCTTACACACCCTCCAATATTTATCAGATGAAAATAGGAATGTCTTATTTAATATTTATAAATATAATTATATCCCTCCCCTCTGAAGGCAGCCCTGTTTAGGGAAGCTTTTAATGTTTAACAGACTATTGTATTTTAATATTTTGTTGGAAGCCGCCCAGATGGGCAGGGTATAAATAATTAATGATGATGATGATGACGACGATGATGACGATGACTGGGTTGTGCCAGCCACACTGGGTGGCTTCCAGCACATATAAAAACATAATAAAACATTAAACATAAAAAAAAACCTTCCCTATACAGGGCTGCAAGTGTCTTCTAAACCACCTCCTTGGTTCAGGGGTTACATAACTCCATACCCTCCATCTTTTCTTTGATGAAAATAGGGATGTCCTACCACACCCTCCAACATTTATCTGATGAAAATAGGGATGTCCTAAGGAAAAGTGAGACATCTGGGATCAAATCAGAAATTGGGACAGCTTCTGTAAATCTGGGACTGTTCCTGGAAAATAGGGACACTTAGAGGGTCTGACCTTAGCAGTGTAATCCCAACCGTTTCTAGTCAGAAGCAATTCCTATTGAATTCAGTGGAGCTAATTCCCAGGTAAATTGGGTTAGGATTGCATCTTTACTCTTGGTCCAGCCTGCTGCTAGTGGAAGAAAATGTGAGGATACTAACACTACAGCAGCTCAATGTCTCTAAGCATCAAGTCACACGGAGAAGTAGCCAAAATCATCATTCCTTCCTGTGCCTCTGTTTAGCCTGGAGAAGAGGAGGTTAAGGGGTGATATGATAGCCATGTTCAAATATATCAAAGGATGTCACATAGAGGAGGGAGAAAGGTTGTTTTCTGCTGCTCCAGAGAAGCGGACACGGAGCAATGGATCCAAACTACAAGAAAGAAGATTCCACCTAAACATTAGGAAGAACTTCCTGACAGTAAGAGCTGTTCGACAGTGGAATTTGCTGCCAAGGAGTGTGGTGGAGTCTCCTTCTTTGGAGGTCTTTAAGCAGAGGCTTGACAACCATATGTCAGGAGTGCTCTGATGGTGTTTCCTGCTTGGCAGGGGGTTGGACTCGATGGCCCTTGTGGTCTCTTCCAACTCTATGATTCTATGATTCTATGATTCAGAGCAGGGACAATGCCTTCTGGAGAAGAGAAAGGCGGTATCTTGTAGTATCCTTATCTATATTGGTTTATTTGCAAACTAGCATGTTCACAGCCCGGAGGCAATTTGTGTGTTGCCTAGCATTGGCTCTCATACATCAATGTTACACTGAGGCTGGATAAACAAAAGGCTCATTGGCAAGCTTGCTTGTTCTGATATCACAGAAGAGCTTGGTACCTTAGGGGCAAGCACCTGAGTGCTGTACAAGGAAGGCTTAAACTTCTAAAGGCAATGCACAACATCTGTCAAACTGATTGTTATGTACTGAGTTGAATAGGATTCAGAATGCAGCAGTCTGATTGGTCCTAGAACAATAGGGTCCAGAATGCAGCAGTCTGATTGGTCCTAGAACAATAGGGTCCAGAATGCAGCAGTCTGATTGGTCCTAGAACAATGCAGTAGTATGATTGGTCCGCAGGAGCCACCCAATCCAGCTCCAGGTGGAAGTGAATCCGCAACCTGATTGGCCTACAGGAGAATCCCGGAATTAGCCAATCACGTGGGGCCCATTGTGTAAATAATGTATATAAAGCAGATATTTTAGGGGAACTTTCATTCCTCACTACTATGAGCTGAATAAAGAGCATGAAAGCCACACTCGACTCTGAGTATATTTCACTGATTAATTCATCAAATCTGAATGGAGCAGTTTTATAGGAACATAGAAAGTTGCCTTACCACGTAAGGCTATTTATTGCCCCACCTAGCTCAGCATTGCCTGCACAGCAGCTGGCAGCAGCTCTTCGTGACATTCTCATAAATGTGCCTTTCCCCCAGCCGGAGTTGCCGGTGACTAAACTCATGATCTTCTGCATGCAACTCATGTGATCTGTCACTGAGCTTTAGCCCTTCCCATCCTGCATAATGAACAACCATGGGCCACAGACAGGTAGATTACAACCCCAGCTGTCATGCATAGGTAGAGAGATGGGCGCAGAGATAAGCTCAGCCACTCCTGTAGGGAAAGGAGAACCAGAGCAGGTATCCAGGAAGTACACCAGACTGCTGCTCCTTTCCTTTTCGACATCCCATGCTGTCATGGACTGGCTTGGATGCACCAGCAAACTTTTCCCCTCCACCTAATTCACCTTCCACCTGTTCACCACCCGGCCTGATGAACCCTTTATGGAGAATTCAAAAGCTTGCACCCTACTTATTAACATTTTGGTTGCCTTGATGCGGCTCTTGTGGGGTTTTTTTGGAAATAATTTTATTTGATTTTACAAATATAAAATTATAACAAAACAGCCACACACATCCACAGTTAGAAGATTCCTCCAAATCTCTGGACTTCCCACTTTGGAGGGGAAGGTGGGTCCTATTGTTAAATCTTTTCTACTGCATCTTTTTCAGTAGCCCATGTTTTATAAAACACCATTAACTCAATAGTACTTGCTACATTACAAGTGTTATTGCAATCCTGCTAGTGTTTTCATCTGGTTACAGTGGTCTTCCAAGATAAATTATAAAATTTCCCCCATTCTTTATTGAAGTTTTGGTCTTCTTGGTTCCTGAGCTTTCCAGTCAATTTTGCTATTTCAGCATAGTCCAACAGTTTAATTTGCCATTCTTCTCTGCTAGGGACTTTATCTTCTTTCCATCTCTGGGATAATAGCATTCTTGCTCCTGTTGTCACAGACTTTTGTGCTTTTTATGAGAGTCACCAGGGCTTCCTCAGCTTTTTATATGAAGCAGGCTGTGCTTGTGCCACAATGAGGCGCACTGTCACCTCGAAAAATAATCCCAACAATTTACTCTTGTGGCCGTCCTAAACACGACTTCACATTGCAACATAGCTGTCAACGTTTCCCTTTTTTAAAGGGAAATTCCCAATACAAACAACCTAAATAAAAGTATTGTTGTATTTTATGCTTGTTGTTTGTTATGTTTGTGTCTGTTGGGGGTGGATTTCTGTGTTGGGGGGGTGAGGGGTTTGTGTTACGTATATAAAATTTCCAATAAAATTTTAAAAAATAAAATAAAGGGAAATTCCCTTATTCCAAATAGGATTCCTCGCAAGAAAAGGGAAAAGTTGACAGCCATGCATTGCAAAGTGAGGCTACCACTGATCCGAAAGCTGCGACCTTTCCCTGCTTAGCCCTGTTTAGGGAAGCTTTTAATGTTTAATAGGTTACTGTATTTTAGTGTTTTGTTGGAAGCCGCCCAGAGTGGCTGGGGAAACCCAGCCAGATGGGCGGGGTATAAGTAATAAACTGTTGTTGTTGTTGTTGTTCCCGGCGCCTCCATTCCCTCGCTAAGGTACCATCCCACCACCCTTGCGAGGCGCGAGGCCTAATCCGGCAGCAGCAGCAAGAGCGAACTACGGTTCCCATGATGCCTTCGGCTCCCGCCATGCATCGCGCCCGCTCCGCTTCTCCTCCCCCCCCGCGCCAGTGTGAGGTATGGCAACGCGTTGACGACGCGCTGACGTAAGCTGAGGGGGGGTGAGGGTTCACGGAGGCCGGAGCCGGCGTCTGTCTCTGGTAGCTGGCAGAACTGAGGCGGCGGGGAACCGGACGCGCTTCCACCTCAGGCTGCCCCCTTCATGGCGGCCCGCCGGCTCCGGGAAGTCTGGCGACTGGGAGCGCGGGGAGGGCTGAGGCCGCGAGCGCCCCCGACCGGCTGGTGAGCGGGGCAAAGGAAAGGGAGAGGAGGGAGGAGGAGCCAGGGCTGGGCGCAGATTCAGGGTTGCCACGTTCCCCCTCGACAGGCGCTCCTCTGCCTCACACAGCAGGCAGACTCGAAAGGGGAAGCTGCACACCCCCCCCTCAAAAAATAACCCCTCTAGCGCCTCCTTCTCCATACTAGGAAAAAGACTCGCCTCTCGGCTTTCCTGCCTCCCCAGCTTGGAAGAGGAGCCAGGAGGAAGGGGGAAAGTTGGCAACCCCAAACACTCCCGTCAGAGTTCAAAGGCAACGCGTCGAAAATGGACAGGCCCCTTTTCAACAAGAGCCCAGCGGGGGGGGGGGGGAGCTTTGGCAGGTGCTGGTGCATATGGGGAGGGGGAGTAATAAAGGGGGCATCTGCCATGCTCTGTATGCTCCCCTGCTTTGGCTCTCAATTCAGTGGGGTAGCACTGAGGAGTTATGGGGAGAATAAGCCGCACAGCCCTTTGGAAGGTCATCAGAGGGGCGAATGCCAAAAGGAGAGGGGTTGGAAGGGGAAATGGAGGTTAAATAGATACCTATATGCTCGCATATTAAGGGAGGAGGTTATATTGTGCTAGCAAGCCCTGAGACCTCCGGGTATAGGGTGGTATATAAAGTCAGTGAATAAAGTTATTGTGAGTTAGAAGGCCAAGGGTAGTGAGAGGGTGGAGGACAAAGAGGTCAGGGAGGGTTGTGTCAGTAGCAAAGACATGCTCAGAGGGAGATGAAGAAGGGTAACAGGTCTGTGCAAACTGATCCACCAAAGGGTTAGAGGGGATTTGGTTAATGGCTGCATCCCTGTAGGGAGCATGGGAAAAGTTGCGTACGCACTGCGGTCCATTGAGGGGTTTTATTTCAGGGATGAAGCAGCAGGTGATTTGGGGGGGAGGGCTGTTATTAGGAAGCCCATTCTTCCAGCTCATGACCCTAATGCTGTTTGCCAATAAATAACACAGTCTGGTGCTAGTTTGCCTCCCTCTGTTTCTGGTAGCATCTCCCCTCCCCCAAGAAATGTCTTGTTCCTTTAGCAGAATACACCTGAGGGTCAGCAGAATTAAACACTGCCACCAGTGGCAATTATGTTTTTGGTCACTTATGGGTAAAGTACCCCCCTACTTATCGTTTTGTACTCACAGTTAAGGTGAGCAAATGAGTTTCTCTGTCCTCCCCCCCCCCCTTTTCAATCCATGTTTGTTTACAGAGTTGTGACTCAGTGCACAGGGACTGGTGGTTTCCTGGATCCGTTTCTCTGGAATAAGACACTCATCTTGTGTCCATGTATTGGTGGAGAACAGTGTGTTTCATATTGGTAGCTGGTGGCATTTACAACTGTGTAATCTCCAAAGAGGTACATGAAAAGGGCAGCTTAATGGAAACTTTCTCTTTAGCTTATGTAAGCATCACTTATTGGAGATGAGAACAAAGAGAGAACTTGACTTGGGAATAGTTGACTCTCTACAGACCCATGGCTTCTGGTAAGCTATCTATGGTCTTTAGGCTGGAGTTTGCTACTTGTTGGCTTGCTAAAGCTTGCCAGGACTGTGTTGGCTTGAGCAGCAGTGAAGCAAATAAGATCCTAGAACACAGAGTTGGCAGGATAATGCCACATCTTTGCCCTTCAAGCTGGAGAAGGTTGGTAGTGCCTGTTGCTTTAGCAAACAGGTGCCGATCCAGAGTTAAGAGCTGGTGCCACTGCAGTCTTTGGACTCCCTTGGACCAGATTTCAAGATGCACCTGGCTTTTGAACATCCTTCAATAGGACTGCTTTTCTTGGCTTCTGCATTAGCCCTATTTTTGTTCAGAAGCATACAATGTCTAGATTGCAGGTAGATGTACACAGTCATGCTTTTCTACTGCTGTGTTAGCAACCACTGACTGTGGAGAATAATGTCTTGACATAATGTGCAGTGTTTGACTTCACAGAACACAGCAAGAAAGATAGGAAGATGCCTTGGCCATGGCCTGTCTAGCTCAGTATCGCCTACGATCTCCTGGAGATTGAACATAGGACCTTCTTCCCGCAAGGCGGATGGCTCTGCCACTGAGCTATAGCCCTTCCCCCAGCATGGGGATGTTGGAGCCTGTGGAACTGGCTGCTACCAGGTTGCTAATGGTAACGCCATTTGGTGCAAGATTTTGTTTGTACTTGATGTGAATGAGAATATGGAGGTGAGGCATGGCTTGAGACCAGAGAACATACAAGTTTGTGCACCCGCAAGTGGTGGTGGTATGTGAGTTGCCGTTCCTCAGTTTCTTTATGGGGAGTAAGTTTATGGGCTTTGAAGGGCTTTGTGAGGGTTAACCTACTGTGTGCTCTGTCATCCCAGATTAAAAGCACCTGGTTTCACCAGTGGCATGTTGGATTTCCTGTGCTTTAACTTTCTTACGTAACAGTCCTATTCATAAGTACTTGCTTGGCAGCACTCCAAAATAAATGTCCCAGCTAACCTGCTGGGCAGCTATTACTGTAACTGGTCCTTGTTTTTTTCTAGAGTGTCCCTGAGTATGCTGCACTGTTCGATGTCAAATGGGCGATCCTTTTGGGCTGATTTGCCTATGAAGCATAGTCCCTTGATCTTGCAACATGTTGCTGGATCCATTTCCTGCTTCTCAGACCTTTTCCCACCTTCACAACGCGTGCCGCAAGTTCTCTGAAAGCACTTGCCCTTGTGAAGAGCAATTGCTGGTTCAGCAAAGGACTAGCACACCAATTACTTATTTACTTTCTTCTCATTTACAGAAAAGGCTTTAAGGAAACTAAACTCCTGCTGACTTGTGCCATAAAGACACAGAGCATGATGAAATTGGGTCAAGCATAGGGCTGGGCGGTATATTGATATATCGTCCAAAACCTGGTTTGAAGTCCATATCGTAATAACAGTTTCATAGTTTTTGACCTGGCAATGTATTGTGAATCATGATGTGTGTGCCCAGCCCTAGTCATAGCACTCATCCCCTTAGCCTGTAGTGGGGTGCTCCAGAAACCATACAGGTCCATTTCTTCAGTCCCCTGAGGTCATGACTGTGAGCAGCCTGTAGCTTTGTCCGTTCATGCAAAGTGTACGTTTCTTTCCCCTCTGGTATGGAAATTCCTCCTTCCCTGAAGAGACTTTCCGCTTGGCACTCTGAGCATTTATTGGTTGACAAGTCAGTTCAGCTGATCCAGTGGGAGGGCTTAGAGTCAATATTGCATAAGATAAGCCAGCCAGCCAGTACCCATGTGAGAGATGGAAGCTGGCCAGGGCACAAGGTAGCGCAGAGGGCTTGTGTAACCCTGTCTGATGTTTCCTTTCATGTAATTTTGAGCAAGACTTGTGGGAAGTGAAGGAGGAAATCATCCACCGCTATCTGTGGGCGTGTCTGGCAGTCCCAGTCAGGGTTCAAGCATTACACTGGAACAAAGCGTTTGTGACCCAAAAGCAAGATGAGAGATCAGACAGGGCCAGCCTAAGACACATACTGCCTTGTCTATGCATCCAAGTGGTGCCTCCTTCCTTGCTAACTAATGTAAGGCACAATCCAATGGGAGGTGTTGCTGCAGAAGCCCCATTGAAATGAACAGGAGCTGTGCAAGGTTACAGAAGTACTCCTGGCAGCTCCTGTTCATGTCTTTGAGCTTTGCCACATGAGTCTAATCTGTCATTTTCAACTCTGCTGCCCTTAATAGTATCCAAAATACTTCACCTGAGGCAACAACCTCACCTTTCCCCATTGTAGGGCCATCTGTGGGATGAACTGGTGAGAACCTCCCCCCATATCTCTTAACACTGTAGATCAGTGATTTTCAACTAGGGTGCCTTGAATAATGGTCAGGGGTGCCGCGGGCAACACTGGCCTCTGTTCCTCTTCCCTTCCCTTCCCTCGCATCTCTGCCTCCCAAAGGCTTGCACAGCTGTTTGTTGCAGCAGCCCTGGCTACAAGCTCCCCAGATGAAAGGTGTCTCTGGGGGCTGGCCAGGGGATGCTTCCCAGGTCCCTGTGGGGCAGTGTGAGGAGGCAGCCCTCTTTGGGGCAGGGAGGACAGGTCAGAGACCAGGGGTGGCAGCTGCGGCTGCCCAGAGGAGACCCAAGGAGTGGGGAGAGGAGAGGAGGCTGAAGGAACCCTCCACAAGGGAGGGTGTTTGAAAAAGGGGTGAGGGGCTGTTAGCTCTGCAGGCAAGGGGTGACATAACTGGGCTTCTGAGCCCCACAGGGGTGCCTCAGAAAGAATGTAGTTGGTCAAGGGAGCCATGGACCCAAAAAGGTTGAAAATCTCTGCTGTAGATCAAACATAACAGCATCCCAACTGCTGCCATACTCCCAGCTGACTAAGTAACATGCCTGCTTGAAGCCCATTTGAAAGCAGGAACAGGCAAAAGGAGGTATTTTTGTCTTTATGACATACACAACTATGTGCTGTCCTTCTGTCCAACCTTGGAGGTCTTGGGGAACACAGAAAAGACCCTGTTTATTACTTTGATGTTGGGGAGGAAGCAGGCTTTCCTTGGACCTTACCTCAGTTTGTCAGTGTGGGTGATAAGCCATATAGTAAGTTATATTCCTTCATTTCCTTGCATATTTCTCAAATTCAGCATGGTGCAGGTTTGCAAGTTGCTTCAAATACGATGGTGGGTGGTAGTTTAAGCCTGTACATACTGCTTGGAGATTGGATGTGCATTGTCTTGGCTCTGAAACTCAGTCTCACAAACGTAGAGAATGCTCAAGGATTATTTTTTTTTGGGGGGGGTAGCATTAATATAGGAGCCTCTAGATTAGCAGGGGCCTTTGTCTTTGAAAATTAAATGGTTCTAGGACTTCCGGGTTAGCGCCATCGCCGAATGGCGGACTCCCTCCGAGCTCCGGAGGGAGTCTGCTCGGCAGGGGCTGGGTCCTACCGCGCCGGCGACGCGGGGACCCTTAAAAACCACGGGCACGGAGTCCGTGGACATGGGTGACTCGGCTTGCACCATTAGCGCCCTCCCGACTCGTGAAGGAGCCTTTTTAAAGGCTTCGGATCGGAGTGCCGAGGAGTGGCGTGGTGCTGAGTCCACTGCTTTCCCTGCCGGCGCAGCCGCATGCCATTCGACGGAGAGCGCTGACTTCTTCTATTGAAAATTTGGACTATTAACAACAACCCGTGAGTAATTGGGAAACCGGGTTCAAAATTTTGGATTTGGCACGAGCGGGGGCGATTTAAAAAAGGAAGTCAATCCCCCCCCCCTATTGTAAGCATTCCAAAACAAGGACTGGGTAACCAAGGTCCAAAGGGAAGTATGTCTCTGATAAAAATCATTAATTTCACGATGGGAAATTATAAGAAATGTGCTGGAGGAGAAGAGTGGAGGGTGAGAAGAAAAATGCAACCCCCCCCCCTGGGAACCGGGGCGATTCGTGGAGCCTGGTGAAGAGAGACGGAGACTTTGACAGCTGTCAAAGTGGCTGTCAAAGCTGGAGAATATAAAGAGGACTTTATGAGGACCTTGCTGGTTAATTTTGTTACAATTTGCTATAATATGGATATAAACTGTTGGAAAATAAGCAACAATTTGACTTTTGGATTAGAGGATACAAAGTTATTACAATCCCCCTAGAGGGGTTTCGGGATACTACAAGAACGGTCGTAAGTGGAAAAATACCCTGGGATTCGCACAGGATTTGTTATCTTCTGGATAGCTGCAAAACTGAAAGAGTATTGTGTCTACAGCGGAAGACAATGGAATTTTTTTTGAAGAAAGAAAGGGACTGGACGTAAGTTTTTGTTCCTGAATAACAAACCTCTGCAGAGACACTAGATTTCTGAATTAGAAAGTTTTAGCAGCTGAACAGGACAAGAAACCTGAGAAAGTGAGGAATAAGAAGAATAAAGGACTGATTACGACACGGAAAGAACAACGGGAGGAGTGGTAAAGATCAAGGAAATTAAAGGCCTTTGTTAGATTGGACATTTGAAGTCAAATATTATTTAAATTAATAAACTAAAGAAAACCGGCAAGATGGAATCGGGAGAAATCTGGTCATGAAATGAGACTTCCAAGCTGATAATGTATAGACTGATGGACATGGGAATTCAAACCGGGGAAGGGGGAGATTTGAAATCCAAAGGCTGTGTAACCATTTTTGAATTTTTCTATATCTCTTATTTTCTATTTCTTTACATAACTTACGCATGTTATTTTACTTTGATCGGACGTGTTTAAAAAAGGGAATTTGTGGAAGGAACTGGGGTGGATCTTGGGGAAAATCTTTTTCTTTTTCTGTTAATGATGTGGGACGGTGGTAAGATTTGTACAATTCAATCTGGATAGTGGGTTAAACAAATTAAGCTTTAAATTGGGAGTGAGAGCTTGTAGAACCAAATTAAGGAAAGGGAATACAATTGGGGGAGGGGAGTCCCAGAAAGTAGGGAATGAAAGTAAGGTTTTTAAATATCTTCTTTCTTTTGTCTTTTTTCTTTGTATTTTTATATTTTTGGAAACTTTAATAAATATGATTTTAAAAAAAAAAAGAAAATTAAATGGTTCTAAAATCAGGCTTGTGTACTGTGCTCATTATTTCTAGACATGGTGGTATTTTTCAAATGTAATAATAATAATAATAATAATTAATAATAAATTATTTATACCCCACTCTGGGCAGCTTCCAACAAAATATTAAAAATGCAATAAAACATCAAACATTAAAAACTTCCCTAAGTTTTAGGAAACTTAGGAAATTATTCCCTAAGAACACAACTTCAAAAGGCAGTTTTTGGTCATGCTTCCTTGTAACTTACCTATGAGGAAACTCTCAGATTAATGCTCCTGTTTTGCTTTCTGCTGGGCATTGAAGAGTGTCCCTTTGGAATTAATCTTCATGAAGGTGTAGTGAATCTCCTGACTGTTGAGTCCAGCTAATCCTGAGGATTTTTCAGTTCCAGGTACATGCCGTCCTGTGGGATTCTGATGATCCGTGCCCCCCAAGCTCTCAGCAGTGCCGATTGGGATCTTAATGCTCAGCACAGCCGGACGTTTATCAACTTTTCAGGGCCTTTCACCAACAAACGGAAGGAATATTCGGAAAGGAGGATCCTTGGGTGAGCGGACTTGCTTCACAGGAGGATGAATGAGCTGTATTTGGGTTTAGAACAAAACTGCACCTTGCCTTCTAGTCCAGCATCTGCTTCCCACATTGGCCAACCAGATGCTTCTGGGAAGCCCACAGGGCATTGGGAGGCAATAGCCTCTCCTCTAGTTGTTTCCAAGCAACTGGTTATGGTGCCTCTGATCCAGGCAGTAGTGTATATTTATATATATGTAGCCAGCCATCATCACTAGCTGCCATGAATCTCCTAATCTTCTGTGAATTTGTCTAAATGCCTTTTGAAGCCGTCCAAGTTGGGGACCCTCCCTACATTTTGTGAGCGTTGTGAAGTCTTTCCTTTTGTCCGTCCCGATTCTCCCATCATTCATCTTCATTGGATGGTATCGCGTTCTAACAGTATGAAAGAGGGAGAAAACTTGCTTCCTCAACACCATTCAGAATTTTATAAACATCTCACGTCCCATGCACTGCTTTTTATAAAACTAAGAAGCCCCAAATGTTGGACATAAAAATTGTCCAGCAGTGTAGGTGGTGGCATAGGACTGCAAAGGCAAAGGGTCCATTCCTAGTTCTGTGTGTGAATCTGAGGAAGCCACTCAAACTGTGGCCATAGCCACACTTGCCTAGAAGTAGCTCTCAGTCAGTCTGTTTAGAATCAAGGTGTCAATTGTGCTGGGTTTAACCCTTAACTTCTGTTTGAGGACTTTTCTTCTTTGCTCTGTATTGGACAAATCAACCCCAAGAATGAAGTATTTGTTCTGATAATAAAGTGTAGGGCATAGAGGTGCCTTGGATAAATAAGAACAAATTAAGTACCAAACTCCCTCACCTTGTGACTGCAGCAGATAAAATGCATCATATGTCCCACCACCCAAAAGCCCCCAAAGTCCTGGGCTTGAGGAAGAGGGAGGCAATGCGGCCTTGGAAGTTCTCTTACCTTTGACATGCTTTGAGCATGACTGTCAAGCTCTGAACTCAGAGCCTGGTTCCAATATTCGGCATACGTGCAAACCCAGTTGTAATTTCAGCCATCTCCCACTTGCATACCCTCTTCTCAATAAACTCATTGGCCAGTTCAACTAATTAATGGCTTACCTGTTCCCTGTTATGTACATTGTGTACTGTCACCATCAGGTTGTCAGTGTTATAACAGCTCTGAGGGGCTCCTGAATTAACTCTATCCTTTCTTGCAGTTACTCCATGCAGGAGATCTATGAAGTTGTGTCCAATGTGGATGAATATAAGGAATTTGTTCCCTGGTGCAAGAAATCAGTGGTGGTCTCTAAGAGGACAGGCCACGTGAAGGCCCAGCTGGAAGTTGGGTTTCCTCCTGTTGTGGAACGTTACACATCCATTGTAACACTGGTGCGGCCCCATCTAGTAAAGGTGAGCTATCATCATCATCATTTATTATTTATACCCTACCCATCTGGCTGGGTTTCCCCAGCCACTCTGGGTGGCTCCCAACAGAATATTAAAAATACGATAAAACATTAAAAACTTCTCTAAACAGGGCTGCCTTCAGATGTCTTCTAAAAGTCAGATAGTTGTTTATTTCCTTGATATCTGATGGGAGGGCATTCCACAGGGCGGGCACCACTACCAAGAAGGCCCTCTGCCTGGTTCCCTGTAACCTCACTTCTCGCAGTGAGGGAACTGCCAGAAGGCCCTCGGAGCTGGACCTCAGTGTCTGGGCTGAATGATGGGGGTGGAGATGCTCCTTCAGGTATACTGGGCCAAGGCCATTTAGGGCTTTAAAGGTCAGCACCAACACTTTGCATTGTTCTCGGAAATGTACTGGGAGCCAACGTAGCTGCACATTTCTGTGCTATCCAGACTGAAATCTCTTCCATTGGCTAAAATCTCTTCCATTATACAGTACATTGTATAATCAGGAGCACTGATTCCAACAACTCGCCATGTAGAAATTTCAAATGATTAGAGTGCTTAGGAAAGAGGTCTTATCCTAATGCTGACTGATGGCACGCCTGATGCAGTCTGATGGGTCGCAGGTGAGCTGCAGCCCCAGAGCTGCAATCAGAACCAGGCATGGACACTCTTGTTCTAGCTTATCTGGATGGGCATGGACGTTGCTAGCAAAATCATTCTCTGATCTCACCTCTGTCCTTTATCCCAGGCGGTCTGCACTGATGGGAAGCTCTTCAACCACCTGGAGACCAGCTGGCGTTTCAGCCCTGGCATTCCTGGCTACCCCCGCACTTGTACAGTGGACTTCTCGGTAAGCACACATGGCTATAAAAGTGTTCTCAGGCAGCTCAGCTCCTGTTCCACAAAGGATTCATCGGTCTGTGCCAGCAAGGGGTGGGCTTATTCCTTTGAAACGGGAAAGAAAAGTGCTTGCCTGTGATGAAGCCCAAGCATTAGCCAAGGAAGCAAATGTTCTTCTCATGAGCAGAAACTGTGTGTACAGAAGGGCCAGAGCTCGAGTGTTGTGTCTCTTGGATTCCCTTTTTGTCTCTTAGAGAGCAGGTGAGAGCCAAAACTCCTGACTTCTTAATGAGTGTGAGGAAGTTTTTGATCCTAAAGTGTGACCTTCTATGGAGGTGTGAACACTTGCTATGGGATACTTAACCTCCTCTTCTCCTCTCAATCTTCTTGTGCGTTCCACAAGGCAGAGATGGGTCTGTTCCTCAGCACCACCACCATTGCTGCTGCCTCTAAATCAAGCATCCCCAAACTTGGCCCTCTAGCTGTTTTGGGACTACAATGCCCATCATCCCCGACCACTGGTCCTGTTAGCTAGGGATGATGGGAGTTATAGTCCCAAAACATCTGGAGGACCGAGTTTGGGGATGCCTGCTCTAAATAATCCCAGCTGTGTGACAAGCTCACTCTGCGCCTCTTCATGTGGTCGTCTAATTTTGTGATGCTTAAGGACTAATGAAGTAATATCCTATTTTTGAATGACGATAATGAGGCAGGGCACAGTGCCTTCCTTAAGGGTCAAATGTGGGATTGCACAAATCTCATACTCTTCCTCCAACCTTGCAATGCACAGTTGGCTCCTTGTTTCTTTTCTGTTGTGTCTCTAAAATGGTGCTGTTGTCTTAGAATAGCCGGGATAGATTCTGGAGGACAGCTCTATCTCGGAGAAGCTCCTTAGGTTATCAGAAGATGAGAGAAATGGGGGCAGATGAGGAATTCTACTCCTCTCTGTCATTCCACACCCCCCCATCTGCCTTCCTCCCTTCCCCTCCCCCTTTCTGAGACAGGGGCTACAAGATGGCACTGGCATTTTAGAGAGACTGGCAAGGTTTCTGTGGGGTGATGCTGTCCTTGAACGACCCTACAGGTCCCACTAGGATGTCAGTTGTGTCTTGTAGGATTTTTCCTCATCTATGAGTGGAAAAGGTGGGCCGGGCAGAAGTCCAGGTGTGAACTCCCATCTCTTGCCAGCAATAATAGCCAGATAATGGCTGCACATGTTGGAGGATACTTTCACCATCCTGGGAAGACTGTTTCTTAACAGGCGGCTTAATGTAAACGAGGGATGGAAAGCCTGTGGCTTTCGAGATGCTGCTGCATTGCAGCTCATTTGTCATCCTTGACCATTGGCCGTGCTGGCTGGGTCTGCAGAGCTGCAGGTTTCTCGCACCTTGCTCTCGCCATTATCTGCTGATGTGCCCAGGAACAAAATGATCTCTGCCAATCACGCCTGCTGCACTTGGGGAGTTGCAAACCCTTTGGGAATATCAGCTGCAGGGCACTTTACAGAGCAGGGCTTTTCATATCTGTCACAGGAAGATTTCCCCCCCGCCCCGCCCTTCCTCATATATTCACAGTACTAAAAGGTAAAGGTACCCCTGAGAGTTAGGTCCCGCCGCAGACGACTCTGGGGTTGCGCGCTCATCTCGCTCTATAGGCCGAGGGAGCCGGCGTTTGTCCGCAGACAGCTTCCGGGTCATGTGGCCAGCATGACTAAGCCGCTTCAGGCGAAGCAGAGCAGTGCACGGAAATGCTGTTTACCTTCCCGCCACAGTGGTACCTTTTTATCTACTTGCACTGGTGTGCTTTTGAACTGCTAGGTGGGCAGGAGCAGGGACTGAGCAACGGGAGCTCACCCTGTCGCGGGGATTCGAACTGCCGACCTTCTGATCGGCAAGCCCTAGGCTCTGTGGTTTAGACCACAGCGCCACCTGCGTCCCTTATTCACAGTACTAGAACGTAACATTTCCTGCTTGTTGAAGAGAGCTCCGGCTGCCCATCCCTGCACTCCACCCCCCCAGCTTTGAAAGAGTTATGAGATGGCAGACTAATGCTCTTCCTCTCTCCACAGATTTCCTTCGAGTTCCGCTCCCTGCTGCACTCGCAGCTGGCTACCGTTTTCTTCGACGAGGTGGTCAAGCAGATGGTCGCTGCTTTTGAACGCCGGGCGGCAAAGAACTACGGTCCTGAGACCCGCATTCCCCGAGAGCTCATGTTCCACGAGATCCACCAGACGTGAAGGGCTCCCTGCTGCTTTGGTGGCCACGCGGACACTGCGCTGGGGTGTGCACTCATGGCTTCCTCAGACCCTCTGTTTTTATCTATTTATTTTGTTTCTCCTGGTATCCTGTCTTAATTTATCCACTGGGCCTGGTGTGATGAAGAGAGACTTTTTCCTAAGGAAAGGGCCAGGTGGTCATGTTACCTCCGGAGCAACCTCTTAACTGTCTGTTTTGCCTAGTCATGCTCTTATGCTGGGTCATACATACATATTTTGTTTTGTAGGACTTTCTTTGAAGCCCTTATCCTCCCCTCCCCTCCCCCTTAATACCCCAGTCTGTGGATTGTCTCCCATCCCATTCTCCACCTATTTTGTATGTGCCAGCATGGCTTGTCTTAGGCTGAGGACAGTGCCGAACCCTGTTTCTCTGGGGAACGGGGCAGTGGAAGCTCATAGCATGTGATTGTGTGCTCTCTTTCTGTGCCTAGTGAAGGGCCCATTGGAAATTGTGCCTCGTGAATCACTTGTTTAAAAAAAAAGGAAAGGAAGAAAGCCCTGACCTGGACTGCCCCTTGACAATAGAGAATAAGCATGGAGAGGCTGTACTTTTTGTCTGGCAGTCTCCTTAGCTGTTAGTGGTTGGATTTGCAAGACTCTGCTGGTTGAACGTTGGTTTGGAGTGCAGTAGCGGAAAGGCATGGCAGAGGGGAGCAGGCAAGCAGTGCAGAGTGGCTGGTGTCTGTTACTGAGGGTGCTGGTAGACAGAGGGTGCTCTGCAGTTGCTGCTTTCTTTGAGGCTGTGCGAAGCTAACGTCGTACTTGTGCTGAAGCATCAGGCTGCATTTGTTCTTCCTTGCCCAAACAGTACCATAATCTCTGTTCATCACTAGGCTATCTAAGGGAGATTAGCATCCAGCCAGCTGCCCCGTGTCTTCCTTTTGGTTGATAGAAGAGTGCAGAGTAGCAAAAGATGTGTGCCAAATAAAGGGCCAAGGGGGAGATATGGCCCTCTTGGAGCTGGAATAGTTTTAGAAATGTTAGAAGACACACTCCAAATGGGTGCACATTTGCGGTGGGGGGAAGAGAGAAAGGAAGCAGAATTACTTGCTTGTTGGGAGTTCAACCAGAGCTTTGCAGAATTTCAGATTCCTGTGTCCGCCAGTTTCATTAAAACCCATGTCCAACCATCTTGAAACGTCACCTAAAACCCAGAGGTAGGTGTCTTGGTTGCGGCCTTTTGAAATGCCGTGCCTACGGCATCTTTGGGATTATTGAGAGAATGGGTTGCACGAGCCTGCCAGCGCTCACCACAGCACCATAGCTGCTTTCTGCTTTGCATTATGGGAATGGAATAGAGCATTATCAGGCTGGGGGCTGCTGCTTTGAGGACAGGACTTCCACCTGGTCCTTCTTGGGATGTGTATTCAGAGTCTTGCAGAGTCTTGGCCCCATTGAAAGCTGCAAGTTGAGACCAACCATGCCTGCCCAGCAGCTGTTCCTGAAATTGCCTCCTGTTCCCATGACCACCATTGTGGGTCTCCCAAAACCCCACCCTGCACTTTTCCCCGGTGCAGACATCCATTTGTGTTGCCTATTTTGCTGTAAACTCGGTACCCTGTTTTGAGCTGGAAAAGGAGTTTATCTACATTTAGACGCACATTTTGCACAAGCGGTGTGGACACAAACACACAACTGCTGGGGTTGAGCCCTGCGATGTGGGCCTGGGGTATTCCAGGCCCTGTTGCTTCCAGGTTTCAGGCGCCAGAGTGTTTGTGTGCCTGCTTTTATGAAGATCTCACGTTGCATAACATGGGGTGAGAGTGATCACTATGTTTTTCACAGATTCCTGTGGCTCTCTGTTCAGCGGAAGGAGGAAGATAGGTTAAAACGGCAGGTTGAGGGAAATAAAGTAGGTGGATGAACCTTGGGCCTTGCTTTGTTTGTGCCCCTTGAGCAGCCAGACCACCCCACTTGCTCCAATGTGAGGTGTAGATCGGCTATACCTGCCCTTGGAGGGGTGGGGCTTGAAGTTGGCTTTGTAACAGAGGCTTGGCTTACCTGTGTTACAAGTCCTTGCTCTCTGAGCTTTCCTCTTCAGAATCAGGATCCCTGGACCAGTGATGGGGTCATGGCTAGAAGCCTGCCACGTTTGGGTAGCGGGAGGCATATGGACCATTGGGAACATGACCCCTTCTTTCTTCATAAAGTTGGGGGGGGGGAGCCTGCTGTGGCATAGATACCTGAGCAACCTCCTGTCGAGGCTGCTAGGTGTTGCCCATTGTACAATGGATGGCTTCCTTTTTTCTCTGACCACGGGTTTCATGGCTTCGCTTTTCCTCCAAAGAATGCAATAATAGTTTGGGCTTCTATCCCAAATTTACTCCATTGCTATCATTGTAATGGCTCTGGAAACAACCACCCACTTCCTGTGCTGAGCTAGCAACCCGGTTTTGGAGGCAGCTCCCGCGAGTCAGTCCAAAGGCTTCTTATTCGCCATCGGTTTTGCATACCAATTGGCTCCGTGCAGTTACCCTGCGATCGCCCAAACTGTATAGATTTGACTGTACAGTTGGTGTCCTTTGCTAAGATGTTCCCTCGGCAACTCTCCCCAAATCTTTCATTTGTAAAGGTGGTCTTTCCTTCCCTGCTCCCAAAATTGCCAGCTTTTACCGACCGAAGGGGGCTTGTTTCCAAAGAACATCCTCCTTCTGCCTTTCTGAGCCGCTGAAACTATTTACTTGCTCTTTATCCCAGTTTCTGCTGTTATCCTGTAAGAACAAACAGGCTTGCTCTATGGAATGCATACACAAGGCAGCGATCTTTTCAGAGTCCTCAGGGAGGAAAGGCTCGCATTTCTAAGACCTGTATTTCCAGAATGCTTCTCTGAGCAAATAGTTCCTTTAGTAATAATAAAAGGCAATAAGCGCTAGTGAGGAAGCCGCTCCGAGAGGAAGTCATTAACAATAGCACGCTTCTAACCTGCTCTGCTAAGCATGTCCTGTGCTGTATTCATGGAAAACAGTCACTTTAGAAATCCACCTTCCTACTTGGCTGCCCTTGTTACATCTGAATTTAATGGAGGTACATTTGGGTGGGCTGGCAGGAATGTTTTATATTTCTATCCATGTGTTTGGGAACCTGCCCTTGCATCCAAGTCTGGCAAAGTGACCAGCGTGGCACAAGGGCTAGCGCACAAATTTCTCTGTCTACACACGTTCAGGAAGAACCAGCCTGAACTCTCACGTTTACATGAGGATCAGTTGCATAGAAGAGGGACTGTGATTTCAGCTGGGAGAGCCCTGGCTTCAAATCCTGTTTCAGGCGTGCTCTGTTTGAAGGTGATTTGGGGTCAAGTTGGCTGTATATACCTATCATAAAATCTGGATTTGCGGATACCGGGAAGGATTTTTAAAGCTAACTAAAGTGTATTTCAGAAATACTTCTGTGATATTGGCGCCTGGACTGCCTGGCAGTCTCACGACAGTTGCTGCTGTTTGCAGCCTTCGCCAATAAGATGAGCAATCTTATTCATGCTTACTTGGAAGTAATTACTATTGAACTTGGTGGGACTTACTTCTGTGTAAATATGGTTCAGCCACTGTGCCAGAGGCTGGGGGGCGTAAGAGGCTTTGAGTAGCACAAGGGACTTGTAGTTATCGTAAGCCTACTTTCCACTGCAAGGGGGTGGAAGGCGCATTCACAAGGGGAATGAGAGAATCCCATTGTCTCCATTTGCACAATTCATTCAAATCACAAAATTCTTTTCTGCTGGGAGGAGGGAGAGGGAATGATGACATGGTAGCAGCTTCATAGCCCAAAATGTGTTGCCTCCTTTGCTTCTAATGCAGAGACCAACTGCTGCTCCGCAAAGCTGGTTTCTTCTTGACCGTGCTGCCTGCATACCTCCCTTGAATTTGGACTCTAACCTTCAGAACAATGCTGCCAGGACAGAGGCTAGCTTTAAAGTGGGTTCCTTTGGCGCAGACTTCTGTCCCAAAAGTTTGCTGCATGTTGCGCTTCAAAGCAATTCCGCCATTGCCAAACAAAACAGCAATGCGTCTTGGTTCCTGAGCCTCGTGCTCACTGTAGTTCTCTTCTGCAGCTGTGAATGGAAACTCTGAAAGAAAGGTGCTCAATGTGTGTAGTGATTCTTAAAACATCACTTTAAATGGGCAGCCTTGCATTTAGGCATTTGCCAAGCAGGGATGAAGCCCGGTTCACCAAGACATTATAAGGCACCAAGGAGAAGGAACTAGTGGTTCTGTTACTTTGAATCAACGTGACCTTGATCCGTGATTTAATGAATTGTGTTTGCTGCAGTCTCTGTACCACACTCCCTTTAAAATGCAAGAGCTAAGATAGTTCATGAGGCGTATTCTGCTGAAGGTTGTAGTGTTCAAGTCCCATGCAGAGGACAGAAATGTTAAGGCCCTGCTAACTTCATTTGTAGTGGAGAACATAATTCTTTATTGACACCAGACGTACAAGCAGATAATGTATCCTGGGTTGATGCTTGTTTAATGTTCCAGGTTTCTTGTCATTACTTACTCAGCTTTTACATTCTTAACAAGAGCTTTGCCTTCATTGGAGTCATTTTGGCCCTTAAAACTATCTACTGCAGAAAAATCAGCAATGCAATTTGTTGCTTGTGTAAGGATCTTCCTTTAGAGAGATCAGGTGGTTCTCTATCTACTTTTATTTCACTTCCCCCTGCCTGTCCCCATGAACCTGGACTTTTAAGCCTCTCTGGGCACCTCATGTTTAAACCTTGTACCTGCTGCTCCCCTCCAGTCGGCAAAGCGATTGTGTCCTAAACATTGCAGTGCCTTCTGCTCCTACCTGTATTGTCATCAGGACTGCAGCTGCCTCATGCTACTTAGCCTGGTATGTGCTACCTCAGCTTGTAAGAAAGGGGGGGGGGGTATTTCCAGAAGAAGGAAAGGAGAATAGAAAATGAGATTATGCACAGTAAGAGGAAATCATCATTGTGTTCTACCCTTTAACTGTGAATCTTATTTGATAGCTGCAAAATCTGTCCAAGAATGTTCAAAGACTGAACCAATCCCAAGAGCATTTTTATAGACCAATAAAAAAAATGTTTGCAAAAAGGTACATGTGGGACTTGACTATTTAAGATTTTAGCTACATTGTCGATTTTAACCTTGCATAGTTCTTCAGGTAGAATGCATATACTTTCCGCAGCTGGATTTGCCTGATAAGTATATATTTGGTACCTATTGCATCAATATTCTTTGAAAGCATAGGAAATGTTATGCTTCATCATTAGTGCCTAAGCCAGAGCTTTCCAAACTCCGCTTCGCAACGTGTTAAGTGTGTCGGCTGCAATGTGTAGGTGTGTTGCATGAACGCTCCCCACACTCCTCCCAGGGCTGGAGAGGGGTTATTTAAACCTTGGTTTGCTACTAAAACTGAATGGCTGTGTCGCGAAATGATGCATATCTAAAAAGTGTCACCAACATGGAAAGCTCTGGCTTAAGCCTTCAATTTAGCACAGAATGCATGGCTGCTGAGTGTATGGAGAGAAGGTTGGGTATAAGCCTAGTCTGGCTTATATACATAGGGCTGTGCTTTACAACATGGGTGGTGATAACTGGCAATACCTATAGCACAAGGTCAAAACAAACACTGAACATGGCAAGGCAGACAATGGTGTAATTGCGAAACTATGAAGTACAACATCCCCACCCCTCTCTGAGTCCTCAACTAGGTCGGGACCCAGAACTGTCAGGCATGGCAAGATGCAACGTGAGTTCTACCTTTGAAAATTCTGGTGACTATGCTGCTGCTGCAGCAGATGGCAAATCACAACAGCTATGTTCCCCCTAATAGGTATTTTTTTCCAAAAGGAAAGCTGACTACTGTATTTTTCCGTGTGTAAGACAATATTTTTTCCTTAGAAATAGTAGCCAAAAATTGTGGGTCGTTTTATACATGGATAGCAGAGGGGGGATGGGTAATTGGTGTCAGCAGGTAGTAGCAAGAGATTGGCAGCGGCGATTGGGTGTGTGGTTGGTTGTTGTGGCAAGGTCTGCTGACGACTGGCTGCGGCAATTGGATGTTGATTTACGGCAGCGGTGAGGCGTGCATGCAGTCAGCTGTGGTTGCGTTGAGTGGGCAGGTGGGCTTTTGGTTGAGAGCGTGCAGACGATTGGTGGCCGCGACGATGTGTGCGATTTGCAGTGTTGGGAAGTCTGTAGAGCAATTGGTGGCGGTGATGCCCCCCGCCACAATAGCTCCATAACTCTGGGCAATCTCTCCCTAAAAGAAGCTCAGCAACTTTTGGCAATTCCCCCCTCAATTTTTTTTGTTGCAGTCCCAAAAAATAAGGGTCCTCTTATACATGGGGGCGTGTTTATACATGGAAATATATGGTAGTTTCTGCATTACAAGCAGCCAGTGTGCTTTTACAGCAGGTGTAAAGGTAAAGGACCCCTGGACAGTTAAGTCCAGTTGAATTTGACCATGGGGTGTTGCGCTCATCTCCGCTTTCAGGCCAAGGGAGCCGGCGTTTGTCCACAGACAGCTTTCCAGGTCATGTGGCCAGCACGACTAAACTGCTTCTGGCACAATGGAATACCGTGACGGAAGCCAGAGCACACAGAAGAAACATTTACCTTCCCGCCACAGTGGTACCTATTTATCTCCTTGCACTGGTGTAATTTCGAACTGCTAGCTTGGCAGGAGCTGGCATAGAGCAACAGGAGCTCACCCTGTTACACGGATTCGAACTGCCGACCTTACGATCAGCAAGCCCAAGAGGCTCAGTAGCTTAGACCTCTGTGCCACCTGCATCCCTACAGCAGTTGTACAAGGCCATCATCCATCAGACCACAAAGCCTCTGACACCTGGACCATCATTTGGATGTACAGTGAAGTTTCCAGTGGGGCTTAGAGCTAAGCTTCACCTTCAGGCGATACAAGTGCTACAATCCTTCTTGGACCTACCACTTCAAACAGCAGCTGAATGGTCAGGAATAGGTGTTGACACGAGGGCACACCAGCTCAAAGGAGGACTGCATCGTGTGACTTTATGAAATGTGCTAATCCTAGGCTAGGACTACAGCACATTTCTTTGCTGAAACAGGGCTGTATTCTCATACCACAGCCTCTATTTCCTGGCACAACCACGAGGGAACCCAGCTATTTATAGCTGCCTTCTGGGAACGTCATTCCAGATGGGCTCAGAACCATCGCCCTTCTCTACAGGCAGCAGCTGTTGGCTTCTTACCAACGTGTGCACAGTGTCCTTCAAGGGCAAGGAAAGGCTTGCTCAAGGTCAGCTGGGGGCACGGCTGGGACTTGATCCTCGATTTTAAACATCTGCAGAACCTGGAAGCTGCTTTTATTCCTGCGCTCCCAAGTTAAATTATTGGCAGGTGTGGATTTGTGGCCACTCAAAGCTGTTAGGCCCAGTTCAGTGCCGACTACATTTGTGCTTGCGGATTAGCACATGAGCAATATGAGGAGGGGTCAGTGACAGAGCACGTGCTCTGCATGCAAAAGGTCACAGGTTTGATCTCTAGCCTCTCCAGCAAAGCTTAAGGAACTTCTTTGCCTGAGATGCTGGAGGAGGCACTGCCACAAAACACACCTTTCTTTGCAGCATTCCCCCCCCCCCATCTACCAGGGCTTCTACTTTGTCTTTTGAAAGCAAGGACTGAATGGTTGCCCGCTCAGTGTTTTGGTAGAATAAAAAGCTCAACAAAAATAACAGTAATCCTACTGAACACATAGGGGCTTGTGAAGAGGGCGAAGGTCCCTAAACAGGCATACAAGCAAGGAACCAAAGTCACTTTCTGCTGCTTGAACCATTAAGTCAAAGGAGAAGTAACTGCTACAGTTTTCCCAGTCTGCCACCCACTTTCCAGTGGAAGGTTTTGGTTTCCTAACTAAAAACAGAGCCAGCTGCAGGCAGTCATTTCCACCCTGGAGCTATTGCCTCTGCAATTGCCCAGTACAGGAAGAATGCATACCTGCTGAGTGTTTTGCCTCGCCACTGCCATACAAAAACGGAAAACCGACAATTCAAAATGCCCTATTCCAGATGATGCTCTGAAGTAGTGATTGTACAACAGAGTTTATTGAACGAGCATATACAAAAGGGACAAAAATGAAGAAAAATAGGAGGAACCTTGGGGTTATTCCTTTGGACAAGTAGCTGTACGTCCCACCCCTGCTGCGGAGGAAGCAGCAACTTCAAATTAGGATATGAAACGGTGTAAGTAAAAAGTTAAGTGGGGCAGCTCCATTCCACTGACCACTCCAAACCAACAAACACAAACACACACACACACACACACACACACACAGCTTGTGTTTGCTGTCACGGGGACTTTTGGAGTTGCCAATGTGTACCTCAGGGGTCAGCAAACTTTTTCAGCAGGGGGCCGGTCCACTGTCCCTCAGACCTTGTGGGGGGCCGGACTATATTTTGGAGAGAAAGGGAAAAAAATGAACGAATTCCTATGCCCCACAAATAACCCGGAGATGCATTTTAAATAAAAGGAGACTCATGTAAAAACATGCTGATTCCCGGACCGTCCATGGGTCGGATTTAGAAGGCGATTGGGCTGGATCTGGCCCCCGGGGCCTTAGTTTGCCTACCTGTAAAGAAGCTCTGGTTGTTCTGTTCCTTTAGGATTATGCGTTTCCAGTATCCTAAGCAAACTATGATGGCTGGTAAGAATTGAGTGTGTGGGGGCGCAAACAGTCACTGGGAGCAATAGTTCAAAGGGCTGCAGGCCTCACTGATACATAGGGACAGACTCCAATACTGTAACTTGTTAATAAAAACATTTATTTTGCAGTTTGTACAGAACCACCTGAAGTTTGCAACGGAACGCTGATGCTTACACAGCTGTTGACACTGTGCCTTCAACTTAAGATTGGGGTTTTTCTTTCCTTTTTTTGTTTTGTTTGTGGTTTTAGGACAAAAAGGGTTTCACACAAACACACAGAGAAAAAACAAACATTGGTAGGAGTGTATGAAGTCCTTTCTAGAGAGGAAAGGAGGCCAGGAGACAGGCTCCATTCTTTTCACCTATCGCTGCTCTCAAGGTGTGGCCAGCCAATTTAGCGCCACACGGCAATGCTATTAAAAGCTGCCGTTTTGGAAACGTTACCAATACCTTCTTTGCTATTGAGACACCCTCAACCCACCTTTTCAGTACCACAGCACCAACACTCAAGTCAAAATTAAAAATGGGATGGGGAGGTCACTTGCTTCAAACACGCTGCTCTCATCTCCTCTGGCCGAAGAGGAGGGAGGCAAGGAGCTATTTGTTCCTGGCAGATTAAGTTTCTTGAGAGTCTTATCTTTGGGAACAAAGCACCATCTCGCAGAAGATCAGGGTTTTTTTTGGGGGGGGCAGTGGGTTGCCCAGTGGGTTGTGTGCATTAATGCAGGTCAGGACAACCTAGTGCTGTGGTAGCTTTGGATTGGGGGAAGGGAAAGGTCTGTGTTGCCCCTCTTTGGTAGGCAAGGAGGTGAGCTGTACTCACCTTTTTCACCGGAGTGTGACTCAAGTCACAGCCTCACCTGCTCTGTCTTTTAAGAGCACAATTCTGCCGTTTTTGACAGCGGCGGGAGAAGGGTATACAAAAGGGGATGGCGCTCAGCTGACGGGAAAGAACTGCTTTCCTCTCCAACCCCCTCCTGCCAAAAAGGGAGGGCGTTGTTTAAAATGCAGAACACCCCATCTGTGAAAGGTGGTAAAAAGCAGCATGTGATATGACATGATTGTTAAAGGGGAAGTATTCTCTGCTCCTGGCCTGCAACCTGGGGCGATAAGAGGGGATGAAAGAGGAGGAGTCTGAGCTGGAAAGAAGCAACATTCTCTCTAGCCGGGGGCATCAGCTCAGGTTGGGAAGAGCTGCCCTGGGCCCTGCGCTTAGGAATCTAAACTAACTTTAAGGTGGTATTTTAAGGTAGCAGGTGTGGAGGAGGGGGGAGGATAAGTATCTATAAGTTTTATCTGAATTTATCCCATAAATAACCTGAAAAAAATATGCGATGGTCAGTGCCTCTAAGGAAGGATCTTTTCAAGGCCCTTTGAACAAAACACAAAAAAGTCGTATTGTCTCTACCGTTCCCTCGACAGCTAACCCCCTGCCACGTTATCCCTTGCTTTAACCTGACTTTGCACCCACAAGCACCATCAGCCCATCTGTGCTCATGGATTTGGGTCTCTCCAGAGGGAAGCCAAGCGCCCGGCTCCAGATGAGCTGCGACAGGACGCCAAGAGCTCGAGACACACCAAACAGCACAGTGTAGTAGTTCATCTCCTTCATGCCGTAGTACTGCAGAAAGAAAGAGGTGGTGGTTAGGAGGACGGCCCCGGGGAGGAAAAAGACCACTTACCAGGCATAGAGAACCCTTAAGTAAGTAAACTTTATTGTAACCTATATGGCAAATATAGGGAACCCTTTAGCCCTCTAGGTGTCCCTTGGTTCTTGAACGTAATCCGTTCCAAAGTCCGTTCGACTTCTGAAACATTCAAAAACCAAGGCGCAGCTTCCGATGGGTGCAAGTGCCCTGAAAACAATAGCCGACAGCCACATCGGATGTTCAGCTTCCAAAAAACATTTGAAAACCGGAACACTTACTTCCGGGTTTTCGGCTTTTGGGAGCCGAAATGTTCGAGTACCAAGGCGTTTGAGAACCAAGGTTCCACTGTATTGGCCACGATGGTTGAGAGTGCTAAAATGGAATCTCCACCTACAGATACAGTATACCTCAAAAACTAGGTGTTCAGGAAAACCAGAAGGGCATCACCTTCAAAACCCACCTGTGAGGTTCCTGGGAGGCACTGGGGGACACACACAAACCTGACTGGGCACTGTCATAATCTATACTGTATATTGCTCCGAGGGGCCTCACAGGAAGAGATTAAGAAAACATACAAACTGAATGCTGTTATATCTGATCCTTCTTACACACAAGAAATAATTCCTGGAAGTGACATGAATCCTACAGCCCTTGCAAAGTGATTTTTTTTTGCTGTTCCAAGGGGGCAGAAGAGGAAAGTTTTTTTTCAGTCACTTCCTGTAGGGTTTTTCCTTTAAAAATTTGCAGAAATTAGAAGGGTGGGGGATAGGGCAAAGCACTCTGATTCTTCGTCTCATACCAGCCGAAACATTTCAGGTTTGCCCACCGCAAATCCCAGTCGTTTAGGAATTCTGCCTCATGCTATTCCTATACTATGGTTGGATATAATAGCATCTGCAAGGCCTCCTAAGCCACCACTAGAGGGAGGCACACCACCACCCTGCCTGGGCTCTGCAAGTGTAGGAGTTCAAATGGTGATTGGCATACAATTTACCAAGGGTTCCACAACCGGCTTATTGGCTATGGCAAAACAAGCGGCCCCAGGCAATTATTGCCCTTCCCCTACTATGCAGAGCTACGTGGGAATGTCGGCCACATTCTAGAACACTGTGCAAATCAACAGCTGAGTCAAAGCTTCCTTTGCACCCACTTAGCACCCACAAATTCACTTAGCACCCACAAACTGAGTGCAAAAAAGGTGCTTCAGGTTGCACTGCGGATTTACCAATATCCTCCCCAAAAGATAGAAATTGCTATCACACTGCGGTAAATCCTGCAGAGCTGGTTCAGCGCCCTAGTTGGGAAATAAACTGGGCTTGCGGACAAGGATAGGAGCAGCTCTGTGTACTGGTGGGGCACAAGCAGAAACATTTAATCTAGTGCCTGGAAATAGAGGCTTTGCCCCAGGGAACGGACTCAAGCTTGCTTCTGCGCTACCTAGAGCAGCAAAGTGGCATAAGCATATAAGATGCAGACTGATCCCTCTGACATCAGAGCGAGTGTGGTGCACAAGTCAACTTGGGGCCTGTACCACTCCCCAAAAAACCAGATTCAGCCCTGCCAGGCAATCCCATACCTGAACTGAACACAGGTGCACCTACAGCATCCAGCCAGCTTGAGTTTTTAAAGCAGCTGTTGGGAACCTCTGGCCCCATAAAGTTCACCAGGCTGCCTCCATTTCACCCAAACACAGCCACATCCACCACGACTGGTGAAAACAAGTCACCTGATGTCATTTTGATGAGGTGAGGCAGCTGACCCTCAGATTGCAAGGTGGCCCAAGGTGTAGCAGACAGGCTCTGAGGCTTCAGAGCTTCTAAGATACTGGGTTTTGTGCTCCACATAAACAGAAAACACCAGGCAGAGGTGAGGGAGAAGTAGTCTGTGACTGAGAGCTCTAGTTTCCCATCACAAAATACCTTTTATCAGGACTCTCCTTTTACTTCGTTGCAGTGCTTTTGAGAGTGACACATCCACCTCTGTCCTAATCAGCTTGGCATTTTGTGATTTCGGTACATCATCTAAGCCTCAACTATGTTTTTCAAACCCTGCTTTTATCCTTCCCTTATATTATGGGCTGGATGCAACTAAAGAGTTGCACTAGCAGGAGCCAGTGCAACAAATTCTCAAAACCACAACAGCTTCAAAACCATTTTTAAAATAAAAACTCATCCTTTAAAGATACTTATCACAAGATTCCCTGCACCTATTGGTCTGAATATGGTGGGTTCCATCCATTTCTGTCCAAAAGCGTAAGTTTTAGGCAGTGCTAAATCTCCCCCCATGCTTTGGAAAGCAAGGTGAGATGATCCTCTGCCTTAGACCCAAGGCAAAGTGTGATACTAATCTGGGCTGAGAGCGCCCTCTATTTGAGCCTGCAAGGCAAGTTCCCAGGGAAATATATTCCCAGTGCTCAGTCCTAAGAAATGTGCTTGTAGGGCCCAGATTCTAGCAGGCACCTTTAGCTGAGAAAGTCCAGGGCTTTGGTCTCTGCCCTCAAAGACCAAACTACCAAACTACCAAAGGTAGTTAGCTCACCTGCAGGAGGACCCCACTATGTGCGTCCACATTGGGCCAGGGATTCTTGGCCTTGCCCTGTTCCAGCAGCACATTAGGGACAATCTTGTATAGCTGCGCCACCAGCTTGAAGAGGGGATCTTTGGGAAGGTGCTTGAGCGCAAATTCTCTCTGGCAGGTGTAGCGAGGGTCCGTCTTCCTCAGCACTGCGTGGCCATAGCCAGGAACCACCTGCAACATGAGACGTTGACAGAATCTTGTGGGTGGTACCCAATATGATGTGCAAAGGGGTTAACAGGCAAGTACTCAGCCCCCTTCATAGTTGCCAACATCCACACCTTGATCGATAGGTTTTCACACAGTGCCACCACTACCTTTGATTTCTCACCTTCCCCCACCATCCTGCCTGTGGGACTCTTTAGGCAGTTCCCACCAGCTCACAATCATTTTTTACACTGACCTGTTTTAACAAGCCCTGGAGCAGGCTAAGTTTTTAATCAATTTTTATTAAAAGTTTCCAACATAAAATACAATAAGAGCCAAACTAATCTAGAGAGATAAGAAAAAAGCAAGAATAAGAGAAGGAAGAAAATAAAGAAGAAAAGTAGAGAAAGTGAATACCAGGTCCTCCAGCACTGTATCTTAACTCTTATTGCATGTACAGAAGAGGAAACCCTCCCAGCTCTCACCTGGGAGCTTCCTCCTCTTCCCCCAGCCCTACAGCAGTTTAAAGCTTGTGGAATGAGATCATGATTGGAAATTGTGTGCGTGTGAAATATATATTTGCACACAGACAGCAAGAGAAAATCTAGGCGGCCATATCCATTTTCTGTACAGCTTCATCCTGGCAACTGTCTCCTGGCTGGTTTCTAGGAGGAGTGACCTATTGGCCGATAGCATAGACTGACTTGAAGTCCTTGTTTATCTTCTCCCATTGTTGATGACTCCCAGCACCTGACTTCCTGCTTTTGCTCCCCATTTCTATGCCAAGTGAGACTACAAAGGCACTGGGAATCCACTAGCTAGTACATCAATGCCTTTCTTCTGCAGCTAATTAACGGACTTCACTTCCCAGTGGCTGCTAAAGAAGAACTGGGGGATAATTACGCATCCTTAAAATACATTTAGGCCACTCCTTGTGGTCCTGTAATCAACGTGGTGGAGGGGGAAGATATTCCTTTCTAACACAGAACAGGACATGAGTTGCTATTCTAAGAGTCCCCACATTGAATTGATAAAATAGGACAGGGGAACGGCACCAGGACTGTGGGAAGTGCAGGAAAAAGAAGAATGAATACTTTAGACAGAATTCCTCTTCCTGAGAAGCTCAGCTTAAAAAGCAAAACAAAAACCTAAATATGGCTGCGCATATATGCTTTTGTGGAGTTTACAAGTTGAAATCCCATAAGCCTGTGTGGTCTCTCTGTGCCCCTACCACCCCATTTTATAACAGACCTCACTGCAACCTAAATCTCTACAGTTTCCTCCCAACTGCAACCCCTCCCTCTGTTGCCCCATTAAGGCTTTGATGCCGCCAACACTCACCCTGCCAGAGTTCAAAGTATTCCAGATGAAATCCCTCAGTTTCGTGTCAGACACATCCTCACCCAGCTCCTTCTGCAAGTTCGTCAACCATACCAGCACTTCCTGCAAAAAGCCCGTGAGATTTGCTGATAATGTGCAAGAACAGGGAGGGCTCCCTAAAGGCTCTCCGCCAAATTCAAGATTTGCCAGCACTGCTCGGCAATGCAGCCCCCTACCTGATTTGCAAGACCGTGGAGTGGGCCAGCCAGACCATTCATGGCTGCAGCAAAAGCCAGGTAAGGGTCGGAGAGGGCACTGCCCACTAGGTGACTGGTATGGGCACTGACATTACCACCCTCGTGGTCACTGCAGAAAACAAAGGGGGAGGGGGGAAATCAGCAGGGAACAAGGAAGCTTAGAGCGCACAGCAAGCAGACTGAAATGAAGTTTTGTATGGATTTGGCCAATGGTTAATAAATTAAGATTCTCACCAACATTTCTTCCTGAACAGAAAAGATGACACACATAATATTCCAGAAGTACAATAGCAGTTACAATGAATTCATTTTATGGTCATCATATGCAAGCATGAAAGATGTTCAGACAGCTCTGTCAATAGCGCATGAGACTCTTAACGTCAGGGTTGTGTGTTAAAGCCCCACATTGGGCAAAAAGATTCCTGCACTGCAGGGGGTTGGACTAGATGACCCAACGGAGTCCCTTCCAACTCTACAATTCTACAGCCCCAGCACACCACAGCTGCAAGAAACAACCTACCAGGGCGAAAGTAACATTACCCTTGTAACATGTAGCTCCCAATTGAGGGTTAAACAAAAGTTAGGGTTCTCTGCCACTAGAGGGAGCCGCTTAAGAGAACATTCAGGGGTCAGCAAACTTTTTCAGCAGGGGGCCTGTCCACTGTCCCTCAGACCTTGTCGGGGGGCCGGACTATATTTTGAAAAAAATAATCATGAACGAATTCCTCTGCCCCACAAATAACCCAGAGATGCATTTTAAATAAAAGGACACATTCTGCTCATGTAAAAACACACTGATTCCTGGACAGGATTTTGAAGGCGTTTGGGCCACATCCGGCCCCCGGGCCTTAGTCTGCCTACCCATGGAACATATGAAGTCATATTAACCCAACTAGCAACAGGATTTCAGGCAGAGGCCTCTCAGTTGGGCTGATGGATTGGGACCAACTGCTGGGTCACAGCTTGATCTAACAGCAGCAGGAGTAGCAGCATACAAACATGGTAAAAAGAAGATTTAGAAATGGGACACCAAATTCACGTTTGGGTTAAAGGTGGGTTAAATATTGAAGGCTACCGCTTTAACAGAATATTCCATGGATTGAAGTTAGGACGTTATACATGGAAACTCTAACCCCTGAACTATGCACCCAGCTCCCTGCACATCTCAACTGTCGCAAAAGGCTACAGATTATATCAGATGCTTAAGTGCTATGCCTGTTGGCAAACTGAATCTCAATCCAGATAAGACTGGGGCATTGTTAGTGGGTGGTTGGACGAATGGGAAGTTACATTCCCTTTGAAGGAGCTTGGAGGTACTCCTGGATCCTTTGCTGTCGCTTGATGCTCAAGTGGCCTCAGAGGCATGGACCATCTTCCATCAGCTTCGGCTGGCGGCCCAGCTACGCCCTTACCTAGACAGCCTAACTATTGCTGTCTATGCCCTGGTAACCTCTAGGTTAGATTATTGCAATGTGTTGTACATAGGGCTGCCCCTGAAGGCAGTTCAGAAACTTCAGCTGGTGTAGAATTCGGCAGCTGGGTTGCTCACCGGGGAAAGACGGTTTGAGATTACCGTATTTTTCACTCAATAAGACAAACTTTTCCCCTCCTAAAAATAAGGGGAAATGTGTGTGCGACTTATGGAGTGAATGCAGGCTCCATGGCTTCAGCGAAAGCAATGCGAAGCCTCCGGAGCACAGCGTGCGGCTATCCCATAAGCCAGGACAGCCAGTGGGATCGCTGCACTGAGATCCCGCTGGCTGTCCTGGCTTCTGGGATTCAGAATATATTTTTTCTTGTTTCCTCTTCCAAAAACTAGGTGCGTCTTATGGTCTGGTGCGTATTATAGAGCGAAAAATACGGTATATTGCGCCGAGCCTGGCCCAACTTCACTGGTTGCTACTCAGTTTCCGGGCCAATTCAAAATGCTGACTTTGACCTATAAAGCCTTAAAGGACCCCAGGGACCACCTCTCCTCATATGAATGGACCGTGTGATCGTCATCTGAGGCCCTTCTTTGTGTGCCTCCTCCACAAGAGTGGGCCTTTTCTGCAGTGGCTCCTCGTTTGTGGAACGCTCTCCCCAGGAAGGCTTGCTGAGCACCTTCATTATGCTCAAGCACAGAAAGCATATGGGGGAAATTGCACCAATGCTTAGTGCGCTGGCAGTAATGGATGTGTGGGGGAAGGACACAAGTGCTAAACACACAAAAGCTCAGGACTCAGTTCTTTCTGTTGCTCCGTCAGCTCACAGCTCTTTCAAGCCTCTCTTGTACACAAGACAGGCAAGACTTACCTGTGAATGGTGAGGTAGAGGCGCATGAGTTCAATGAACTCGGGGTCACTATAGCCCAGCATGTTGGTGAAGTTGTGCGACCAGTCTAAGGCGGGATCGATGGCGCCGATGCTGCTGCCTTCACGGTACAGATTGCGGTAAATCTTTGCAGCTATACATGGCAGCTTGGCAATCAAGTCCATGGAGTCCTCATAGATAAACTGCAAAGTATGGAAGGGGAATGTCGGAGCCAGCCGTTACAAAGTGGCGAAGTTTAGCATAAAATTATGACACAGAGAGCCAGCAATATTTTCATGATGGTAGGAGCAGCTCCTTTTCCTCCCTCTCCTCCTGCAGACTTATTTATTATCCTTTGTCTCTCTCTCCAGCCGCATGGCTGTTTGCCAGTGTCTCACGTTACCTCATCCGGTCAAGGCTTTTATTGCCCCCAACACCGTATAAGGTCAATCACTGCCCAGAGGAAACACAGCTCCAACACATTCCATTACATTGTAAAGCTCAGAGTGCTGGTCAGCCGAGGTCAGGGGGCACCCTGCAATATTACAAGCCTTTACCGTGGCTTTATGACTCCCACAGGGGAAGGGGAGGTAGAAGTCAGGAACCACTCGTAGGGGGTCTTCCCCCTCCAATCAAGCCAGAGCAGGGACATATGATCTGTTCACTGGCTACAGCTACAACAGTTAACATGAAGACTAGAGCGGCTTGCGTACAGTCTGCAACAAGAGTCTTTGTATTCTGCCTTCATGCATGCATCTCATGGGATGAACTCTTAGAGCACAAAAGCAGCTGCGGCTGTAAAATGAAATATACTCATTTGAAAGGTGCCACAAGACTCAGCGACTGTTTGTCCTGAATGTATAAACAGACCTAGGAATGCTGATAAGCACTGCTGCTTATTCTTCCAAGAGTCACACAGGTAGGACTTCCTTCATGTGCTCATAGGCAGAGGACTGGCATCTGAATCACACTCCTGCCACACATTTCTACTCTTTTATAATAACAACTATTATTTCTTATGAGTCACTTTCCACAATAAGTCTCAAAGCAATCTGCTGGCAACTGCAATGCACAAAGCAATTTGTTGGCAATTGCCAGGAGAACTCAATAAACAAATTTAAAAGTGGTGTTAATACCAGAACACCCTAGAAACAAATCCCTCCGTCCCCCAATATAGAGATGAGTTTCCCCCCCAAAATCATCCAGGTAAAATATATAATCAACTGCTGGAGGATTTAACACTCAAATGCCTGGGATCAAAATGATACCAATGGCACCCCATGAGTATTCCACGGAAAAGGACCTGTTCTCTTGTCTAACTGCAGTGCATTGGCTGGGCAGGGGACAAGTAGGTAAAGGTTAATGAACAGCAGAACTACTGCCTCCCCGCATCCCAGTACTTTACCCCTTTACTCCAGACAGCAATGCCTCAGGGCAGATACAGGCCGGCAGAATTGGAACGGGCCAGAGACCAAAGTCTCTTTGCTTCAGTGCCGAGGGTGTGCACACACATTTTAGGTCAGGCCAGAGGCACATGTCATCTTGTTCAAGGTCTCATGTTAAAAAGGCAGTGACTGGGATTCCACATGGTGAGGACCAAGGTCTGTCTCTCCACCTCTGTCTTTCTCACACACCTGACTTCTGTCCTTTACCATGCGCTTGAGGATCAGCACGAAACAAAAGCTGAACTGGGCTGGCTCATTTCCAAGTCAAAATATGGCAGCCTTCAGCAGGGCTTGGTCAGGCTTGACACATTAGGTGTCTCTCTTTTCTGGAACAACTTCCACCTCTAGGTGCAGAAGCAGGAAGGACCACGCCCACTGCCCCAAACTCCACAATTTTATCAGCACCTGGCATTAGCTAATCAATCCTAGGACAAAGGGTGTTCAGCAATCCTGGCAGCAGCTTTCCAATCAGTAAGCCCAACTCCCCAATATGAAGACCCGAGACAAACCAATGCAGGGATGGGGAAGCTGCAGCCTGCCAGATGTTGTGGACTACAACTCCCATCACCCCTGATCACTGGCCATGCTGGCTGGGGCTGATGGGAATCCAATGGCATCTGGAAGCCCCAAAGTTCCCCACCACTGGAGTTCTTGGTGTTTGCCAGAGCGTTTTGGGGGATTAAGCTGCAGGCCATGGATCATCACCACCCTCTGACAATGAAAGCTTCAGATACATTTTCCCCTAGCCTTTTTAACATTCAGCAAGAATCATCCTGACATTCAAGGCCTTATTCTTGCAACACTGAGTGCACGATTTTCAGTTTTCAGCTCACGCAAAGAAGGGACGAGGCTCAGACAACGCAAATTTCTTTACACAGCCATAACCCTATGTTAAGTGTCTATGTGCTTTGTGCATACAGGTATAAACAACAAAGCCCATTTTTATGTAGACGATTATAATAAACCACCTGCATTTCTGGTACGTGGCTTCAGGACTTCACCTCCAGATGCCATTGATCAGATGCTACAGAAGAAAATACTTACAGCTTGTCCACCCGCCTCCCCCATTATTTGCTTGCCAAGCCCACAAACGGCTTGCACCTCTTCCGCACACGCAAAATGCTGCCCGCCCCTGTGCTTACTTCCCAGTACTTGGTCCGGCTGATTCCCTCTGAGTAGGCACGGGCAAAAGTGCTCTCGCTGTTGAGGGCGGTGACAGCGGCACTCAGTTGTGACATGGGGTGAAGGTTGGTGGGGAAGTTGTCCAGCATGGTCACCACATGAGAAGGCAGGGCGGCTCTTTTGGCCCACTCCCGGGACAGCCAGCTCACCTGAACGGAGAAAACACAAAGCTCTGCCTCAGTAAAAATGAAGGAATCGGTGCTGAGCTGCGTGCAGCCTCCCTCTGCCCTTTGCTATCTCCTTCGGCCATGTAGACACCTCAGTGCTTTCCCTGCCTGCTCACAGACACTCACAACCCCTCCCCCCCCCCGGCTGCATAATGGCATTCAAGGAAGGGCTGAAGGTATCAGCTGCAGCCTCCCATTCAGAGACTCTACTTCAGCCATTCCTGTCTCGTTACCTGTTCTTGCGAGGGGATCTCTCCTGTCACCAGCAACCAGAACAGCCCTTCGGGCAGGGGCTCTGCACCTCCAGGGGCTTTGGGCAGCAGCTTCTGGCATTCGGGGATGCTGTAGCCACGGAAACGGATGCCCTGCAGATGTGGCAAAGGCAGATTAAGAGGTATTCATACATCTCCATGGACAGGCTGCACGGCCAGACGGGTATTGTGACTACTACAACCTCAGGCCTCACTTACCTCATCTGGGTCCAGGACTGAGGTCTCGTATATTAGCCCTTTCATGCCTCTCATGCCCCCGTAGATCTAGGGACAAAAGATGCAAGCAGTAAAAAGTTAGGACAGACAAAAGGAAATACTTCTTTGCTAAGTGCATCAGCTATGGAATTTGCTGCTGCAAAGTGTGATAACTTAGGTTCTTCTTTCCCTTAAGCAATTTCACACTTCATATGGGAGGTATCAAGGTTATCAATGCTAAATACTATCCCTCTGTCCCCACTGGTGCTTTGCACACTTTCTTCCTTTGGTGGTGGTAATGGCACCAGTGAAAAATTGAGTTGGGGGGCGCTGATAGGCCACCAGGGAAGGCTTATGGGCTAGCAGTTCACCACCCCTGATTTAAGTTAACCCAAAATTTCAGCACGGCCCGAAGTTTGCAGCCAGAATAAACTGATACGTTGCACAAAGACTGCATAACAGTCTCAGGTGTACCAGGTGAGGATTCTGCTGCAGAATTGTTTCCAATGCCCTGTTTTGCCAAAATGATAGCTTTATTCCCCACTCCTTGTCAACTCTGTAGGCTCTTGAGAGACCAGGAAGCATAGTGGCAAATCTCTTATAACCTTGGCTCTGGCTTAAATACTTCTTCCCCTTTTGTCAATGGCCTCAAAAACCAGACTGAAGAACAGAGTCCTTTTCAACAACCGTCAAGGCTCAGCTTTCCAGCTGGCACCCAGAAAACCTTGCTACTGTGCACCAAAGCTGGAGGAGGCACCACTTCGCAAACAATTAATTAAATGAACTTCAGATTCAGAAACAAAGCAGGAGATACTAATCAGCACTGCTCAGAGACTAGTATAACCAGGAAGCTGATTTGGCATCTAAACACTAGAGAAAGCCTTGGTACCGCAAACAATGAACTAGTAATGTGACCTCATTGCTTTAACGGCAGTTGGGCTCTCTTTGGCATTTTCTCTTAACGAAATGTTACTTTTATGTCAGCTACCTTGCAAGGGGCTAGGAATGACGCCCTCCAGACTTGCTCACAAGGGCTGCATCATCTAGGACAGAGCTTTCCAAACTGTGTGTCGCAACAAGTTAGTGTGTTGGCTGCAGTGTGTAGGTGTGTCGCACAATAGGTGTCCGTTATCTCTTATAAGACGTTTGTTTAACCTCCAGTTTGCTAGTAAAACTGTCGCGAAATGATGCACGTCTAAAAAGTGTGTCACCAACATGCAAAGTTTGAAAAGCTCTGATCTAGGAGTTACCACAGCTTTGAGGCAGAGTTGCCAACCCTTGTGTCCAGTGATTTTTTTCTAGAATAGGTGCCGCTACTCACCATGAAGTTGTTACAGTAAGTGTCACCCTTTTTTTGCAGTGAGTACGTGTATTCACAATTTGGACCACTGCACTAGGAGGCTCCATGCTCACTGTGCCTCACTTCAAACTCAGAAGGCTAACACAGGAGCTCAACAACAAATATTCAATTGCTTTCATAATAAAAACATGGCTACTTGAGAAATGAAGTAGATCAGTGGTATCCAAACTTTTTGCAAAGAGGGCCAGATTTGATGAAGTGAAGGGCCATGAGGGCCGAACAAAGTTGTTGAGGTTTTTTTTTAGGTTTTTTAGGATTTTATCCTGGGAAATAAACTGCCACAGGGGGCCAGATTCAACTGACCAGCGGGCCGAATTAGGCCCCTGAGATAGCCATGCCTGAAGCAGACCTTTCGTGTATTTAAACCACGTACTATCTACTGACAGCAGTTCTTCAAGGTCCCAGGCAGAGGTCATTTCTAGTTCTGTTTCTTGACAGCCTTTAGCCTGAGATGCCAAGAGCTTATTTTGGAGTTGTCACCAGAACATGCATCTTGTCTTTGACCCATATCCCTTTATTCACCGACTGTTCTTCCTCCTCTCCTCCTTTAAAAAGTGCTCTAGTGTCACTAATATCCTCAAACCCTGCTGAGGCTTTGCCATGCCCTAAGTCTCATGGGTGGAATTCAATGCAGTCCTAAGTGAGGTACGCGTGCTCACAATGGGGCCCACTCATGCAACTTGACTCTCCCCCCTCTCCTCCCTGTGCACCCCCCTACTGAGGGGTTCCCCTAACCATCCAGAGCAGATTTAGAGGGCACAGGGGTTGAAATCCTGTTGCAGAAGCAGACCTCTGCTCTGTGCACACAGCAACCTAGTTGAATCCTACCCCATGTTATTGGCTTGACTAAAGAAGTCATCATCTGTGAAACTTTCCAGGCCACGCTTCACCACCTCTCTCCAGGTTAGGACTGGGCAATATATTGATATGTCATCCAACACTGGTTTGAAGTCTGTATTATGATATCAGCTTCATAATTTTTGACTTAGCAATATATCGTGAATCATGGTGTTTGTGCATGCACTATGCAAAAATCATGATGCGGGGAAAACAGTGAAGCCAGCCAATGCCTCTACATAGCTCCATCCTTATTTCAGACATCGTGATATATCAGTATATCACAATGTTTAGCTGGTGATATTGAAAACCAGATATTGCCCAGCCCCTACTCCAGACATTTTACCAGGGGACAAAATGCCTAAAAGTAGCACAGCACAGGGGCTTCTTTGCAACTTACTCCTTTAGACTGGTAGCAGCCTGCAGGTAGAGATGGAATTTCCTGCAGGATACAATGTCTCGGATATTCTACTACAACGATGACACCGGAAGAACTTACCATATCCACAGTGATCTGACCAATGACTGTGCTGCCATATTGTTGCCTGAAGCTTTTAAGTCTTGATTGCTCCTTAGGTATCATGTTTGCAAGAACATCTTTCAGGTTCTGGAAACAAAAAAGTGCAGCCAGATCTTACACACAAAGTTAAGAAAATGCCAGTAACCTAGTACTGCAAGAGACATGGGGTAGAATAAAGAGTGGGTGAGAATTAATAAATCCAGCACGGATTGCATTCTCTCAAGTACAAATGACAAAGTGAGTCACTAGCCAGGCAGTATGGACATTTTCCTGGGGCAAACACTAGAACAGGGGTCGGCAACCTAAGGCCCATGGGCCACAAGCAGCCCATGGGGGTCATTTAACCGGCCCATGGACCCCTGCCGCCCACTCGGTTGGCTCCCATGCGCCATGCTAAACAGGCGCAGAGCAGAGCAGGGACCGCCTTCTGCGACGCTGGCCAGCTTCCCATTGGCTGCAGGAAGCTCCTGCAGCCAATGGGAAGAGGCACCCGCCGCTTCAGCGCCAGAAGGAGTGCCAGAAATAGTGTTTGCGCATGCGTGCACACTCCGGCCCACCGCGGCGTCTGCAGGACAATGAACCGGCCCAACCCACAAAAGCTTTGCCGACCCCTGCACTAGAACATAGGGAAAGTCCTGCTGGATCAGGTCAAAGGTCCAACTAGACCAGAATCCTGTTCTCACAATGGCCAATGAGATAAGGTAAAGGTAAAGGGACCCCTGACCATTAGGTCCAGTCGTGACCAACTCTGGGGTTGCGGTGCTCATCTCACTTTATTGGCCAAGGGAGCCGGCGTACAGCTTCTGGGTCATGTGGCCAGCATGACTAAGCTGCTTCTAGAGAACCAGAGCAGCGCACGGAAATGCCATTTACCTTCCCACCGGAGCGGTACCTATTTATCTACTTGCACTTTGACATGCTTTCGAACTGCTAGGTTGGCAGGAGCAGGGACCGAGCAACAGGAGCTCACCCCGTCGCGGGGATTCGAACCACCGACCTTCTGATCAGCAAGCCCTAGGCTCTGTGGTTTAACCCACAATGCCACCCGCGTCCCCGGCCAATGAGATAACAATGGGAAATTTGTAAGCGGGACCTGAGCACAACAGCACTCTCTTCCCAGCAGTACAGGATGCAGCCAGGGTCCAGAGCACCCAAACTCATCTCCCCCGAACAACCCACAAGTAATGAAAAAGAACTGCTTACCGTAGAAGCACTGGCATGTCTGGCAGCAAAAATGATACATGATGAGTTCTGCAAGGGAGAAGAGAGACAACAACTGAAAACACTTTCTTTACAAGTGGGCAGACCACCAATAACCTCACATGCATCCCAAGCAGATTCCCCACCACCACCCCATGGCCTTTCACTCCCATTTAACACCTGACTTGCAAATACACCTCAGTCCCTTGATTATAAAGAGACTCTCTTGACAACAAAGGCGTCAACTCTAAGGGGCACAGGTCCCTTCGGGTCCCCCGATAAAATATTTGAGAACAATCAGGGGATGGAGGAGGCTGAGAGTGGAGTGGCTTCAGTGGCTGGTAGCTCCGCCTGCTGCTGCTGCCACGGACGGGAAGGATGAGGGGAAGCAGCTCCTGGCTGGTGGTGGCAGGAGGAGGAGGAGGATGCTGAGTGCCAGAGAGGAGGAGCCACCAATCACTGAAGACATGCTGCCATCACGTTCAGCTCCACCCCCTGGCTCCTCCTGGAGTCCCTGCATCATGCCTATGTCGTGTGTGTGTCATCGGCTCCCTTCCAATCTTCTGCTCAACTTGGCGCCTCTGCTTGACAATGTCACACAAGTGAAGTCTGCCATCATTGTGTTGTTGTTTAGTCGTTTAGTCGTGTCCGACTCTTCGTGACCCCATGGACCAGAGCACGCCAGGCACTTCTGTCTTCCACTGCCTCCCACAGTTTGGTCAAACTCATGCTGGTAGCTTCGAGAGCACTGTCCAACTATCTCGTCCTCTCTCGTCCCCTTCTCCTTGTGCCCTCAATCTTTCCCAGCATCAGGGTCTTTTCCAGGGAGTCTTCTCTTCTCATGAGGTGGCCAAAGTATTGGAGCCTCAGCTTCAGGATCTGTCCTTCCAGTCAGCACTCAGGGCTGATTTCCTTCAGACTGGATAGATTTGATCTTCTTGCAGTCCATGGGACTCTCAAGAGTCTCCTCCAGCACCATAATTCAAAAGCATCAATTCTTCGGCGATCAGCCTTCTTTATGGTCCAGCTCTCACTTCCTACATCACTACTGGGAAAACCATAGCTTTAACTATCCGGACCTTTGTTGGCAAGGTGATGTGTCTGCTTTTTAAGATGCTGTCTAGGTTTGTCATTGCTTTTCTCCCAAGAAGCAGGCGTCTTTTAATTTCGTGGCTGCTGTCACCATCTGCAGTGTCTGCCATCATAGGTCAGTATTTTCACTACAGCACTAGGGAAAAACATTTGAAATACTTGGGTGTTTCCTTATAGCTCCTACCACCAATACAGAAGTGCATTCTTTGCAGAGAATCAAACAAATGTGTTTTAGATGATTTTGTTGTTGTTGTTGTTAGGTTCAGGAACCGAGTTTTTTATACTTCTGCTGAGTGATAATGCTAAAACCAAGGCAGGAGTCTTATGGTGAAGCAATACTGAAATTTCAAATACTAGGCTCTACTTTCTTTGTTGTTTTAATTGTATTCTCCCCGCCCCCTTCTCTCCCACACACATTATGTCCCCATGCCTACAGCTTCCAATTTCTACTGTTTTTTGTATCCTGCAAACGTAGGATGCCTGGCATCAGCTGCCTAAGAGTTTTGGTCAAGACTCCATTCAGCAAGTACTCATCATGAGTCACGTACACCAGGGAGGGTAATCAGAAGTGTGCTACAGTTTCACAGTCCGGCAATCTTGCTGGTTTAGCAGCATTGGATACCTGCAAGTTGCTGAGTTTCCAACCTGTTAATATGTGCTAAGATGAGAATTACAGAGCCAAAGGGTTGACACAGACAGTGTTAGACACAAGCATTGTCTGCATTTAACAGACCACCACGTGGGTTATAATAATATTGCCCAAAAGGACTTTGGTGAAGTGAAGAATCTAATTTCATCATTCAACAGCAGAACTTTGACTAAAAAAAGTTAAATATTAACGCTTGGGAATGTTCACCAACACCCTTACCCCAAAACTGCTCACAGGTCACATGCCATATCCAAAGTTGTGTTCTGTGGCACTATGCAGGCACAGAAACAAAATTATGCATACAAAAGAGATGGGTGCAAGTTGGTTGAATCTGTATCTGTTATACAGGCAACCAAATTCAGCTTCCCACCCCTTGCATAATTTTGGTCATTATAGTACTGTATTCAGATTTTTTTCTAGGTGTTTTTTATTTTAAAGTATGCACAGCCCCAATCATAATCTTTCAATTTTTAAGATTAAGCCTCCCTTGCGAACAACCCCAGTTACAAGCAGTACTGCAGAAGGTTGCATATATGAGCAACATAAACAAGGACACACACCCCCAACTATAGTCCACGTTTTTGGCCCAACACACTTAAACTTCATAAGCAGTTGGATACATCCCAGGTAGGCATTACCCAAGGGGAGCACCTTCCAATCTCAGCTTCTCAAAAGCTACCAAACACAAGCAAGGGTTGATAATTGAAGACAAGGAAACTGCATGCTGGGGGTGGGGGTGGGCAGAGGAAATCAAGAAGCAGTTCCCTGAACAATGAGTACCATACTGTGCCTTCTCACTGGTTGAGATCATCTGAGAAAGCATTGCTCCGCAAACCATTTCCTTTGGAAAGCATGAAGAGCATGCAGTAAGATCTTTTCTCAAAGCAGGTCTGTTTCTGTTGTGGCAACCACCCTGTGGAACTCCCTCCCTTGAGTTGACGCTCTTTACGCCAGCATGCAATGCCTGCTTTTGAAAACGTTCTCCAAGGAACATGTCTGCTTTTCTGTTGCATTGCTTTTGTCATGTTCACAGTTACTTTAAGTCTCTCTTTTTAAAAGTGCTTTAGAATATTTTGTATGTCGCCAACTTGAAAAGAAGTCCCAAATGTCCATACTTTTGCTTGCCATTTACATCTAATCTTAGGAGAAAAGCTTTAGATGAGCAAAGGCACCCCCTCCAGTCCCAAGCCATTTCCCCCTTCCCATTCTTGCAGCCCCATCTCCTACAATAACAGAAGAAGCAGATAAACAAGCAATGATATAGGAAGCAATGGCTGCAAGTGGCACTCAGCAGTGGAACAGCAAGAGAAACTAATTGCAAGGTAAGCATACGATATAGCTAACAGCTGACTTAACACATCTCAAGTGACAGGACACACACAGGAGCTGTCTCAGTACAGTTTGCCTTTGCAAGAAGGAATGCTTCTACTTTCTTGCACTCAAATGCACTCAGCTTCCCCCAGGTGGCCTGTAAAACTTGGGATAAAGTGTTCCAATACACAGAACACCAACCTACCTGATGGGGCACCTGATGGGGAAAGGTGCATGCTACTATTGACAAAGCCTGGGAAGGAGATTTCCACATGCGCATGTACAGGCCCCCTTTAAAGTGCTAGGGCTAGGTTTAAAGGTAAAGGTAAAGTGACCCCTGACCATTAGGTCCAGTCGTGACCGACTCTGGGGTTGTGGCGCTCATTTTGCTTTATTGGCCGAGGGAGCCGGCGTACAGCTTCCGGGTCATGTGGCCAGAATGACTAAGCCGCTTCTGGCAAACCAGAGCAGCGCACGGAAACACAGTTTACCTTCCCGCCGGAGTGGTACCTATTTATCTACTTGCACGTTGACGTGCTTTCGAACTGCTAGGTTGGCAGGAGCAGGGACTGAGCAACGGGAGCTCACCCCGTCGCGGGGATTCGAACCGCCAACCTTCTGATCAGCAAGTCCTAGGCTCTGTGGTTTAACCCACAGCGCCACCCGCGTCCCAGGGCTAGGCTTACAACAAGCCAAAAGCTAGAATTTGGCAAAAACCCTCTTTAGAGGGTGGGGAGTAGAATTAGGTAAATTATGCAAACATCCTTTCGACCTAATGCAGGCATAACTAACATGGTGCCCTCCAGATGATGCTGGACTACAACTCCCATCAGCCCCAGACAGCATGACCAATGGTCAGGGATGATGGAAGTTATTCTCCCAACAACATCTGGAGTGTACCTGCTCAATGGATCAGATCTGACGCTCTAGGTTGGGGATTCTTGTCTTCATTGCAAACCAGTCCCGGTAGCAGAGAGGAAGGAGGGGTGGGGTTCATGGAATATGGCAGACAGGAAGCAGAAGCCAGAGAGCTGGCATAGAAGGAGACTTCCCTTTTCCCCCTTCTCACAGAAGCCTTACACTAAAAAAACCTAATCCCGCCATCCTCATATGATTACAGCCAGACAGGAAGCTTTCTACTGTACAGTAGAACAAACAGTCCAGATCACTGATGATTCTTTTGTCCCTCTGTCATGAAGTATTTGGAATAAACAAATTCCAACAAATTTGAGAGGCAGCCAAAAGCCAAGGGACAGGTCCTATCAGACACTGACAGGACATGAGCCAAAGGGATTTCTGAGAGCACTTTCTGTATCGGAACTCGGGCAACCTATGCCTCAGCTGAGCACATTCTGCTGACAGGAAAAGTGTTCTCAGAGAGAAATCAGGAAGACTCAGCAAGACTCTAAGACTACATCAAGATGGGGGTTTCTTAAAACCAATTAGCTTATCAATCAGGTCCGGTGGCATCAGTTCAATGCACATAAGCATGGAACCAGAGCTGCAGCAATACTGAAAGTACATTTAATAACAGGCAGCACTGCCAATTTGACAGAAAGCCTTTGGCCTGGAGAATATTGCATTAAGTGCCTTTTGCGTGTGTGTGTGTATTTCTAGATTTGCTTTTGGGGCAACACAGAACACCAAAAGTCCACACACACATCCTACATCTGTAAAACCGATGGCACCTCCTGACTTCTGAGAAAGGTCCGGACTTTATGGCACTATGGCATAGGACTCTATAGGAAAGGACTATAGCTCAACGGTAGAGCACATGTTCTGCAAGCAGGTCTGTTTCAATCCCTGCCATTTCCAGTTAGGGCTGGGAAAAGACTCTTGCCCAAAACCCTGGAGAGCCAGTGACAGTCAGTGTGGACAATACTGAACTAGACAAACCAATGGTGTGACTCCATATAAGGAAGATTCCTATGTTCGGAGCCTGCTACTGAGTAGGAAAAATAAAGCAATGTAGTCTAGGAATTTAGCCAAGTTGCAAGCTGCCAGTTTCCAATGAACGGTCCCCTGGGCACTACTGACAAGACTTTCCCAACCCCCAGATGACTTGCTCTTCACTTGTGAAAGTGTCCTCTGAGCATCCTTTGAACTCCTTTTCTGGCTCCCGGCTTACCTCTTTTATGCTTTTAATGCCTTCTGAGCAGCGCATACTTGCCTGCCTATCTTCCAGGACAGGCCACGCAGCAGCAACCGAGTTCCTTGGCTCAACATGCGCTCCTCTGCGACTGATGACAGGTACTCCACCGCAGAGGCTGCTTGTGGCCAGGCCCATTGAACACAGACCTGGCACATAAAGCCTCATGGAACAGAAGGAGTGCTACCACAGCTCCACTAAGCAGTGTCACCACAGTTCTTCCAAAGTCACCCTACATAATCCAGGGTAAACAAAGGCAGCAGCTTCCGGCAAAACTATGTTCCTTTGGAGCGACATTCAGGATCCAGGCTACTGCCAAAAATCAGTACACTGAAAGCTTTAACTTGCAACAGCTTTACCCTCCAGAGCAAATCAGCAAAAGCTTGGTCACTATTAAAAGTAAACAGCAGGATGCTTTGGGGCGAATGGTGTGGTTCCCAGAGCCGTATCTAAGCAACAAACATCCCTTCTCCACTCTGGACCTAGAAAACTATCTTGGGACAACTCTTGATTAGGAGGAGGCTGAGAAGGAGAAAAAAAACATTCACATAAGACAAGCTGAAGATGGTAATTTCCTGCAACATTTACAGGGAGGAGGCTGAACCCTGCTATTTAAGGGATTAAGAGGACTGCACACAGTCACAGCTGTTCCTCAAGAGAGAAATTCATGTCCGGTGAAGAATGCAAGAGTACTGTAATGGGAGTTCGCAAATGGGAATCTTATAAAACTGTATTTTGCTATACAACTGGTACACTTGGATTCTCTAGTCTGTTGTCTATAATGTTTCAAATTAGTTTGTGAAATTTTTAACCTTAGCTACACCCGCTCCCCTTTAACAGGAGCAGGCTTGCAAATAGCCACTAACCTGGGAAAGTAAAAGCTGTGTCTCATATTTTGAAACACATGTGGTTAACGTAGTTACCTAGGCAAGTGGGCTGGCAAGGAAGTGGGTTATTATAATCTGCAGGCAACATTTTGCTTTTGCAAGATAAAGAAACGCTGCTAAATCTGACAGTGCTGATTTTCTGTGTATGTGTGTGAGAGAGAAGAACAGGACACTTTGAGGATATCACAACCCTTTGGAACTCACTGCGTTCCTGATGGATCAAGAAGCCTGTCTAATAAACTTCTGGGAACAATAAAGCAGGCATCTCTTCTTACAACCAACTTCAATCACTGTGGCTTTAGCTGCTTTAAATAAAAACACAAACCTGATATTTAATAGGGATTTTAAAATTTAAAAATCTATTATACCAAAGTCTTCTGAGTGTAATGCACATTTGTATGAGTCTAAAACTACAGGCATTTGGGCTTAAAAAAAACAACCCACCAGGTATTTAAATAGCCGACAACATGGCACATAAGAATTGCCACTGCTTTTCTGCCACAACATATACAGTGTCTCCAATGACTGTCAGACTTGGATTTTGCATCTTCTAAAAGAACTATACAGATTCATTGCACAATAAGCTTGAGAGAAAGGTGAAAATATTTTATAGTACATGCCTGCAGTAGATCAGGGATCACTGGCCCTCCAGATGTTGCATTGACCACTGGCCATGCTAGATGGGGCTGATAAGAGCTGGAATCAACATCTGCAGGCAGGGTTTGAAATTAGCAGGGTGCAGAGCACATTTTGTGCCTAAAGATTCTCCATTTGCAAGCACCTCAAAAAGTCTGGGTGCCATTTTTTGCGCCTGGCTGACACTCAAGGATTACTGAAATGTATGTGCTTTGAATACTTGGAAGGATATGTTAAGGATAGACAATATGTTAAGGATTGGGACGCGGGTGAAACTGTGGGTTAAACCACAGAGCCTAGGACTTGCCGATCAGAAGGTCGGCGGTTTGAATCCCTGCGATGGGGTGAGCTCCCGTTGCTCGGTCCCTGCTCCTGCCAACCTAGCAGTTTGAAAGCACGTCAAAGTGCAAGTAGATAAATAGGTACCGCTCCGGCAGGAAGGTAAACGGCGTTTCCGTGTGCTGCTCTAGTTCGCCAGAAGCGGCTTAGTCATTCTGGCCACATGACCCGGAAGCTGTACGCCGGCTCCCTTGGCCAATAAAGCGAGATGAGCACCGCAACCCCAGATTCGGTCACGACTGGACCTAATGGTCAGGGGTCCCTTTACCTTTACTTAATAATAAAAAGCAAAGCGTTTCAAAAACTGAAGTATGGTACCAATATGTTTATTATCACAACCAAATTAAACATGTATTAACAATTTCTGCTAAAAATGTGATATTAACAACATGTCACTTATGTGAATTGCATATTATGCTTATCAAAGTAAGAAATAAAAAGTGTTGCTGACCCCCCAGTGGCGACTATACATTCTGTTTTGGCGCCCACAACCCAGGTCTCAGAAGCCATTTGGCTCCTAGCTTTTCCATCCCAGTTTCTAACACTGTCTGAAGGATCATGGTTCTATTCAAATCATGAGTGCAATTGCCTGTCAGCCACCAGTTAACAAAATACAGAATACAAAACTAATATTAATAAATGTGACATGATCCTGTCAGACTTTAGAGTGAGCCAAGGAGCCTGTCATATTTGTAACCTCTCTCCCAAAGTTAATAATAATAATTTATTATTTGTACCACACCCATCTGATTGGATTGCCCCAGCCACTAACTTAGAGTTATAGTCTGTGTTGAGTTGCACCAGGGGAGGCTAGACATACATTGCTGTACGCACTCAGTCAGAAATGCTCTGGTAAATACTGCTGAATTCTGAGGATAAGCAATCCGAGAATAAGGAATGAGTTTCTTTCACAAGCTATTGTTTGACTAGGAAAGAAACATCTAGTCAAAGTGCAAATGGAGAGCTGGAAAAGTACTCAAGTCTCTGGAGAACTTATAAATCCATGAGAACTCTGGTATTTACACATTTGAAAGGGGTGACGGTGAAAGAGCAGACACTTCAGCTATCAGCAGAATAAGACATTTCTGGGGTTCAGGAAAACCACACAATATAATGACATGCCTATGTTAGTCTCCACCTGACAGCATTGCACAGTCAAGTCTGATATCACTACATGGAAGGACTGCGTATATTACAAGAAGTCCACCAAAAGGAGAACTGTTTGTACCACAAGGTGTCATCTTAACTGCATCATGATATTTCTTTGCTAGCTCTCTGCCTCTTCTGTGGCTCCACTTTCCTTTGTCCAACTTGGGGCTGCAGTCTTTGGCTAGGGATTAATTTTCGTGAATCATCTGAAAGCCATTGTGCAAGCCAACTGTATTATGTCAGTAAGGTACTACAGTTGCCATCTGATTATTTTTATTAATAAGACTGATCTTTGTTTTTGTTTTTTCCATTGTGTGGTTTCCAGCTCTTATGCATGTTCTCTCTCTTTCAGTATACAGTGGTACCTCGGGTTAAGTACTTAATTTGTTCCAGAGGTCCGTTCTTAACTTGAAACTGTTCTTAACCTGAAGACCACTTTAGCTAATGGGGCCTCCTACTGCCGCCGCACCACCGGAGCACGATTTCTGTTCTTATCCTGAAGCAAAGTTCTTAACCTGAAGCACTATTTCTGGGTTAGCGGAGTCTGTAACCTGAAGCATATGTAACCCGAGGTACTACTGTACCAGCAGGAGCTGACACTGCTGAATTCAAGGATAAAGTATGCAAAAAAACCCTAAAAATCCAACCATATCTTATTTTGCTCTCCCCATTTGTTCCCCTTTTCCTTGACTGAAGAACCCTAAAATTTAAGTTGAAAGAGAAGGCATAAAGCAGACTCAGGTCCCAGAGGCACTGTTCTGCTGGGGAAGGGCCTTCTCCCTTCAAAGCATGGGGACGCTTCCTTGCCCCCAACAGCCAGTACAGTGGTACCTTGAGTTAAGAACTTAATTTGTTCTGGAGGTCCGTTCTTAACATGAAACTGTTCTTAACCTGAGGTTCCACTTCAGCTAATGGGGCCTCCTGCTGCCGCTGCGTGATTTATGTTCTCATCCTGAAGCAAAGTTCTTAACCCGAGGTACTATTTCTGGGTTAGTGGAGTCTATAACCTGAAGCGTCTGTAACCTGAAGTGTCTGTAAGCCGAGGTACCACTGTATATCAGACTTTCTTCCCATTGTTCTCAGTAGAACCAAGTACTCAGGACAGAATGTTGCCTTTTGATTGATGCAGGAGTCCAAGATCCCATTCCCCACCCCGTACATGAAACTCCTCCACAGGCAAGTTCCTTTCTCAATGTGATATACCTCTCAAAAACGAAAACAAATACTATGCATACCGAAAACCACCACACTCAAGAATTGGGAGGGAAGGTGGCAGATAAAAGACTCCAATTTCTGGGAGTCATCCAAGTGGTTAAATGCTCAATGTGTTTATAGTGCAGGATATGATTTATTTATAGTGCTGGATATTACTACTTGGTTTATGGACTGATTACTGTGGAAGTGTGTTGAGCTTCTGAAGTTTGATACCAGTGAATCTTTGCTTAATTTCAGTTGAAATTGAGTAACACCTGCAGGATAGGTACAAAAGGAGTAAGCTATCTCTAGTAAAAAGTATTAGCAGAGGATAAATGATCTGCCTTCTTCTCGGCAGCCACCTGTGCCTTCTTAAGGATGCCCATAAACAATAAAAAAGAGAACTAAGAAACCAGTGTTATTCACTGTGTCTTGGTAAGTCACTTTAAGAACAAATGACCATAACAGCTTCCAGAGCAGGAAATTATGCCTAGGGAAATCTAGAGTATTCTTAAAAGCAAGACTGCAGCCATTTTTATTTATTTTTTGTTCTACAAATGAAAGAAAACAAGAAAGCCTCAAGCAAGATTGCATTGTATTAAAAATAAATAAATAGACCTATTCTTTCCTAAATATCTAAAGCATCTGGTGCTTTAGAAATGAGAGTCATGAAAGCTCTGACTCAGAAAAAGGGAAGTATGTAAACAGAAAGCAAAGGAAGAGCCTTAGGTCCTAAATAATCTCTGCCTTCACAAGAGACCATTTCCCCCCCCCCCCAGAAAATTGAAATCTTTCTTATTCCAATTTTGAATGCCTTCACTGCCTCTTTTCAAGCACTGTACTGTGGAATATTTATTGCAGTTGTGAGGGAATTTTGCAAAGTCATGGACAAAACCTGCTCACCTTGCGCTTCAGAAACTGCAGTCGCTTACCAGATGTAATATATGAAACGGGTTTATTTTACTTTTTAAAACATCCTAAGAAAAGAATGAGCAAGAGGTAGAGAAGCAAAGATAATGAGCCCTGTGTGCTTTCACAGGCTGTCTTAGAGCTTCAGCAAACAGATCACTGGAAGCATATGGAGTTGCTGGGTCAGAGGATTTACTAATGAACAACTCACGTAGAATCATAGAATTATGGAGTTGGAAGGGACCAAGAGGGTCATCTAGTTCAACCCTATGCAATGCAGGAATCATTTGCCCAACATGGGACTTAAATCCACGACCCAGAGATTAAGATTCTCATGCTCTACCGACTGAGCTACCCCAGTTAGGTTGAACACACTAGGGTTTGATAAGGTTACTACTGACAAGTGGTTATGCTTTACTACTGCCAGGACAGCAGCCTTTTTCCTTGGGACATGTTTTTACACCGAGGAAACAGAAACCCTGCACTCAACTGTGTTATTACATAATAATGACAATACTAAACCTAACCATTTCAGGATTATTAATGGACAAGCAAGACATAAATATTATAAATGAAATAACCTGTTTTATTTTAATGGTCTAGTTCAGATTTCCCCTACCTAGTTCCCTCCAGATGTTTTGGACTACAACTCCCATAATCTCTTGGCCATCTGCCATGTTGGCTGGAGTTGATCAGAATTTGTACTCCATAGGGTACTTGTTGAGGAAGGCTGGTCTAATTTGATCAAAATGTTTGCTATACCTTTAGAGAGACCATTGCCTGCCGTTGACTGGTATGCTAAAGCAATAAAAGGAAGAACACTTAAAAGAACAGAATGGGAATGCAGTAGAAACGTCAAGCTAGAACTAGAACTCTGGACAAAAAACTGGGTCCCCCCCATAGACCCTGGAAACTGTCCTTTTCCTGTGTCTTGTTTTAGGCTGAGCTTCCTAAAGTTTTGAAAACGGTCCCTATGAAGCAAGGAGAACAAGGGAGTTTTTGCATACATGTTCTTTAAAACCAAGAAAACAAATTACACATAGATTCCACGACCAATGGACATATCACAGCTGAACGGCCTGAAGTGTATTATGTGCTTTTGCTGTGATATAAAAGCAATTTCCCACCTATAACTGAGAAGGAAAGGTTGCCCAGCCACAAGTTTGGCTCCTCAAAAGCATTTTAGCAGTGGTATGTTAAGTGGAGTGGGCATGCACATACATCTGCATGCACAGACAGAAGACAGCCGCTAAGGCAGAAGGGTCTTCGGAAAGTCTATGTTCTTTGTTCTGGAAGGGATGGAATTCTCAGAGCTTAGATGCATCTCTACTAGGAAGGTAATGGAAAAGTTCAGAAGTTAAACCCCACCCCACCCTTGCAATGGGAATACAGACAGCAGATCAGAAGACCTCACCCAAGATAATGCTGTCTTTCTGCAGAGGGCAGTTTATATCTGCCAGCAGGAGTCCGAGCCAATTAAGGGATTCCTATATAAATCTGTTCAGGCACAGACTAGTGAACAAGCTGTGACCCAGAGGGAGCTGCATCCAACCTCTGCAACCACGTTTTCTGTGCTTTCTTCTGTAAGCTAGGGAGGACAGCTATACTGCTAGCCTGGATTTAGATTGTTCTCTTGTGTGGATACTGAAGCTACATATAAAGAATATCCTAATAATGTTCCCGATTTCAGACTCGTGTCATTTGGAGGCACTGTCAAATGGCTCAGTGAATGCAACCTACTTTAAACAGACCTTGATGTTTAGCTTGACTTGCATGCACCCAACAATAAGGGCAATTAAGGTGGCAAGGCCAGCCAAACACCTCCATGTCATTTTAACCTGGTTATCAGGATCTGGGTGATGCAATCCAGCCAACGGCCAGCTTGCCAGCAAAACTCAGTGGGACGATAACTCACCATGGAAGAAACGTGAATCATGCCATCTGACTTGGGAGGTCCAAACCGTGCAAAGGTTTCTCAAAGCAGCACTTGCCTATAGTACTAGAAAACGTTTTTTCCTCTTAGAGGTGTGCCAAATTAAACTGAGATACACATTCTCCTTTGGCCATCACTCAAGTTGATTTGACAAAAGCAGGAATACTAGCCCCTTCAGGGGACCCAAATTGTAACATAAGGGACTTGGGACGAAACTGTGACTATGGAATAGGAGTTATGAGAAGGACCTGCTGCATGTAGCAGACCCACTGCCAATCAGCAGAGAGAGTTTCCTACAAGATATAAAACCCCAACAAGCACCTGTTTGTTTTGGCATCATCTTGTGCTTTTTACACACCTTAACTTGTTTAAAGTTAACACAACATGGCTGTGAATTCATTTACTTACTTACTTACTTACTTATTTACAGTACTAACTATATTTATATACTGTCTTTCTGCCCAAACACTCAAATATATGCAATGGATTTTCATGCACATACTTTCTGAAAGAGATCCTATCAATTACTGATATGGGGTTGTTTGCGTTTATTATTTTTACCCTGTTTTTCCTGTGTTTGGACACACAAAGTAGCTTACAGAATTAAACAGACAAAAACCACCACTAAAACTAATGTGGAAAGCTCTGGAGATCAGGGCTCTATTAGTTCCAGTGACAACAATGCAGGCTTCTTCCTCTTTGAGGGCTTCTTCTTAGGCCCAGTGTGGATATATCCTTAGTCTCCAACTAAGGTTATGTCTGTCATTGTTATCTGTCCTGATGCCCCTGCAGCTAGATTGCAAAAGCAAAGTTGAAGACTTGGAACTGGTTTCATTTTGAGGCTTACTGTCCCTACTGCAGAGTTTGAGCTATCAAAGAGACCACTCTGAAACACTGCTCCTTGTACAGTGGTACCTTGGGTTAAGTACTTAATTCGTTCCGGAGGTCCGTTCTTAATCTGAAACTGTTCTTAACCTGAAGCACCACTTTAGCTAATGGGGCCTCCTTCTGCTGCTGGAGCACAATTTCTGTTCTTATCCTGAAGCAAAGTTCTTAACCTGAAACACTATTTCTGGGTTAGCGGAGTCTGTAACCTGAAGCGTGTGTAACCTGAAGCATATGTAACCCGAGGTACCACTGTAGTGACTCCCAAACTTATTTGATCACTCACTGTCCATTATCTAGCCTCAAGAACTTTATGCTGCACATTAACCTGTTTGTCCTTCTGAATATCCACATACAGAGTTCCAAGGAACACCCAAAAAGAGAAAACGCTGCATAACACTTAGGAACAAAGAAAGGGGGTTCTTTCAAACAGTCAAGGCTGCCAGAGTTGCAGATCCACATTATAATTATTCAGGCATTTGTAATAAGGTCTAACTAAAATGAAAGTGCATGCACAAACACCCTAGCTCTTGCATCCTCCAGGTCTATCATTCTCCATGTGTTCCAATACATCTGCCTGCAGCAGGGAAGGCTCCTGTACTCATGGAAGCTTCCCTTTGTTCTGGAACCCTGCTTTTCCAGTTTTCCAAAATGCATGGGAACTCAACAAGTGCAAGTGGTTTCCCAAGTGCAGGCTGCTGCCCTAGAACACACAAAGGACAACAGGATTCGGAATGTAGAGCTAGTTAGTGTGTTCATGTACACTTTCCCTTCCTAGCATACCGTATTTTTTGCCCCATAGGGCGCACCGCCCCACGGGAGGCACCTAGGTTTTTTTGGGGGGGGGAATAAAGGGAAAAAAATCCTTTCCCCCCCAGGCGTGGGGCTGGCGCGGGGGAAGCCCGAGCTTCCCCCGACCCCAGAACAGCCTGCTATCCGCAAGCCTAGGAACCCCGGCGCAAAGTGCTGGTCTCCCCAGGCTTGCGCAGAGGTACGCGTAGCCCGGGCGTGCTCTTCAGCGCGTCCCAGGCTTCGGAATGCAGGCAGCTCTGCGCAGCCCTCGGGAGCCTGGCTCGACTTCGCGACGGGCTCCGGAGGGCTGCGCGGAGCTGCACGAAGCCCGGGGCTGCAGGCAGCTCTGCGCAGCCGTCGGGAGCCCGGCGCGACTTCGCGCCAGGCTCCGGAGGGCTGTGCAGAGCTTCCTGAATCCTGGAGAGCGAGAGGGGGTCGGTGCGCACCGATCCCTCTCGCTCTCCAGGCTTCAGCGAAAGCCTGCATTCGCCCCATAGGATGCACACACATTTCCCCTTCATTTCTGGAGGGGAAAAAGTGCGTCCTATAGGGCAAAAAATACGGTATTTTGGTTAGTCATATACAAACACCTGAACAGACTACTCTCAACTCAAAACCCCATTCTTTAAGAGAAGAGCAGTGGACTGAGTTGCTGATGGGCAGAGTATTTGGTAAAGAGTTTAGAGGAACAGTAGCAGAGCTGAGATTATAACCAGCACACCATCTCTTTCCGAAAGAAGAAAGGTGCACTTCTGTATGGCTGATTGAGGCTGGGTGGATCTCTGAATCTTATATACAGTACTTCTAATTGCACAAGAACAGCTCTTGGCTGTGCCCAAGCACACCCAAAGTTTCTCCTACACTCTTAAAATACAAATCAGGACAAGATAACGAAACCACTCTTAGGTAAACCTTATGCAAACAAGAGCTTACTTCCTCCATTAATGCAAGCTTACACCCCGCTAAAGCTCTTGCTTTCTTCACCTGTAAACCAGAAGAATCCTTGGGGGAAAACAGGTTCTGCCATCCCCATTACAGAATCCCAGCTCAGAGTACCTATTAAAACCTGAATGTGACATTTTATTGGCAAGTACGGTCTAACATGTGTAAGCAAGAGACACATGCTCTTTAAAAACCACACAGTGGGTGGAATTCGTTATGTGTTTGAGGAATTAGGTCCACTCATGCAATGCGACTCCCCCCCCCCATGCACTTTTAAAGCTGTTCTGGGGTTCCCCCAACAAGTTAGTTGTATCCCACCCAATGTTTTTGAGGCCATGGAATACGTATCACTAGAACTAACACTATCAGCATATATGCTGTGACTTGATGTTGAATTAAGTATATCCAGCCAAAGAGCACACTCAAGAACTTGGCACTTCCTTTACACAACTCGGATAAAGCAATACAAGAGTAGAAAATACAAAAGACCAGGCTCCCCTCTTTGCAGCTAGCAACTGATGTCACGTAGCTGCAACAGGCATCGCAGATGGAAAACTAAGATAAGGCAGCCCTTCTCCTGCTACTGGCAATTATTGTTTGAAGCAGCAGCAGAAAAAGAGAACAGCAATTAAAAAGGAAGAGGGGAACACAGCTGGGAGAAGAAATAGTGGATTGGGAGCATAAAGATGAAGAGCTTATATTGCCAATGCAGGCAAGTGCCCACCTCAATCCCACCACACAGTTTGTGCATACCTGCTTTCCCAAAGGTATGAATAGGACCAGAGACTTATACTGTAAAGGAAAGTTACCAAGGGAAGGGTGACACCTTTCTACAATGTACTGTGCAGTTGCCCCCAACGCATTTTTTTCCACCACTAAAAAAGCACCTGTTTGAACTTTCAGGGAACGGTGATTGGAGCCAAGCTTTTATTACCTTTACCAGCAGAAGGCACACATTTTGTTTTATTGCAGTGTTTTTTTAGATGAGTATTTTATTATGTTAGGTTATTTGTATGCTTGCTCTGGGCTCCTTTGGGAGGAAATGAATGTAACAAAAAATAAATAAATAAAACATTAATTGCTCCTTTCTACAATGTACTGTCCAGTTGCCCCCCAACACATTTTTTTTCCAACACTAAAAAAAAACACCTGTTTGAACTTTCAGGGAACAGTGATTGGAGCCAAGCTTTTATTACCTTTACCAGCAGAAAGCACAAATTTTGTTTTATTGCAGTGTTTTTTTAGATGAGCATTTTATTATTTTAGGTCATCTGTATGCTTGCTCTCGGTTCCCTTGGGAGGAAATGAATGTAACAAATAATAAATAAATAAAACATTAATTACTCCTTTGTAGTTATCAACACTTGTGAAAAACATTCACATATTGTATATGGTTGAAACTGAAGCCAGACACATCCCTGGAGACCCTTGCATATCCAGGGTGGTTCTCAATCACACCAGATTTGAGCAGATCCAAATACTACATCCCAATAATTACACTCACTGTAAGCAAGACAAATACTCCACAGGTAGGACCCACAATTTGCCTCCCCCCTGCTCAAACATCTACAATTTTAGCCCAGCGTTGTAAGTATCACAGAGACAGCTGAAATCTCCAGACACCCACATAATACAATTAAGAGTGCTGGAAATGCAATTACTCCCTGAAGAGAAAGAACAGGCACCACCACAAGAAGCAAAATTTAAAAGAGAAATAAAAAGCTAAAAATCAAAAAAGGAAAAGGGGGAAGGTATTTGGGAGAGGATTAGGAGCAGAGAGATGAAGAGCTTACTCGGGTCACTACAAGTCTGGCTCATCTGGCTTTTGTTTCAGACCCAAGTTAAGTATGTCCTAATTTTAACTTCACTATCTACTTGCCCTGCTGCATATCTGTACTACGCAGAAACAGAACAGATTTCCTCAGTCATCAAAATTTAGTCAAAGTACAGCAACAGAGCAGGCAGAAGTCAGGAATGGGGAAAAGGTAAATAAGCCCAAAATAAATGCTCTGGGATTAGCCATTTGCAATCGATTGGTTAGGGAATATAGTGAGTCTGGAGTTCAAATAAAATTGTCAAATGGCCCTTTATCCTAGGGAAAAAGCCACAGCCAGACTTTTCAGCAAGACAACAGCAAACAGCATATTGAACTTTCAATAAAAGGCAGAAAATTAGACTGTAGCAAAGGAGAACACAGATCACGAAGAAAAAATGGGCACTTGGAAAATAGCCCAATAGAAAGAGACTGCTTTCAAGAAATATCACTTGTTACAGGATGTCTGTGCATGGTGTGTTTGTTGCCTCTAATACATCCCACAACTTTATCACTGCAATCTTGCAGCAAAAGAAAAGAAAATGCTTACTAGGAAGCTGCACTACTTTCCAAATACATTAGACTAGAGGCCTACTTTGCCCTTCCAACATTCCACCATGCTGGGGTGTGAGCCAGTCAGCAAACATTAATTTATAGATTCATGCATTGTTTCCCTTCCATGAAACAATTGCTAGTATTTCTTCCACTTTAAGAAAAACTAGCAACCAGCAGCATGACGTTGATTACTCATGTTAAGGGATACTCCATCCCAACTTCACCCTTTTGACAGCTGACCCTTTTGCCCTCTAAGCATCCTAGGAGAAGCTTAAAGGTGATCAAGTTGTTTAATAAGGGCTGGGGATCTCACAAGAGGGGGGAAAGGAGGCACAGTTTCCTAGCTTAGCTACATTTCCACCAACATGCACCAGTTTAGCTGCTTCAATCCACCTGCTATAAAAAGGAACCAGAATATGCCTGCTGCACCTTTCCCCTAGATACCAAACTTAAGACTGGGGGCGGGAGCATACAACCGCACCTGTCAGAGGGAATGAGCAGTTTCCCATCCAGAGGTCACGTGAACAGGAAAAAGCCAAGTCTGCCATTGCCAAGGCCTGATATTCCCAAAACATATGATGATGGAAATCTCAAAATGAAGTCAACCCTCTTAATGGGAAGAGAGGAGAAAGGGATATATTACACAGCAACAGTTTCTTCTTTTACCTCTTACCCACCAACCAACCACAGCAGTTCACCATTTCGTTGCCTTTCTCTCTTTCTCCACCCCACCAATAAAGATCCCTCTCCCTTTAAGATTTCATACGGGAGGGGAAACAGCAGCCTAACGGGGTAATAAAGTAGAGAACATCTTTCAACAAGCCTAGACCTAACGCAACGTCCTCTGAAAGAGAAACGTGGAAGTGGAGCGGTGGATAAGGCGGTAGATAAGGCAGTCCCACCCCAAGGACACAGATGTACCCAGCACAGGCCCCACTCCCCACTACAATCGCGTTACGAGACCCCGCGCCCTACGAATTCCCATAATATTGGAGCTGGAAGGGGGTCCCCCCCAGGGTCACCTAGCCCAACCCCCTGCAATACAGGAATCTTTTTTTATTTTTTGCCCAGCGTGGGGCTCGAACCCACGACCCTGAGATTTAAAAGCCCGACGGATCCGATACCGGAACAGCCAAGTTGCACAGAACCAGGGCAAGACGAACCCCCCCCCCCCGCGCACTGCAACGGCAGATCCCAAGGGATCCGGAAGATCCCGAGAAGATCCCAGCTGCTGCTCCTTAGCAAGAGTTGGGACGCAACCCCCCACCACTCAAACACGCGCTACACAGCCTCCCACCCCTCGCGAGGCCTCCGGGCAAGTCTCGTGGAGGGCGCGGCCCCTTTAAGGGCGGCCTGTCAGAGGCCCCGGGAAGGGCGAAATGGCCGGCGGGGGAGGCGAGAAAGGGAATTTCACCTCACCTTGGCCCCCAAGAGGCGCGCGGCCGCCCTGCTGCTGGCAGTCAACAAGGTCATGGCGAGCGAGGAGCGGCGAGAACCTGACGCGGCGGCGGCGGCGAAGGGGCGAAAACCAGCGGCCGCCTCGAGGAGAAGAGGGAAGTCCGGGGGTGGGCAGGGGGGGGAGAGAAGGGAAGCAGGCCAGACCAAGGTTGAAGAGCGGCAGCAGACGCCTGAGGAAAGGAGCGGCAGCGGCTGCGCCCGGCAGGGTCCTCACAACGCGGCGGCGGCGGCGTCAGCAGCGGAGGGGCGGGGCCTGGCCCCGGCGGAGGACCCCCAGGCTATTAACATAAACGTCGCCGAGGCCCCATTGGGCGGCGCGGCGGGAGGGGCGGGGCTTGTCCGCGCGCGGGCGGGCAAGGGCGTGGTGCTGCCTGGGAGTGAGGCGCCCGAGTCAGGCGCCTGATCTGCGTGGCGACAGCGTCTGAAGTAGCCTCGTCTGCACACATATATATGAATTAATGCGGGTTCAGCTGAGGGGTTGGGAGTATTTGGTGTTGCTAGTCTTGTGGGCTTTTCCTAGGCGGCTTGGCTGGGATAGATAGGCATTTGTCTGGTCCTGGAAGGCTCTTCTTTTAGGCTAACTTTATTCCTAACTTCTCCCCCCCACCGCCCCACATCGCTTAGTAAAGGTAAAGGGACCCCTGACCATTAGGTCCAGTCGTGGCCGACTCTGGGGTTTGCGGCGCTCATCTCGCTTTACTGGCCGAGGGAGCCGGCGTACAGCTTCCGGGTCATGTGGCCAGCATGACTAAGCCGCTTCCGGCGAACCAGAGCAGCGCACGGAAATGTCATTTAACTTCCCACCGGAGTGGTACCTATTTATCTACTTGCACTTTGACGTGCTTCCAAACTGCTAGGTTGGCAGGAGCTGGGACCGAGCAACGGGAGCTCACCCCGTCGCGGGGATTCAAACCGCCGACCTTCTGATCGGCAAGTCCTAGGCTCTGTGGTTTAACCCACAGCGCCACCTTATCTCCATGTAAAACCTGAGAGCAAAATCCCGTGGAACTCATTGGGACTTGATTCAGAGTAGAAATGAGCTGTAAGGCTTGCCCTGCACCAGGCAAGCCATCAATTTTGTATACCGCCTTTCATCCAAAGATCCCAAGGCGGTCTAGGGATTCACAGGAAAACCCTGAGGGGAGCAGCAGCACAAGGCCACTGTGCCAGAGGAAAGCAGGGTGGTTTTATTTCTCCACCCAAGCTTTTCTCTGGTTCCTTGTGGACCCATAAAATCGAGACAAAATGAGAGGCAAGTAGGATTAGAATGAGAATGTTTTACTGGTTGTTGTTTTTAAAAAGACCTGCTCCTCCAACATCATCCTGGCAGCAGACATTAAACAGGGGAAGGTTGCCTGTTGCATCGAGTCCCTTGGGTAAAAATACACACGATTTCTGCCAAAAGCACCTGTGAATAACTGTAAACAAATGCGCAAATTTTGGGTTTCCAGTCATTGTTGTATATTCTTGTCCCTGTTCCTACAGGATAGGAAAGTCATTACGGATGGCAGGATTTATTTGGATGACATACCGTATTTTTCGCCCTATAGGACGCACTTTTCCCCCTCCAAAAATGAAGGGGAAATGTGTTTGCGTCCTATGGGGCGAATGCAGGTTTTCGCTGAAGCCTGGAGAGCGAGAGGGGTCGGTGCGCACCACGCCTGGGGGGGAAATAATTTTTTTTTCTTTATTCCCCCCCTCCCACGGCTAGCGGAGAGCTTGCCGGCACCCAGAAGCTTGGGGCGCGCTGAATTCAGCACGCCCCAAGCTTCGCGCAGCTGTACGCTAGCCGTGGGAGAGCTGCGCAACTTCGCACAGCTCTCCCACGGCTTGCGGATAGCAGCCTGTTCTGGGGGCTGGGATCGGGGGAAGCTCGGGCTTCCCCCGCCCCAGGCCCGCACCTGGGGGGGAAATAATTTTTTTTTCTTTATTTCCCCCCAAAAAACTAGGTGCGTCCTATGGGCCGGTGCGTCCTATGGGGCGAAAAATACAGTAGAAGTCATAGTTGGGAATGTGGGGAAAGAAATTGGGTTGATGTCTTTTTCAATGCATTTTCCAGAATTTAATATACACAACTTCTTTGTTATCTCCTATCTCGAGACTTCCCTGCCCATGCCACCATGGCTTCCTATTTGTTCCTTATTTTGCTGCATATCCTTTTACATCAACCATTTTCAATCTATACAATAACCGAATAGTTGTTGCTGCTGCTCATGTATCTAACCCTACTTGAAGATTTATTTGACTATACCACTCAGTGATGCTCCCCCTGCAACACACACACACACACACACACACACACACTTCCCCACAGAAACATATATGTTTCCTAGTCAGGCTGAGCCCTCTTAACCTAAACTGGACAAAAGTTGTGAAACTTAAAGTCCAAATTTGCATTATGTGTTTTTGGCTAATTTTCCACGTAATTAAGGGATTTTTATGGCGACTCACTGCAAATGGTTAATATGGTTGATAATTTTAGGCTAAGTTACTTCATTTATTCACCCCAGGTGGTAATGATCATCCCATTTTTGACCCCTGGCCCATAGACTAATAGCATAGGGACATCACTCAAGCATCATGCTAGTTCCCACACAATTTTGGATTCTATCACATAGCAGAACCAGAGCGGGTGGTAAAGAGTGACACTGCATTAGATGTTGCAGAACAAAAGCCTAGCATTAGCCAGGCAAGCAACATCAGACCAGTGAACTCTGTCTAGGCCACTTGCTCTATTTGCTTCAAACACCACACTCCCAGAAGCTGCAAAGCCCAAAGCACACATCCTGCTATTATCATGGCCAGGCTGCCCCCTCATGCAGCAGATGTGTGACCAGAGTGCAGAGTCCTCAATGCTAAACCAGGGCAAAAAGGTCACAGTCGTATTCTCTTTCCAGATTGCAGCAGAGGCTATTTCAATTAGTCCTGCAAGGACTTCCAGTCATTCATGATATGAGTTACGTCCATTTGTCTATGTAGATGACTAATCCCTACATTTCAATTTTTTAAAATTTCCTAAGGAAGGGAAGGGGTAGAGGAAGACACCCTATTTGAGTTTTAATCTTAAATAAAAAACGTTTTGCTTCTACCAGTTTGTTTTTCTTCTTCACCATGTTATCCATGGATGCAGCGCACACACACAAACAGGCTGTATTCATAACATAAGTCAGGAGGCTGTATCTCATAGAAGCATAACAAACAAACTAAACAGCCTATTTAGTTCTCTTGTTGCCATAAAATAATAGGTAATGAAATTTATACTGATCATTTTGTTTGAAGTACTACTCTGTTGTTTTTGAAGTAAAGCCCTAGTCTGAGGAATAAACAGGGGAGCAGATTTCGGAAGAAAGATTTACGTTATTTAAGAATTGGCTTTCGAGAGGAAATTGGAAAACAGGGTCAAGAATAAAAATCTGAAGAAAAAAGGTGGCTTTCTAGGTGAAAACCTTGGCTTTTGAATAAAGCTTTTGGTATTGGCTGATTTGACTCTACTTTACACAGTTGTATACTGCTTTTCTTTTTGTACAGTTTCACCATTTGTAATTTTGGGCTACTTTGTGCACCTTTCTACATTGTTGGGAAGGTTGGGCATAAACCTGTTAATGAATCAGTTCTTTTTCAGCTGTGACCTCTGAGCAACTTCCCTGCGTGAATTGGAATTGTACGGAAGCGAAACAAGCATTTTATAGTAATACAGACTTTGCAGCAAAAATTAGCATAAGACTAATAGAATAATATTGAGCTTAATGTATAAAGATGAGGCTTAACTTTCTTACCACTACAGCTTCACTTCACTTCCTTGACTAAATAGCATCTGGTTGGATTTCACTATCCCATGGGTAAAATTATAGGACAGAATGGACTTAGCTAATAAAGTCATATTCACCCAGAGCCTCTAAAGTCAGCTGGCATGGCAGACCAAAGTTTCCATCACATTCATCTGCCCATTTCCTAACACTGGAAGTCCTAGGACTCTTGACTAGTTACTACAAACATATACAGTGGTACCTCGGGTTAAGTACTTAATTCATTCCGGAGGTCCGTTCTTAACCTGAAACTGTTCTTAACCTGAAGCACCACTTTAGCTAATGGGGCCTCCTGCTGCCACCGGAGCACAATTTCTGTTCTCATCCTGAAGCAAAGTTCTTAACCTGAGGTACTATTTCTGGGTTAGCGGAGTCTGTAACCTGAAGCGTATGTAACCTGAAGCGTATGTAACCCGAGGTACCACTGTAATCACTCTTCTCAGTGTCCAGGGTCCAAACCAATTCATAACCTCTCGGGGACCGCTGCTCATTACATGGTAATAATAATCTGCATCTGAGTGAATTTGTGGCAGAGGTTAAGATTTAGACCAGAGAATAAGTTCACTCCCAAGCTTGGAGGCAATACTGGCTCAAGTTCTATGATTTCCAAATAGTTGCTAGCAGCTGTCAGAAGAAACAGAAACTTTTCCCTCAATTCTTCCCACAGCCTGATTTTTCTTTATGTCTTGACTGAGCACAGAAGGGGAGTACAGTTCCACTGTTGCCCTTTCAACAATGCAGCATGGCAAACTTGCTTCTCCTTCTTGTGCTGATTGATAGCATTACAATACAGTAGGATAATCTCCCTCTGGGCACCTAAAATCCACTAATTTTCCTTTAGCTTTGATCCTCCAACCCCTATGCCCAGTGGAAAGAGCCAGCTAGTTTAGGTTAATTATCTGCTAAATAAAAATCTTTCAACCAGCATTTTACATTATCAATACAGTGGTACCTCGGGTTAAGTACTCACCGTATTTTTTGCTCTATAAGACTCACTTTTTCCCTCCTAAAAAGTAAGGGGAAATGTGTGTGTGCATCTTATGGAGCGAATGCAGGCTGCGCAGCTATCCCAGAAGCCAGAACAGCAAGAGGGATTTCTGCTTTCGCTGCGCAGCGATCCCTCTTGCTGTTCTGGCTTCTGAGATTCAGAATATTTTTTTTCTTGTTTTCCTCCTCCAAAAACTAGGTGCGTCTTGTGGTCTGGTGTGTCTTCTAGAGCGAAAAATACGGTAATTCGTTCCGGAGGTCCGTTCTTAACCTGAAATTGTTCTTAACCTGAAGCACCACTTTAGCTAATGGGGCCTCCTGCCGCCGCACGATTTCTGTTCTCATCCTGAAGCAAAGTTCTTAACCCGAGGTACTATTTCTGGGTTAGCAGAGTCTGTAACCTGAAGCGTATGTAACCTGAAGCATATGTAACCCGAGGTACCACTGTACACACATGCCGCCACGCACAACTAAAGGAAACAAATTGTAAGGAGTTCCTTGTTGATCATGTCAGTCACAGCATGATTTATTTTCTTGCCATCACTGGCCCATTTGTTTTTAAACAGGTATTAAAAGCCCTTTGAAGAGTACAACAACCCCTCCCCCAATTCCAGGTGCTCAGTATCAGCACCCTTGTGGATTTTACAAGCCAGATACTGGCTTTCACCAGGAGCCAGTCTATACATGTGGAGGCTGGTAAAACAGCTGCAAGGCAAAGACAACCGCTCCAGAGGCATAATATATAAATTGGCTTGCTCCTCCCTCTTTGTACAGGTTAGAAGGATGTATGTTCATACTCCCCCACTCGTTGCACTCAAAGCACGGATTGCATAGACAAATTAAATGACTTGCCCAGTGTCATGATAAGGTGGTAGCAGAGCCACAATGGAACACAACAAGTTCTTCTGTTTAAGTTTGGGTGAACTCTGCCTCCGAGAGCTTGAAATGAACCCAGGAGCTGTGTTGCTGGTCTCCTGACTCCGACCTACAGAGCAATGCACCTGCACATAGCCACTAAGTATTAAAACACACACACACAGAGGAATGGGCTACGCAGTAGAAAAAACAAGACTTGGGTCCACATATGGAAGTGTCTCTTGTTCCCTTTAAAAACAGCAAACAGAAAAGGCCTGATAATGGTGGGTTTCTAAAAAGTCAGGTGAGTGACACTGTCTCACTTATTCGCTTTAAAATTTTGATAAAGAAGCTTTGTTTGTGTTTTCTTTTAGAGATACAATGTTGTTTACAGATTGTAAGGTGTGGCCCCCCAAAGGCTGCTGGGAGAATAATTATTGGAGCTAGGAAGAGGGAGGTGGTCTACAAGGACTTTGCCAACTCATCCACCAGACCAGGCAGGCCTTTGCGCTTCATAGTTCATCATGTGGGAGATGCAAGGCGTGGTCACACAGATCTACAACAGAAGCACAGACAATTCAGTTCATTACAAGAACTGGAACTTCCAGATAGACAACAGAGCTGATTCAAACTTGCCCAATATTATATCATAGCAGCAGTCCCCACAAGAAGGTGTAATGGTTGTACTTCTTCACTCTACACAAAAAACCAATAGTTCTCAGTCTGAATTACTCCCCTACAAAATGAGGGTTTATCCAAAAGTATAGTAAATCTAAATGTTGTAATGTAAGAAAAAAAGAATTTTCATAACAAAACCTTTTCTTTTTAAAAATCTCAGCAATTGTTTTCAGTTTTATTTTCTGAAGCTGAACTTGAGATTTGGTGCTGATATTTGACTGATGATGTGCGGACAAAGTGGAACTCGTTTTAACGAGATGTGGTGATCACGGGGCAACATTTTATTGGGCGAGGTCTTCTGTACTCTAGCCTGCTCCTTTTCACTGCTCCAACCCTACCAACTTTCATTTCTGTCATGCATACTAACAGCTCCTGATAAAAAAGTCCATTTTAAAACACTCCCCTTGTAAAAAGTTATTCCACTGTGCAGAGCTTACTGCAGAGTTTGTTCTAACAGAACTGCTAGTGAATGGACAAAAAAGTATGGACTCCTCATCCAAGGGTTAAAAATTTGTTCCTCAATCCCACATCTGCACAGCACATGGGTCATCAATTCAAATGCTGTCTGCCAGCCATATTATCCACCTGTGAGCTGTTCCACATACACAAATACATTTCTGAAGTCCCCAGCAGTTCTGCGCTTTTGATAAAAAGGGTTGCGTTCACCTTGGTGCATCACGAGTTGCAAATATATTAAAGAGCTATCCTAAATTGTCCTTTGCTGAAATATCTCTGCCAGCCTCTGCTCTTTTTCTCACAGCCAGGTCTTGCCCAAGAAACTTTTCACCACAAATAAAATTCACAGTTCGAATCACCCTTTTCTCTTCTGTAGGGAAGATTAAATCAATAATGACTCAGCAATTGCTTTCGGGCCACAGGATCAAACAGGGTTAGCTTATCTTCCTAATCATCATGAACATCATGAGACTAGCCACGCAATCCCAAGGACTCTGGCGAAGTGATAGTATGAACAGATCAGGTGAATATGCAATTGATTTGGGTGACAGCCAATTATTAAGTCACTTCTACAGGCCTACAGCAACAATGATCCTCACCTTGCTGATCTGTAAAAGTAATAGGTGATCATAAAGAATCAACTTTGGCTAGATTTCCTTGTTCAACTTGGCTTTGAGCCTAAAATCAGGTGGATTTGTGTGTTAATTATTTGGCTGGGTACTACAAATAGCCTGTTACGACCTGGTAGTCAGAAATAGGTGCTGCATTTTGGCTGTGCCAACGTGGCATGCCTCCAACCCTCAAACACTGGAGGGTAAAGGTCAGATTAAAACAACACAGTCAGGTTCGTAGTCCAAAAATAGCTCAGTGCTACAGGATGAGGCAGTTTCCTAAACGGACCCCTGGCAACAGGCTGCTTGTCACTCCTCTGAGAGCCAGTGAAAATCCAGCAGGAAAGTGAAGGCAGGAAGAGACTTTTCATTTGTCTGTTTTATTGGCTCCAAGGCCTTTCCTAAACTGACCAAGAAATTAACAGGAAAAAAGAAACTACAGAGAATGCAACTCTTAGCATACTTTCACATGCCCAGGTAATTTGAGTTTCTAGGACAGTGAAAACATTCTGTAGATATCTAATAAGGTGTTGCTTAGCCCAAACCCAAAAGGCAGGTAAATCAAGGACAAAGACAATTCTGTAAGAGCAATGTATTTTTTTACATATTTTGCATATCGGTACGCCAACCTTCAATCAAACAGTTTCATTTAGCCACAATGTGCCCAAACAAGCTCAATTCAAGCCATGGAAGATTACAGTTCAGCGTGAATTGACAAACCATAAAAAGGTAAAGGATTCCTGACAGTCCAGTCGCGAACGACTCTGGGGTTGTGGAGCTCATCTCGTTTTACTGGCCGAGGGAGCTGATGTTTGTCCGCAGACAGTTTTTCCGGGTCATGTGGCCGGCATGACTAAGCCGCTTCCAGTGAAACCGAAGCAGCACACGGAAATCCCATTTAACTTCCCATGGGAGTGGTACCTATTTATCTACTTGCACTTTGACGTGCTTTTGAACTGCTAGGTTGGCAGGAGCTGGGACAGAACAAAGGGAGCTCACCCCATCATGGGGATTCGAATCGCCAACCTTCTTATCGGCAAGCCCAAGTCCCAATGGTTTACACCACCGCGCCACCCACGTCCACCATAGCCAATAGTCATACCTTTGCATCCAGATAATTAGGAGTGAACTTCTGAGGCCAAATGCAGAAAAAGTGGAAAACAAAAGTGTGCCTCTGTTGGCTTCGTCTCACTTATTTGTATCCTACCCTTCCTCCAAGTTTATCTAGTAAGTTTAAGCAGTGAGCAGAGATTTGAACCTGGGTTTCCCCACTCTAAACTACTATACCACCTGGTACTCACTGTTTTAAATTTGCAAGCTGAAATCATGGTTTGGTGCAGTGTCTGAACACAGAAACAAACCACATGGAAAAGCTGAAACTTGAAACTGGTCAACAACCTGTGGTTTCCTATCTGCTGGATAACAACGTATTGTTCAATCTTATCCATTCATTTCTTGTGGAAAAGAACCCTATGCAAAACAGTGGTGGCCAAACATGACCCTCCAGCTGTTTTTGGACTACAATTCCCATCATCCCTGACCACTGGTCCTGTTAGCTAGGGATGATGGGAGCTGTAGTCCAAAAACAGCTGGAGGGCCAAGTTTGGCCAACACCGACTAAGGTTTTCTCCAGGGCTGTCACTCAGTTAAAAGAATCTGTCTCATCTCCTTGCCCCTGCTGCACTCCTGATCAAATTCACCCTACCCTTCTGGAGTCTTTCCTCCCACTGCAAATAGCAAGAAGCGGGGAGGAAGACCACATTGACTCCAGGTGAATAAAGGCAGAGCAGCCTCCCTTCTCCTATATTGCCTGCTCTGCCTCAAGAGACACTGAGGTGGGAAAGGCAGACCAAGGGAATCACTTGCCACGAGTGACATCCCTGAAGCAAAAAAAGGCAGGGACACGAGGCGAGGCCACAGAGAGAACCCTTTAGGTTTACTATTTATAGCACCTGCACTGTTCTCTTGGCATCTGTGAGCTCCAGTTACTGCAGGACGCCATTCTATGGGTGTTGTGAGGCACTGCAGAATGCTATGGGGAGTTGGCAAGCAATGCCAAGGACAGGTCGTGGTGGGAGAGAAGCCACTTTTGACTCATTGCCAGGAGGTAAGAAAAGATGTTCCGCTCAACAGCACCAGCCTGTTTCAGTTCAGCTGCCTTTACTGTTTCTAAGCGTGGAGAGAGGAAGCCAAGCACAGGAAGCTGTGCCAGGAGAAGGTCGGTCACCTGTCTCTTAGGAACATCCTCCAAGGTCAAAGCGTGGCCAAAATCCTACCTGAAGTTTCTCTTCCTAGAAACTCAGTACAGCAACTGTTCAGAAGGGGGCAAAGTCAGAGGTTTGTGAATCAGGCAGTGTTTAGCTGGGAACTGAACTAAAGCTTCTCCCCTCCTGAGACAAACTGAAGCTTGATGGAATGAGATGCCTGTTCTCTGAAGTTTGAGGGAGGGAAGTCCCTTTTATTTTTAGTGATATCAAGGTCCTTCAACCAATTTGAATGGTATTCGTCAACTGGAAAATTAATTCAGTTCTCCAAACCCCTGCTGAGCACCAATTTCATCCAGCTGAAAGAACTTTGGGTGAAAGAACTTAACACCAGTCAACAAGAGCAGAAATCGAAAGCAGGTTCGTAGGAAGGCAAGATGGCCCTGATTATTTTCTACATTGAAATACCGTGGCACCTCGAGTTACATACGCTTCAAGTTACATACGCTTCAGGTTTCAGACTCCGTTAACCCAGAAATAGTACCTCGGGTTAAGAACTTTGCTTCAGGATGAGAACAGAAATCGTGCTCTGGCGGCACGGCAGCAGCAGGAGGCCCCATTAGCTAAAGTGGTGCTTCAGCTTAAGAACAGTTTCAGGTTAAGAACGGACCTCCGGAACGAATTAAGTATGTAACCAGAGGTACCACTGTATTCATAAATGGCACTGTTACAGAAAATAACAGCGTAAAACATAAAAACGCAGGCGCAACAGTAAAAACATCTGTTGCTATTTCAGGTTTTCAATAAATAATAGTGTTTGTTTGTTTTTTAAATCATGTCCCAAAAGCTGTCTGAACAATGCAGCTTTTAAAAGATGCTTGAAAGGAAGCCGGGATGACTCCTGCTTAACAATGTCTGCCATTTTGTACTTGTGACTAATTGTCTACTGCCCAAAATGGAAGCTAGTGGATACACTGGCATTTTCTTCATGTTGGAAAACTGGCTTCACTGCAAGCTAAAAGGAGGGTGCTTCTTGCCTGGAATGCAGATCTGTGCCTCCTTGTCAGAAGAATGGCCTATGCCATGGGCTGGTTGGACACAGAGGAATAGGCGGAGGAACAAATTGGGGAACCACCAAGGGAAGAAGGCTCAGAGCCCGGGAAGTAGAGGTGGTGGGACAACAATGAGTGCTCAGAGGGAGAAGACTGGGAAGAGAAGGGGTCAGAAGTTGAAGGAGTGACAGGGCTCAGTGCGTTGAGAAGAGTCTGTGGCAGAGAGAAGTCGGGTATCAGAGGCTGAAGCTGAAGTTGAAGCAGGCGAGTTGGAGGAGGGAGGTCAAAAGGCAGTCAGGTTAATAAAGAGTCAATGGTGTCCCATCTTCCCATGACTCCCAGAATCAGGAGAGGTATTAAACAGGAGAAGCAAAGGCAGGCTGCCCGCAGGTGCAGTCTCTGCTTGCAAGAACCCCAGGAGAGGAAGAGACATAGAAGGGAGATGGGGACTTTTAATCTCAGCAATATACAGTGGTAATTCGTTCCGGAGGTCTGTTCTTAACCTGAAACTGTTCTTAACCTGAAGCACCACTTTAGCTAATGGGGCCTCCTGCACAACCGGAGCACGATTTCTGTTCTCATCCTGAAGCAAAGTTCTTAACCCGAGGTACTATTTCTGGGTTAGCGGAGTCTGTAACCTGAAGCATATGTAACCCGAGGTACCACTGTATTTTATGGAGTAGGGCCTACAGGGCAAGAGCTGCTGTGCTCCTAAGGCCTGAAACTCAGCCAAATCTGCAAAGATCACGTTTCGCTAATAAAGAGTTGACTCCAGCTTTCAACGGAGTGAATTACTGACCGGCTTGATCTGCAAACAGCCTAGTCCTTTGCTTACCTGTTCGTTTGCTGCATAGTCGGTCCTTGACATTTTCTGCCTCATGGGAGAAGAATTCTATGAACTCATCTTCATATTCTTCAGCTATACTCTCACACTGCAAAGGGGAACCAAGGAAGTCAGCCGTACTATACATCGTGCCTGCAACGTACGTTCTTTGATGTAGGCACCAGCTACCTGTTCCACTTCCCTAATACGTACTGCAAAGCGTGGAGCTGGTCCAGAGTCGTGGCTGCAATTATACCATTGCAACTGCAGCATCGAATGTCTGTCACCATAACCAGCTGCAAGTATTAAGAGAGAATTCGGAAGGAAAAGAGGCTACAGGTTGCAGCCAGGAGGTTCTACTGGAGTCTCCTTTTCTCCAGCAGCCAAGTAGTCCCACACCCAGCTTCACTCTCTGCATCACTCACCGCAAACTTGAGGCTCGATGTCATATCGGTATCAAATTTGGTTTGAGAAAGGTCCATCTTGGTCCCGTCGCGGGACATCACCCTCACATAGCTTTTCCGGTGGGTGGAAGGATCTTCCTTTTCGCCATACTCTTTCATCTTGTCACAGATGCGCTCCAACAATTCCGTCAGGTGAGCTTCAGACCTGGCATAGGGCACCTGTGGAGGAATGGCAGCTTGCTATGAAGGTGGGAAAAGCCTCCCCCACCTTTACCTTCATCAGATCCTATTGTAACGTAATTTTCCTCGGGCACCATGCACGTCTTACAACCGATCGCTGAGGAGTGGTCAATCATTTTGCCATTTTACCAAAAGGAGGACACTGTAATGATTGCCTTAGTTTTCATCTTTCTGTGACAACCTAAGTCACCAAACAGAAGGACCAATGGCAGCCACCAAGATCTGGAACTAGGGATAAAGAAATTATGTGGAACTATTGTTGAACTCTATATTCCCCCGCTCACGGGCTCCATGTTCCTCACCAGTCCCTTCTTAGCTGCACCTCTAGAATTTGAAATTTCTGTATTAGGTGTGGAGAACCTTTGGCCCTCCATGAACTACAACTCCCATCAGCCCCAGAAAGCATTGCCCATGGCAAGGGATGATGGGAGCTGTAGTTCAGCAACATCTGGAGGTCCAGAAGTTCCCCACACCTAATATAAATAATAATTATTGATTTCTATTTATTGTTGGGTGCTGCTTTGAGAGATGTAAAAGGATAAAAATGCAGGGATGTAGCCAGTGCTCCATGAGCTTAATTCTGTTGGCACAACCAGATTCATGTTTCTCCTCCTTCCCTTGCACATCCCCAAAATTTGCTCCAGAGGATCAGTCAACCCTCCAGAGCAGTTTTTGAGGGTGCACAGTGTGCTGGAGGGGACAGGAGAGAAACAGGAAGTTCCATTCTGCACACAGAAGTCCACTGTGCCAGAAAAGCTGAAGAACTGGGTTGCCGCCTGTCAGGGGTTCAGGGAGAGAGGCACAGGGTAGGCAGGAGATGGAGAGCGATGGGGATGAATCCCAAGCCAGCGAGGAAGAGGATGACAATGACTCAAGAGATTCCATGAGTCTTTCCAGCGAATCAGAGGATTCCCAGAAGGGGGCGCCGGTGGTCAAGGCCAGGGAGCCCCAGGGGGGACGTGTCAGGAGCAGGGGGCCAGCGGAGGATCCCAAAGTGGCAGCTGGGCGTCAGGACCAGCCTCCCCACCAGAGTGCAGCGAAGGGGGTGGAGTTTCCAGTGTATCAGGGGAAGCAGCTCCGGCAGCAGAGAAGGGAGGGAGGTCGGAGCAAGCCATCCTCCCGGAAGGGGAGGGGAGTAGTGAAGGGAGTAGTGTAACTGTCAAAAGGAAAGTTAGAGGTTTGGCGCGCGCGCCTAGGTCACATGTAGAGGCGCGCGGAAGTACAGGGAGCCCGGAGGAGGGGCCAGGTCCCAAAGCCCGCAGGAGGGGGGAAGAGCAGTCTGATTCCGCGTCAGAGGAATCCAGGAGGGGCGAAACCCCAGCGGGCAGAAGGACCCTGCGGAAAAGGAAAGAGAGAAAGAGGTGGAGCAGCGCAAGCCTCTTAAATTGGTGCAGGGGAGGGACGGATTCAGAGGGGACTTCAGCGGTCTAAGCGTAGCAGACGTAGGGCTGCGCGCCTAAGATGTCAAGCAAACAATGAACTGCAATAAACACTTTTGTATATAAGAAGACATAGGCGTTGGTCTTTTGTGAGCTGAGACTTGAGGCAGCCCTGACACCGCCCATAAAAAATAAATTCCCTTTCACCAGAAGTTTAAAATCTCAGCAGAAGGGTTTTTCCCACACATTTCTGCAGGGTGCTACCCATCTCCCTGATTTTCTGTTTCTCAGATCGCCAATCAAGGGCAAGCATGAAACATGTTACCTCCACGACAGACTGGCTTCCATCTGGGTTGATGCGGAAGGAACCTATCTGGATCATTTTCTTGGGATCTACCTGAGATATTTCCCACTCCAGCTCATCCACCAGTGCCCGGCATGCTAAAACCAAAGAAAGAAAGAAACAAAAACTCGCTCCAAGAAGCGGTACTGATCATAGCACTCAGGAAGACAGCTACATTAACTTCATGATCGACTGCTTGATGCCAGAACATTCTCAAGATTTGGCAGCTGAACAAATGCATTCTTCAGAACTCAGCATACCGCAAATGAAAATATGTCTTGTAACAACAATTTATTTGCAGCACTTGATGGGAGAATTTATCATTTACGTTAGGCAAGTCGTGCATTCAGGGGAGTGAAAGCAAGTACCGGGAAAGAGGTAAAATTGACAGCTCCTGACCTCGGCACAACATCAGTTGGTTCAGCAGCCTTGAGGGCAACAAAACAACTGCACTCTCTCTTCCCCTATTCTTCTTTCTCCTCTGGCGTAGCATCAGCAAGCAAGACTACTAAAGCAACAGTTGCTGCTTCTGGGACTTGTGCTTGCAACCCAAGAATAAGGGAAAATACAATAGCAGGGGATGGGTAGTTATGCTAACACTCCCATAAGGCTTTTCTGAAGACACAGGTCCAGTGATCTCCTCTCCCAAGCAATGCTTCTGTGTGACAGTGTTCCACATGGTGAGGCGTAATGCTTGTATCAGGGATGTGTGGTGCTGGAGCCGTCGAATCTCACACATTTGGGCTGACTTGCATGGACACGTAACGTCTCAAAGGGTTATGCCATTTCAACGTCACTTTTCAGCAGCCTCCACGTAGGCCAGAAAACTCTGTTATTGGGAGCAGAAGGATGCTGCTTCAGGCATGCAGGGAAAGCAGGAACAGGTCACCTGTAGCCTTCCAGCTGCTGTTTGGCTTCTATTTGCCCCAGCCTGTGTGGCCGTTCGTCAGGAATGATGGAAATTGTCCCGCAACAACATCTGGAGGGCCACAGGTTCCTCACCTCAGTCAGGAACGAACTTAACAGGAGTTTTGAACCAGGGTTTCCCAAACTTGGGTCTCCAGCTGCTGTTGGACTACAACTCCCATCATCCCAAGCTAGCGGGATCAGTGGTCAGGGATGATGGGAACTGTAGTTCAAAAACAGTTGGAGACCGAAGTTTGGGAAACCCTGTTTTGAACTGAGAAGGACTGAAGGCCCAGGAACGCTGGGCTCTGCCCAACTGAGTCACTCTACTCAGGCAAGGGTCTGTATAATAGCCTCCTCCTCAAGAAATAGCAGCAAACGGTGGCAAAGTCGTCCCCTTAATATGCATGGCAGCTACTTACTCCCAAGACCCAGGCAAAGGATTTTTTAAAGAGTCAAACACCCTTCTTATGCATCTCAATTGCCAAGTCCTGTTGCACATAGCTGAAGTGTGTAGAGGTCACTTTTGCTGCAAAAAGCTGGTGAGGTGCCTAATAAAGGGAAGGCCCTTGAGATCACAGAATCGTAGAATTGTGGGACCATGAGGATCATCTAGTCCAACCCCCTGCAGTTCAGGAATCTGCAGCTGTCCCATACACAGGGATTGAACTGAAACCTTGGTGTTATCAACACCACACTCTAACCAACTGAGCTGTCCAGGCTGACCAGTTATCTGACCAGATCAGAGGGGCCAAATGAAAAACCCCTTGGAGCCTGTTTGAGCCCATGCCACCAGCTGCCAATCCCTAGGATAAGACCTTGCCATGGCCAACCTTTCATCTCCAAGTAATGATGAAAACAATTAGAGAACAAACTGATGCAGCGTATTCCTACATACACAGGAATGGAACCATTATGTTTATTTCAAACTATGTACCTAGGTGCCCTCAGACTACTATTGTGGGGGGTCACTCAATGAGAACTGATCTGTTATGAGACAGGCTACCCTGAAAAAGTTTGCTACCACCATTGCACATCACACCCTGCAACAGAGTGAGTGGACTGGGCACCCTGGTCCATTTCCTAGAATCTTCAGGTGCCAAATCAATGTGGAAAAGCCTCTTTAAAGGCAGAGAGTGGTGTAAGCAGTGCTTTTTTTCCTGGGGGGTACGCAGGGGTACACATACCCCTAAACATTTTGTGAATCTAAATTTGGCAGAATCATTGATGGGCAGTATTTCAATATGAGTAGGAAAATGAGAGTACCCCTAAATATTTTTTTAGAAAAAAAAAAGCACTGGGTACAAGCAATGTTATTTTGCTGCTCTGTATTTCTCAAGCTCCACCACCCATTTTCCTAATGAGATTGCTATGAGAGAGTCTGCTTTACCTCCACAGCGGAGATCTTGGCTCCTCCGGGCAAAAGCACCACTCAACAGCAGCAAGAGGGCAGCGGACAGGCAAACCGTGCTTGAAATCCAGCCATTCATCTTCAAGGGTGTGGGCAAGCGTCACAAGCTGCACAGAAAGTCAGAAGTTATCCCAGGGCTGCATGGAACCAATTATCTAGCTAGCTCGCAAACCCCCCAAAAAGCAAACTGCTTCCGTTACCAGGAATCTCATCCTAACCTCCCACAGCCATGGAGACGTGTTCATGAGCCACATGCAAGCAAGCAATCCAATGGCTGTGCTCAGTCAGGGCTCCGTAGTACGACTTATTATGCTAAGCAACACTCTCAAAGCTAGCATTTATCCTCACATCTCAAGCTCAAGTTTAGAATACAAAGTGCCCTCTGTGTGACAGGCCAACGGCAGCAGTTATTCTGAGGCTGTTTTAAATGTTTGCTAGCTTGCTATGCTTTCCATAGAGGAAGAAAAATAATCCCTCTGCTAAACCAAATTCAACACACAAAAGTGGGGGGGGGGATGGGTGAACCGAAAAATATATGGAAAACTCCTGGACGGCTCCCAAGAGAAGAGGCAATACAGTATAGCCTATTGGGCTTAGTGGTCACACCTATCAGATCAATCAAGAGCTAACAGAGGATAGGCAGAGATCTCACTGCCAGCTAATATTTGTAAGTAGTGCTACATTCCTGGATTTCAAAACACACTTCACTCCTAAATGGACTCTCATTTTACCGCCATATCCTTGTACCTTTTCAGATCCCACTTCCCGCACCTCTAAGCTAAATCCCATGAGACCCTAATATATCCAGCAAAGTTATGAGACCCTAATATACCCAGCAGAGTTATGAAGTAGAAACTTTCTAGGGCCACACTGCTTCGGACTTAGAGGTAGGGGGTTGAATTCTACTGAAGTAGAAGCAGGCCTATGAGAGAGAGGTGTTTTTATTGCACCCCAGAAGTAGCAGGCATATGAGGGAGAGGACATTTGGTGGTATCCAACTAGGTTTTACTCAGAATAGGCTCACTGAAATTAATGGATCTACCGTATTTTTCGCCCTATAGGATGCACTTTTTCCCCTCCAAAAATGAAGGGGAAATGTGTGTGCGTCCTATGGGGCGAATGCAGGCTTTTGCTGAAGCCTGGAGAGTGAGAGGGGTCGGTGCGCACCGACCCCTCTCGCTCTCCAGGCTTCAGGAAGCTCTGCACAGCCCTCGGGAGCCCGGCGCAAAGTCGCGCTGGGCTCCCGACGGCTGCGCGGAGGTGCCTGCAGTCCCGGGCTTCGCCCAGCTTCGCGCCGGGCTCCCAACAGCTGCGCGGAGGTGCCTGCAGCCCCGGGCTTCGCCCACCTCCGCGCCGGGCTCCTGACGGCTGCACGGAGCTGCCTGCATTCCGAAGCCTGGGACGCGCTGAAGAGCGTGCCCGGGCTTCGCGCACCTCTCCGCAAGCCTGGGGAGACCGGTGCGACTTCGCGCTGGGCTCCCTAGGCTTGTGGATAGCAGGCTGTTCTGGGGGCTGGGGTCGGGGGAAGCTCGGGCTTCCCCCGCGCCTGGGGGGGAAATAAATTCTTTTTCTTTATTTCCCCCCCAAAAAACCTAGGTGCGTCCTATGGGGGCGGTGTGTCCTATAGGGCGAAAAATACGGTAACTTAGCCGTGTTCATTAATTTCAATGGGAAGGGATTAACCAGTGATTCTGTCTTTGCAACAAAGGTTTCCCCGCCCCACTCCTGCACTCCCCAAAATTGGCTCAGGGGCTGCATCAGGAGAACAAACAAACAGTACACAAGTGGAAGGGAGGGGGGGATTGTTTTGTCTGACAAGCCAAAATCTTGGTGTCCCAGAGTCTACTCTAAGTAAAACGTCGTTGAATACCATCCACTGATTACGGTTTTTGTTTTGTTTTTATGTAGGGAGGTTCTTATAGGTCCCCCCCCCCCATGTTGGGGAGAACTTAAAAAGCACATTCACTCATCTGCAATTAAAAGTGGTATAGTCCAAAGAGGACTCTGCTATTTTGCTGTACGTGGAACTTGGGTTTTCAATGCCATCGTGCAAAATACATGCTCAGTAGCTTGCAATCTGTGGAATCCAGAGTCTCTCAATTACACATCCAATTGAAATGAGAGTTGGGCTCTAAGCTGAAGCAGAAAAAAACCTGTCAGTACTAGGGTATTTTTTTCCAATAAGACGCGTAAGGATACCAATGTTCATATCCACTTACGTATAAGCATCTCAACCTTTAAAAACAGAACCACACCATAACACAGCATGTATGGAAACCATAACAGGGAAAGAATGAAACACCTATTTCAAGAAATGTTGCATACAGTGGTCTCAGGGTGGGCTCACATATGCCTTTTATGCACTGAAGACTGTGTTTCATATGCACGATTGTCCCCCACTGCACATATAGGTAAAGGTAAAGGGACCCCTGACCGTTAGGTCCAGTCGTGGCCGACTCTGGGGTTGCGGCGCTCATCTCGCTTTATTGGCTGAGAGAGCTGACGTACAGCTTCTGGGTCATGTGGCCAGCATGACTAAGCCACTTCTGGCAAACCAGAGCAGTGCACGGAAATGCCGTTTACCTTCCCACCGGAGTGGTACCTATTTATCTACTTCCACTTTGACATGCTTTCGAACTGCTAGGTTGGCAGGAACTGCACATATCCATGTCCAAAAATTGCAATGATTTCTGGTCACAGCTCAACATATATTACTCAAGCCAAAAGCCCTGCCAGGTGCTTTTCAAGGACATGCATTACTAAAAATAACTGCAAGTAAGCCCTTTGTTCCACCTGCACCTACAAACGTATGGTAAGCAACACCACACCTACGATACGATAATCTTTATTGTCATTGTTCCATACAGAACGAAATTGAAAATATACAAAAATATATGGCCTTGAGTACAAAAAATGATGTTGGAAATGCATATAGTGTGTGTGTGTACTGCAAGCATCTTGGAGGAAGTGCACTAATTCTCCAATTTCAAGTATTGGTTTGGTTGCGGAGACTGAATTAATCTTACGTCAAATTGGAAAAAGGTGCCGACTGTCAGTCCCTCATACTCCATAGGACAGGAGTGGCAACTCTACTGTGTCAAAGTCTTCATAGAGATCTTTTCTTAAATTATATTTATTGATTTTTCTTTCATTACTGGTACAGAGGTCTTCTATCTAATAAAGCCACCTGGACTTTTTAATCATGGATCAAAACATTCATATGGGCAGATTCAAAAAACAAGGCATTGATGCCTCACAGCCACAATGTGCAGAATCAAGTCACACTGAATTGTTTCTAAACCCTCTTAAGAGCGTTTAGCATTGCAGCCTACAGTTGCAACACTAAATACACTACTAGAGCAGCAAAGCCAATGAACATAGCAATCTGCTTTGCATGCAGTCGAACCACCTTTCGCTAATGTGGGTTTGGATGTCTTCAGACCTTAGAGCATGGCTATGCGCAAGACAAGGGGAGGTCAAGCTAACAATAAGCGCTGGGCAGTGCTTGAGTATCTGTGCATTCCAGATTGAGATCACGGAGTCCATAGGCACTATCAGTGTCATCAATGCCTTGAGAAGATTTGTGGCCATACATGGACCTATCAAATTCATTAGGCCCGATTGTGGCATGAATTTTGTGGGAGCTGGGACTAAAGAGAAAAAAACGACACTGACCCCGCTCTCCGTGACTACCGCAGTGCTCGGGATTGTGCATGGATCTTTAACCCTCTCCATGCCTCTCACATGGGAGGTGCTTGGGAACACATGATTGGTACGGCATGTAGAATTTTGGATTGTGTTGACAAGAGCTGCACCTCTTACCCATTAGACCCTGGTCACCCTCATGGCAAAGGTCACTGCTATGAACATCGCCAGACCCTTCATTCCAGTTTCTGTTTCCTGAGAATCTGATGGTTCTGACTCTGGCTACCTTGCTGTCTCTAAAAACTGGAGACATAGCTGCCAACATTTCCCTTTTTTTAAGGGAAATTCCCTTATTCCGAATAGGATTCCTTGCAAGAAAAGGGAAAAGTTGACAGCTATGACTGGAGAGTGGCCAGCCCCTCCAGGGAACTTTGTCACTAAGTACCTGTACAGTGGTACCTCGGGTTAAGTACTTAATTCATTCCGGAGGTCCGTTCTTAACCTGAAACTGTTCTTAACCTGAAGCACCAGTTTAGCTAATGGGGACTCCTGCTGCCGCCACACCGCAGGAGCACGATTTCTGTTCTCATCCTGAAGCAAAGTTCTTAACCCGAGGTACTATTTCTGGGTTAGCAGAGTCTGTAACCTGAAGCGTGTGTAACCTGAAGCGTATGTAACCCGAGGTACCACTGTATTGTATTTTAGTGTTTTGTTGGAAGCTGCCCAGAGTGGCTGGGGAAACCCAGCCAGATGGGCGGGGTATAAATAATAAATTATTATTATTATTATTATTATGATGTCTGATGTAGATTTTTTCAATTTCGTTGTTCTGTATGGGACAATGACAATAAAGATTATTGTATCGTATCGAACTGGTACTTCACCTTGGACACGCGCAACGACGACCTTGCAAGGTAGGTCGCTCCCTCCCGCGTTCTGCAGGCGGGGGACCGGAGACGAGGGGACGGTGGCCGGCTTCCCTGAAGCCTCCCAGTGTGTGGTGCGTGGCAGGGATGCGGTCTGACCCGTTGCCTTCCCGACTCCTGCCAACTACACCGGCGTGGAAATGGTACCCGCCATAGGTACTCCCTCAGCTTCCCCGCCTCGCCTCGCCCGGCTTCGCCTCCTCCCACGACGCCACCCGAGTCCGCCCGAACCCCACCACTCGGCGCCGGCTGCGGCAGCGAGCGCCTCCAAATCTTCCTCTAGGGGTGGCCAACGTCCGCCTGCCCGGAATCCCACTCCACCGGCCGCGCCACACACACAAAAAGACGACGCTAAAAAATGATACCTCTCTCCCCGTATCAGCAGCCTTTCATCGCGGCCTCCCTGGAACCCCTGGCCCTGCTCTTCGGAGCAGGCGCTTGCCAAAGACACCTCAGACTCCCGTAAGGACCCTTCGGCGAGGGCCGCGGGCTCGCGTGGCGAACAGCGCGGCAGCCTGCCGGGCGAGGTGGGCGGGGCTATCTCGATACGTCACGTCCCCCAGCAGTCCGAGAGACCGGAGTGGGCGTGGCTCTTTCTCTCCACGGGAAGCGTGGAGCTAGGAACGCTTTCTGAAACCCCGTCCCATAGAGTTGCGAAAAAAGGTAGAGTGACACACGCCCCCAGGGAGCCTACCGAGCGTGGGTGAGTTTAAAAGTCCAACGTGTCTGCCTTCAACTGGCTAGAGCAAGATTGTCGTGAACTCATTGCGCAGGCTCAGCCTCACAAAGCCGTACCTTCCAACATTTTCCCGATGAAAATAGAGATTACTTATTCCATTATTATTATTATTATTATTGCTATTATTATTCTATCCCACCCATCAGAATGTGGCACTCTCCCTGTGGAACGCCCTCCCACCAGATGTCAAAGAGAAAAATAACTACCAAACTTTTAGAAGACATCTGAAGGCAGCCCTGTTTAGGGAAGCTTTTAATGTTTAATAGGTTATTGTATTTTAGTGTTTTGTTGGAAGCCACCCAGAGTGGCTGGGGAAACCCAGCCAGATGGGCGGGGTATAAATAATAAATTATTATTATTATTATTCTAAACATTAAAAAAACTTTCCAATGGTCGTATAGTATATTCATTGTATACATTGCATAGTATTCATTGTATACATACGATTGTGTATCATCTGACCCGTCTACTGCAATTATTAAGTTTGCAGATGACACCACCATAATGGGTTTAATAACAGGTGGAGACGAATCAGCGTATGGAGGGGAGGTCCAAAAAATATCTACATGGTGCCTAGGGAACAACTTGCACCTTAATATCAGCAAGACAAAGGAGATGGTGTTGGACTTTCAGAGGAAGAGAGGAGAACTAGCCCCGCTGTACATCGGGGAGAGCTGTGTGGAGAGAGTCTCTTCCTTTAAATTCCAAGGAGTTTATCTCAGTGAAGACCTTTCTTGAAAAATAAATACAACCCAGGTGGTTAAGAAAGCCCAACAGAGGCTCCATCTCCTCAGAGTATTGCGGAAGAACGATGTCAATCAACATTTGATGATCTCCTTCTACTGGTCCACAATAGAAAGTGTCCTTTCATACTGCATCACGGTGTGGTACGCTGGTTTGACATCATCTGATCGGAAATGCCTACAAAGGGTGGTGAATACAGCACAAGATATTACGGGCTGTCCCGTGAATCCACTGGATGAAACAGCGGAAGAACGTTGCCTCAGGAGAGTGAGGAAAATTCTCAGGGATTATTCACACTCTGGCCGGCACTTTCTTGATCTCCTGCCCTCAGGCAGAAGATATAGAAGCATGATTAGTCGCACCAACAGGGTAAAGAACAGCTTCTATCTGTGGGCTGTTAGGCTGCTGAATGAAAAGATAACAACAGGGCAACTGACTTTCGGGTTTGGTGGGTGTGCATCAGTAAACGAGGGGAATTAAGACTAAGAGAGCTGAGTGGGGGGTGCTCGTGTAATCTCACTGTATACAAGTTGTACAAGTGACAATAAAGTATTTCAATATTCAATTTCAATATTTCAGTAGTTACTTATCTCCTTGGCTCAGGGGTCACATAACTCCATACCCTCCAACATTTCTCCGATGCAAATAGAGACATCCTACCATACCCTCCAACATTTCTCAGATGAAAATAGGGGTTTCCTAGAGATAAGCAGGACATCTCAGGATCAAATCAGAAAACGGGACAGCCTTTGTAAATCTGGGGGACTGTCCCTGGAAAACGGACACTTGGATGGTCTACTCATTCATTGGTAACATGGAGATAAACAATAAGAGTTTACAGTATATGCATTTTTAAGAGCAATTTTAAAGGAACTAATAAACATACAGATCACTCCCCCCCCCCCCAAAAAAAGGCCAAACTGATTAACTCCTGGCTTTACTCTTGTCCAGTCACAGCTATGCAAAGGCCTGATTTCTCATTTGTTTCCTAAGGTCGTCTGTTCTGTTTTTTACTCCCGAGGATGGGAATGAGGCAATAAAAGGATCTTCACCTCAAAGGACAAGAATATACTTTTAAAATCAAATAAAAATTATATTAGGGTGGCAAACTAATTTTTGTGAATATATTGAACTAGCCAAAATGACAGCGTCAATCAGAATGCAAACAAAACAAAAATGAAGAAAGAAATGGAAACGTGTTGAAGAATATATTGTACAAAATTATTCTATCAGAAATTTCTGGATAAGTATAGATTGAACCCATTAAGTTAAGAAGTTATGTTTTTAATAGGTGAATGATCATTCTAATAAACAAAAATGAACACAATTATTAGTGGGGCGGGTTTTAAATAACAAGTTGGATATCACGCATGTGGGTGAAAAAAGTCACATGGGTATTTGGGTGAAAGGGGAGGTGGTTATACGGTTAGATGTGGGGAATTTGTAGAAATAATGTATGTTACGTACAATGTTGAATGTGTATCACATTTAACATGTAACTTGAATTACTGTGGTGCCCCGCAAGACGAATACCTCACAAGACGAATGCCTCGCTAGACGAAAGAGTTTTCCGTTTTTTGAGTCGTTCCGCAAGACGAATTTCCCTATGGGCTTGCTTCGCAAGACGAAACGTCTTGCGAGTTCTTGCGAGTTTGTTTCCTTTATCTTAAAGCCGCTAATAGCCGCTAAGCCGCTAATAGCCGTGCTTCGCAAGACGAAAAAACCGCATGACGAAGAGACTCGCGGAACGGATTAATTTCGTCTTGCGAGGCACCACTGTAATTTAAAATAGAATATTTGTTGAATATGATAAATAAGCCAATGCTATGTACAATTTTACAATATACAGAGGATAATATGCGCAAAGAAACTGGAGAGAGGAGCTGAGGGAGGGAAATGTAAATGGATATATTGATTGATAATTTGGTTGTTACAATTTTTCTATAAAAATATATATTAAAATAAAATAAAATAAAGGGGGGGAATTATTTTTTTTTTAAAGAAGAAAGAATAGGGAAGTGCCAGCATCAGATTTAGGGTGGTGCGGGCAGTTCCCCCGCACAAGGCAAGCAAAGAGGGCATATAATAATAATAAAAATAGTTGTTGTTTTACTAAAACCTATATTTATAAATGTACCTACTCAAAGTTTGGCCATGGTCAGATAGACAACTGAGTTGCTGCAACCATGGCATAGTGCACTTGAGAGCATGCGCAGAACGGGAGGGTGCCAAATAAATATTTATGGTGGCAAATTTTGTCCTTGCTCCTGGCACCAAAATCTGCCCCTGGAAAGTGCCATAGCTCAATGGTAGAGCATCTTCTGCTTTGTATCAGAAGGTCCCAGGTTCAGTCCCTGGCATCTGCAGCTAAGACTGGGAATGTCTCCCTATCTGAAACCCTGGATTGCTCCTGGCTAGTTTGAGTACTTAGGTAACACAAAGATTGATACACCAATGGTCTGACTTAGTGTAAAAGGTGCTTCCTATGTTCTTGGATGGTCTCTCAGGTCCACATCTATCACTGCAATGACAAAGTCCAGGATTTCCATGTTGCGAGTATGACCATGCTTCAAATATAACCAAAGATCAGATATCAAAGAAATCCCGTATTTTTCACTCTATAAGACGCACCAGACCACAAGACGCATCTAGTTTTTGGAGGAGGAAAACAAGAAAAAATATATTCTGAATCTCAGAAGCCAGAACAGCAAGAGGGATCGCTGCGCAGTGAAAGCAGCAATCCCTCTTGCTGTTCTGGCTTCTGTGATAGCTGCGCAGCCTGCATTTGCTCCATAAGACGCACACACATTTCCCCCCTACTTTTTAGGAGGGAAAAAGTAGTCTTATAGAGCAAAAAATACGGTAGGTTTCATTGTGTTCAATGGTACTTATTCCCAGGAAACTGATTAGGACTGCAGCCTTATTCACAAACTGGGTAGTAGGCAGGGAGTTTAAAAAAGGGTAATTCATATTACCTTACTTTGTGTAATCACAATCTCAACAAAGCTGGCAAAGGTCAGTTGGCTAGATTTACTGAGGTATTGTTATCTACACAATTATGTCATTTTGTCCTACGTTTGTAAGCAAACAAGAAAAAAGTTACTTCCAGTTTTGCACTCACATCCATTGTTCCATGCAATGACCCATTTTCTCCGATCAGAGACATTCACATTGTAAAGAGGATTAAAATATTTATTCCCCAAACATTCATGAATAGTACATTCAAACTGTCACATCAGATTTTAGACAACAGTGACGTAGCTTTAAAAAAAACAACCAGTTGAGAAATTCAAGCAATTACTCTAGAGTGGAGAACAGAAGGAAAGAGAGAAAAGGAGACAAGGACCCAAACGGCTAGATAAAATAGCACTTCAAAAAAGAGAGAGAAAATGTTTCTTCTGAACATTTTATTGGCTTTCGAGAAATTGTTTTAAGTTTGGCAAAACGATTTTGTAGTGTTTAAATGCCATCTTATCTTCCTTTCAAAACTTTTAGTGTTCCATTTACAAAGCAGACTATTCTGCAGATTTCTTTTAGCTAACTGAAACCAGGGCAATCAATAGCTTTCTGGGGTCCTTGAGCCTAATAGGCCCCTTAAATGTTAGGAGAGAGGAACAAGGACATAGAGAACAGCAATGATTAACCCCAAAAGAGGTTAAAGGGGGTAGTCTGAGTAGCTTTCTTACTTCACACAGGGTCTGGACCAGTTTAGAGGCAAACACACCTTACATCTCTGACCCTGGCTGGGCCTTCTACCAAATGAGAACCTAGCTGGCAGCAGTGGCTTGTGAGCCTGACAAGCCCCAGAAAATATGCCCAACACTGCCAGCCTTTGATGCCAACCATGCTGAGATACGCTGGAATAGAAACACAAATCTATTTAAAGTTTTCTGCACAATAATAGAAATTAAAATATAACCGAATCCTCATTTTTCATAATTTAGATTTGGGCGTGTGTTGTTTTTTTTTTTGAGGTTTTTGTTGTTGTTGTTTAAAAGCTTCTCAATTTAGCCACACATCTAAATCTAACATCATCATTATATCTACAGAAACCTAGCTACAAGATGCTGTGAGCTATAATATCAGTCAAGAATATGTTTGGGGGACAGTGCTATCTCACTGGCCGGTTCTGGATAGTCACTCAGTTTGGCTCGGAAAAAGTGGCATAAATTCTGTTTGTTTGTCTGGGTACACCTCCTCCTTACAAAACATCCCATGAAACTCAAGAGCCTTATGGAAACTGAAACACAACCTGTCATTTAGCCCCCAATAATAATTAACAAAGCCACTTGGTCTAGAGTTGTTTCATAGATTTCGTCCACAATAAATAGTTTTAAACCAGAGATGGGGAACCTGTGGACTTTCAGATGTTGATGGACAACTCCCATCATCCCAACCATTGGCCGTACTAGCTGGGACTGATGGGAATTGGAGTCCAATAGCCCTTGAAGGGTCACATCTTTCAAACCCCTCTTTTAAGGGTTCTAGACTTTGTTTTTTAGAAGGGAGTTAAAATCAAGGACGCATGCGCCTGTGGCACAGGAACATGTCCTCTGGGAAGTTAGAAGGGAGCAATGAAACGCAATCAGGTTAAAAGGCGGTCAGGCAGACATGTTAATTTCCTGCAAAGAGTGAGATTATCCAGGAATCCTGAAAAGAACAAGTTTGACCTGGGATTATCAGCATAAACGCACTCAAGACCCTCACCCGGTACTTGGCACCACATGTTAAAAAGGAGATTTCAGTGGCTAAAATACAAATTGGTTTCGTACAATTCAGAGTCTCTGCATCCATAGCCTCGCCACCCATCTTCTTTTCGGTGTCAGCCGCTCTGCCTCAAAGCTGATCAGCAGGAGGCAAAGGTTAACACAGCAGGCAGTGGAGGGAAGGGACAGAAAAGCAACCCCAAATCCTGTGCTTGTTATCTCTTGCTGCTTCGCCGTGTCTCTTTGCCATTGCTGACTGAGTTAGAGGACGACCCTGACGAGCTTCCGCTCTGGTGGTTGGGCTGGCTCCGGGTGATGCGGCCGCTGGTGGGGTGAGAGGGGGCACTAGGTGTGTGGGTGGAGCTGCCAGAGCCAGTGGTGATCAACCCGTTGCCATTCTGGTTGTCAGTGACTAAAAGAAAGGGAGGGGAGGGGAAAGGAGAACAGAAAAACCTTACTGGAACCCACAGAGATGGAGCCAACAAATCCATTGGTATTCCTGCTGGGATATAGTAAAAAGAGTCTTCTACTTGTTGTTATAGGAACTAAAGTAGCTAGCAAATGGGAAATGTGGCATTTTCAGTTGAATGCTAGATGCATTCAAGTGTGTGGAATACACAATGCTATACAGTGGTACCTCGGGTTACATACGCTTCAGGTTACATACGCTTCAGGTTACAGACTCCGCTAACCCAGAAATAGTGCTTCAGGTTAAGAATTTTGCTTCAGGATGAGAACAGAAATCATGCTTCAGCAGAACGGTGGTAGCAGGAGGCCCCATTAGTTAAAGTGCTGCTTCAGGTTAAGAACAGTTTCAGGTTAAGAATGGACCTCCGGAATGAATTAAATACTTAACCCGAGGTACCACTGTATAGATCAGCTCTCACTGCTAGCTTTACAGGAGGGAGAGAAAAAGCGAAGTATTTATTTCATTTTAGAGAAGGGAAGCCTTTGTGCAACACTGTGATAGAATATACGGTCAGAATGTTTCTGCTGACAGATGCTGTTTTTAGAAGCTGTAGGACTGATCCAATAAATAAGTAAGTGATTCAATAAACAAATAACGTACCTAGTTTTGGTTTTAATTTAAAATTACCAGTTGCCAGTTTAAAAAGAAAAGAGCACTAGCTTCAAAGGAAAGATTTTCCTTAGGGATGCAATAGGAAAGCGTTAAATCCCCCCCCCCCCAGCTTGCTGTAATTCCAGCAATTATTAGCAACTGCCCCCCACTCCATTGATACTATTTGAATTAAAAAAACCAAAAACTGTACATTAAACAAGAAGATTTATTTAATGGGCAGTATTCAACTGCCAAACCTGTCAGTGCAAGGGTTTCGTCTTTGCAGTGTGGCTCCCCACCCTGGCCACGTTCCATTGTGCGCGCCTTGTACCCTCGTCAAATTTGCCCCAGAGGGTTTGAGGAACCCCTAGGACAGATTTAGGAGGCACAATTGGGGGGGGGGGAGAAGGGGAGAACATTCCATTGCAGAAGCATAAATCTTTGCGCTGACAGAACATTCATGTAATATCACATTGGGTACAACCCATTGCCATGTCCAATTTGACCCTTAGATAGGCCATGAGTTAGATGTTGGCCATTTCCAGGCTAAATAATACAACGAGGCACAAAATCCTGACATGCACGACTTGTGCTTCTCTCACCTGCAGGTATCCGTTTCGCTCAATGGTACTAGGAAGTGCAAGATCATTCACTGCCTACCTGCTGATGACGTGGAAGGCCCTGGTGTGGTTTGGGAGGCTGTGGGCGCTGCGTTGTCATTCTGTGTCTGTCGAAGAAAGCAAAAGTCTACTGATTTTTTTTGACATACAGTGATACCTCAGGTTACATACTCTTCATCTTACAGACCCTTCAGGTTACAGACTCCACTAACCCAGAAATAGTACCTCGGGTTAAGAACTTTGCTTCAGGATGAGAACAGAAATTGTGCTCCGGCGGCATGGCAGCAGCAGGAGGCCCCATTAGCTAAAGTGGTGCTTCAGGTTAAGAACAGTTTCAGGTTAAGAACGGACCTCCGGAACGAATTACGGTAAGTACTTAACCCGAGGTACCACTGTATACAGAAGTTCCACAGATACAACAGCCATGGGCAGAGGAGTGGGAGGGGAAGGTTTACAGAAGTATGCTGAAATCAAACCTAACTATAGCTGTGTACACACCATATATTTAAAACACATGACTTCTCCCAAGGAATCCTGGGAACTGTAGTTTACCTCTCACAGCACCCTTGAACTACAATATTCTTGAGGGTTGGGTGCATGTGCTTTAAACATATGATGTGTACACAGCCTGAGATGAATATATATAGTTATATGTTTTATAAGTCAGAAAACAAGAGGAAAACAAGAGGAGCAGGGCTAGAGCGGTTACCGTCTCCCCAAAAGACTTGTAATGTGTCCACATTTATCTAGGCAAAGTGAATCTTGGAAGATGTTATCTAGCACCCTGGAGAGAGAGAGGGAGCACATCTACATGCTAAGGAAGACAATTCCATCCCAGTCATCATAACTCACTCTCGAGTCAGATCCAGTAAGGCAATCCAGATGAATTGCCAAATCCGTAACTGAGAAGACCTCCCTGTACCATTAAGAGTTACACCAAATGGAAAAACCCTCTTCTTTGCAGCTTCACCCCCTCACTGTGATGGGTAAAATTTGTGCTTTCCGCTCTGCTCTTAATATACAGGAATCCTCCCAGGTTCTGCACCTGAGACCTTACGGGCTTGCTTCCTGAAAGATTAAGGTGTATAATCCTTAACACCCACCGTAGCTTCCATTTTCTCAGGGCAAAGAAATGCAACAGCTGCCTGTAGCAAAATACAATATAAAAATAAGCATTGGCGTATAGAAGAGAGCTGCACTGAGTATAGGGTGGTCACGAGAATTTGGAGTGATGCATTTCCCTGCGGTAAAGGGAGGCATAAACACCCCTTTGGGACAAGAAGCTACAGTTAGAACTAGATATGGAACAACTGATTGGTTCAAAATTGGGAAAGGAGTACGACAAGGCTATATATTGTCTCCCTGCTTATTTAGCTTATATGCAGAATTCATCATGCGAAAGGCTGGGCTGGATTAATTCCCTAGCCGGAATTAAGATTGCCGGAAGAAATATCAACAACCTCAGATATGCAGATGACACAACCTTGATGGCAGAAAGTGAGGAGGAATTTAAGAACCTTCTAATGAGGGTGAAAGAGGAGAGCGCAAAATATGGTTTGAAGCTCAACATCAAAAAACAAATATCATGGCCACTGGGCCCATCACCTACTGGCAAATAGAAGGGGAAGAAATGGAGGCAGTGAGAGATTTTACTTTCTTGGGCTCCATGATCACTGCAGATGGTGACAGCAGCCACGAAATTAAAAGACGCCTGCTCCTTGGGAGAAAGGCGATGGCAAACCTAGACAGCATCTTAAAAGGCAGAGACATCACCTTCCCAACAAAGGTCCATATAGCTAAAGCTGTGGTTTTCCCAGTAGTGATGTATGGAAGTGAGAGCTGGACCATAAAGAAGGCTGATTGCCGAAGAATTGATGCTTTTGAATTATGGTGCTGGAGGAGACTCTTGAGAGTCCCATGGAGTGCAAGAAGATCAAACCTATCCATTCTGAAGGAAATCAGCCCTGAGTGCTCACTGGAAGGACAGATCCTGAAGCTGAGACTCCAGTACTTTGGCCACTTCATGAGAAGAGAAGACTCCCTGGAAAAGACCCTGATGTTGGGAAAGATGGAGGGCACAAGGAGAAGGGGACGACAGAGGACGAGATGGTTGGATAGTGTCCTCGAAGCTACCAGCATGAGTTTGACTAAACTGCGGGAGGCAGTGGAAGACAGAAGTGCCTGGCGTGCTCTGGTCCATGGGGTCACAAAGAGTTGGACACGACTAAATGACTAAACAACAACAACAACAACGAACACCCCTTGTGATTGGGTCAGGAAGCCCTTCCTTCAAAATTCATCTCACCCACCAGCGTTAGTTAAGAATCCTGATACTCACATTTTTGTTTTGCGACTGCTGGGCGACATATTCTGGGTTTGGCTCACTGAAATTTGGTACTTCTGAGTAAACCATACAAAACCTGGAACAGGAGAGGCAGCAGATACAACGCAGCTGTCAGTCCACTGACAAATGTCTGTCCAGAGTGGCTGGGGGAACCCAGCCAGATGGGCAGGGTATAAATAATAAATTATTATAATAATATTATTATTATTCTCCCTCTCCCTACATGTATGCAGCTCTACGTGGGCAGTGAGGGATGGTAACCATATGCCAATTAGCAATAATAATTCAGGCCTGGCCCTAGATTAATGCCAGACATCAACAACCCCAAACTTTGACAATATCCTATACTTGCATAAGAGTGGGGAAGCCAGGGCTGCAGGAAGGAAGGTAAAATAAAATCTCAAGCTGTCAAAATCAAAACCTGACAGCATGCATATTTTTTTTCCAGGCTATGGGTAATCTAACGTCCATACTATTGAAAAGAAGAATAACAATTTCAGAAATGGGTAGCAGCAGCTGTGCAAGTTCACTCAAGAGAGTTCCAGTTAAAGCAGCAGCACGTGGGAACAACCTGAAGACCCCAACTGCAAGCCACCATCAACCCCAACCATTATTACTCATATAATTACCTAATTGAGCATAAAAGCTCAGGAATGGTGGGTCTTTTCATAGAAACATCCTAGGGGGGGGAAATGGGAATCATTTGTAAGGGAGGTAGGAAGGATGTGGCGTTTGCCTTAGATTACAAATTAGTGGATGTCTTTTGAAATGCACAGAGAGGTATTTATCCTACAGAGTTAATTAAAAAATAATGAGCATTTGTAGTACAGTTATGGAGGGCAGACAGGACGCGGGTGGCGCTGTGGGTTAAAACACAAAGCCTAGGACTTGCCGATTAGAAGGTCAGCAGTTTGAATCCCGTTGCTCGGTCCTTGCTCTTGCCAACCCAGCAGTTCAAAAGCACCTCAAAGTGCAAGTGGATAAATAGGTACCGCTCCGGTGGGAAGGTAAAGGTCAGGGTTCCCTTTACCTTTATGGAGGGCAGGGGGGAGAGATTCTTATGCAAGCAATGCCTCTCAATGTTCAATACATTTGCTAACTGTAGCCTGAACCGTTTATTACGGTGCAGTCAGCATGCAAAGTAGTCACCAGTCTTTTCTATCTTGGAAGCTGCCTTCTTGACTTATGGTGGTGAGAGCCCCTGGAGCAAATACTATCATTTGGTAGAAATCTGGCTGTGTGTCTGAACCTAAAAAAACCAACCATGTACCAAACCTCCAATTCCAAAAAAGCAACATTGGCATCAGCCAAATACAGGCCTTACTCTCCAACTTTCTGCAAGTCTCCTCCACGTCCAGTGTACAAGGTCAGGCAGCCTTTGAAAACAGATGCATACCTAGGAGAGAGAGACCCATGGTTAGGAACAGCACAACATTCTTCTTATAGGTGGAAAATGCACCAGCTAGAAACAAAATACCCGATTTGGGGGGTACCTTGAAGCACAGACGCATAAAGTTGTTCTCCAGTTGTATGATGCATATTCTATTTATAAAATTTGTTACCCCACATTTCAGTATAAAATAGTCCACCTGTCTTCTCAGTTAAGTCAATTGAGTTCCTGTGCAGTTCCAGATACTATTGGGTATAATCTGCACATTTTAAAGTCTCATTAAAGCTAAGAAGTCTTAAGCTACAATCCTATACCCACTTACCTGGGAGTAAGTTACACTGAACTCAGTGGAACTTACTTCTGAGTAGACAGGTATAGGGTTGCACTGTTAAGCACTCTTCACTTCCTCTGGATGAAGTTCAGAATGTTGCCCTTCAGCTGCTGGGTATCAAACAAATAATAATAAAAAAAAAAGAAACGCTCAGTTTAACTACTTGGGGCTGGCAAAGTTGGGACACACCAACAGTACTGCTATTCCCATTTCACACAGAACACCCAAGAAGATCACAGGCAAGGCAAAAGGATAATTCTCTGTACATCCTTCCTCTCCCAGATTCAAGTGTGCTCTCCCCACCCAAGATCTTGGAGCCAGCACTGCAATTCATTCTGAATTATTTTAAACACATGAAACCCTGGAAAGCCACTACCAGGCAGCACAGACAGGACTCAGACAGATGGACTAAGGGCCTGACTTGGTTCAAGGTGACTTCTTACGCTCCTGAATGGGGTAACTGTGCCCCTGAAGGACCAGGTGCACAGCCTGGGAGTCATTTTGGACTCACAGCTGTCCATGGAGGCGCAGGTCAATTCTGTGTCCAGGGCAGCTGTCTACCAGCTCCATCTGGTATGCTGGCTGAGAAACTACCTGCCAACAGACTGTCTCACCAGAGTGGTGCATGCTCTGGTTATCTCCTGCTTGGACTATTGCAGTGCGCTCTATGTGGGGCTACCTTTGAAGGTGACCCGGAAACTACAACTAATCCAGAATGCAGCAGCTAGACTGGTGACTGGGAGTGGCCGCCGAGACCATGTAACACCAGTCCTGAAAGACCTACGTTGGCTCCCAGTATGTTTCCAAGCGCAACTCAAAGGGTTGGTCCTGACACTTAAAGCCCTAAATGGCCTTGGCCCAGTATATCTGAAGGAGCGTCTCCCCCCCATCGTTCAGCCCAGAGGTCCAGCTCCAAGGGCTTTCTAGCAGTTCCCTCACTGTGAGAAGTGAGGTTACAGGGAACCAGGCAGAGGGCTTTCTCAGTAGTGGCGCCCGCCCTGTGGAACGCCCTCCCATCCGATGTCAAGGAAATAAATAACTATCTGACTTTCAGAAGACATTTGAAGGCAGCCCTGTTTAGGGAAGTTTTTAATGTTCTGTTGGAACCCGCACAGAGTGGCTGGGGAAACCCAACTAGATGGGCAGGGTATAAATAAATTCATTATTATTTTTATTATTATTATTATTATTATTATATTGTGGGATGTGTCTTGTGCAAGGAAGATAAGGGTTGAGATAAGAGCTAAGAATGTGGACAGAAAGATTAAGCATGTGAGCTGCCCCCACCTGGATTATAAATTATTATTCTTATTATTATACTATGTGATCTTAAGCATATACCTGAAAAAGCCTAAAATGGGCCCAATCACCTGTTACTTCTGGGGCTGGAGCTAAAGGTCCACTTGGAGAAAGGAACATCCAATTTTCCCCACTTTCTCCTATCGCACCCCTATTGGAAAGGTGGTCCATACCCTTTGGTGAGTCGGATGATGTCTCCTGGTTGGATGAGGTTGCCAACATCGTCCCACACAGAGATGTTTATGCTGCCAGTTTTGTCGGCTACTTTACATGTCCGCACTTCATGGCCATCCTTGGTCTTGGTAACCCGGCCTGGTGGCAATAATAATAATAATAATAAATTTTATTTATACACCGCCCTCCCCAGCCAAGGCCAGGCTCAGGGCGGCCAACAACCAATAATAAAAACAAGATTAAAATGCAACATTAAAACATTAAAATGCAGCCTCGTCACAGGAGGAGAAAGGAAAAAGAAAGAGGAGGAGGGAATCAAATTGACTCCAAGCCAAAGGCCAGGCGGAAGAACTCTGTCTTACAGGCCCTGCGGAAAGAAATCAGATCCTGCAGGGCCCTGGTCTCATGAGACAGAGCGTTCCACCAGGCCGGAGCCAGTGTTGAAAAGGCCCTGGCTCTGGCTGAAACTAATCTGACTTCCTTAGGGCTCGGGACCACTAGGGTGTTGCTATTTATGGACCTTAAGGTCCTCTGTGGGGCATACTGGGAGAGGCGGTCCCATAGGTACGAGGGTCCTAGGCCGTGAAGGGCTTTAAAGGTCAAAACCAGCACCTTAAATCTGACCCTGTACTCCACCGGGAGCCAGTGCAGCTGGAAAAGCACTGGGTGAATATGCTCCCATGGCAGGGACCCCGTGAGGAGCCTCGCTGCAGAATTCTGCACCCGCTGGAGTTTCTGGGACATTCTGGTAGGAATGGTTAGCAAAATTCAAGGCAGCTAAAAGGGTGTTTCTGCTTTCAGGCCAGAAGTACAGGCTGGGAAGCAGCGAGTGTTCCGTGCCAATCCCACCCCATGGAAACATTTGCAGAGCACACCTCTTTATCACCAGAAGAGGAAGAAAATGAAACACTCCTGGAAAGGGGAGAGGAAAGGGTACCCTCAAATTGTACGGCATAAACAAGAAAGGAACCTAGAAGTATTATTGACAATGCAAGTGATATGGATTTGCAATGCACGCTATATAAACGAGGCAACAATATTCTGACTTGCAACAGGGTGCATCAGTACGAGCTGACAGTCCAAAAAACCCACAACACTCAATATAGCACAACACTTTTCTGAATCCAGATAAACACACTGTGCTAAAAGCACAAGTTGTGGTTTTTTTTAAAGGCAAGAGTAAAAGATCCTTAGATTCTTCCATAAGCTGTACTCAGCCTGACAGGAATCCAGTCTGCTTCTGCATTTCAAAGAATCCTATTCAGAAATACTAATAGTGATCATGCAATGTCACCTTTCATTGGCTACTGATAGAAGGAAGACCATGTGCAGCCCATAATTAATAGAGTAAATGTGATGGTTCTATGTCTTTTAGTATGATTCTGTGAAACAAGGAAGCAGACGGACCTCTTAGCTATACTGCAATAGGTTTTTAAAGCATGTCAGCAGTTGTCATCCGTAGAGCACTCACCTGTTTCCAGAACAATGAATATAAGATTGAGGTTTTTCAAGCCTGGTTTAATATCCTTCACCAATGTTTCTGTCGTCATTTTGAATGGCTTTTGATTTCCAGTATCTGAGTAAACAATTATTATTATTATTATTATTATTATTATTATGTCTTAATATCCAGCAAACAGAACAAACGGAAAAGGTGCTGACTGCAGTAGATAATAATAAAACCTTGTTATTTTAACCTTGAGCAAAGGCACTGTTATTTTGTGACTTCCTCTAAGGACACAGAAAGCCATGCTTCAAATGTGTCCAAAAATCAGAAGTTCCACCATGTAGACACAAACGCAGCTGCTATTCCTAGCTTCCAGAATTAGACTGTCCAAATTTTATCAATTTCAAGATGTTTTGCATTACTCTTTCCCCCCGTCATTCTGTGTGAAAAATTCCGTAAATCAACAATTTTGCACAGAATGCCAAGAATGATTTTTTAAGAAATCTGGTATATGTCAGTTGATATGAAAGAACAGGTGGCCAACCTGTGGACTTTCAGATGTTGTTTCCGCCCCAGCCATCATGGCCAGTCATCAGAAATGCTGGGAGCTGTAGACCAGCAACATTTGGGGGTGGGGGGAGGTACAGGTTATCCACATGATATAGAAAGTAAAGGTAAAGGTAAAGATAAAGAGTGACCGACTCTGGGGTTGCCGCGCTCATCTCGCTGTATTAGCCGAGGGAGCCAGCGTACAGCTTCCGGGTCATGTGGCCAGCATGACTAAGCCGCTTCTGGCGAACCAGAGCAACGCACGGAAATGCCGTTTACCTTCCTGCCAGAGCGGTACCTATTTATCTACTTGCACTTTGACGTGCTTTCGAACTGCTAGGTTGGCAGGAGCTGGGACCGAGCAACAGGAGCTCACCCCGTCGTGGGGATTTGAACTGCCGTCCTTCTGATTGGCAAGTCCTAGGCTCTGTGGTTTAACCTACAGCGCCACCCGCGTCCCTATAGAAAGTAGGCAAGACCATTTTATAAAGAGAAAGGCAGTTATGAAAATATCCATCAAATGTGAGAAAAATATGCTATTTTGCTTAGTTCCAGTCTCATATTTTAGAATTTTGTGTTCATGGCATTTTGATTTTTCAACTAGATTAACGTCAGATCAATTGCCCTGGTCACATTTTTTAAAAATCTCGACAGACAGAAACGCAAAAAACCCCCACAAAACTTTCTGGAGATGTTGTTTTGAGTTGGTAAAAGAACCCCATCCTGATGCCACAATATTTTTAACCCTTAACTTTATAAGAGCTTCAACTGATTACAATCTTTGAACACAAGCAGAAGATCACCCTCTTTTACGCACTCCCAGATTTACAGCTAATAACATGATGTGAAGAGTGCCATTCAATGAACAAGTAAAAGGTCAACAATTCTCTTCCATTTCTGTGTCTGCTCATGCGCAAATTCCAGCAACACTTAAAGCACTATAGCTGCTGTTATTGCTATGGATGTGTATACTCTATTTTTATGCAAATTATCAACCTGCCCTGGTATCAGTTAAAAGGGTCCACGCTGATCTTTATTACCTGTTCTGAGCACCGTACACGAAAGACTTCTTTGGCATGTGTAGAAGACTGGTTTCAAGAAAACGGGTATAGCATCCTTGCTTGTGTTACTGTTCACACACGCCTGGAAGGAAAAGGCACCTTGCTTTTTGCAGATCTTCAACCACCTATGTGATCAACACATGCAAAACTGATCTCCTGGCTATTTATTTTTGCTGTAGGTTTCCCTTCTGGCTTACGCAAAGATCGATCGGCTGATACTTAAATTTCTGCACCGTGGTTAATATTCAAACGGGAGGAAAATAAGTTAAAAACTCCACGACCCTCAAGGTCCCTTTCAACTCTACAATTCCATGATTATATGATTGTAAGTAAGTAAATATACTGGTAAGCAGTTCCCCAACCGCCTCCCGCCTCCCGCCTCCCCCACGGAACATGGATTCAACCAGCCCTGCAACATGCACCGATATTTTTCCCTGCCGTACGCAAAGTACAGGAGAGCTTATTAAACTCCCAGATTCTCTTTACCAACCATTCCGAGTCTATTAATTACATTTCGAATAAAAGAGGATCACGACCACCACTTTTCCAGTGAAACAGACCTGGAGGAACGTTGGGTTGCAGACATTCCAGGAAGTATCCTGCTGCGTCCAGCGCAGCCAATCGCGTGGCGAGGCTTTCCTTCGACATGCAGGAATGTTCCAATCTTTCAACCAATTGGAGGCAAATAAAGTATTAAAGTGACAGTATCACCAACTGATGCATTTAAAAAATCGATAGCAGAGAGTGCTGTGAAATTCTTCGAGAAGAATTTCCAGCTATTTTGCACTTGATGCTCCGAAGGCTTGACTTTTCAAGTTAGTTGAACGAATCATGAATGAATGAATGCATTAAATAGATATATATTTCCAACGCAGGAAGATACTCATCTAAGCCATAGCTGTCAACTTTCCCCCTTTCTTGCGAGGAATCCTATCCTATTCCCTTTAAAAAAGGGAAACGTTGACAGCTATGATGTAAGCACTGGATTCTACATAAATATCATGGCCACTCATAGTATTTAATGAAAAATAAAGCAGAAGTGATGCTAATATGATGGCCTGGTTCTTTACTGGCATGTCTGAATTGATACACCTTTTGCACTGTGGTTGTTTTGTGTTGTCACACTTGTGTGTTGATTCACACAGCATTCATGATATGACAAAATGTGCATACATGACAATTCAGCAGATGGTGTACAGCCAGATCAGCGCATGCCACAACATTTTCAAAAGATGGTTGGTTTCTATCACTGTGAATTCCTCCTTCATTCTTGATAGAGGTATCTGGTTTAGAAACCATCACAGACCCTCCAAATGTTCCTATTTTCCAGGGGCGCTCTCGGATTTACAGATGCTGTCCTGGTTTCTTATTTGATCCCAGAATGTCCTGCTTTTCCTTAGGTAAAGGTAAAGGGATCCCTGACCAGCAGGTCCAGTCGTGGCGGGCTCTGGGGTTGCAGCACTCATCTCGCTTTATTGGCTGAGGGATCCGGCGTACATGTGGCCAGCATGACTAAGCCGCTTCTGGCAAACCAGAGCAGCGCATGGAAACGCTGTTTACCTTCCCGCCGGAGTGGTACCTATTTATCTACTTGCACTTTGATGTGCTTTCGAACTGCTAGGTTGGCAGGAGCAGGGACCAAGCAACAGGAGCTCACCCCATTGTGGGGATTTGAACCACTGACCTTCTGATCGGCAAGTCCTAGGCTCTGTGGTTTAACCCACAGCTTTTCCTTAGGATGTCACTATTTTCAGCAGAGAAATGTTGGAACATATGATAAGATATGGTCACTATTTTCACTGGAGAAAAGTTGGAGGGCATGGAGTTATCTGACCCACGAGCAAAAGGCAGCCCTCTCTTTTCATTAGGTAAATTTTAAAAAGGTTGTACAATACAGGACTGAGACCAAATCACATGATTTTGTTCCTACAGAAGATGGGGAATGGGTGAAGTTGTTTAGAAACTTTAAAAGTTTCAATGGAGATTATGCAAGAGCTGGAAAAACCAGTTTCTTCCCCAGAACAAGGAATGTGGATAATGTCTAATTATTCCGATCTCAGAGACTGCTCTTGTAAGGTCAAATGTAGGGTTCGCCCCGATCGTGGAGGATTCGAGCCGCCGGCCTTCTGAACGAGCAATTCCAAGAAGCTCAACGGTTTAAACCACAGCGCCACCCGCCTCCCCCCAGGACCTGCAGCCTCCGACGTCTCTCGAGTCAGCGGGATCAAACAGAACCGCGGCATTCTAAGCATCAGCCTCCATCTAGGCCCCGCCCCCAGACACGCCCATAGCGGAAAGGACCACGCCCCCACCCGCTCTTTTTCTCTGGTCTGGAGAAGGCGGAGGCAACCTAAACCACAAAGCCCCGCCATTGGCTAGAGCGGTCTCGGCTCGGGCTACTCCGCTGTGTGGGCGGGGTCGCGCATCCGGGTTGAATCTGGCGTGTTTCCGGCGGAGGCAGCGGTGGTGGCGGCGGCGGGTTGGGGGGGGGGAAAAGAGAAGAAAATAGAAGGGAAATTCGGGGTTGCGGAGCGACGGCAGGTTCCGAGCGGGGCCTAGCGAGTGCTTTTGAAGCGGGTGCAGGTGGCGGAGAGCGAGCCTGGTCTCGCGTATGCGGCGGGGTGACGTTGGAGGGCGGGCGTGTTTTTGTTTCTGAGGTAAGTGGGGGCGCCTGAGAGGAAATGAAGGGAGGAATGGGTGGGGAGGGGAGACCGCCTGAGCTCCCGTTGGCGGCGGTTATCTGAGGGGGCCGTCGCGAGGCGGGGAGCCCGCGTCTGAGGGGGCTGTTGGGAGTGTCGGAGACCCCGACTGAGGCTCCTCTTTCTCCCCCCACCCTTTGCACATTTCGCAAATGTTGGGCTGCCCCCACCCCAGTTTGGACTCGGGTGGGGTTTACCCCTGAGCGCACCTTCCCAGGCTTGTGCTGCGAAGGGGAAACCCAGGGTGGAGGAGAGAAGCTGTCGAGCTGTGGCCGTTTCATAGAACCGTGGAGTTGGAAAGGAACCCCTGAGGGTCATCTAGTCCAACCCCCTTTTGCCCAACTCGGGGCTATAACTCACAGCCTGAGGTTGATCTAACTCTACCGACTTAGTTATCCCAGAGGCTTTGGGTCTGTCTGTGTGTAATACAGTGGTACCTCGGGTTAAGAACTTAATTCGTTCTGGAACGAAGTGCAAAAAATGACTTAAAGCTTCGGGTCTGTCTGTGTGTAATACAGTGGTACCTCAGGTTAAGTACTCAATTTGTTCCGGAGGTCTGTTCTTAACCTGAAACTGTTCTTAACCTGAAGCACCACTTTAGCTAATGGGGCCTCCCGCTGCTGCTGCACGATTTCTGTTCTCATCCTGAAGCAAAGTTCTTAATCTGAGGTACTATTCCTGGGTTAGCGGAGTATGTAACCTGAAGCGTCTGTAACCCGAGGTACCACTGTATATCTATACTGCCTTGAGAACTTGGTTGTGTAGTCGATATACAATTTGGGTGCGTTTTGGGTTTGTTTTTTAGAAAAAAAGCAAGTCATCAGTATGTGGTCATCGGGGTAATGGGGCGGGGGGACGCCTTGACAGCCACGGTGTTCAGCGGCAAATGTTTTACTTGGGACAGAGTTGGCTTCAAATCACTTCGTGGGAGTTGATGGGAGCTTTAAAAGATGGGTTGGGTGAGGCAAGTAAGAAGAAGAAAGAAGCCCCGTGCCCTCTGCCCTAAGCACTTTGGAGAAACGGAGGGTCTTTTAATACAGAAATATAAAGCACCAATGTAATGTGCATGATGTACATAGTCTTTTTTTTAAAAAAAAACAAAACAAAACCACAGAATAGCAACAAGAAAGGCAGGTCCCTGCCCAGATCAGTTTACAGTAGATACACAAATGCATGCACGTCCACATGTTTTATGTTTAAAAAAACAATTGGTAGAGAATCCTCCACATAGTGGGATGATCTAGAAAAGTGACTGGCACTGCTTCTGAGGAAAGGAGCTGTTGGGAAGAATTCGTGTTCTGGTGAAAGAAATTCAGCACCTGATACAGTGGTGCCTCGGATTACAAACACCTCTGGTTACAGACTCCGCTAACCCGGAAGTAGTACCTCGGGTTAAGAACTTTACCTCAGGATGAGAACAAAAATTGCACGGTGGTGGCAGCAGGAGGCCCCATTAGCTAAAGTGGTACCTCAGGTTAAGAACGGACCTCCGGAACAAATTAAGTTTGTAACCAGAGGTACTACTGTAGTTGAAACTTAGAAGCCAAGTGAGGCCTTTTTTTCAGGAGGAGGGAGGAGTATCATAGAACAGTAGATAAAACAGAATGATGTATGGGTGGTCCAGTATAAATTGTTACGAATGCACCATTATTTCATCAATGACGTTGCAGAATACACATGCAAACACAACAAAAACAAGTCTGGGGTGTCCCTTAGCATGTTGCAGATTTCTGATTGGTTCTGTTAGGGCTTGTCCACACCTCCATTTGCCCCCCACTCTCCCCCCCAACCCCCCCCATTACTGTTTTCAACTGATTGCTGTTTGTTCCAGTTCAGTGGTAAAGAGCATGCTTCCCCAGCAAAACCTATGGAGCAAATGCAAAACGACTTGGACTCATCCCTAAAAACACAGTATAAGTGGGACACAGTAAGACCTGTGCTTTCTAGGCACAGGACAAGTGGAAGTGTGGATGAGCCCTTAGTTATTAAAGGATAAGGAAAGATGTTGCTGCACTCCCAACTTTCATCAGACCCAGCTTCAGTTACAGCTTCTGAAGAGCCAGTTCCCCACCTCTGGATTACAGACCTTGACTCTAGAGCAGTGTCCTCAAATTAGAATACCCACCTGTGTGGTTCAGCTGTTAGGTGATCTATTTTTACCTGTTCAATGCAGGGGATCAAAAATGCCCAGCATATACTGCACACAAAAAAGAAATAGGAGTCCCTCATTTGCTTTCAAATGCTTTCAACTCCAGAAAGCATGACAACAGGGTTGAAGGAAGTTGTAGTCCAGCAATATCTGAAGGGCCCTAGATTTCCTAGTCCTATGTTAGAAGGAACTAGTGCCGTGGGGAGTGCATATTAGAGCTGTGCATAATTGAGCAAGATACTGTGCTGAATAATAATAATAATAATAATAATAATACATTTTATTTATATCCCGCCCTCCCCAGCCGAAGCCGGGCTCAGGGTGGCTAACAACAATAAAACAATACAAAAGTACAGCATAAACAACACTCTAAAATCATTCATTATAAAATTAATTAATTCAAGCCACTGGCAACCATTGGGCCAGAGCTCCGCGAAGATTGCCGAGGGAGGGAGTCAGGCTGTGCCCTGGCCAAAGGCCTGGTGGAACAGCTCTGTCTTGCAGGCCCTGCGGAAAGATGTCAAGTCCCGCAGGGCCCTGGTCTCTTGTGACAGAGTGTTCCACCAGATCGGAGCCACAGCTGAAAAAGCCCTGGCTCTAGTTGAGGCCAGCCTAACTTCTCTGTGGCCTGGGACCTTCAGGGTGTTTTTATTTGAAGACCGTAGATGTTTTTATTTGAAGGATCTTATGGCAAGCCATTGCTTGAGGCTGGGAGAGGAGTCAAGGGCAGAATACCTAATGCTTCAAGGAAGTGTTCTCTCTCTAGTTTGAGCATAGATTACAACAGAGAGCTAATCGTTTTATAGTCTGTAAAGCAAATTTTTGCTGCCTAAATTCTGTTGTGCTGTAAGCAAACAGGGGAATAACCAGGACATTTCAAGGTCTATTCTCTCGCTTGAGCTATTGTATGTGGAAGTGCAACTGCAACATCTTCACAAATCCTCTGCCCTGTAGATGTGCCCTTGATTTGTGAAATTGTTGCACTTTAACAATTGGAATAATGAGGCTTGGAGGATACAGATAATGTCATCATTAAGCATGTAAGAAAATGGTCTGATTTGTAGCATATTATCTAAAACTTGTGAGATCTCCCTTATTTGTTGCACAAATGTTCACTGGAAAGCACAACATAACGGTAACCCATAAGTAAAACAGTGACACGTGCATGGGGGATCTTTAACTCTTCTGAATGAATGCATAAGACATTACTATATCTCTTCGCCCCACCCACAAAAAAACACATCGTAAGCATTTTTGGAGCAGGGTTAATGCCCGGGTTTAACTTGAGTGTGAATGGAAAGTGGTTAAGCAAAATTGGCAGCTGGGTTGCTGTCCTTGACACATTTACTATGGTCTTACAGAGCAACCACCTCCCCCTGCCCCATAATCTGGTTCACCAGTGAGGTGCCATGTCAACTCAGAGACCTGCTCTACTCCCACAGAAAGCTTTGTGGGCATACACCCACCATTGGTGTATTCTTGGTGCTAGTAGTCAGTTTTGAACTCTGAAGCAGGGAATTCCAGGAGCAGGATGAAGGCTCTTTGGATCTGCTAGATCCAAGGCCCCATTTTTCCTTGGATAGACCCCAAGAACATTCCATCTGCACTAGCATGGAGTTGAAGTAACTAATTCTGTGGAGGTTGAAAATGTTGTTGTTGTTTTGCCCTAGCTGGTAGATGTTTGGACAGGGCAGGTGATCTACACACTCATCCTCACTTAGGATTGTATTCTTAAATCTACTGAACAGAATTCTCCTGTTGATGTGTAAAAAGTTACCATTCCCGTATACTGCAACACTTTTTCACTATCATGGTACGTATGATAGCCGTAGGTGACTACATCATGACTTAAAGGTAAAGGTACCCCTGCCCGTACGGGCCAGTCTTGCCAGACTCTAGGGTTGTGCGCTCATCTCACTCTATAGGCCGGGAGCCAGCGCTGTCCGCAGACACTTCCGGGTCACGTGGCCAGCGTGACAAGCTGCATCTGGCGAGCCAGTGCAGCACACGGAACGCCGTTTACCTTCCCGCTGGTAAGCGGTCCCTATTTATCTACTTGCACCCGGGGGTGCTTTCGAACTGCTAGGTTGGCAGGCGCTGGGACCGAACGACGGGAGCGCACCCTGCCGTGGGGATTCGAACCGCCGACCATGCGATCGGCAAGTCCTAGGCGCTGAGGTTTTACCCACAGCGCCACCCGCGTCCCACTACATCATGACTTAAAAGTACAGAATATGATTTCTGTATTACTCTTGAATTAATGTGCCGTATTTAAGGTTGGAATATAAATACTTCATCTTGTGTTAGAATATCCTTGCTTTGAATTTAACTTCAGAACAGACATAGAACTCATGTGCTAATCTAAAAAGTTATTTTCCTGAACCATTAGCTATCAACTTTAGGTAAAAGTTATTTAGCAAAGCCTATGTAATATTAAAGCTGTGATTATTTTCTTATTTTCTGTCAACAGCTAATCTTTACTAAATTCCTAGAGATACTTTTTCACACCACTCATTTAGTAACTTTAGTGAGAATTGATGTGCAAATAAGAAAATTGATGTGCAGTTAAGAGATGACCTAATGTGTAATATTAGAGCATTTTTCCTAGATCTGTTTGTTGTATGGCCTGATATGTAATGTTTGATCCTTGTTTCCAAAACTGTTTGCTGAGCGAATAAAGTTTTATTTGAAATGATCTTCAAGATGACTGACTTGACGTAATTCCTGGCTGTGGCTTTTGTGGCACAAACCTCTGTTTTCACTGCTAGTTCATCATCTTATGTGTAAGGCAAGTGAGGAACAGCTGTCTAGCACAGATTCCTCTGTCTTTTAAAACCTCTTCTGTTGCCTTGTTACACTTTGTTTTGGTAGGGGTTTTTGCTAGTACAAGGTGACTCGGAATCCTTAAGAAGCCATTAGGATCATAGCAGTGGTGCTTTACAGCTTTGGTTTTTTAAAATTATTTATTTGTTTTGGCCCACCTGTCATCGGAATGGACAAATCTTCAGAATGTTTGAATCTGGGGTTAACCACCCTCAGTCTAGTGTCTTATCTTGTACCCTTCCATGCTCAAAATAAGTTATTTGTATGGTGCAGTAATGCAGCATAGCCACTTTTGAAAAGCTGCAGTTCAGGGTTCAAAATCCCCATGCAGCCATGAAGATCACTTGGTGACCTTGGACCAATCACTTTTTCTCAGCCTAACCTACCTCACAGGGTTGTTGTGAGAATAAATTGGGAAGGGTGAGAAGTATGTATGTCAACTTGAACTGCTTGGAGGAAAGGTGGAATATAAATGCAATAAATAAATTGCTGCTTCCCAGGGACAGAGAGCATGGCAGGTTGCAAAGGCAAAGGAGTAAGTGATCCGCTTGCACCAGTGCCTATGGACCTGCATCCAGTTTTATAGTCTAATCCAGCTGCCAACCTTATATTTGGTTATGGCCCAGGAAAACCTGTCTCAAAGGTTAGCGTAGTAGTGTTTCATATAAGGTTACACTTTATTTTGGGGTGGACAGTGGTTAATGGCTACTTAAAATGTGTTTTTAAATGTCCCCTGATTTAGGATTTCAAATCTATTATAGAAAGGAACTTTATTGCATGGAAATCGTACCAGCTGATCAACCTTATTGGGCAATATTGCTTCATATCAAGCTTTTTGCTTTTGGGAAATTGGTGTTTAAATGCCGAAAACATAATACAGTACTAGTACATAATGAATCGTTTGCCCTGCCCAAGGGCATGGAAATGAACTACATTTTAATAACATGCCTTGCTGTCTTATAATTTTGTGCATGAAGTAAATTACTAGTGCAAAATTATGTCCACATGTCTTATGATATAGTTGATGAAATATTGTTTGTTGGGTATAAATAGCTTAATGTATGTTCTTGTCGTTGTTAATAGTAGTATAGAGCAACTACATGTCTTGCCGCAATGCTTGTAATCTGTAATATAATTTCACGTCTGGTGTTGTCTCTTCTTTTATATGTTCCTGTGGCTACAGATCATGGCTGCAGAGAAGAATGACAACTTAGTCTGAATGAGGAAGAGCAGGAAGAAGATGGGCCACTGTGATATACTCTTTGAAAAGAGCATTCGAAAGTCATCTTTGTCTTATTGCTGTTCAGGAAGGAATTCTTCTACAGAAGGTAAAGCAACTTTGTCAGAGCTCAAAGGGTGTTTTGGGGCTAACGCACCTGCATTTCTCTTTGTATTGAAATCTAACAGTGGCTGTGCATTCAACTAAATGGATTGATGGATTCAGTTTGTGACATATCCTGTTCTTATGGGAAAGGCAAAAACCAAAACAAAACCCCAAGCCGGGTGCTGTTGTCCTATATTTGTTTGCACATTCTATTTTTATTTTGTCATTAGAACCTTTTAGAACTGAAAGCTTTGGAGAGATTTGCCAATCGAAATAAGATCTTGAAAGGATCTTCAATTCTACAACTATGATGCATTCACTTATAATCTATGCTATGCAGCCCAAGCACCAATGGCTTCTCTGCATTACATTGTTTGACAAACAGTGGTGGATGACAAATGTTGGTATGAGTAAGACTATTTTGGTCACTTTTGGGAAGCTACATAAAATGCAGATTTCAAATTCAGCTCTTTCAGAAGCACTTGAAAACTTGCTCTATAGATGCTCTGTTTCTGGAACAGGACATGTTTGAGTCCTATGGGTGTTTTCTGTACCATAATTGGCAATAACAAAGATTCCTAGCTGAAAGCCTTATTGCTTTAAAGCAAATAGCATCTGCTGAAGGTTGTTGCTTCTATGCCAGAAAAACAATATTTCCTGTAGTACTAATTCCTAAGTGATGGCTCAGAGCTTGCCAGGGAGTACAAGAGAACTGCTAGGAGGTTAATCGCTGTGGATGTTGCTGTAAGGAAAGGGCACAATACACTAAGTCGCGGCAAAATGAGAGAGAAAGAAATTGAGCACGTGCCTAAAATTCTGTTAAATTGACGGTATAGCAGAGTTGATGGGTAGATATTTTTACGTTTAGGAAAGAATAAAATTTTAGGGAGAAAAGGCTAACTTTGAGACTTTGCTGCTCCTTTTCTGTGGAACACTCTCTTGCTGTTATTTTTAAAAGAAGTTCTTAAAGGAAACAAAGATAAAAGCCACTGAATATATCCAAGCGATGGAGAACGAGGAGGCAAAGAAATCTGTCAGGAGCATAACATGAGATAAGAGACAAAAGGTAGGAAGGAACAAGGCAGTGCAGAGCTTTAAGAGCTATTGAACACCATAATAGGGAGTTAGGTAAGAGACACATATTGGAGGGCACATAGTCATTGCTAGGCAAGGAAACTCAGGTGTGCAGCAGCATGTTGAATAGTGAAATAAAGCAGAATATGGAAGACCAGTTGAACAAAATACTGCTTTAGCTCACATAATTTTAATACTTGAATTACAACTTGGTGATGAAAAGAGAATCGGCAATCTTTTTTTCCTTTACAACACTCCCTGGTGCTGTGATCCCATATTACCATTTTGTTTTCCTTTTTTGATCTCATTGCTCTTGGGTGAAAGTAAGCAAAGACAGAGGGCCTGGCAGAGCTTGTGTTCGAACTATACATAAGCAGCTTCAAGTAGCTGTTTTGTTGACTTAGGAGGCTTATGTTTGACTAGATGCTGATCTGCCTCCCTTCTTTAGAAATCTTCGACTTGGGTGTCATGATTGCTTTCAGAAGCATAATGTTCTGGAAGGTAATTAAAGGTTACGCTTTGGGGGGAGTAATCTGCCTGGCACTGTGAAAATAATATGCTTGGGCAGCAGAAACACTAAAATGATCTGTCATTCGTTGCGAAAACAAGCTCCTGGTCTCTCTGTTTCGTGCCAGCATTTTTCCTGAGAAAAACACTCTGTATGAATGAAGTGCAAAAAGATGACTTAAAGCTTTCATGAAATATCACATAAAATCACCAGTTTGTTTCATAGGTTATTTTTAGAGTTACAGGCACTAACACACTCTAAAAGCTGTACACAAGCAATGACTTTGGCTTGGATGTTAAACTGGAGGAAGTAGTGCTTAAATAATGAAAGGTGGTTGCTTTCAAGAATGGACTTGTCAATAGTTCATGTGTGTATGGAAAAGTTGTTCTGCCTAGTTACTACTTATTTGTGTAGAAAGTATTGTTTCTGGAGCTATATTTATGTAAATGCCTCCTTGTGTTGCCCTCCTGAAGCAGTTAGTGACAAGATGGCTTTCTTGAACTGACTTCTGCTTGTCTTGAATGTAGCTTCTGATTAGTTAAGATGATTTTTATATTGTCTTGATCTGCTTGTTGTGAAATGATGACCGCTACTACAGATGAGCTTTTGAGGTGCCAATTCCAGTTGTTATAAATATGGTCCTGTGAGCTAGATCTGAGTAATGAACTTTACACAAGGTTTTATTATATTTATTTATTTAATTTCTGGACTGTTTTCTGTAAGACATTGGAAAGCAATTTGAGAATAAAACAATATATAAATGTAAAACAGTTTTGAGTCCAATACAAATGTAGATGGGCGTTTTCCTCCTGTCTCCCCAACTAAAGAAGATAAATTAAATACAACATTCACAGGACAATAGAAGATATACAAATTTACTTGTCCTAAGCTGTTGGAAGGGCTATTCATACTTTTTTTACTTTCATCTTTTTTTAAGTACTTGAATTTACTTACTGGTAGACCACTATATCATTTTGCTGGTAAATTCATGTCTGCTTACCATGACCAATTACCATTAATTTCTTTAGAAAAAACAGACAAGAACACAAATGATTTAAGGTGTACTTTTGGGAGATTGTGAAGAGAAGCTACAGATATTATCTGTATGTCTACTTCTTCTGTCTGACAACAGAGTCAAGTCATCCTTGTTCTTCGAGTTGATAACCCTATAGAGCCCCACATTCCCATAAGCAAGAGGTAAAGTCATTGACACTTGTAAACTCTGAGGACTGCTTCATAGCATTAATCTATTTGTAGGTGGAGGTTGTATTGTGTAATGTGTGAAGGGCAGTGTGAGTATATTTACCAGGAAGAATATTGTTTAGTTTACTCAGTGCAAGAGACCTACATTTCGGAATTTTTGCTGTGAGCTGGTGCAGTCAATATTATCGTCAAACGATGAATTATTGGAGGCAGAATGACTTTAGTCCTGTACTTGAACATTTCAGAGTGCTCTGTCTTATATTTCTGTAATTGATAACATGCCTGTGTAATAAGCAAGAGAGACTATCCTCACTTTGAAATCTGGGAGGCAGAGCACTTTAAGACACTGGAAGCAGGCGCCAGTAGTAGTGTCTGTTACATAATGACTATCTGTGCCAAGCGACATCCAGACTGCAAGGTGTGCTGTGCATAAAAAGGAAATTAGCATGTGGAAGTCTCATTAGGGCAATAATTATATAGAAGTTCTTTCAGTTCTTTCAGTTTTTTATAAAAATGGAAAAAGATTAACATAGAATAGTATCCCACCTTTCATTTCTTTTAAAGGAGGCTTGGGGTTGCAACAACTTTGCCCTAACCTTGAACTAGATTTTTCTCTAGGGTATCACAGCCCATTGATGTGCACTTGACTGTTACATACATTCCTAAACAATGAGCCACATTGCTTCTAAAAATGTATTTGGAGGTTTTGTGTGCATTTTTTGTTTCACACATCGGTAAGATTTGCATGTAATGTGAAGCCAAACGATGCTTATGTCAGGACTGGACTTCGTGCAAATGTACAAGCGCAAGGGCTCTCAAGGGAGAAGGTCCTGACCACCTTGCTCCCCCTCTGTACTTGACGCTGCAAGCTAAGCCATGGGTTGACTTAGCATGTTGTCCAATCCTGAACTTGTGATTTGTCTCTTTCTAGACAAACGACAAGCTGCAAACCAATAGTTTGTTTGCAGCTCATGCTTTATGTTGAGCAAGACAAGTCAGGATTTGGAAGACACACTAAACCAGACCGTGGCTTGGCTCACAGGACAGGAGGAGCAGCCAACAGCTGCGGTCTCCTCTCTGGAAACTCATGTGCTCACACATTTTCACTATGCCGTAATTTGGCATTATTCTGTTTATTTATTTTTTTGCATTTATATCCCACCTTTCTTCCAAGAAGCACAGGTCTCTCCATCTCCATTGTATTGCTACAACAACTGTATGAGGTAGGCTAGGCTGAGAGACAATTAAAAAGGGGATGACAGAAAAAAGGGGATATTTTATGTGCAAACTTGGTCATTAATTCTTCTGGTTGACATTCTTAGTATGTCTCTGGGTGCTCCAATAGAAACTGGAGTCTCTTAAAAATGACAAAAGCTTTTTCTGTTTAATTTACATTACAATGCCCAGAAAGCCATACATTAAGTAGCTTGCTCTTTTCTGAATTAAAATTGGAGGCGTGCATAACTACACATGGAAAATGTCTGTAAGAGTAAGATTCACTCATGTCCTATGCTTTTGCTTGAGTCACACTTTGCTTGAGCATGCCTCCTAATTGAAAGAATGCAAAACCAAAGCATGCAGAGACACAGTGAAAAGTCTCATTTGATAATAGACCCCCCTTTCCTCCTGTGTTGCTAATGACTGGATCATTTAGTAAGGGGTGGGCATCCTATATCCAAAGGCATATGAGCCCACCACCATGCTGAAGCAAGGCAGACCTGAATCTGATTATGCCTGAAATGGAGACCTCTTTAAACCACTTATACACCAACTTGGGTCCCACGATACAAAAAGGGATATAAATGTAAGGGGGGAAATGATAGAATAAAACTGTTTGTGTGTTAAGGGCCATGTTCCTTTAGAAATAATCTGTTAGTGACCATAGGTTGGCAGTGAGTGGGGTCACCCCTTCTCTCTGCCCTATAGAGGTAGGGACAGATCTCACTTGAACTGATTGCATGTAGAGGGGTTTTGAAATCAGACAGAAGGCCACAGGTTGTCCATTTCTGATTTAGTCACACCCAGTGCAGATAAGTAGCTAGCTTAGAGCATGGTGTTAGTAATGCCAGAGCCATTGATTTGATCCCCCATGCTGGCCTTTTTGCGCTGAACAAGGGCTTCATGCAATCTTTGTGAGATTACCTGGAGATTCACCCTACATTTTCAGAGTTCCGGGGCTGAGAAATAGTATGCAGCAGTGGCACTTTTCAACCCAGTGCCTTTTAAATTATTTCTGTTAAATAAATAAAATACAATTACCTGCTATTCTCCTTGATGTAGCAAACCAGGGCTCTTGTACCCTAAAACAGCAGGAGAGAACGGAAGGGGAAGGATTCCAGACTAGGATAGGAGACACCACTGCTATATATATTTTTTTTATTCAGAGCTGTGACAGGCAGTTGGTCTGGCTCTGGCAGCCATATTTCTAGAAATACCTCAGATTTTTAACCAACTGCTAGATTGTTGGCTTTCATATACAGCGGTACCTTGGGTTACATATGCTTCAGGTTACATACACTTCAGGTTACAGACTCCGCTAACCCAGAAATAGTACCTCGGGTTAAGAACTTTGCTTCAGGATGAGAACAGAAATTGTGCTCTGGCAGCACGGCGGCAGCAGGAGGCCCCATTAGCTAAAGTGGTGCTTCAGGTTAAGAACAGTTTCAGGTTAAAAACGGACCTCCTGAACGAATTAAGTACTTAACCCAAGGTACCACTGTACTAGATTCCCATCAGCAAACCACAAGTGTAGGCATGTGCCATCATTCTTTTTGGTTGTTTTTATTATTGTGTGTATCAGCCTCACACTTACTGTATTCAGGTTTTTAAGGGGCCTTTTGTGTGTATCTCAAAATTTGTATCTCAGAAGTCTCTCAAACTGTGAACTCTACTATTGGTAGCCTAAACTCTTTCTTCTTTTCTGGTGATTAGACAGCTCATCATTTTAGCTTACAAGCTATCTCCTAAAGCAGTAAACTGATAGGCTGCATGGGAATTGTAGGCTTCTAGCACTAAGTTGCAATGAATAACAGAAATGAGTAAGTCAGCTGTCTGTTGCTATTCCTTTAGCAATTGAAGTTACTGACAATGCTGTTATTTGAAGATCAAGCAACAGCAATATTTCAGATAACAATTGCTTCAAAAAGATACCCAAATCCCTGCACTCCACTCACATGAGTAGACTGTGGTTTTTAATTGTGCTGTCTAATCCCTCTCCCTCCTGTCGTTGGCAAGGAAATGGAATTTTAAAAGCCTTACATAGCATAAGGTGCATTAGCTGATTGCAGCCACGTGATACAATTTGGCTACAGAAAACAGGATAATACAGTGCTATTCCTGAAAATTTGTGTAACAGGCAATATGCCTCCATGTAATACCAAAATAAGTTACAATTAAATCCATGCTTCAAGAAAAGGCAGAAACATGAACAGTTTCTGAGTCCATATGAGACCAGAGATAGGGAAAGCTACCTATGCCTATGTGATAGTTAAAACTTGGCAGCATTTCAAGTATAGGTGTTGTGGTACTCCTAAAAGGAAAGCTAAATAAGCATCTTTCCCATAATAGGTTGAAAGGATGGTTCTCAACTTTCCACCCTCCTAGCCTGTCAATGCATTATAATAGCATATAAAGCAGGATTTAATTTCTCCTTAAATTAACTGTCATAGAACTGCTCTTAGCTTTCTGTATGGAATGGGGGAGGGTTGGTCCAAAATAACACCAGAAAATCCATTTGGGCATTAAGCAGATATTCACTGCTCCTTTGCAGATTTTATCTTAATAAAATGTCTGATTATTTCTAATGCCAAACCCAGTCAGTGTTTTTAAGTATGCTTTCAAATCCAGGGGGTATGGTCCTGGGTAATTTTGCATTTGTTTTTCTAGATAAAACTTTGCTTTGGATACTACAACATGTGTCACATGTTTCTCCTACTCAGCTTTTATTTTATTCCTGCTCATCTTTTATTTTCTGATAAACCTGATAAACTCCCATTGTACAGCTAAAACTAGACTGTCTAACAGCTGGACCATTCAATTGGGTATTTTGATTAATAATTTGTGAACATCGCATCAGCATCAGCATCAGCATCAAAACATGTATGCCAGAGAGCTACAGGTTCCCCACCAGTGATGCAATCTCTCCACAATTAAAGGATGTCTGCATTTTCTACTGAATAGTGTGTACCAGTCTAGGTTTCACAGTTACTGACCACCGATGTTTGAGCTTGTAATACCAGAGATCCTGCACAAGCATTGTACATTGATAGACTTCCACTGGACTTTGAACTAATTACATTTTTAATTGCTCTGAAAACCCTTCAGAGCTTCCTAGCATTTGGTAGATCTGAAGAAAGCCTTGCTACCTAAATATTTTGAAGGCTATACAATCTTAGGAAACTGTTATCCGGGTACCAAATGGTTGTTGCTTTGTTCTGTTCAGTTTTGCTACTATCCTACACGCAGAACAAACTATGATAGTTCTCATTTATGTGAAGTTGACTCTGCAAGCCGGAGTGAATTTCTCCTTACTGTGAGTTTTTCTTGTTTTTGTTTTTTTTCATTTGGAAGTATTAAAGTTCAAAGAACCTCTCACTATGGTTTGGCTAAATATTATACCTGTTTCTAAAGATAGAGCAAATCAAAGTGGCATCTTGGGATCACAAGAATGAATCATTTGCAAAGCTGGAAATAAGACATGGAAACGTATTTGGAACTAATAAGAAAATTCATTGTTAGTGTATTTTTAACCAAGGGGTCTGTTCCTGTGTAAAGTTAGTGAAGCCTACATGCACTGAGTGGGACGTGGGTGGCGCTGTGGGTTAAACCACAGAGCCTAGGGCTTGATGATCAGAAGGTCGGGGGTTCGAATCCCCATGACGGGGTGAGCTCCTGTTGCTCGGTCCCTGCTCCTGCCAACCTAGCAGTTCAAAAGCATAACAAAGTGTAAGTACCGCTCTGGCAGGAAGGCAAAGGGGGTTTCTGTTTGCTGCTCTGGTTTGCCAGAGGCGGCTTAGTCATGCTGGCCACATGACCTGGAAGCTGTACACCGGCTCCCTCGACCAATAAAGCAAGATGAGCGCCGCAACCCCAGAGTCGGCTACGACTGGACCTAATGGTCAGGGGTACCTTTACCTTTACCTTTACCTTTACATGCACTGAAGGGCAGTGGCTCTGTAGTTCCAGTAGTAGAAGGGGGTAATGCTGGCAACTGCAACTTCCTACTTGTGGCACTGTGGCAGAACAAGCTGTAGCCACTGCAATTTATTTTCCTGCCCAGCTATCAGAGGTACGTGCAGTTTGTATTCTGAATCTGATTGTCCAAATTGACTGTGTCCGAGCCTTGTGGACCACTGTAGGATGTGTGTGTATTCATATGCCTTTCCCTGGGCAGCGGTCTTTTTATTATGGAACTAGGAAACCTCACTAAAAGCAAAAAAAACATAGCTTACAAGAGCAGGGAAGGATGCTTGTACCTGTTACGCGGTAATCATAGAATCATAGAATCATAGAATCATAGAGTTGGAAGAGACCACAAGGGCCATCGAGTCCAACCCCCTGCCAAGCAGGAACACCATCAGAGCACTCCTGACATATGGTTGTCAAGCCTCTGCTTAAAGACCTCCAAAGAAGGAGACTCCACCACACTCCTTGGCAGCAAATTCCACTGTCGAACAGCTCTTACTGTCAGGAAGCTCTTCCTAATGTTTAGGTGGAATCTTCTTTCTTGTAGTTTGGATCCATTGCTCCGTGTCCGCTTCTCTGGAGCAGCAGAAAACAACCTTTCTCCCTCCTCTATGTGACATCCTTTTATATATTTGAACATGGCTATCATATCACCCCTTAATATATTTGAACATGGCTATCATATCACCCCTTAACCTACTACTTAGTTCTCAGGTTCAAAGTGTATCAGAACTTAGGCAAAGGTTAGATTCCCTCTGTAGGACTAAATTGTGTTTCTCCTCTCAGAGAAGTAGACAGATTTATTCCTTGATACACTTTCGGAATGTCATAACACTGAAAATAGGTTCAAATGGTGGTGGGAATTTATTTACTAGGTTATTTTCTTAGACCGAGATCTCTAAGAAATGTAGTAGTGGCTATTGCAGTGATAACAAATCACGACTTCCGAGATTCAAGTCTGTTTGAAGTCTAGATAAAATACTATTTGTGTTAAGATACTTTTTAATGATTGGATTAACAGTCTTGGTAAACAGAATATGAACTAGAATGTGGGTTTGTGGTTATCATGTTTAGTTCCCAAGCAGTAATATTTTTCGTTGCATCTTCTGTTGCCATTTGAATCATCAAGATGATTTAGGTTGTGTGGAAATCTTTAAAGGTATTTATGGGTTATAAAATTCAGCCAAACTATTGAACAGGTCTCATTTGTGATTTGAACTTGAGTATACTGAAAAATCCCTAGGTGCGCTGTGACTTTCAGACATGATTCATTTGGATGCTCCTTTAAAAATTTATAAACACCCTATAATTTGGGCAGCTGCCATCGGCTTTCCAGACAAATTGTTCCAGCCAGGATAGACTGTTTGGCCATGAGCTGTATATTCCTGCCGTTTTGTGTGTGCCTCTTCCCCTCTTGTCCACTCAGGGTGACCTTTCAAAGCTCATCTTTGTGTATCTATGCTATTCAGAGATAAGTAGTGAGAAGTGGCCTAAATATTGAACATGATCACTCAGCGGCAAGCCATGTTGCCATAGCCATCTCATTAGAAATGTTCCTTTTTAATCTGAGCATCTAGTATAAGCAATCTCACTGAATGTACAGACTGAACCCTTTATTTCTGATTATCAGCAGTGCATAACTTACCACAAGAGGCAAATTAAACTGGTGATCATGCTGCTAAATTGATAATGTGGACTCCTCATGTCATCTGCTTTCTGGTTTTGGGTGAGTCACTTCTCCCTGTCTTGGGTTTCCCCAACTGCAAAATGGGTTTAATTGTGTTCTTATTTGTAAAATGCATTATTTTGATGCCGTTCTGTGTCCATGCTTGAATATTGTTTTTTGTAATAATTTTCTAAAACAATCTATACATAAGCATACAATACATACATACATTTTTAAGAATAAGAATATATTTATACCCCGCCCATCTGGCTGAGTTTCCCCAGCCACTTTGGGCAGCTCCCAATCGAGTGTTAAAAACAATACAGCATTAAATATTAAAAACTTCCCTAAACAGGGCTGCCTTTTAAAAATTGGATAGCTGCTTATTTCCTTGACATCTGATGGGAGGGAATTCCACAGGGCGGGCGCCACTACAGAGAAGGCCCTCTGTCTGGTTTCCTGTAACCTCACTTTTTGCAATGAGGGAACCGCCAGAAGGCCCTCGGCGCTGGACCTCAGTGTCCGGGCTGAACGATGTGGGTGGAGATGCTCCTTCGGGTATACAGGACAGAGGCCATTTAGGGCTTTAAAGGTTAGCACCAACACTTTGAATTGTGCTTGGAAACGTACTGGGAGCCAATGCAGATCTCTCAGGACTGGTGTTATATGGTCCCGGTGGCCACTCCCAGTCACCCACCCACACCTGTTAATCTTATGGAACATTTCATTAGTTATTAAGAATATATTTGTCGGCACTGCAAACCATGTATATATTATTTCAACATTTGTTACATTTTATCACAGCTATGAAAAAGCATTAAAAGATTGTATCCTGTAATTCTTCTCTATATATGTAATAAAAAGGAGACAATTTTTTCCCCAAATTCTTCTTGCTTTGGACTCCCTTCTCCCATTCTGAGCAGTTTAGTTAAATTCATCCCTGAACTGTACCATACTTTCATAATTATTTTACTATCAGTGCTTGAGCACTTATGCCATTGGGCAGCTAGCAATATAAGTTTCTACTTATAAGACTCATTCTTTAAAATATTGGTACCTTTGGGCCTTTTGGAGTTCATTTATTTTGTCAGTTGACTCTAATGTAATGATTCTTTCATTCTTCGCAATATCTCTTGCTTTTGTAATATTATGCTGTATTCATAAATTTATATTTCCTGTCAAACGGAACATACTGTTGTACATAAAAGACTAGTTGGGATATTTGAGGAGATAATATTTTCTTTGTTTGCTTCGGACTTGCAATGGTGTATTAATCATATTGGGTTTTATCAGTTATTGAATATGGTTTTTTGTGCTACTTATGTTCCCATGTTTGAATGCTTCCTGACAATAAAATATGCCATATTTGTTTAGAATCTTAAAACTAAGGTCATATTGGCCAATAGGACTACATTTTGCAAATGAAGAAAGTCTCTGTTACTCCTTTGATGTCATAATTCAAGCAGCTAAAGATATAGCCAACAAGCTGCCAACTTATAATGAAGAGTGCAATGTCATCTCTACAGCAACTTTCCCCCTAGAAGCTGGTCCCTGAGTGAGCAGAAATGAGCAGTCTGCTCTTGAAGTATTCCAGGAGCCGTGCAAGTCACTTGAAAGTAGCATTGCGGAAAGGTGTTACCATTAATCCTTTCTCGGCCAATGGCTATATGCTTCCCTTGGGGAAGATAAAGATCTTGACAGAGGCTGGCCCTTGCTCTAGAAATTTGTCACTTGTCGCTATCAAGGTGCAAGAGTTTTTAAATAAATCGGACAGGGCAGTTTGTAGGACTGCAATAATAGCTCACAGTTCAGCTCAGTGCTTGTGGGGGAACAAAGGAGTAGGGAGAGTTTTTGTTTTAAAAATTGGAAGGTATGTAACTAGACTTACAGGAGATGGTGTGACAGGATCTGTTCTGTCCCATTCCCCCCAATTTCCAACTTATTCTCTTGACAATCCTCTGTTTCAGCATTATAGATTACTGATGGAGGACTGTAGCTTAGAGGTATCACTGAGGTCAGAGGTTCTGTCCCACCAACGCTGAGTAAAAACCTGAAATAAACTTTCTGAAACGCTGAATAGCTGCTGGAGGTCAGTTTAGCCGATAATGAACTGGATAGACCGATTGTCTGACTTGGCAGCTTTCTGTGTTCCTAATTTGATGGCGTATGAAACTTGGTGGACAATCTCCCTCTGTTTGCAGGTGGACAGGGTGGGATGGTGTTGAGCGCAGAATTGGGAGGTTACAAGATGGAAGGTGAACATGGCTGGAGAACGCTGTATAATTAGCCATGAGAGTTCATGCTCTGATCCGGTTCTTGGAGGAGCTGTCAGTCACTCCCAAGCCATGTGTTTCAAGAAATAAATAATTCAGACTCTTGGGAGACTCGGGTGTGCCATCATTAAGTTAGCCTCCTCGGGGCAGGTAATTATGCCGTGTCTCTAACTACATCAGGAGTGATTGATCCAATCTTGCTTGATATAGGGATGCACCCAAATTACCTGCCCTCAGAGGACGTCACACTCAACTCTCTATTGGAAGTAGCCTGTGCAGTTTTGCTTCTCCCCCCCCCCCCCCCGCAAGGTTTGCAAGCTCGTTTACAGCTCCTAGAGAAGGCTGTGAATTAATTACACTGAGCCCCCCCCATCAGCTGTCTTAGCTATGGAACTTTTCTTCTTTTTCCCCTCCTGCCATACCTGCTCTATAATTTGGTGTGAACTTAGACACACCTTGCCATCGCTCATATAGGCAAGATGTTCCACAGAAAAAAAACCCAAAAAAGCAAGGTGTGGAATTAAAAAATGCAAGTGAAGAGATGAGTAATTCTGCATTGTAGAGGGAAGTGTCTAATTTGGTGTTAGTGGGTGGGTCAAACCACCCAAATCTGTGCACACAGATTGGGCTGAGTGGAGTTGTCTCTTTGCTGCACCACACCCTGCTCTTCAGGGATTTGAAGCTTTTCTGTCAATCCCTGACTTAGAATGCAGCCTTATCAGGTTAGCTGGCAGTCAGGCAGCCTAGCCAAAAGAATGACTTTTAACTGACTCCACAGAAGCAGCAATCTGAATATGCTGGCGTCTCTTGTGGCAAGACTCCAAATCTTCTGTGCTCAACAGTTCTTCGTTTCCCCTCTCCTGCTTTTTCTAGGGTTTTGGCATCGGTGATGAGAAATGGGGTATGATGTAGCTCGTTTTCAAGGGGATGTTGATGAAGATCTTATATGTCCCATCTGCAGCGGGGTCTTGGAGGAGCCAGTGCAGGTAGGTCAGCGTAAAGATTTTGTAGTTTATTGAAAAACTGAAGGTTTTCTATGTCAAAGCTGTATTAGATCTTCGTTCAGCTGCATGACTGAGGGAGAATACATGTGATAGTACTCTTTCTTTTAATTTCTAAAGCTATAATCTAGTCTGATTTATTAAGCCGAAGAAAAAAGTTTAAAAATGCACACTATATCTATGCAAATTCCACTGGAATCTGTTAAACTCCAAACAAAGCTCACGATGTTTAACAGCTCAAATTTAACAGCCCATGTTAATCACGGAATACTAATTGGGTAGGTAGTTTATCCATATAAAAGGCAGTAGACTTCATGATAGGCTATGCACTTCATGGTATTAAAATATAGGTTATTGGAGCACATGATTTCTCTACTATCTGTTGCAATTTCTTCTGGATTTTCCAAAATGATAGACCTAGGACTGTGAATGTTAACTAGTTAACAATTTATACACATAAGGAGAGTCCTGCTGAATTTTTGCCGAAGGCTCCTCTGTTTCAGAACCAGGTGCCTTTCAGAAACATACAAGCAGGACCTAGCATATGTTCAAGCCAACCCCACATATGATTGTCACATGTGACCATATGCATCTATTTTGCTTTCCCTATAGTAATATGGTATATATGTCCATCAGCTGTAAGCCTGTCTTGTTCTCTTATCAGTAGTAAACAAATCACTTCTATCTGTAGCTAAAGTAAACTGGATAGGTAAAGGATTGATTTCTTTGCTGGCAAGGTATTGTTGAAAAGATGAATTAAGCTAAACAGCTAGCTGCTGAATTTTAGATTGACTTGTTCGGCTTGCATATGAAAGAAGCATTGGGTGGCCGCAAAAGTGCTTTGGAATATCATTAAAAGGAAAAAGCACTTAGTTTGAATTCAGCTCTCTGACTTGCAGGTAGCTGGTAACTAGATGACGATGAACCTTCAGATACTTGTATAACTAGGCATACTGGGAGTTGTCATTCCACATTCAGAACAAAAGCTTCTGTTTCTTGAGAGGCTGGAACTGCTGGAGCATGAGTTTATTTTTGCACAGGGAACTGGCAGAAACTATTCTTATCTTAGTAGGTCTCCTTATGTAACATTTGCACAAAGAAGCATTAACCAAAAATATGACCTTGCTGCATGTTACATGGCTGGCTTTGGTGCTTGCTCCATATGCAGGTATGGGACCCTAATCCTGAAGGGCCCTTTGCCTTTGCTTTATTCAGATTTTTATCCCCCCTTTCACTTCAAAATGAAGTCCCCAAGGAGCCTAATATAAACAAACATTAAAAGCAAATATCATTTTTTATTAAAAAAACCAAAACATTGCTTAAACTTTTTTTTTTTAAAAGCAAAACGTGGGGGTGGTAGAAAATCAAAAAGCGAGAAACAATTTTCCGGATGAAGCAAAAAGAAATCACACAGTCTGCCCAGAACCTGCTAAAACAAAGTCTTCAGAAAGCAATGGAAAACGAGCAATCAGGGGGCGAGATGGATCTCGCCAGTCACATCTTGTGCACTGAACAGAGAAGGCATTTTCTCTTGCTAATTAGTGACCCTGTAAAATGCATCAGTCAAGTTTAAATGCTGTTCCAACCTGTCAGAGGAGACAGAAGCTTGTATTCAGCGAAATAATTGCTGTCATGGAATGACTTCCACAAGCACAGCAAAGCCCCCCGAATCTGTTCTGGGAGTTCCAGAACAGATTTCAGAGTAGTCTGGTGGGAGGAAGGAGGAGAAGGAAGGAAAGTTCTGTTGCACATACAATGATTTTGTTGGATACAACCTACCAGAACTAGCTGATTCGCAGTAGCCATGAGAGATCAGTCTACCTAAAATATTTTTGGTAAGTGTTTTGTTATGGTATGTGTGCAAAATATCTTAGTGTTAAATGGTATTTCTGATCTCACTAGAAACATTATTCTTAGCAAGCTAGTTAGACATGTTAATAAACTCAACTTGTTGCGCTCTTGTCCAAGAGACAAACTGTTTTGCGTTTAAATTTGAAGCGACACTCTAAAAACTGCCTCAGAATGCACATTGCATCTAATCCATTGTGATACGGTTCATACAATGGAGAGCAACATGTGCTATTCAGCTGCACATCTTGATTTTCTCAGAACAGGAAGTCATTAAGCTTGGGAGAATGGGAGAGGAAATAGACCGAGAGCTTCTGAACTTTCCTAACTCCCTTTTAGATTGAATATGTGTTGTGCATTACCAGTTACCCAGCTGCCCCCGCCAGCCTCTCTTCATATGGGGTCAGGGTGTAGGCTGGAGGCCTTTGCCTGTATTTCTGTTGATATGGGGATGAGTCAGTGAGCAAATGCAGCATTGTTAGCCTCTAATTGCTTGCTAAGGTTAAAATGTCCCTGTTAATCTTCTGTGTCTCCCATCTGCAATAGAGATTTGCTGGAGGATGTGCTTTGTGTGAATTGCTCACAAAGAATTTTATTTTGTTGGGTGGGGGGGTAATTATTTGTTCTATTGTTACTTGATGTATTGCATTCATTAACCTTTGCAATAACTATTACTGCCTAAAAAACGACAAACATCTGTACTGCTGAGGACACGCTTATTATTCTGTACCTAGATCTCTTTCTTGAAAATTAATAAAAATGTACAAAAAGTCCCTGTTAAAAAATAATTTTAGACTATTAGTAAAAGTACAGAAATCTGTTTTGTTTGCCAAGATTTGAATACACTGTATTACAGCCGTCATAAGGCAATAACTTTACTTCTTAGCAGACTAATTCATGAGTGATGTTTATGGGTCTCCCAAGCCAGTTGTATCACTTCCACAAGTGTTGGTCTTGTGGTCCAAATGCAGCAATGCAAACACTTGATGAATGACCATTTTGTGATTTCAGCAACAGTGTATTTTAAACCTTCTGTTGGCTTATGGTGCTCAACAGGTTGACCATTCTCAGCTACATCACTGGCTTATTTGGAAGCATATGGCACATGCTGAGTGTAGGAGAGCTTAGTGTAGCAGATGTCCAGGAAAAACCTGAGAGCACACAGGAAGAAACTAAGAAAATTGGCTGGATTCAGCTAATGAATCTTGCTAGCAGAAGCCAACTCAAGGACTTCTGCCAGCACAACAGGGCTTCCCCCCTTTCTCCACCCCCTGACCCCCCCAGGTTGGCTCGGGTTGGGGGAAACCCAAGAACAGCAGATAGGCTGGAGGAGGTGAGAAGAGGGGAAATTGCTCCATCAGCACAAGCATTTCGACTTGTCAGATGGAACATTCTCCTTAGCACTATGCTGAATTCCTTGCCATTATCATAAGACAGAAAGCACGGTGAGAACCAAGCAATTGCGAATTAGTTTATAGGAAATTAAACTTCTGCCTTCTGTCAGTTGGCAATGCCTGGGAGGCATAGCTGTGAGACGAGTAGCTGAGCTGGTGAAATACATTTGTGCATGAATAAATCTTCTCCGGAAGAAGAGTTATAACTACAACTGTGCCTTATTTGGAGGATTGTCTATGTTACGCCCACAGGCAGTGCAATGAAAACAGCTGGTTAAAGGGAGAGGTACTGTGCTACTTTACCCTGTGAAGTGAATTTTTCACATCATCAAGATTTATTTTAACAATTCATTCTTGAGTTGAACACCTTGCACAGTGGTGAATGTACATCTCCTTCCATTGATCTCTACTTGTACCACACCAGCACTGAAATGGCAAAGTATGATTTGCAATAGGCTTGATATGAGAGAGAGAGAGAGAGAGAGAGAGAGAGAGAGAGAGAGAGAGGTCACTACCTTAAAGGCAGTAGATGATTTTCATATCCTTTGGTTGATGGCAGTTGTCCTGTGTTTCTGCTTCAGTGTCTCGTAAGTTATAGCCAAAGTGAGCTATCTTCATCTGCTGTTAGTAGCTTAGATTGGCTTAAATTATTGGTCGAAGTTCTGTTCTTCTTCCAACTCTTTCTCTCTTATTTGTGAAAAACATGGAAAACAGATAAGAGCACAGGCCACAAACCAGTAGCATGAACCTGATGTAACCTGCATTGGCATACCTTGCTCTGTTCTTTGCACAGGCTCCTCATTGCGAGCACGCCTTCTGCAATGCCTGCATCACCCAGTGGTTCTCCCAACAACAGACTTGCCCCGTGGACCGAAGTGTGGTGACCGTGGCTCACTTGCGGCCTGTTCCTCGGATCATGCGTAATATGCTATCTAAGCTGCAGATCACATGTGACAACGCTGTTTTTGGTTGTACCGCTGTAGTGCGACTTGACAACCTGATGTCTCACCTCAACGACTGTGAACACAATCCAAAGCGGCCTGTGACTTGTGAGCAGGGATGCGGGTAAGTATTCAGCTAGGTCTGACCCAATGCATTTTAATGTCATAGTTCAGTGCTTTGTCTAAGGCAGGCATGTCCAAAGTCTGTTTCAGGGGCATTATCCGGCCCGCCAGATGGTTTAATCCAGCCCCTGTGGCAGTTTATCTCCTGGGGTAAAACCCCAACAACTTCAATCCTTAAAAAAAGCTCAAGAACTTTGGGGTAAAATCATAAAAAAGCAACAACTTTGGTCGGCCCTCATGCATGTTCACTTCATCAAATCTGGCCCTCTTTGGAAAAAGTTTGGGCACCCCTGGTCTAAGGGTTTTATATAGCCAGTAGGGACGGGACGCAGGTGGCGCTGTGGGTTAAACCACAGAGCCTAGGACTTGCCGATCAGAAGGTCGGTGGTTCGAATTTCTGCAATGGGGTGAGCTCCCGTTGCTCGGTCCCTGCTCCTGCCAGCCTAGCAGTTCAAAAGCACGTCAAAGTGCAAGTAGATAAATAGGTACCGCTCTGGTGGGAAGGTAAACGGCGTTTCCATGCGCTGCTGTGGTTCGCCAGAAGCGGCTTAGTCATGCTGGCCACATGACCTGGAAACTGTACGCCGGCTTCCTCGGCCAATAAAGCGAGATGAGCGCCGCAACCCCAGAGTTGGTCACGACTGGACCTAATGGTCAGGGGTCCCTTTACCTTTTACTATAGCCAGTAGGCCTTCATTCCCATGCCAGTGTGAACTGGAAAAATCAGCAGGAGAGAGACATTGGTTGTGTGGTCCACCTGGTCAAGCTTAATATGATATGATGCGTGAGGCACAGTTGAGTTGCGCAATACTGGCAGCTGGTAACTTGAGACTACTGACTTCAGTCCCAGTTTGCTTTAAAGTATAGATTTTTGCTTCCGCATTGTTTGCAGGTCACCTAACCATGAGTTTCTATTAGAAGACACCCATTGCTTAATCACCTTTCTCAATTCCTTCTGTTCCTTCTCCATGCAGCTTGGAAATGCCCAAAGATGAGTTACCGAATCATAACTGCATCAAACACTTGCGGTCAGTGGTGCAGCAGCAACAGACAAGGATAGCTGAGTTGGAAAAGACTTCAGCAGAACATAAGCACCAGCTAGCGGAGCAGGTAACAGCTTCTTTTGCAGCAGTCTTTGTGGCTCCTTTAAGTAGATAAACAATTCCTCTTTCCCAGGCAAGCTCAAATAACTGATAAGAGTTTGTGTTGCCATGAGAAATGGCTAAAGGACTAAATTACCTCTCTTGTTAGTTCAGAATTTGTCAGAGGATGAAAAATCAATGTTAGAAGATAGGGAATACTGAGTTGAACTATTGTGTAAGTGTTACAGCTGAGTCCTGATCTTAAGGAGGAAGGGAAGATTTCAAAAGACTCTTGCCCAGATGGATTTCAATTATTTTTTAGACTCTGGATTCCTCTCAAGTTCTGAGTGGCTGTAAAATATCCAAAAGGGGCATTCACTATGTGACAGTTGGTTTTTCTTAAAATACAGAGGCTAAAATCTTTCAGGTACTGAAAGTTCCTTTTGTAGCTTTGAGCAGTAATGCAGTCTAGTACTACAGGACATTATCATTGAATGGTATTTATATAGTGTACAGTGGTACCTTGGTTCTCAAATGTAATCCATTCTGGAAGTTGGTTCCAAAGCCAAAGTATTCCAAAACCAAGGCGTGCTTTCCCATAGAAAGTAATGCAAAATGGATTAATCCGTTCCAGGCTTTTAAAAACAACCCCTAAAACAGCAATTTAACATGAATTTTACTATCAAATGAGACCACTGATCCATAAAATGAAAGCAATAAACAATGTACTGCAGTCACACAGTCAATCAGTAGCTGAACTGGGTTCCACACAGTCACAAAAACAAAACAAAAAAGTCACAAAAACGCAAAATAAATAGCAAAAACAGACAGACCTCAGCATAACACTCAAAACGGAAGCGTGGCACTCAAAACGGAGCATGTTCAGCTTCCAAAAAAAGTTCGCAAATCGGAACACTTACTTCTGGGTTTGCAGTGTTTGGATTCCAAGTTGTTTGAGTACCAGGGCGTTTGAGAACCAGGGTACCACTGTTCTATGTGAATGCATTTTTTTGTTCTAGTACTGTAACCTCTGGATCCTATTGATTGAGCTAATGAGACCCCTTTTAGAATATCAGTGATCCAAGTGGCAACTCCTGAGTCAAATTTGACTCCTTGAATGGTGCTTTCTGGCCTCCTCAGTTGCCAACCCCAGAGGTAAAAAAGGGGTGTGAATGAGCAATAAATTTGACACTTGAAAGGGGAGGGGGCATGGCATGCCTCCTCCCTCGTAAAGTGTTCCTTCAGTAACACTGTTTGTGTGCTAATAAAATACAGCCATATAGAATGCTAACATGCAGCCTCCTCTGAAGCATCAGTTTAGCTGGAAAGTCAAATCTCAGTGACTCAAGGGGCAGGGCCACTGTGGCAAGACGAGAAGTGGTCCCAGAAGATAAACCTATTTGGGCCAGGGAGCCCTGAGACTGGGTTGCCAACTAGCTGTATATTAGCAAGGTGGGAAATTGGAGGAGAAAGGGGGAATGATGCTGCCTCAGAGCCAGAGAGGCTAAAGGAAGCCGGACGGATGAGTTGGCAGGAAGAAAATGGGGAGCTTGAAGTGACACAGAGCTGAAGAAAGGAGGGGTCAAGGAGAAGGCAAGAACAAACTCCATGCAGTGCTGGCTTTGCCACTGAGTTGTGGCAGGCTTATGATGCCTTCAAAAACTGTTGGCTCATACAAATGGCTAAAGTTTGCCTCTGAATGCAAGTTGCATGTAGCAAGCTACAGGGGAGTACTTTTGCCTCCAAGTCCTGCTTTGTGGGCTTCCCAAAAACATCTGGCTGACTTGTGAGAAGCTAGATGCACCTTTGGTCTGATCCTTGATGCCAATGGTTGTGCTTTTACGCCTGTCATGAAACTTTTGAAGGCATGAGAGCCCTGCCGGAAAAAAAGGTCTTATTTTCAGGAATCACGGAATGCCTACAGGGCATATTTATTATATCCCACTTTTCCTTTAGAAAGTTCAGGTCATCGTAATGTAGGGTTCCCATGTTCTCCCTATCCTGGAGAAATGGGAGAGAGGTCCACATTCACTTAGCTTCAACCACGCTATGCGTTTTATGTTCCCTGAATCTTCACTAGGTCCATACCTAGCATCCCATTACCGTCTCATAATGGAGAGATCTAAATGTCGGGGCCTTTTTTTTTAACCAGGTCTTTCTCAAAATCTTATTTGAAAAACTGCAGCTTTCATCTTCTCGTTTACTCTGTTTCTTTCAGAAACGTGACATTCAGTTGTTGAAAGCATATATGCGAGCGATACGTAGTGTCAATCCCAACCTGCAGAATTTGGAGGAGACTATTGAATATAATGAAATCCTAGAGTAAGTGCTGGAACTGAGTTTTAAAAGAGGGTGGAATGGCGAGGGTATTTTTTTGACATGGGCAAGGCCAGCATAGCTAAGATAATGTTGGAAAGTGATTGAAAAAGGGAATGGAGAAGACCTCACTGTCTTGTAATCTCTCTCTCTTTCTCTCTCTCTCTCTCTCTCTCTCTCGCTCTCTCTCTCTCTCTGTGTTCACATTGCAAATTTGCACATTTCTAGGGATACAATAAGGGACGCGGGTGGCACTGTGGGTTAAACCACAGAGCCTAGGACTTGCCGATCAGAAGGTCGGCGGTTCGAATCCCCATGACGGGGTGAGCTCCCGTTGCTCAGTCCCTGCTCCTGTCAACCTAGCAGTTCGAAAGCACGTCAGAGTGCAAGTAGATAAATAGGTACCGCTCCAGTGGGAAGGTAAACGGCGTTTCCGTGTGCTGCTCTGGTTCGCCAGAAGCAGCTTAGTCATGCTGGCCACATGACCCGGAAGCTGTACGCCAGCTCCCTCGGCCAATAAAGCGAGATGAGCGCCACAACCCCAGAGTCGGTCATGACTGGACCTAATGGTCAGGGGTCCCTTTACCTTTACCTTTAGGGATACAATAATATACAGAGTAGGCAAGGAGGTGCTTCCTATTATGCCAACGCAGGTGTTTGTGGGGGTGGCTGCAGGGGCAAGAGAGGAAGGGGTGGAGTTCCACTCAGATATCACCCAAGGTGTTTCTGAACATTGGATTCCTGGAGTGTTACAGGAGCTTGAATCCACGCTGCCTGGCTGATGTGCATACAGGAGCAATAGGTAGAAAAGAAATGTTTACTATTTTGCATTTTTATTTTGAAGGCTTAGGTCAGATACTGTGTTCATAACACGGATGAAAACAATCAAAATTAAAAATGAAATCAGTTCCGTTCTAGTCTTAAACCCCTACACTGTCTCTGGAAAATGTTACAATAGCTTCTCTGTGGCAATTTTTTAGGGAAAGAAAAATCCACTGTTGTGTGTCTGCTTTTTAACATCCTGTCATATGTACACCATCGGTCAATTCCAACTTACATGATGAAGCAAAAGGAGTGTGTAGAGCAGGGTTGTTTGCAATTAAAAAGGAGAACAAACAATGGGCTGTAGTAAAATATCTCATTATGTATGATGTGATGTAGAAGGGAGAAAAGGATTTAAACACCTTTCCTAAATATGGAGCCTTATTCAATATAACTCTCTTGTCTTCCAAAGTGTTGATTCCCTGAAATCCATACCAGCTGACAGTGCAGGCCCTGGACCAAGATATTATGTGCCTCTTTCAGTCTTAACCATGGGAGACAATAAGCTGCCAGCAGTTTAAAGTAGCTGCAATCTCCAGTAGCAGAGTGCATTATAGGGATCAAATCTTGAAGCCTCACATTTCTCACTTCAGGGTAGATTGGAAATGAAATAATGGATTTGGTGGCAGAGCTGAAAATTGAATTCCCCTGCCTTAAGCCTTGAGACTAAACTAATAACCTGTGGTTCTCGTGGCCTTTGGAAAACCCTAGCACCCCTTGGAAGCTTCTGAAAAGTTCAAGAACAGAAGAAGTGCTGCCTATAATACCATTTGCCCATGACTGATCTTCCTGTGTGATACACAACCATAGAGAAGTGGGGGGTCAGGGGTAGCTGGGTGTGTTTTGAGGATCACATGGTTTACCTGAGGCAACTGGAGACCCATCTGGTCTGCCCAAGGTTCCTAGTAAACTGAATGAGCCTCCTAGAACATGCCCCAGAATTATGTATAATGTGCAAGGGGTTTCTTGGAGGACAGATCAATGAGGAAAGTGTTCTCTAAAGATGGAAAGTTGGAAAACCACTGAGCAAGTCTCTTCCCATTCCATTGTCTTTTCCTCGAAGTTTGAAGCAAAATGCCATGCATTCGTTGCATTTATTTTTCACCTTTTACACACACACACACACACACACACACACACACACTTTAAAGTGAGTTACAACCCCAGTTAATATCTGCAGAAGTGCTCAGAATAAGCTGGCAGCTTCTGAGTCAAGACTACTATTGTAGTTTGGCCCAAGGCCAGAGGTTAGATCAGCAATACAATTTAGGATTCCTCACCTTCAGGCTTGTAGGTAACGCTCTGTGTTTCCCCTGATATTTCTCTTACATTGACTTGTTTTATCCCCCAATTGCTTCTAGGTGGGTGAACTCCTTGCAGCCAGCCCGAGTGACACGATGGGGCGGTATGATTTCTACACCAGATGCCGTACTTCAGGCTGTCATCAAGCGCTCGTTGGTGGAGAGTGGCTGCCCCACATCCATCATCAACGAGTTGATTGAAAACGCCCACGAACGGAACTGGCCCCAGGGCCTGGCCACGCTAGAAACCCGCCAGATGAACCGGCGCTATTATGAAAACTATGTGGCCAAACGCATTCCGGGCAAGCAGGCTGTGGTGGTGATGGCCTGTGAGAATCAGCACATGGGTGAGGAGATGGTGCTGGAGCCAGGCCTGGTTATGATATTTGCACACGGAGTGGAGGAAATCTAAAGACTTAGCAGAGATGATGAACGAATGTGCTTGAGAGAGAAATATACCGTGTCCAAGCTGACTGATCTTGCCCCGCTGTGCCGTGTCAGGGCATTATTTCTCTCTGTTGATTAACACACCACTTCCTAATTATACTGGGCAGGTGCCCAGCAACTTATGCAAGATGCCGTGCTGCATTTTCCCCACCCCACCCCCTTGTGATAATCCCCCTCCGGTTTGATGTTGGCGCAGGTTTCCAAATGTCTTCATAAAAGCACAAGAAACTCCTCTGTGCTCCGGTAAGTGGGCTTCTGCCGTAAACGTCTTTAGAGAAGTCTTCAATCTCCTGACATGAGTGCACTGGCCCAGATGACTTGGTTTCTCTTCAAAGCATCTCTGTGCAGGGCACACGCTTTTCCCATCTTGGCCCCATAGCATCTGACTTTCACGCAGTACCTTTAAGGCACAACTTTGCAGCCTTTTTTGGGGTGGGATGGGGTGGATGGACAAGGATGGGGTACATGAGAAGGCAGATGCCAAACTGGGAGTAATGCCAAATAAAATATACATACCAGTAGTGATGTTTTTGGCGTACAAAGTGTTATGGAGCCAAAAACCCGACAGGACAATTTCTGCAACTTCCTTGAGATGCGTGGCCTTACGTTGCACAGGAGACAACCCTTCCTTTTCAGATAGGGCCTGGTTTTCAACAGAATTAGCATTTTTAGCAATGTGCTGTTGCTGCTGCTGCTGGTGCAGAATTAAATGCACATCTCCTCGCAGAACCCAGATGTCATCTTCCTCCTCGTACTCTCAAAGTGCCGCTGGTGAGGTCAGGTTCTGTGCTGACTTCAGTCCTTTCTCATAGGATGCAAGCCTTCAAGCAGATGCTCTGCTCAGTTTGAACAGAACCAGACTCCTCTGAATTGTGTGTGCCATTTAAGGTTGTCTCAACTTCGTGACCTTGCAAAGAAAATGGGGGAAAAAAATTGAAATTAACCTGGATGAAACTGTCTTGTCATTGTACGTTGGCTGTTTTGATAAATCTGTGTTTTGTTTTGTTTTTGACATCTTGATGATTGTGTCCAGTATTTTTTTGTACTACTTTTGCCTTTATATGTTTCCCTTATTTTATTTTTTAAATACAGTGGTCAGGAATGTCTTCAGGTCCAAGTTTAGTTTACCTGTTAAATTTAATTTATTTGCAACCGTTTTTTACAGCCACTTTCTTTTTGTGTGTGTTGCTTTGAATATTTCTTCCTTGCTTTTAAGCATTTGTGCTGGAGTTGGTGGGGCAAGAAATAAAAGCATCAATAAAAGAGCAGTTGGACCTTGCTCTGTATCAAAACACTGACAGTACCATCCCTTCTGAACACCTTTCATTCTGTTAAGACTCCCTGAATATCCTCAGCTGAGCAGAAACTTTGAACCAAGGTTTAATTCCCTTTCTTGTGCTATTGCTGCCTGAAATGGTTGCTGTTAATATTTCACATAAGGGATTTGCAACAGTAGATGACCATAGCTGCTGCCTTCAGCATAGAGTTTGGACCACTTTGCAAGCAGTTACCATCTGCAAATGTTTGGGACAGAAAGAACTTCTGGATACTATCAACAGGAATGATGGCTGCTTGAGGAATGTTTCATCTCCTGCCGCACTGTAAATGGATGCAATGGAATATATCATCTAAGAAGTGTTTTCCCAGTCCTGTATTATAGTAAGTGGCCTGGTTCTTCATGGTGATCCTATGGTGGAGAATCAGCGTATATTGGGAATGTGGTTTTCACAGCAATTGATAGCCGGCAACCATTGCTCTTTTTGTGGAAAGTGTGTTGGGGTGGGGAGAGAGAGGATAGAAGAGTATAGGAAGACACGATTCTTAAACCCCTTCAAAAATAATCTCCATCCCTCTTGTGGAACTTCAATCATTCCTATGAATAAAGTGCATGAATAATGCAGCTTAGCTTTTGTTTATGATCTTGAATATTCACCAAGCAGATGCTGTTTCCAGTTTCATTCTGTGGGAAATGCTTGTGCTTTGGAGATACTTAAGTCTGCAGCAATCATTCTGTTTGTGGCCTTTGCTTTTTCACAGACCTGTTCATTAGTTGCTCTCCAGCTCTGCCGTGTCCTCGGTTTTCCTCCTCCTTCCAGTTTTTCTCCTTTGTTGGCACACTGCTTATGCTCTGCTCCCAAGTAGAACTTTGCTTCAGAAACCGAGCCTGTTACCATTTCCTATGGTGTTTCAGCTTTTACAACTGTTAACTGTATGAGCTGCTACTTAAAAGTAACTTTACAGTTCATTTATTCGTACTTCAATTTTGTAAGTGATGATTTAAAAACACCTGGAATGTGCTTCAAAAGTCAGATCAGTTTTAGGGATGGAATGGGTTGTGCTCGTATACATGTCAGTGATAATGACATGTTTAGAAAGGGGAATATGCTGGTTGGAAGTAATTTCTAACTCTGTCCCTGTTGCTCAGGAATTGAAAAAGCTGCTAAATCCAACCTAATAACTGTATCTTGAGCTAAACGGACTTCACTGTTTTCTCCTAACACATCTTGTTTACCTCCCCTCGATGTCCTGCTGTCACTTTTGTGCTCTGAAACGTACCATAGAGTTTGTTATGTCTCCTGGCAGTACGCAAGTTGCTGATCGCATTTTGTGTTTTGCTGTTCAATTGTGTTGACTGCACTAATAAATTGCCTTTTTCCTGACTCCTTCACAAGCTTCCTTCAGACTCAGGGGTGTTGCATCCTGCATGAAAACTTTGCAAAGCTGCTTGGTTCCTTTTTTGCATTAACCTCTCGGAAAGCTGCTTGGTTCCTTAGTAACATACTCAGGTACGACATGGGCGTAGAAAAATGCATGACTGCTGCCATGTCACAGCCAGCCAGCTCTTGTTGATCACCACTTCCTTCCTTAACCCACAAGGCACTATAAGGGATTCAGAGCTATTTTAAACAGGGGTGAGAGATGAGCAGCCCATCACAGCAAAATCCAGTTTTATAACGGCAAATCCAGTTTTAACCCATGCATACTATTCTGCCCAATGTAGCATAAACTGACAGCTTGCAGCATAAGCTGACAACTTGGTTTGTGGGGAGAAATGTTACTTGGATTGTAATCGACAATCAACCCCAGGTAATTGCTGTTAAAAGCAAGGAAACCCTTATTTAAAGCAAAGGAAGATATGAAGCTGCCTTAAACTGAGTAAGAAGGTACTGGGCTATCTTACCCAGTGTAGTCACCACTGACTGAAAGCCGCTCTCCAGGATCATAGAATTGTAGAATTGGAAGGGATCCCAAGGGTAATCTAGTCCAACCCCCTGCAATGCAGGATATCAGTAGTGTTTGCCAACCGTACCTGGAGATGCTGGAGACCCTGGGTCCTTTTGCACGAACAGTGTTTGGCCATTGAGCCACAGCCCAGAGGAATTATATGGGGAGAGAGCAAAAATAGCTAGTATAAATTTACTCTGTAAGCTAAGCAATTGTAAGAAGAAAAATCGGGAAAGGAGCAGTGGTCACCCCTGATGTTGACAAGACAACAGCTTCCATTTTGAACCCTGTGGAAGCAGAAGGAGGGGGTTGCTGGGAAAGTTGGATCCCCCAAATCGGGTATAAGGGGTTGGGAAGGATTTTTAACCCTTACTGAGTTTTGACCATTGGGATATATCGTGTTCACACAGGTGTGCCCGCAAACTCTGGGAAGAAGTGGAGAGAAATGAACAAATGATCTTGTTTTGATATGAGCAACTATGGGGTTTGTAGCAGGTGCTCGGAATGTGTTAGGTAGGTAGATGGAGAATGGTGAAATGAAGCCATCTGCAGAGGCTTAAAAAACTGGGAGGTCCTTAGGCCCTGGAAGAGACTTTCTTCCCCAGTAGGTTTGCCAGAACTGACCTCTACGGAAAGGGAACAACAGCTCCTGCCAAATTCAAGCCAAATTCTTCAACACAGTTTTAGTTATTAGCTGCCATGCCTGTTGACATGTTGCCCGGTTTGCGTTACTTTAGCAAGTTAATGCCAAATGAATTCTAGCTAAACAAAACCATTGCTTTCTGCTATGGGGGTTTGATCTGTTTTTCTGCCACAGCTGCCTTTGGGTACTGTCAATTAAACTGCTGACAAACACTAGCTAGGGTCAAGCTTAAAAAGAAGAAAGCGTCAGTGGGTACCTTGATCATTTGAAACAATGTGTGTGAAACAGGTTTTCTCTCTTCCCTTATGTATATATATTTCCCTTTATATTTGGTACAGCCTGAATTTGTTTTCTGCCATTTCAATGGAAAAGGTAATTTTTATTCTTTCTCCGCTTAGAAACCGGGTCTGTCTCTCCCTGGATGTGTGAAATAATAGTGGGTTAAGATGAATACGTTCTTAGAAGATCCTTGCTGTAGCTCCTAAGATGGGATTCTGATGGCTCTACTTTCCCATCTCTTAGCAAATGGATACCTTATCATGATTTCTCAAATTGAGGCCATATGCAGCCACCTGGGAGCTTAGTACAGGCATAAAAGCATGGAGACTGAGGACAGGGTAGAAAATAAGGCAGAGAGGTGAGGCCACAGGAGCAATGGATGTAGCCACCCGGTGCCTTTTAGTTTCTCACTAGGAAGTTGGTGTGTGCTTTGTAAAGTGGAACTTGAGGTTTCTGAACGATGTCTTGGCAGTTCTGCCTTTTAACTTCATGCTTTTGGGTTTTCAGATGATCAGGAATTGGTATCTCGACTCCAGAAGTACGTACAAATGATACCTCTTTTCTTTTGCATCCAGTACCTTCCAAGTGGCGGCATGGAAATGGGGGAAGGCCCGCCAAATAAAAAGGTCCTGCCTTATGACTCCTACAAATATCATTCAGTTGAAAGCTACAAGCTGATGTGCCTGAGTTTAGCGTTGCGATCAAGCACTGCAAAGAGACTGCCATGTGCCTTTAAAACAGGATTGCGGCGCCAGTTGCCTTCCTACAACTGCCATCACACTGACCATTGGCCACGTGGGATGGGTGGGGTTGGGAACACAGCAACATCTGCACTGTTAGGTGCTCCCAACAATTTACAGGGCACCCCTATAAATAAATAAATTGGTTTTTTCCTCTTGGCCAACACATGAGAAGTGTCGTAGCAACAAGGCTGAAGATGCGGCTGTGCTTGGATTCTCTGATATGCTCTCAGTGCTGTGGAGTTCACGAAACATTGCCTGGACCACCCAGTCCTGTTCTTGAGCCCTGCCTGTTCATTGGAAGCAGCTATCCCAGAACTGGGGAAAAATCAAGTATTTCAATTTGGGGGGCTGATTGGAGGACATGTGTGATGTATCATGCAGCTTAACACATTGGATTAGGCCTAATTCACAGTCCTTCAACCCTCCAGTAAGCGTAGCATGAGGAAGGTTCAGTGGTGCAATGCACGCTCTTGAAGACAAAAAGAATGCTTTAATAATCAGCGTTTGTGTAATGCTTTCTTTTTTTTTTTAATGATATTTATTAAAGTTTCACATGAAAAGAGACACATTAATAAAAAAAAGAATTTAAAAAGAAAAATACACAATACAAAATACAAAAAGAAAAAAAAAACAGTTAAAAACAATTCCATCTTTTCATCACGACTTTTACATTTACTTATTTCCCGGACCTCCTCATACCTCCCTCTTTTGTATTCCAATTCAGTTTGTTTGTCCCGCAATTCCTTTCCCTCCTTTTTAATCCCAATCCTTAATCTTAATATAATATAGCATTAAATTTTTACCTATTAAAAACCGATTTTCCATTCTTTTAACCTTTTTAATCCTAATCCTTAATCTTGATCTATATATAACTTTAAAGCCTGTACAGCTAGAAGCCACTTAATTTCAATCCAACATCACTCTAACATTCTTTAATTTTGCAATATTTCTGTAAGTAATCTTTAAATTTCTTCCAAGCTTCTTCCACCGACTCTTCTCCCTGGTCACGGATTCTGCCAGTCATTTCCGCCAATTCCATATAGTCCATCAATTTCATCTGCCATTCCTCCAGTGTGGGTAGCTCTTGTGTCTTCCAATACTTTGCAATGAGTATTCTTGCTGCTGTTGTAGCATACATAAAGAAAGTTCTATCCTTTTTTAACACCGATTGGCCGACCATGCCCAGGAGAAAGGCCTCTGGTTTCTTCAAGAAGGTATATTTAAATACCTTTTTTAATTCATTATATATCATCTCCCAGAAAGCCTTAATCTTTGGGCACGTCCACCAAAGGTGAAAAAATGTACCTTCAGTTTCTTTACATTTCCAACATTTATTATCAGGCAAATGGTAGATTTTTGCAAGCTTAACTGGGGTTATGTACCACCTGTATATCATTTTCATAATATTCTCTCTTCGTTTGTGTAATGCTTTCTAAAAGGTTCCAAAATGTTTCAGGTGCACCCTTGATAGTACCTGAGATTCACTCTTAACTCCTGTTGGCTATGAGTAAATCTTTAGTAGCATATCCATCCTTCTGAAAACGGCTCTACAGCGGTCCCTCGGGTTACATATGCTTCAGGTTACAGACTCTGCTAACCCAGAAATAGTACCTCGGGTTAAGAACTTTGCTTCAGGATGAGAACAGAAATCGGCAGCAGCGGGAGGCCCCATTAGTTAAAGTGGTACCTCAGGTTAAGAACAGTTTCAGGTTAAGAACGGACCTCCGGAACGAATTAAGTACTTAACCCGAGGTACCACTGTACTTGTTTGTATATTTTTCATCATAAAAAACTTACATGAATAGGAAGGACTCATGAGGCCAGGGATGTGACAACTTCAGCTGTTATGTACTGCTGCCCTCTACTGGGAATACTGTTAAGTACACCTCAATTTTTATTTAAAACATTTCAAAGGCACTTGTTGATAAAAAGTCCCAAGGAGCAACTAACAAAATACCGTATTTTTCTGTATATAAGACGACCCCATGTATAAGACGACCCCCTTTTTTTAAAAACGCAAAATTAAGAAATTAAATTGTTTAGGTTTTTTTTTGGGGGGGGGGAAGGTCACTTTCGCCAATCGCACACCTCACCGCAGCCACCAATTGTCTGCCCGCTCGCCACCACCAGCAGCCCTCCCACCCACTTGCCGCAGCCGCCAATCGCCTGCCCACCTCGCCAGAGCCACTAATTGCCTGCCCAGTTCCCACAGCCAATTGCCAGCAGGCCTTGCCGCAGCCACCAATCACCCGCCCAATTGCTGCTGTCAATCTTCTTGCTGCTGCCATTAATCACACGTCCCCCTTCTGCATTCACCATCCGTGTATAAGACGACACCCAATTTTTGTCCTTTTTTCATAGCAAAAAGCATCGTCTTATACACGGGAAAATAAGGTATCAAAAAAATCCACAATACCCACTAAAACATTTACAAATCTCAACAAGAGAAGCAGTAAGCAACAAAATTACAGCACATCCATAGGCAGGCCGTGTAGTTCATGGAACCAACCAAAAAAGTTTTTTAAATGCTTCAGATGTAGAACAAAGCAGGGGCAGACTTTGGGCTTTAAAATTTCAGCGACACCCTTTGTGATGCCAAAATTCAGTACCCCCCACCTCTCATTCTAAGTCATTCTTGCATTTCCCCCTTAGGCATTCAACTTGGTGCAAAAAAAATGAGAGGCACAAATACAAGATGGGTGACACCTGGCTTGAGAGCAGTACATGTGAAAAGGATCTAGGAGTCTTGGTTGACCACAAACTTGACATGAGCCAACAGTGTGACGCGGCAGCTAAAAAGCCAATGCAATTCTGGGCTGCATCAATAGGAGTATAGCATCTAGATCAAGGGAAGTAATAGTGCCACTGTATTCTGCTCTGGTCAGACCTCACCTGGAGTCCAGTTCTGGGCACCACAGTTCAAGAAGGACACTGACAAACTGGAACGTGTCCAGAGGAGGGCAACCAAAATGGTCAAAGGCCTGGAAACGATGCCTTATGAGGAACGGCTAAGGGAGCTGGGCATGTTTAGCCTGGAGAAGAGGAGGTTAAGGGGTGATATGATAGCCATGTTCAAATATATAAAAGGATGTCACATAGAGGAGGGAGAAAGGTTGTTTTCTGCTGCTCCAGAGAAGCGGACACAGAGCAATGGATCCAACTACAAGAAAGAAGATTCCACCTAAACATTAGGAAGAACTTCCTGACAGTAAGAGCTGTTCGACAGTGGAATTTGCTGCCAAGGAGTGTGGTGGAGTCTCCTTCTTTGGAGGTCTTTAAGCAGAGGCTTGACAACCATATGTCAGGAGTGCTCTGATGGTGTTTCCTGCTTGGCAGGGGGTTGGACTTGATGGCCCTTGTGGTCTCTTCCAACTCTGTGATTCTATAATTCTATGATTCTATGATCCTGCCACTCTGTCCTCTCTGTTTCGTCATCCACACCATCCTTCCACCCCTTCCTCATGCTCCCTCTGTCTTCCCGCAACCGCTGCACCACGCTCTCGTCTGTGTCGTCCTGCCACTCCACCCGCATCGTCTCCTGTTTAACTATTTTTTCCCTCCAGCACTGGGAGGGTTGAAGGAGAAAGAGGCTAAAAAAAACCTTCTTGCTTTGTTTCGAATATCATTATTCTGTGTGCCCCCCCCTCTGGTCATTCGCGGAACAATCACCCTCTCCGTTACATACAGGCAAAAAATGAGCAGGGAGTCAGATTTCACAAGATACTGAACACTTCCAGCCACTTCAGCCCCTCCCTTTGCAGACAAAATTATCCGCCCCCCTTTCCCCACCTACAGGGATGGCCAAGGGGGGTTCAAAGTCTTTTATTACTCCCCTCCCAAAAAATCATATCTGTATGTGTATATATATATATTTACTTACAGCTCAGAATGATGGATGTGCTAGGACTTTTTGCTGTATCAATTTGTGCATTTTTTCTTCCTTTCTTTCTTTCATTTTTGAACGTGGATGTTTTAACAAAAGTCCACAAGGAGTTTCACATGAAAGGCTACTTTGGCAGCTTGTTAAAAAACATATGGCACATCAAAAAACGCAGGGAGAAATCAATCCAATGCAAGACTTTTCACTGTGCAATGGAACTTTCTTTTCTCTCAGTGTGTACCCCCGAAATCTGTTCTGGCATTTCCCCCAACCCTTCAAAACAAATCTGGGGGTGGTTTACGTGGGGAGACAGTACGTACATGTACTCTCTGTAAGCCTCCCTTCCTCCTGTTTCAGCCTCCCTCTTTTCTCCCAGACAGGAGTCGCCCGTTATCTCATCGCCTGAGCTACATTCCTCAAAAAGGGGCCTCCTGACTATAAAATCTCCTTCTAAGTGAGGGGGGGGGGTTTGGACACCTCGCACCCTTTTAAAAACTTTATTCCAACTCTGAAACCAAACCATCTTTCTATACCAAAAAAGCAAAGCTAGGCTAAACTTCAACCCATCACCATACACCAGAATTTTAAATGCCCTCCAATGCTTTGCAGATTCATTGCCTTCCACATAGCCATAAAATCGGGAGAGTTGAAAGGGACCGTGGGGTCATCTAGTCCAACCCTCCAAAATACAGGGTTTACAGCAAGATTTGTACTATCAAAGAGACACACACATTTAAGTACAGATGCACAACTGGAAAGGAAACATCTATGCTCCTATCCTGAATGCTGCCTATCACACCCTAAAGAGGAGGAAAATAGAAGTATCCAACCTCGTATAGATCTCAGATCCTGAGATAAGGGTTAATTCAATTGATACAACCACTCACA